TTTACGGATTTTTTTTCAATTTTTAGGATGTAAATAATTAAAGCCGGTGTTTATTTTTGTAATTAAAAGAAAGTAAGGCATATTATTTTGTTGCAATTATTTATTTAACTATTTTCCAAAGTTATTATAATAAGACTGTATAAATTTTAAATTAATATGTACTTATTAATGTAAGACTAATTTTACAAAATTTTGTACTTAATGTTATTAAAGTTATGTAAATTTTAATTTTTAATTTTTTAATTACTAAATTCTTTTTAACTGGAGGTGACCTATCAGAATCTAATTATAGAAAATATTAGCATAATACTAAAAATAAAATATTTTTTTAAGGAGTATTATTTTCTCTTAATAGACTAACCCATTAATCTAGTTAATAAATAATGTCACCTACATTAAATAATTTTTTTAAAAGAAAAAGGAAAAACATTCACTCTACCATTTATAACCTTCTTTTTCCTCTCTTATCTCTTATACTTGTTTATAAACTTTTTTTTTTTATTTGTGAAACATATAATATTTACTTTTTATCATCATGTTATGACTCGGGTCATTGAATTCCAATGAATATGACATTATGCTAAAGTAAAAATCAAAGTTTAATGACTAATTCTTGTACTCGAGAAAACTCAAACTCATAATATTTTATTTCTATTATTAGTAAAAAGACCGATCAGACCACGTTCGGTTGGCAAGCAGTTATTTTTTTTATTTCTTTTGATAATAATAAGTTATTATTTTTAGTTGTTAAATATTATAACATAAATATTGACATGCACTATTTTTTTTATTTTTTTTTCACATACATAATTTCATGTGGAATGAGAATTTTGGATATTTCGTATATGGTCATAAATTAAATTCCATTCTCTGCTTCAGTTTCGCAATTGAAAGTTTTAGTTATCTCCTACCCTAAAAATGAAAAAAAGAGATAGAGAAACATTTGTAGTATTTGGTTCAACAGAAACCAAACAAGTTAATCAACTGGCTTCTTAATGGAGAAGGCCATGCAAGAAAACAAATAATCAAGCAATACCATCTCTCTTTAAACAAGTTAAACATCTCTTTAATAAAGATATAATAATAAGGCCTATTCAAAAGCTAACTTTTAGGGCAACTGTCGATCAAAATTTAGTGACAACCCAATCGAATTAAAGATGAAAGGTTCTATAATGTGGAGTTTTAGGCACTGCATTTAACAGTAAAATGCCCCACTAATATTCTTTATCAGCTCTTAAGCAAGTTTCAAACACGAGATTTAGCAGTTAGGTACCTATAAAACAAAATTTCCCACTATTCCTTCGACAATTATTTAGTTGAAGGACAGTTTCTTCATCGGAAAACACGTTGAAATAAAGCATATAACAATGGTGCTGATAAGGTTTAACCACCAATTATGGTTGATGACACGAACTGATTGAAGAGACTAAACAAAAAGAACCGAAAGAAACCAACAAAATCATCATTAAATATGTAAGGATAACAACAAAAGTAAGGTCAAAACAATTTTGCCCTAACATGAATGATTTTAAAGCTCCGGTCGAGGCTGTAAGAGCGGAGACTACTGATATTAAGTATTAACCACCTCCATCCTGTGCTAAATTGAAAAAAAAAAAGGAGATCACGAGGACGAATAAAGTCAAGGGGAGGGTCGGATTAAGAAATTGAAGCTGGACTTTGATGCCTGGGGTGGGACAGGTAGTGGTTTTAGGAGGGACAAACTAGGGTTAATATATGACTTAAATTGGTGGATTTTGTGAAGACTGAACTCTGATGAGCTCTTTTCAACAGTGTCAGGCTCTCATTATGCTCTGTACCCAACTATTGTATTACCTGACTGTTAAGTTAAATGGAAAAGGGCTGCTTGGAATAGATGAAGATTGCTACATCCTGCAATTCATTTATTAAATGCATTCACCATCACTTAAGGAAAGAAGCTGACTAAATGGAAAATAATGTGCCCACCCGTGATATGGTGGAATCTTCAAGTTAAAGACTTGGATATTTAAACGAATTCTAAATTTTTCTAACAACATATTCCACAGTACTAAAACCTATATGTTACACATCTTCCTCGTGTGGAGAATTCCATTACATCTTCTTTACATGTGACATCTTATTCTGGATTCTCTTTATTCCATTTCTGTTGACTGTTAGTTGTAGTATTTATTTTACAAATAATTTCTCATTATTTTAATCAATTTCACGTGTAAAGTCAAGAATTTAAAATTTAAAATTACTACTGCCGAAAGGAATTTATCTAAATATCACTTTGAACCAAAAATAGAGGCATCTACATAAAAAGAAAAAAGAATAGTTATGAATAAACAAAATTGTGAATGAAATATGTAATAATTAATAGTTATCATAGAGTATAATAGGTCATGGAATAAAGAATAAAAATATATTGTGTGGAGATTTAAAAAGGCCAATGATTCTATTCCATGTACTTGAGCATCGCATATATATGATAATCATTATCTCTGCTTATTAGTTTATTAATTAATTTATTACCTCGAGCACTAATTTAATAATCATATTATCCGCTAGCTCGCCAGCACTAATTCATTCGTTGGGGCTTAGCGATTACGACCTTCTCGGCCCAGACTTTGTAACTACTCAAACGCCTACACTCTACCCAATTTGGGCCGAGAAATATTGGATTGGGCTTCAGCCGTGCGTTTAATTCCTACTGGGCTAGCCAAGAAAAGTCACCAACCACCCTTATTGCACTTTTATGTTTGTTTTTAGTTTATCTTTCGATTTTTCTCCTTTCCAGGGAGCCTGCAAACAGAAGATGCCTATTTGTGGGAGTAGATGATGAAACACACAACACCATTGTTATTCTTAAACCTGTTTTAAAAGATTGTTCATACTCTATTAAGACTTGGGACAATACAAGAAATTTTCAGTGACGTAATTCTTCGAAAAGAATCTAGAAACCTAGGTGATGGATAGAGGCAAGCATCTTTTCAAGGCTACTATCCTGAAGTTGAGAGGCAGAGGACATCTACTATAAATTACTCGACAAGAAAAGCGGTCCTATACTCCTTTTCTTTTCGGCCCACGCATATGGGGCAAACTGCAAATGGATTCTTCATTCTTCTTGCAAATTGGGTTTGCCAATTTTAGCTTCAGCCAGCCATGCAATACTAATTCACTGTTTGACCTAATACCAATTACAAAAACAATAAAAGATAGTAAATGATTTGGTATTGATTTTAAAAGGCAATATCTTATATGCTCCTTGGAAAAAAAATTTAGTAAATGGCAAAAAATAAATAAATAAATAAATTTGCTTGGTGCTGAAAATAATAATAATAAAAAAAAAAGCCCACTAGGCCACGTCACATGAACATTGAACAGAGAGGACGGTGCCTCGGCCTCTGTTTGTAATTATGGTTTATGTGCAATAATAACAAGGACATTTTATAACTAGGATTTATGGCATATTTTTGTACCTGATAATAAATTGTAATTAGTATATGAATAGCTGGCTGGCTATATCAGATATTCAGATCTGTTTTGTTCTTAAAGTTTGGTGCAACTTTCACATGCTGATGATGCTGGTTTTTTCTTGTTTGCCTTTCTTTTACCGTGGTATTTTGTATATATATATATATATATATTAGAGAGAGAATAAGAACATGTTTTAATGTTGAAATTTAAATTCTAAATTCACAATTTAGATTATTGTAAGCTTGCAAAATTAAGCTTAAGATTATCAATAAGAAACTAGTACAAATGTGATAAGAAATTGTTATCAATAAGATTAAGCTTAAACCTTTTTTTTTCTTTAAAAAAAATTTTATTTTGTCGAGCGAGGTGCGCTTCTTGAAAATCAAAATTGTATTTTCACACCACTAAAAGTTGAGGTCGCTTACAACCTCAACTAACATTTTATCAATCTAAAGAGAATTACATAAAATTAGTGCAAGTGTTGGGAAAAATAAAAAAGAAAATCTTTATACCTAGTCCGAAAGTGATTACATAAAATTTAAAAATTTGAGTCCATAAAATTTAACAAATTTTTACTTTAAGAGTAGTTAATGGTAATTTAATTTTTTTTAAAAAAATAATTAATATTCATTTAGTTGAAATAAAGATAAAGCTGAAATAAAATTAGTGTTTTCTTAATTTTTAACCCTTGAATATAAAAAAAAAAAAAAAGTTAACAACTTTCAATTTTTTTTCTTAAAAAAAAGATAAAATATGATTTACTAATGATGCGTTGTAAAGTATTTAAAGAAACAAAATGGTGCGTTGTAAAGTATTTTGGTATTTTGTTACTAATTTGCAATTTTTAAAATCAAATAAAACCCCGAAATCCCTCGCTGAGATTGCGCAGTAAAAAACGATAATCAAAGAGGCAGATAATTATAGGACGATGGTCCACACGCTTTTCTGTATCAAAAAATTAATTACTCCTCAACTTATAAGACTATGGTCCATAGTCCACACGTTCTTACATTTCACTTGAGTCTTTGTATTTAGACTTTTTTCACCATTTGAATAATTTTTTTTTTCTTTTCCGTTACACTTAAAAATTTCCTGAAGATATAAATAGAAAAATTGCTTTGAAAAAAAAAAAAAAAACACAATTGTTATTAGTGCATAATTTTTTTGAAAAAATTATTAATATAAATTAGAAGATATTTACTGGAAATTCAAATATGTGATCAAATTATTTGAAGAAAACAATAGCAGAATTATTTAAAAATTACTTAATCTAAAAAAAATTAGTTTTTGATTCCAAAAAGAAAAAACACAGTATTTCCAAAAAATAAATAAATAAACATGAACATATAACATGTCCATAATTGTTGAACAATATGTATATTAGCATATATCCACTGAAAATTCAAGTATTTAAACAAAATAATAGCTGAATTATTTAAAAGATTATTTAATCTTAAAAATTAAAGTTTGTTTCTGTATTAAAAAACAGAATTTCTAAAAAAACAATAATATATATATTCGAAAAAGCCAGCTAGTTATCTGCTTGATATCAATTTTCCATTGAATCTACCCTCTCACCTTTCTCTTCTCTCTCATTCTCTGCAACATTGGCTTTGCACAGCCAGAGGCTTCCTTTTATCTCTTTATGTAGCTATCTGTGTATTTTCTTTCTACAATCAGATAGGCATCAAAAAGGGCACAACACCAACTGCAAGCAACCAAAAAAAGATCAACCCAAAAGCAAACAAAACCCAAAATAACAACACCCATATAAAGGATAAGAACAATATACTTCTTCCTTTCTTTCATCTTCTTTTCCCCTCATATGCAATACCCATATTCATTCTTCCACATTTACATCTAAATCACTTACAAAGACTTTAACTCTTTTTTTTTTTTTTTCATTTTCTTTTTCCCAATGGACAAACCGTTATACATTAACCGCTTTCGTTACCATTTTTCAATTACCAAACTTGTTTTTTGGACCTGCATTTTCCTCGGACTTATCCTCCTCTTCTTTCTCCACTCTTCTCATTCTCCTTCCCCCTCCGATTCTGGCCACCGCCGGTTTCTCAGTGATCCTGATTGGGCGAATCGGGTAATCAAATCGGGAAAGCCCAGGTCTCGTGCAGGCGGCCTGAGAGTTCTTGTCACAGGAGCGGCTGGATTTGTCGGTACCCATGTCTGCGCGGCATTGCGTCGCCGGGGTGATGGCGTAGTTGGCCTTGACAATTTCAATGCCTATTACGACCCATCATTGAAACAAGCTCGGCGTTCTCTCTTGGAACGCGCTGATGTATTTATTGTGCAAGGAGACATCAATAACCCGACTTTGTTGAAAAAGCTCTTTGAATTGGTTCAATTCACTCATGTAATGCACCTTGCAGCACAGGCTGGGGTCCGTTACGCAATGAAAAACCCAGCATCATACGTTCACAGCAATATCGCTGGGTTTGTAAGTTTACTCGAGGTCTGCAAGTCAGCAAATCCCCAGCCTGCAATTGTTTGGGCGTCTTCCAGTTCCGTCTATGGACTCAATACTAAAGTACCCTTCTCAGAAAAAGATCGAACGGATCGGCCATCCAGTCTATATGCTGCTACCAAGAAGGCTGGTGAGGAAATTGCACACACTTATAATCATATCTATGGTTTATCGATCACTGGTTTGCGGTTTTTCACTGTTTATGGTCCTTGGGGCCGACCGGATATGGCTTATTTCTTTTTTACGAAGGATATATTGAAAAGGAAGCCAATTACGATTTTTGAAGGGCCCGATCGATTCTCGGTGGCAAGAGATTTTACTTATATTGATGATATAGTGAAGGGTTGTTTGGGTGCGTTAGATACTGCAAAGAAGAGTACAGGAAGTGGTGGGGTTAAGAAGGGACCTGCACAATTGAGAGTGTTTAACCTTGGGAATACTTCGCCTGTTCCGGTTAGTAAGCTTGTGAATATATTGGAGAAGCTTTTGAAGGTCAAGGCCAAGAAAGTTGTGCTGCCGATGCCTGCAAACGGTGATGTGTTGTTTACCCATGCGAATATTAGCTTGGCACAGAAGGAGCTTGGGTATAAGCCTACAACAGATTTGCAAACGGGGTTGAAGAAATTTGTGCGGTGGTATCTTGATTACTACACGCGAACAGGGAAGAAAAGTGATGTGTAAATGCAGCTGCTTTTTTTTTTCGTTTATGGATCTGTTCTAGGTTCATATAAATCTATATTTGATTTGATTCTTATGATATCTTACTTTAATTTTCATTTTTCACTTAGCTATTTAGCTATATACTGATATGATGATAGGGTTAATTATTGAACCACTATAAAGGAATTTGGTGGTTGATATGCATGCTTTTGGAGAATCCTTCTCAAACCATAAGCTTCTACTTGGTTTCACTCGTTGTTCATCTCTTCTATTTTCATTAGAATGTCATAGTTTAGGCATTCACTACGATGAACTCAATTGTTATTGTGCTCCTTCAGGATTATAAGTGAACTTCTTATTTTTGGGTTTCATTATTTGTCCGTAACAGTGTTTCATTATCATTGTATACTAACAGGGTGTGTATAGATGATTTTTCTGGTACTTTCTCACCTCTGCATTGATCTTTGATGGTATATGTTTTGATTTTTCACGTTTTGTGAATTGTTTTCTTAGTTGCCTGTCTTATGTTGAAAGAACTATGAGTGCCGTGGTTCGCCAAATGGTAAAATAAGTTATTGGAGGAGGCAATTTAAAGATTGAATGTTAGTTAGCGTCATGTTCAATCGAGCATAAAAGTCCTTTTTTTTTCTCTTACTGTGCTTATACTATGAACATCGATTATCAAATGTCACGAGATATTCTTATAGTTGTTTAATAATTGGTTATATTTTTTAGCTTTTTCCCTTCATGACACATATTGTTCTACTTTCCTGTCCATTCACAATTAACTTCATCGTTTGTTTGAAGAACACTTGCAATGGTCTTTCATCTCTTTTGTTATATACAATCAAACAATTAATGTTTTGTGCGGGAATTGTAGTATCAAATGTAGAAAATGTCGTCAGATGAAAGTATGCTATAGATTTCATTGCTACCCAATTGAACTATTATTAGCAGTTTAATCTTGTTGAAGACACATATGGGATTCACAAATGTGGTCAACATCTGTGTTGGAAGTGGGAGAATTCATTTCAATTGTTTGGTCCAGTGATATAGTAGTGTCATAATTATTATTTTGGGGAACATTCTGAGAGATCAAATGGCAGATTTCTACAGGATATCATAGTATTAAAGATTACTGAGGAATAGAAAAAATAAATTTTTGAGACCTTTAATCAGTTGTGGGTGCCTTTGTGTTGTCTGAATGTTGCAAATATTTTAGAGAGCCATTTCATGATGGTTAGATAAATCTTATAGGCTAAACTTTTGCAATTCAAGTTTTATCCCTCAAAACATGATTCTGCAGTGGTTTTAAGAGTCCTGATATCCTGTATATGAGTTTTTTTCCGTGACTTCTGCTCCATTTCTTTAGAATCATTGCATCTCATCCTATAGCATGAGAGGAAGTTGGAAAAGTTTTAAGGAAAGAAGTGAAGTGTATATGTCCACTATGAAGATTATACACGAACGAGTTATGGGAACAGAGTGCCCTGCATTTGGTGCAAGTTGCTCATTAGAAAAGCGAGCTTCAAAAAATCTCAACATAAGGCATGAAAAATACATTCCCAGCCAATAAACCATAGTGTAATTATGTGAAACTTGGTCACATTTTTCCGTTTGATTGCTTGCATGTGATTTTCCTGCTAGTGCTCTTTGTATTATATCTTATCTCTATAATAGAAAATGATACTACATATGTATCTTAGCTTGACCACTTTTGAGTACTTTTTGAAGTTTTCCTTAATGGGTGATGAAGGTTGGATGCACTGTTAGCAGTCATTTTAGAAACCAAATTCTGTTTCTTATTTCTAGTTTTTCACCCACCAAAAGGACATCTAAACACCTTTTATATGCTCCCTGCGATCTATGCCCTTAGATTTAGCTACATTTCTTTTAATATTAATGTTCTATGATTTTGGTTTTAAAAAATTGAATTTGTATTATTTCCTTCTTTAACCCACCAACATATTCTTTTTCATATGCAAGGACTTTGATTTGCTAGGTATTTGCAGTTCAAATGCTGAATGTCAAATGTATCTTGTTTCTTATAGTTGTGATATGGGAATAGGTCAATCATTTATGGTTGCTACACCAAGGAAGACTTTGGTCCATCTACTCCTGGTATCTGCTATAAGTTTAATTTTGATCAATTTTCTCTTTAAAGTGAGAATTTATGCTGTTGCTTAGCTTGTTGAAATGAAAATCTAGCCACGTTGTTTATTTATAATTACGTGTGTCTGTTATTTATTAATTATGAATGACATGTTAAATTTGTCATCTTATACTTATGTGTGCGAAGAGGTAAAAATTGGCCATGGATGGAGTCCAATATATCCCTTACTTTAGTAATGTGGTTGATAGCAGTCATAATATTCAGGTTGGACTAAACTGGATTCAAGAGCTAATTAATGGCTCATAAAAATATTTGATGATTTATATTAATTAAATAATTATATTTTAAAATGATACCATGGAATGGGACTATAATCCATCATGGATTATTCATATGTTGTTTTAAGCGATATAAAAAATTAACCGGTTCAACTATGGATTAAACGGTTCAATTTGATTTTATTATTCCTTAAATTGTTTTAATGCAAAACCCACTTGAATTTAAGGCCAGTTCATCTATTCTCCAAATTGACTTGTCAGGTGAGACCGATTTTAATAACTAGGGTTTTAAGTTTCAATCCTACAAAACAAAGGTCAAAAGAAAAAGAGCAAGAAAAACCAGAAGTTATTTTGGGCTGAATGTTAGCATCCAATACAAATTGGTGGCCCATTATTTCTTAACAAAAACAAAAGCCCATGAAAAATCAATCTGGCTCGGTCCACTACTGAAAATCTCACAAGAACCCTAACCCTAATATTTGCTCACATATATAATATCTCTTAACACTATATCGGAACTTACAGATTTGAGAAGAGAGGTAGCAGGAAGCAGCCACATCAAGCACAGCTCGACTCCCCTCTCTCATCTCTCTCAGGTTTATCTCATCTCCTCTTTCGTGTATTAATTCCCGCCTTTTTCATTAATTGATGATCCTCAGTTGATTGATTTTTTCTTTTGTAATTCATATAATGGCTGTGAATGTTACGCTTTTTGCTGCTTGCTTATTTTCTGCTCTATGAATCTCTCTTTTCTTTTTGCTTTGAGGGAATGATTCTAACTAGATCTTTGTTGTGGTCTTTTTCTTTTCTCGCTTCTTAACATCAGTCGATCATGTTCTGTTCATTGAGTTGTTGTCTTCTTCTGGCTATTTTTACTGGTATTGATGATAATTTTCATTCAAAAGGAAAGCGAAAGAGAAAATGGCAGCAGCGTATGGAGCAATGAAGCCGGCCAAGGCTGGGTTGGAGGAACCCCAGGAGCAGATTCACAAGATCAGAATCACTCTGTCCTCAAAGAATGTCAAAAACCTCGAAAAAGGTTTATTCTTTTCTAACTGTTTTATCATTCAACTATTGTTATACTTTGAGCTATAGCTATACATGAAACTCATTTTAGTTGCCTCTATGAATTTAGTTTTTGCCTAATTTGTTCTGAATATCGCTGTAAGCGTTGTGATTATATAGTTATTTTTTCACTCTCTTAATCTTAAATAGCTGGCTTATTAATTGTATTACCTCTGCTTTGTTTTATAGTCTGTGCGGATTTGGTTCGTGGTGCCAAAGACAAGCGATTGAGGGTGAAGGGACCTGTTAGAATGCCTACCAAGGTTCTTCACATCACTACCAGAAAATCCCCATGTGGCGAAGGTATATACCTAATCAACTAATTACTAGTGTTTGGATTTCAATTAACCGTTGTATATTCTACAAGTTTCAATAATTTTTGTTGGCTTTGTGTTCATTTCTACTAGCATCTATATTCTTAGTGCTTCTATGACTTGTTGCACTAGATAAAGAAAATGTCTTTGACTGGGATATGAAAAAATCAGAAGAGGCTAGAAATACTGCGGTGTTCCTGTTATTGGGTATTCTTCTAGTATTTAATGTTACGGAATATCACATACATTTTTTTTGGATTTCTTTCGATGTGCTACTGTGATGGTTGCATGAGTATTGAAAGGACATTGAATTCTTATGTTCATTTGCTATTGGGATGGAATTTGAAGTCAATGTGCTCAAGAATGCTTGCCTTGCTGCAGTCTCCTACATCGGCTCCTTGTCACTATATGATGTATTTCTTGCTTTTAGAATTGTGCTTGATCTTGATATATTCAGTAATTTTTTTTGACTTGTTCAATTGATTATTTTGTTGATTTGATCACTGGATTTCCCTCTTGTGCTGCATCATAGGAATCTTACACGTTGGATAACTGGAATTTGCATCATCATTTGTCCCATTGTTTCATAGTAGTCCCTTGCTTATCATTAAACCATTGGTTATCTGTCTGGTTATTTGGGTTTTACTTTGTTAATCTTTCACATGAATTTTACTGGCTGTGATGTAATTCTAAAGATTAGTTTGCTCCTGCATAAATATCTATGAATGTTTTGTTTTGTTTGCAGGAACCAACACATGGGACAGATTTGAGCTCCGTGTCCACAAGCGTGTTATTGACCTGTTCAGTTCACCTGAGGTGGTCAAACAAATCACTTCCATTACAATTGAACCTGGTGTTGAGGTGGAAGTTACAATTGCAGATTCATAGATTTTCTATGTTTGTGCTTCATTTTTGGCTTTAGATGTTTTACTAGTGCTTTAGAAAACGTTAATTTTCTCCAGTTGATGGACCGAGTTGATGTTTGGTTGAAAATTGTTCCTTGTTATATCCCTATAAATTCTCAGTTGATATTGTTTTATGCCTGTTTTATGATAGGAGGCTGATGGTTAAGAAATTTTGTTTATTTGATTGCTCTTATATTTGAGATTTAAACTGTGCATGGCCTGTTGATCTACTTGTATTATGACAGTTTTAGTGAACGGCTTTCAAGTGTTATACAATGCTGATCAACCCATTTGGGTCCGCTTGTGGTCGCGGATTCACGGCTTGTTTTTATTTTTTTTGACTCGTCAAGATAAGTCTAGGTTCGTATTGACATTTTAAAATTTTATTATAATAAAAAGATACGCTTGAGGTTTTTAAAAAGATTTTAGTTTGTTTCACGAGTCATGTTGATAGCAAAGAGAAATTTCAATTTGCTAGTAATTGTGTAAGAATGATCTTATTCTTAATGTATTATATTGTTTTGCATCTTACCTTAAAGGTGCATGATAAATATCTCATGTAGTTATTAATTATTTTAATTTTTCTTATTTGTTTAATTTATAAAGAATAAGTTGTGTAAAATAAATTTCGTTTAAAAATATAATTTTATTGGTATTTAACATGCAAACAACTATAAGCATATTTAAAAGATACAAGAAACAGTAGAATCACGTTATTACGAAGGCAAAACGATTCAACGGTGGAAAATATTTTTGCCGTATAAACAAGATAATTAGCACTATTGCTCAACAGTAGACAATCTCGCGGTTGGGACGCACACAAGCGGGTTCCATTTTAACAAGACCAAACTTGTCATTGAAATCAAGCTTGGTCCCCTCCTGCAATTTCCACTCAAAAGAATGCAAGAGGGAAGCTAATGCCATCATGTATAATAATCTTTTCTGCCAAAGGAATTCCAGCGGCAGATCCTCCTTCCAGACCCAAATGAAGATAATTGAAATCATTTCCCTGATAATCGCCTTTTCTGGCAGCAACATTTAATATGGGCAAAACCTTTCCAGACACTTTCCTTCACCACTTCGCGAACTTTGTCTCCGAAAACTGTAGCAAGCTTCGAGACCTTATGTTGCTCATCATTTCGCGAACAAGAACCTAGCGCAGCATTCTTTGTAATTACGCCTCCTGGCTGTGTCCAGGCCACCGTATGTGGAAGCTAGTGCAGCCATGGGTGGATCACGGTTAACAAAGATTGCATCTTTGATCCTTGAACAGCCGTTTGGCTAAAGAAGTGAGCTTATACTTACACAGGTCAGGCCTATTGTGCACTGTGCATGCGTAGTATAAAATGCAAGCAATCAATTAAAAAAATTAATGGCGGTTGGTCAAGGATTTATATCAATAATTCGTTTAATAGTAACATTACCAATGCTACCAATTTCATGCAGTACCCACAAATAATTGAACAGAAAGATGCACGTCAAATTTTTTATCAATGTTGATAATAATTAAATCTGATTAACCAGTACATGTTTACTTCTGCATTAAGAGTCTCAACAAGACACGCACAAATTGTTAGAAGACACTACAAAACAACATTGCAGTTCTGAAACCTATCCGATATTTAGAGACAGAACAAAATTTTACACAGTAAGAAATGTCTAGCAGTTGAAGAATTATTAGAAACCCCAGCAATGCAAGTTCACTGATGGCCACCGTCACTTCCATGCTCCATCTCTTCTGGATCTTCAAACCGTTGATCATTGATTTGAAGCTGCAAATACCAATGATGCTATTAAGCCATTCTAAGGCAAATACATCTCGGTTTCAGGAAAATAAAAAGTATACACTCGAGTTAATTTCAAGTATGATTTTGTGGATAAATGAGTAAGCACACAAGCACAATATCATCCCTAAAATGCCACATGTATTTTACACAAGCACACACAACAGGAATAGTAATTAGACATATTTGATATTTGACTGGGAACTCAACAATTTCTATTTCTATAAAATTTTAAATGCTGAAGGGGGAAGAAAAGAGGAAGCAGAGAAAATGCAACACAGCATGACACAACCACATAACGTGTCCCATTCCATCAGCATAAGACATAAAAAAAAATATGATAGGTACATGAAGAATAGAAATGGACCATCATCATCGGCCATACCTCAAGCACTCTACGAGCTACATCATGATCCCCATTTGAATGACCAATTGAGCTTGTTGGATTTTGAGAGAAATAACATTCTGAATCTTCCAACTCTGAAATACCGGTGTGTTGTAAAATAAACTCATAATATGTGAAATATAATGCACATGTTTTATAGGGTTGCCATAAGTTAATAGGTCCAACTCATACCTGCAGTGTCATCTACCATCTGATCAGCACTAAAAACCCAATTGTGCCCCTCTTCTTCAGCCTCTAGTAGACAGAAATAAGATAGTATCAATTAAAGAGCAAACAATCAATACAAAATATTGGACCAGAAATAATCCACAAAATCTATTGCACCCACCATCAACTGGTTCAGGATTTAACTCGGCACATTCACAGAATATCTGAAACAGAGTATCCACTGTGACCCAAAGAGATGGAAAAAAGAGTTAAATATCAAGAAAGTGCAAAATAGGACATGAGAAGAATAAAACGAGCAGCCTGCCACTAAGAGAAGAACGCATACATACACTGGCTGGGATCTGATGGAACAAGCCGCATCTCTGTGATTTTTGATAGGTCCAAGATCTCACTGCTTTCTGAATCTGAACCATCCGACTCATTTTCACCATCTTCTGTCTCAATCTTCAACCAAAAGAATGTTAATCAGAACCACAACATGCAAAAGAGGAAGAAAATAACAAAAAAACCATAGAACTTTTGAACAAAAGAATTACTCGGGCACAAGTATTTTACTGAAACAGAAAAGTGAAAGGCAAGTCTAACTGTCTTCATTATGAACCTTCTGTACAGAATCTAAGGAACGCAAACCAAAATTCTCGATAGCATTTGAGAACAAACACCCGATATACATGCAAACAGAAGGTTGATTGGAGAATTACAACACAGTCTATAATACATCTTCTAAAGACTCTGAAAACAATCAAATGAAAAGAATCGAAGAAAAACCTGAGTATAAATGCAAGGAGACGAGTAAGCCTCAGGATCCCTTGAAACTGCGTGCAGCGACAGATTCAAGAAATCAACAGAATATCCTTTTGCCCTATCCACATCACTCAACCATACCACTTTCCTGAAGATAATCACCAACATAACATTTATAAAACAAGAGAGAGGAAAATTGATAATCATAAAGCTAAAATAAATAAATAAATAAATATAAGTTTACTTGGTGGAGATATAGAGAGTGCCATGAGACTCCGGCGAACGATTGCCTATGACGATGGCAACCCCAGGCTGGACGTGCATCAGCTCCTCGCCATTGTCGGTATCGAGAACGGGTTCTCCAGCACCGTCTCCTCTTCTGTCGGTGAATTGTCTGAGCCCAAGTACCATATTCGTCTGCAATTTGCCACTGTTCTTAATTTCTTCCGTGTTGAAGAGCTTTTGGTATTTCTAGGGTTTTTTAGGGGGTTTTGGGTTGGAGCTTTTGTTTTAGGGCTAGTTTTGGAATTTTTTTTATTTTCTTTTCTTTTTTCCTTTGTCATCAGTAATGTGCTAATATATAATTTTGCACTAAACAGTGACTTGAATTACAATTTCATTACAGATTACAGATTACATCATAATTTCATTCATAGGACACAATATTACTGGAAATAGAGAGATCAACTGGGGGAAGCCCATCAAGACTAAAAATTTATGTACTTATCCCTTTTTTTTTTATCTGGAAAAACCAAAAATTGGTTACTTTGATGTGGCAACACCATTTTTATGTACTAATGTGTTTCCTGATGAGTATACTAAGAGATTTGGGCGATATTGTTTTAACAAGTTATATGCATTTTCGAAGTTGGAAATTCAAAAAAGCAGACACGAGAAAGATTATAACGCTACAAATATTTGCAAGAAATAGAGAAATGCACCAAATTTTGATGGTTGTATTCATGGCAAGACAAACATATTGTTAGACAAGGCAGAGAATCTCATCGTTTAATATCGAAAAAAATGAAGTGTCCCTCTACATAGAAATTGCGAGGCATAAAAGTAACTTCTTCAAAACTTAACCTTGCGTCATAGAACATCGAATTGCGAAGCATTTATAATATCGTTTGTTTCAACCAAAAGTTGCAAATTTTAACGACGGTTAAGGTATTACATTTTCCAAGGGCTGAAGCCAGATGATAATATCAGGTTTTACATTTAGAGTAAAACTGCAAATTAGTTTGAGGCATCCTAACCATATATGAACCGTAGTTAAATGCGTATTCCAAGCCTACCGTAATAGGGATGTTTTCACAGCCCATTTCAGAAGATCAAATGAAAACTAATTGCAAACCTTATAGAGCAAAGTTAAAGAAAATACAGAAAATATCAAAACAAGGCAAAACATTTAGTTGACAAATAAGTACTTGGCTCCACTCTCAAATTAACATAATAAAATATTCTAAAACTTATCAACCATGATAAGATCTCAAAAGAGTACAACATCTACTCTGGATATCCCAAAACTTTGCTGCACAAAGTACTCCTAGCCTAGGCCACAAGTGTGCTAGCAGTGGTTGACTCGCTGCAAGAAAACATGTTTTCAGTTAGTTAAAAAAGAAAAGATTCAGTTAAAATGCAAAATGCCAGTAAGCAAGTATTATGACACGAGTAAATGCCAGGCTGATGAAGGTGGATGGCTCAATGAAGAATAGTGAAAGATTGGAAGGTAGAAACAAATTGAAAGATCTTCAAGAACAAGAAAAATGTCAATCTATCAACTCTACCAAACTAGGAAAGCACAAAAATTTGTTACTCTAGTCATCCCAGCAAGCAGCAGAAAAAAAAATTCCTAAGAAAACTTTTGTTCATGTTACAAGAAGTCCCAAGTAATGTACAAGTTGCCGAAGTAGGACTTAGCAATTTTGAACACAACACAAGTGATTTTGCTTAAACTTATGAACTGAAGCAAGAGTTTCAAATTCATAATTATGCCAAGCTTTTTCAGAATAGATGCTGAATCATATACAAGCCATAAATTAAATTCAGGTATCAAAATGAGTATCAAAGGAGCTTTGTAAACCAAATTCATAAAGGCAGACAGATATTAACAATTTTCATAATGAAACATAGAGATCAAGATCATTTGACATTAACTAAAATGAAACAAAAGCCTGGAATATCTTTTTCAAAAAGAGTTACAAGTCACAAAAAAAGCAGACAGACTTACTATTTCCAAACAGGAGGTAGCTTCTTCGTTTTCTTGTAGTATCGAGCAAGCCTGTGAATCCGGCTCTCTACAAGGATCAACCTGAACTTGGAATCCTTATCTTTTCTGTTCCTCTCCAAATGCTTCCTAATTGCAACAGCCTTCTTGATGAGATGATACAAATCCTCAGGAATTTCAGGGGCAAGACCTAACCAAACAAATACCAGCGATAAAATCAACAAAAGAATATGAAATTGTCGAAGCGAAGCAAAACTCTGAGCATTTTGCTATAGCCCGAATGAGAGAATTAAAAATAATAAAAGTCAGAAATAAACAGAATAAGAGACTTGTTATACATTGAATTCAGTTTATTCATGCCAAAGACTTCAATTTATATAAGAAATTCATTGTCTAGCACATAGTTTAGTTATCCTCGCCAGCAATTAAACACTTACTACTAAAAAGTTCATGCATGTGCCCTAAACACACAAACATGGAGAATAATATCAACTAAATTCCTACTACATTTTCCAGGCAAAACAGAAGTATATTTATTTAGGCAAATGGATTATATAAACAAAAAGAGTAACGAAAAGAATCTTACCATGAGCCTTAAGGATGCGCAAAATCTTGTTTCCAGTGACACTCCTCACCTGAGCAATACCATGAGAATCACGAAGAATGACACCAATCTGAGAAGGAGTAAGCCCCTTCTTCGCAAATTTGCAAATGTTATCCTCAACCTGAAAACAGTTCAGATTATTCCTTCTTCGCAATCTAGTTTGAAATCCTAAAGTACAAAATGTATTTGAAAAAATGTCGTCCAGCATGACCTAAAATAAAACTATAACGTGCCCGAACATGGTAATAATTTCATCATTTCAATGCTAATATCGAATTAAAATCAAATATCCAGACCATATTTCCTTCCATTAATTCTATCATGCTAAGCACATAAGAGAGTAACTGATCCAACGAGAGTGAAAGTTTAAAGAGTTGTAGAACTCACATCCTGAGCAGAGATCTTGAGCCAGCTTGGGGGAGTCCTCTTGTAAGGCAGAGCCGAAGCAGAAATACCCTTACTACAGGCAATGCAAAATACAGATTAAATGTGCATATACACACAAGGAGGAAAAACGAGAAAGACAGAAAGTGTAGGTACCCGCGACTGTGCATACGACCCATGTTGACGGCGATGAAGGTTGAGCAGTCCCTCTAACTCAGCTTCCTCTGCAACGAGCCGCAAACCCTAGATTTCCTATCGGGGGCATTTCCAGGGTTTAATATACATGCCAAATGCCAAAACGGGCCTGGTCGAAACAATATTAAGGTTAAGCATGGGCTTCAATGGTGGCCGAATTTTCGTTCGGTTTCCTATATTGTAGGCAACCCATCCATGCGAGCCCAAACCGATAAAACGGAAATTACAATTAAGGTCCAAGCCCACCATGTTTTTACACTAATTGTTTGAATGTAATTTTTATACATTAATATGTTTTGCCAATCTCCCTCTCCAACATTTTAATTTGTAATTCTAATCTCTTATCCTTATGGATTGGTATTTAATTATTCATTAGGAAAAAAATAAAATAATAATAATTTTTTAATTGATTTGATGTATAGATAGTCTCCGAAATCAAGTGAACGCAAATCTTATCCTATGCTGCGACATTCATAAGGGAAAAGTCATTCTTCAAATGCTGTCTAAAGGACTTGAAACGAATCTAAAAAATATGGGCCGTTGTAACATTTGCACATTGATGGCATGGCAAAGTTGCTCTCCTTCATCTTTTCCTTGCCGGGTTCGTCATCGTTCAGCATTTATTAGCCAACCAGCTAAGCTAGCTAACTGTTTGGACCCTTTTCAGAAAGCAAAGATGTTCTACCATTTATTGATGCTTTGGTTTGCACTGCAGATTTGCTAATTTAGTAATTTAAGAAAATTTTTAACTAGTATTAATAATTGTGAGGGGTACGCATGAGCTGTGTGACATTGATTTGCATCATTCTATTAGTAATGGTCCCACAGTCAAAATGAGTGATGAACTGTGAAACCTACTGTAATTTAATAGTAACAAAGTCTTTATATATGCGTGGGTGTGTTGAAGATGCGCCTTTTCCACTTCGCAGATACAAAAATGTTCAAAGTGCTTTTTAAAAGGCAATTGTTCAATTACAAGGTTCAACAAGCATAATAAAATATAAATGTCGCTGTTAAAAACTTTACAGGGAAGGAATAAAAAATTCCTTGCTATAAACATGAGTTAACTGCAAGCAGTCCTCTTTTATGATAATATGAGTGGGGCAATCTGCAAAGGAGTGGGCTCAATCCAATTTTTGTGCATGGCTGGACCTTAACGATCCATCCTAACTTTATGCTTCTCCAACTCCAATTTGCTTTTCCAATCTCTCATTGGAATTTTTTTTTTTCCCACTTTTCAGCCACCTTCATTCCATGTTGACGCACTGTGCCCTCAAAGCGATAGCACAAGTGTGAAAAAAAGCTCCGACCGACATGGATAGGATATCATAATTCCGTCTTACGAGTTGACACCAACATAGTGATTTTGGTCTGAAAATTTTTTTCAAATTAAGATTTCGGTTAGGCATAGACATAATAATTTTGATGTGAACAATTTTTCAATTAAAAACATAGAAAATACAATAGCCAATCAGGTGTAATTTGCTCATTTCTATGAAAAATGAGACGTCTCCAATGTTTCGTGAATCAAGACGAAATTTATTCTGCTCGGTTTCCCTTCATGTTAAATTAATAACGAATGAAAAATAAAAATAGAAAATATAATACTGGTTTGAATTATGGTATATATGGACCCCTTCTCATTTGTCACAGTGTCGTCTGGGTTTATGACATTATAATGTCTTGTTCACAAAGATACACTCTGACCACGAGATTTGTTGAATTATTCTATTTTGAAATTTTTATGTTGATTTGTCACCGACAAAGATAAGAAGTTCAGCTATGAACAGACTGACCTTATTGTATTCTTGTACAAGGCAAACCTGAACTGTTGTTGAAAATTACGTAGTCCCCGTTTGAGAACACAAATTTTGCAAAATTTAGCCAATTGTTTGAAGTGAAAATAATTTAGTAAAAAGAGATGAAATGATGTCAACAGTGATTATTTTGTGAGAACTTGATTCATGTAATAAAATACATTTTTTAAAATTCAATATATTTGAATTTAAGTTAAAAACATATTTTATAAATAATAACTAAAGACAAAATAATGTATTTAAGTTAAAATACTTTTTTTTTTTTTTTTTTAAAATAATTTTTTAAAATTCAAATATATTTGAAATTTAAGTTAAAAACATATTTATAAAATAATAACTAAAGACAAAATATGTATTTAAGTTAAAATACTTTTTTTTTTTTTTTTTTTTTTTTTTTGGAGGAAAAACCAAAGGGAGCCTTTAGACACGTTATGGCTATATATGTAGACACTATGCACAAAATGAAGCTGAAAATCACTTTTGGCGTTTTCTAAATAATAAGAAGAGACAGCCTCAAACACAATGCCACTTCTAAAACTGTTGGTATAACACAAATACAAATACATAGGAACATGGATTTACTCGATCGCGCCTAAAAAGCAACAAATTTTAATATTATATGAATAAATAAAACCTTTTTGTGGGTTAATGTGATAATTTGATTAGTTAATCAAGTCGAACAAATTAAAAAGAAAAAGAAAAAAAAAAAAAAAAAAAAAAAAAAAAGCTGCACTGTGCCGCCCTAGATATTCTAGCACATAGAATGCTAGAAAACTCAAAACTTACCCAACCCATCAACAGTCACTTAAACTGATCAGATATACCCAAGTTATAGTTGGATTCTTATTTTCAGTAATAAAGACTTTTGTTTTTAAAATTACATTATTTAATTTCTATATTATAAATCATGATATATTATAAAGTCTAACAGTTAGACTTTCCATTAAATGATTGTGATATATCAAAAATATTTCGGTATTCTTTGTTCTTGTTGAGTTCATAGTCCATTGTTAGAGTTGAAGTGATCGTAAAGACAACCACTCATTATTGGCGATACCCTAAAGAGAATTCGCTTATAACGGTTCGATAAATCGGTCTAATCTTAAGAATAATTATTATATAGGAATTAAATAGTATAAAATTATAAAAATTGAGGTCCTCTTTAATGCATTTCACTGATCAATAACAATTGCATAGTTCACATCGAGTATTTTTGCATTTCACAGTGATTTAGCAAAAAAACTAGTTATTAGATGATATAATGGAATCATAATATTAGGACTACGTAGTATAATTTTGAAAACAGAAATTCTTATTATTATATTTGATTAAAATCTAGCTACATAGTAATTACCCTTAATTTATGCAATGTTAATGTTGGATTCCTTAAAAAAAAAAAAAAAAAAACCATTTGGTTAATGTTTTTGGAATTCCTTAAAAAAAAAAGAAAAAAAAAAAACCAGTTTGAGAAGATTACATTACTTACTAAAAAAAAAAAAAAAAAAACCATTTGAGAAGACATTATTACCAACTCAAAAGCGAAAATACTCTCATATTTAAATAGTATGAAGATGCTGATGGTAATTTGAAAAAAAAAAAACTTTATCAAGAAGAAGGGCGTTATCTGAATAGAGAAATCCATCAGGAAGGAAATATAACCATATAAAATTACAAAAGGACAAGCTTCTTAGCCAAATTGAATTCATTGGTTTATAAAATTATAGCATGAAATGCATTGAATTAAGTTTCACGTGACAATAATAACATCTACTATCTTTTTTTTTTTTCCAACAAAAAAATTAGTAAGAATTGCTATTCTGAAGAAGATGATAAAAAAAAGGTGAGAGTGGTCCAAAATCCAAATATCACATTTGCATAGTACTGTAGCTGTCAAAAAATTACAAACAAGGGACAAGTTAAATACTATCAGGGCTACGGGTAGTCTCAAACAAAACAGGTAAAGCCAGCGACCACCAAGCGCTTTTTCCTGGAAGTACCGATAAACCATTGCTATTGTAACCTTTGGTTGGTGCCAATATGAATTTATTCCCTTGCTTGGTTATTTTCCAAACCCAACTTGGTGAGGTGCATGGTCCAACTTTCATTGGGAAAGACTTTTTTTTTTTTCTTCGTTTTTATTTTTAGTTTTTAAAAGCAGAAGAAAAGTGATTTTGTCAACAGGCTTTTTTGTAATCTGATATGGTACGTGGCTTTTCACAGGGTAATAATATCAAAACTGCCAATGGGTTTCTTTTATTCTTTGTTGTGGAAAGCGTGGAATCAATTCTATTCCTTTTTGTTTTCCTATTTTGTCCTTTTAACATGATCAGTCCCGCGTTCATTTTTTCTCCGTTCACATTGATTTTCATTAAGGAGTGTTTTGGTATTATTTTTGTTTTTAATTTTTAGTTTTATTTCTTTAAATTGTAAATTTATTTTTTGAAAATTATGCTGAAAATTTTTCGTAGTTAAACTATTAAACTATTAATATTTAGCTAAATTTTAATAAAATATTAATCAAATAAAGTGTTACATGCCCATCAATTAACGATGGAGGCAAATAACCGTTAATTGACCGTAGTTAGTTAGTTAGACTAACAATAGTAAATATGATGACAATAATGTTAATGATTGCGATACACAGTAATGATACCTCATATATTTTATAAATATGAAGCTAAATAACACTGGTAGTTTCTTTCATTCGATTTTCCAATATGTTTTTTATCATTGGTGATGATATTACAGCTACGTTTCAATAGGGAACAGTGGAGAAAATAAAATAATTAAAAAATAATAAAATTCCGCTTATTTCCGTAAAATAATTTGAAAAAAATATTTTTTATAATTTTTTATTACTTTGAACGATCAGAAAAATAAGTCAACAGAAAATATTTTTCTAATCAAAGGAAAATTAAGTCATTTTTTAAGGAAAATAACTTTCCATTTTCGAGAGAGTAAAATATATTTTTCTAATCAAAAGGAAAATTAAGTCATTTTTTTGAAGGCATAAGTCAACAGAAAATATTTTTCTAATCAAAGGAAAATTAAGTCATTTTTTAAGGAAAATAACTTTCCATTTTCGAGAGAGTAAAATATTTTTCGGATATTGTCAAACTTTATAAATCCATATTTTTAATTTATTAATCATCATAATTATTACACCAGTCACCATTTACCACCGGCCATTGGTGGCTACCACTCCTGTCCACCGACGGCTTCATAATTTATATATATATATATTTTTTTTTGCATTCTTTTCACATTAAACAATAATACTTTAAACTAATTTTTTCATTATTACAACTAAACAACGAAAATAAGTTATTTGAAAAATATTTTTGAAGGAAAATATTTTTCAGCAAATTATTTTCCTGCAAGTTATTTTACGGAAATAAATGATGCCTAAAACAATGATAATTTTCCTTATGTAAAAAGAAGAAGACAAATATATAAAGAGTGAAAAAATAATTATTATTTTTCTTCTAAACTTTTCTTTCTAAATTAAAAAAAATTATAATAATTTTCTCATTCCTCCTATATTGAAAACATGAAATAGAAAAACTCGCCTTCTATTTTATGTGACTGATTTTTGTGCTTAATAAATAAATTTAAGAACCTTAATACCAATTAGAGAAGAGGCTAAGCGTTAGAGGACACTGAGGTTCGAACCTTAGCTGAACAAATTTTTAGATACGTTCAATCATTATGCTCCTTTCTATTTTTTTTTTATAATATTTTCTTAATAAATTTTTAAAGTAATTTGTTCTTTTCCTTTATAATCCTAACTTTGCCCGTAATAACAAGCCGTTCAATAATAGCAAAAGAAACCGTTTCTTTTTATTTTGTTTTTGGATATTTTTAAAATTATAACATAATACTGCAATCATGAATGAACAGTAGAGTCATTAATGGTCACTGCCCCTCTAAAATTTAAAAATTTAATTACTAGAACATTAGATGTGATTTATGGGCCCATTTACTTAGCCTCTGCAATTACAAAATATTATAAAGTATATTTTCTGTTCCTCTAAATTTAAATTTTTGCGTAGGGTTGACGGTAGCATATGTTAAATTTTTACATAATAAATTCAAAATATTTATTTATATATGAAAGTAAAAACGATAAATATGTAGCTGGGAACCAGAAAGTAGAGGGGCTGGGGCTTCGAGGACAGGGACAGCAGCATGGGACGAAGCGGTGTCAGAACTCTGACATACCACAAGGTGAGATGCACGGAACACAACAGAACCGATATTTTGCCATTAACAGCTCATAAAGAGCAACCCAGGTGGTTTGAATTTCTTATGAGTTTTGATCACATGCGCTATTGTCCATTGAAGATGCGTACACCTGGAGCATCCATTGGTCACGTTTAAAATGCTTTCTATTTAAAGGAATTAATTATTTAATACGGTTTTTTTTTCTAGAGCTTACGGTGAGTTTAAGCACACATGATTCTTCCTTTTTTTGAATTTGAACTTGTCTGCAATAGAATGCTAGTGCGATGTGCCTCATTAGCACTGTGTCTTGCCACCTATGAGTTACCACGTGGCGTAGTTACTGTTATCACTTTAGGCCTTACTTACTTATATGACAGATGAACCTGAACCGTAGATTTTTCCATTTCAACTCAGGTCAAAAGTTTTCGGGTTATTCTGAGCCCACATGCCAGCACAACTGGATTAATAGAATCCAAGAGAAAAAATAGTAAGTAATTATTGGGACTTTATTATTTTTTTTACGAACTTATGGATTGATGAATTTGATAATTATGCAATTTGTCAGAACGTATGAATCGTGGTTTTCTGATTATATGTATTTGTATAATTTTCTGTATTACTAGTATAAATATTAAATCCATGAATTTGAATAATATTTTTATAAATAAGCAAACTAAAATATAAATAAAGTTTACTTTTTCCGGTTCCACTGCGAATAATTTTCAAGGCTAATTCTTTTATTTTGCTGCAAGTCTCATTTTAAAATATCAATTAAGTATTAATTATTTTTTGATTTATTATTATCTTTTAGTATATCCACTAAATACAAATTAATTATTTAGATAATTGATAGAAAATTAATTACAATAAAATTGAGATTTTTCAATCTTTTCTTAATTAGTGTGTAAAAATTAAAAAAACACTTGTACCGAAGCAGTCCATTTGTATGACATAAATCTTATAGTTGGTGAAAAAAAGGGGGAAAAAAAAGACAACCAGAAAATTGAAAAGAATTGTGTAAAAGGTGAATTAAAATGGGAGAAGGAGAAAGGCAGACAACTGAATTTTTTTGTTCAATGTCTTGATTGTTTCCATGCAAAGTGTTCAAAAAAAAAAAAAAAAAGACACTAATTTTTTTTTGTTCAAAGTGTCTTGATTTGTTTCCATGCAAAGTGTTCAAAAACATAAAAAACAAAGTTCATTTTGATATGAAAAGGCAATAGATTTAAACAAGTATAAAATCTGCCTTTATTTTAAAAAAATTTTCTGATATGAATAACAGGTTTGCGCCTTATTATAAAGTTTTTAATTGATTTACTTAAATTTAACTAGAAATCGAACTTATTCTTTACAAAAAAAAAAAAAAAAAAGTTCATTTTGATATGAAAGGCAATAGATTTAAACAATATAAAATCTACCTTATTTTAAAAAAATTTTCTGATATGAAAAAGGTTGGCGCCTTATTAAAATTTTTAATTGATTACTTAAATTTACTAGAAATCGAACTATTCTTAACAACAGAAACCTGAGCTATTTTTATAAATTTTGCAAATATATAAACAAAATATTTTTTTTCTATACTATCTTTCTCTTGATCCATATTTTTTAATATACTCTTAATTTCTTTTCCCACGCCTGATAATCATTTTTATTAATAATCATTGTAACTTCGCAATTGATAAGTAGCATCATTCAAACTTAAACCTATCATACTAAAAGTAAATAAATAAACTATAATTATAATTATAATAACTTGAAAATGAGAGAAAAGAATAGCATTAATAATCATTTTCCTTCCTTGAAGAAAAAAATAAAAAATAATATTTTTCTTATGAAATATATTAATAAAAAACTAATTTTTTATTCAAATTAGAGTACTTTTATTTATTTTTTTTATTTTGCAAATGATCCCTTGCTGTAACGGTAGAGATACCTAAGTTTAATTATTGACATTGTAACAATTAATTTCAATTTGCATGCTTATGGGTTCTGAACAGTTGCAACTGTCGGAGATAATGCAATCGTTTTATATAGCATCCAATTGAAAAAAAAAATTGAAAAAAATAAAATAAAAATAATTTTTGAAGAATTTTTATTTTCATTGATTGGAGATTGTATAGTCGGTTTAGTAAAGTATAATCCTAGTTTTCTATTCTAACAGTAAGAAAGGAAGACCTAACCTCATCAATAAGCAGTCAAATCGAAGTTTCTACTTCCTCTACCAACTGAGCAGAAACATAACCATGTAACCGAGACTCTTCAACACCCCATACTCATCCAACCAAAGTCAACTAATCGCACGGCTCAAAATAAAAATATTCATGTTATCTTTTACTTTTTCATTTTTCTTTTAGTTGGCACTAAAAATAAAAAAAAAATCGTATCTTTTGCTTTTCATTTTTCTTTTAGTTTTCCCATTTCGTGCATCTTTTCCACTAAATTGAGTATGGATGCCACTGCCAAACTTGTCTCTTCTCTGTTATCTTCTTCTCTTTGCACATTAGACGGAGACAGAGTACTTACTTGTTAGTAGTGAGACTAGAGAGAGAGAGGTAAGACCCGGACAGAGGAGTAGAGGACAAACGGTCCAAATAAAGAAGAAAACCTGTGACAACAGGAAAATCTGGAGAGAGGGAGAGAGGAGCTAAAACCAGGGCTGCTTGTTTGCAAAAAAGAGAGCTCATCCTCTATTATTTGGAGCTGAAATCGGAAATGACTCTTGCTGTTATTCTCTTCACTTTCTTTGTTTTCATTTCAAAGGAAACTGGGGTCCGTGCAAACTCTGAGCTAATAGCACTCATGGACATGAAAGCAGCCTTGGACCCAGAGGACAAATACATCTCTTCATGGACTATTAATGGAGACCCTTGTGGTGGTTCATTTGAGGGTGTAGCCTGCAATGAGAAGGGTCAAGTTGCTAATATTTCCTTGCAGGGAAAGGGGCTCCATGGGAAGCTATCTTCTAGTGTTGCTGGGTTAAAGAACTTGACAGGTCTGTACTTACATTATAACTCTCTGTACGGGGAGATACCAAGGGAAATAGCTAACTTGACAGAGCTGAGTGACTTGTATTTGAATGTGAATAATTTCTCCGGCGAGATACCTCCCGAGATCGGGAACATGGGGAATTTGCAAGGTAAGTTGCTTGCTTCCTAGCTTTTTTTCCCCTTCTTTCTTTCTTTCTTTTAGAGGAAACAAAACTTGAGCTTTGTTATATTAAGTATATTTATCGTTAAATGCCTTTGTTTACATGTGTGATGCTTGATTCTGTCTCTTTCTTAGATATGGATTTTCTTTCCCTTAGGCTGGACATGTGAAGTTCACAAGTTTGCTTCTCTGTTTCAATAAATGGAAAAGAATATTTACTTTTTGCTATTCTATGTATATAATTAACGCAGTTGAATTTGCTTAATACTGCTATGCTGTTTGAATTTATTTTGGGAAGTCAAAAAGAAATATCAAGTAAAGGATTCAATTTTTTGCCAACAAATAAAAAGATTAATTTTTTTTCTCAAAAAAAAAAGGGATCAATTTTGACCCCCTCTTTTCTCTTGTTGTCTTTAGTTCTTTGGTTCGGTACGGAACTGATTCGATGCAAAACTTCATCTGTTCATGATTTACCGGCTTGGTTACTTCTGGTCTGTATCCTCATGAAAAAGCTTGAATCTTTGCTATATTTCTTTCATGCTTGTGCGATTTCTGCGGGGTTTTACCAAAATAAATGAAAAACAAATATGGGAATCCTACTTTCCCAATCCACTTTCCCGTGAGGTTCTAGCTATCAAACACCCCGTTAGGATTTTGCAATCATCATTTAGGTTTTCATCTATAACTAGAAGCTCAAATACTTGCTCAACATTGTTATTCTCTCCTTCATGGGGTAATCATTTTTGTGCTAATGGGTTGTTCATATCACATAGTTTTATTTTTGCTTGCTTTGCAGTTTTGCAGCTTTGTTACAACCAGTTCACCGGAAGTATACCTACCCAGCTCGGGACATTGAAGAAGCTTAATGTTCTTGCGCTCCAATCCAATAAATTTACTGGTGCGATCCCTGCAAGTTTGGGAAATTTGGGTGTGCTAATGAGACTAGACTTAAGCTTCAATCACTTCTTTGGCTCAATTCCCACCAAACTAGCTGATGCTCCGTTGCTTGAAGCTCTAGATGTCCGGAACAACTCTCTTTCCGGCAATGTACCACTGGGTAATGATGCTATGACCAATAAGTGTCATATTTTCAATGATTTGTTCTTTTTGTTAATGTCCTCTTTTTTATTTTTTAGGAAATGTCCAAGTCTAATTTGATTTCCTCCTTTCATCTGTTGATGTAGCTCTCAAGAGACTGAATGATGGATTCTTATATGGCAACAACCTAGGACTATGTGGAGCTGGGTTTATGTATTTACAAGCTTGCAATGATTCAGACCATCTTAATCCAAGCAGACCTGAACCCTTTGGGCCTGGTTCTTCTGGTATGCCATCAAGAGAGATCCCTGAAACAGCAAATTTGCAGTTGCACTGCAACCAAACCCGCTGCTCAAATTCGTCGAAGTCCCACCAAGCTTCAGTTGTTGTTGGCACAGTTGTCGTAACTGTTGCGTTGTTGGCTATGGGAATTCTGTCATTTACTCAGTATCGTCGCCGAAAACAGAAACTTGGCAGCTCATTTGAAATTTCTGATAGTCGTCTCAGTACTGATCAAGCCAAGGGGGTTTATAGGAAGAATGGCTCTCCTCTAATCAGTCTTGAGTACCCTAATGGATGGGATCCTTTAGCTGATGGTAGGAATTTCATTGGATACGAGCAAGATGTCTTCCAGAACTTCAGGTTCAACTTGGATGAGGTGGAGACTGCTACTCAGTACTTCTCAGAGGTGAATTTGTTGGGTAAGAGTAACTTTTCTGCAACGTACAAAGGAATTCTAAGAGACGGTTCTGTGGTGGCAATCAAAAGCATTAGCAAAAGTAGCTGCAAGTCAGAAGAAACTGAATTCTTGAAGGGATTAAATATTTTAACCTCTCTGAGACATGAGAATTTGGTGAGATTGAGAGGGTTTTGTTGTTCAAGGGGCAGAGGGGAGTGCTTCCTCATTTATGATTTTGTTCCTAACGGTAGTTTGCTGCAGTATCTTGATGTGAAGGATGGTGATGGCCATGTGCTTGAATGGTCCACTAGAGTTTCTATAGTCAAGGGCATTGCCAAAGGTCAGTTTTAATTACCTTATCGTTATTATTACTCTAGATATCCACATCTTTGTGCTTGGTTTTGAAGGCTTGAGAATTTTTTTATCAATGATCAATGTGTTAAAAGAATATCGTCACAAATTGTATTTGCCGGATGAGGAAAATTAAGGACTAAAATGAAAATGTAAACTTCTTTTTTCTTTTTTTCTCTTGAAATTGGAGCCATTGTTCTCTCTTTCTCACAGTTTCTTGTGTGTATGATTATTTGATGATTTGGTGGGTAATTTGGAATGTGTTATTGGTTGATCTTTTTTACCAAGATTTGTTCATTTCCTGAACAGGTATATCTTTTTTGCATGGGCACAAAGTGAAAAAACCTGCTCTGATTCACCAAAACATCAAAGCTGAAAAGGTTCTTGTTGACCAGCGATGCAATCCGTTGCTTGCAGATTCTGGCTTACAAAACCTTCTTACAAATGACATTGTATTCTCAGCCCTGAAGGCCAGTGCTGCCATGGGTTACCTAGCTCCTGAGTATACAACAACTGGCCGATTCACTGAGAAAAGTGATGTATATGCATTCGGGGTGATTGTTTTCCAAGTCCTCTCAGGGAAAAGAAAAGTTACCAGTTTGGTACGACTAGGAGCCGAGGCCTGCAGATTTCAAGATTATATTGACCCAAATCTTCATGGGAGGTTCTTCGAATATGAAGCATCTAAGCTTGCGAGAATTGCTTGGCTTTGCACTAACGAGTCTCCTGTTGAAAGACCAACTATGGAAGCTGTTGTTCAGGAGCTAGGTAACTGCAGCAGCTGTCTGTAGTTTCCATGAAAATTTTCTTCAGCCGCTGCCTAGTCAATTTTCAAATGGGTGATGGTGAGCTGGGAATGGATCGACACTAACTGAATTCTTAGGACTCGTAGCTGTTTCGTGGTGTTGTTAACTTGTGTCCTCTTGCTGAGGATTAATTGAACTTTATTGTGACTGTTCTTGAACAGTGATTCACTTGTAATCAGCTTAATTTATGGAATATTTGATGTTTAAAGAGGTGGATTATCCTTCATTAACAACATATAAGCTGTAACTCGTCTGTTCTGGTAGTTGGCCAAATCGATGCCTCTAGATCGTTCATGAGTGATTGTTCAGGCTCCATTGATCCTGTAACATGTTAGTGGGAATGGACAACTGAGTTTGTTGCATTCGAACTCCTTTTCATGTCAAAACAAATCTATTTTAGATACTCCCTAATGTAATATGATGTTATTCTTGTCGCACCCAGGATTCTACGTTCATATCCAACCACCTTAGCGGGACCCTAAGGTACCGCTAAGGTGGTTGGTAGTGAGGCCTACAGATTTTTCAAACCCAGAGGCCATAGCTCTTCTCCATGCCCACACAAACCAGTCAATACACAGCCAGTAGTTTTTTATTTTTGGAAATTTTCCATTAAAGAAAACTGTATGCTGTTCTCAATAGACGACGAGGAAAAGATTCCTTGTCATCTGCTAAACGACGGGACAACTTTTCCATGACCTTTGAATGAGAGGGAAAAGAATTTAAGCAGAAAACCATAAATTGGACAATCACCAGCAAGCAGTCATCTAAAAATATTATAACTTGGATTAACTATGGCTATAAACAAAACAACAAAGAGAAACCATATATATAAGATTTCAGTTTAAATAATTAAATACGTTAATCCATTGCCTTTGTATCCATGTGCAAACGCAGATCTAATAATCAACATGTGCGGGGTAGCATCTATGAAATACAAAATTAGTATAAAACATTTGGCCACTTCATATACATTAATTAAGAATACTACATATAGGTATATAAAAAGATCATTTACATTTTACATTTTTGGACTCATGAAAAAACTCTTGTAATTACTCCAATTAAACTATAACCTAGTGTGCTTATTTAATTCCTATGGCCAGCAAGCATGCTTGAAAATGGAGAAAAATGAAATTAAAAACAAAATTCACTTCTACTCCCATATGCAGCCAATAAAGCTAGTATTGAAACAAATTTTAAGCTTCAACTTGCTTTCTTTGTGGGTGTCTGACTCTGAAAACATGTTCTTCACCAGTGCATTTATCTACCTTGACAACCCAATGGCTACTCTTCTTTAAATTTCCAATCTTGGCACAGCCTGCTGCTATTCTAGTTACTAGCAATCCTCCTCCAATAGGCAACAACTGGGTTTTTGACCCAGTTGACCACCACGATCCTTTATTCAATGCATTATATCCTACAACAACAGCACCATTTTGTTTCCTGCTTGCTTGAACCGCTCCAAGAATGGATTCATGGTTATTTAGGTTACAATCAATAAGCACAAAATCTGCTTCACTATATTGGGTTAATATAAGATTTTTTGCTTCTCCAACAACAAACTCAACATGACAGGTATCGAAGCCTAGGATTTGTCTAGATATTTGCAACTCCTTGCTACTGCTAAGAACGCAAACAACACGACCGCCGGTCTGATGAGCTGCAGCCACTAGGGCTAGCACTGTAGAGGTGGAAAAACTCGCACAGGCCACAACCATTAGTTGTGCATTGTTGCCTGCTGCTAATGCTGAAATGAACTCAGCTACATCTGGCTCTTTTGCCTTTTGACCCTGCAAATACATGACAAAGACCTAATTAGGAAAAATTGCCATATAGTAACTTGAACTTGATTACAATTGCTGAAACTTATAAATGTATTTGGTATCTATATGTTTTTATACTCACCATTCTCAAGGTTTTGAGGTAGGCATTTGTAGCATTCTCAGCAGACCAGCAACCCATCTTTTATTTGTTATTATGTATTTGCTCAAAAATTTTCTTTTGGATAGAATTTTGCTGAAATGATGAATGCTTTGGTCTAGTGTGGTGGACTTGTATATATATAGAGCGAACCAAGGGAGGTTGGTCAAGGAGTCTGTCAATCCAACTGGCTAAGTTAAAAAATGATATAGCATTATCAACTAGTATAGGGCTGCTCCAATAAGTTTGAGTCACAAAAATAATGGACATTTTTATTTTGCAGGACCAAGTTGCCAATTTCATGAATTAACCCCAAAAACAAATCTTTAGTGTGCTTCCAGGACAGCACCTTAAATAATATTTAATACATCTTAACATGCAGTAAACACATATTTAATCAGAATTACTCCAATCTCCAATGATTAATCCATTTTTTAGCTGCAATGTCCATTAACAGAGAGACAACAGAAATCTGCGGCAATGTGTTAGGCCTATTTGATCATTTTGGGAGACAAATGAAGCAAGACCCCATGTTAATTAGTCTTGTCAAAGAGCCAAAATCATCAAATACTTCTACTTATACAATAAAATAAAATCCAAGTTGCTGTTTAAGTACTCAATGAATAAGATTATATCAAATTAAGTAAAATAGTTTATAATATCCTGCTTATATATATTGAATGGCTCAAGAAAGTTCTTAATAAGCTGTTTTTGAAAGGTATTTGTTAAGATATCCCTTTCTTTGCTAGGTCCATCAGAACTTGATATATTTGTCGACCAGAAACAAGACTATTGGAAAACAAACACACAAAAATACACGCAGGAGAAACAATAATGAATTTCCTCCAATGATATGAAAATTTTCCATCCCTACCATCAATCATTTCAGAGCAATCACGAAGAAACTGTGTTTTCATTTTCTTTTATTTAAACTTTGATGGATACTGATATATACATTCGACTATTTTTTTTTATCTGTATGTCAATAATTATTCATGCGATATCGATGTTATCAATAGCACAAGAAAAATTTTCCAGGGATGAGATATTTTAAGTTCAAATCCCAGTTAGCCAAATTAATAAAACAAAATGGATTAATTTAGAAGAGCCGTTTTTATCTGTTTTTGAAATAATAAAGAAGGAAAATTATATATTGAATTCAAACGTTTAAGAATGAAGACAGATGAGAAATATTCAAGATTGATAATAAAAATTGGCTGGCTCTAAGTTATGCCTGCTAAGAAGCCTAACAGAAGATCTAGATCCACATCAAGCTGCTTCCCTCCCAAACACAAAGCTAACAAATCCAACCCCATCAATAACATTTTGTGTCTTCTGGTCTCTCTGCATTGTAAGAGGTCCCATTTGTCTGATTCTTGCCAGGGAGAGATGATTCATTCGTGGTTGTAATTAAATTATGTTTTCTTGTAATGGTGTTCCCAACATGATCTTATTCTTGCCAATTATTATTTACACAATAATCTCTCTCTCCTAGCTGCATTCTGATTCCATGAAATTAACAATCAGCAATAAGAAAATAAACAGCATGGGAATAAATAGAGTTAAATATAATGGAGTTGTGGGTTGAAAGATTCTGCTTCAATTGCAATGCATCCTTGCAGGAGACATGTCTGCATGGGTCAACACTCCTTAATTCTATTTTATACTCGTATTTACTCGAAAATTTTAGAAGATTTCTCTGCGTAAGTGTACGTGTGCTTGTGCGCACGTGTAGAGATGTGTCTGTGCGTTGGCTTGAGATGTTTTTCACATGTGTATCTTCTTAGGAAAATAAAGGAAGTAAAAAATGGAAGGCAATGGAGTTGTACACGACAGGAGTTGTACATGGCATTTCTACGCGTTAACCTGCCTATAAATAGAGGCAGAGGCAGAACATGTGTCTGTGCTTTTGGGCTTGAGATGTTTTTCACATGGTATCTTCTTAGGAAAATAAAAGGAAGTAAAATGGAAGGCAAATGGAGTTGTACACGACAGGGAGGTTGTACCATGGCATTTCTACGCGTTTAACCTGCCTATAATAGAGGCAGAGGCAGAAACACACAACACACAGAAGAAAGAGAGAGAAAAAATGTAGCGAGAGAGTTTTCTGAATTTTAGGATGGGTTCCTAAACTAGGGGAGAGAAAAATAGTGAGGAAATTATTATGGAGTTTTTGGGAAAACACTTTGAGTGTCACTATTTTTGTATTACCTCTCGTTGTGACCTACTATTTTAAATAGTGGAAGAATGATTCGGATTTTGTCCCGTTGGACGTAGGCTCCTAAACAGTTGAGGGTGAAACCACATATATCTGTGTTGTCACAAGTTACTTTTTTCCGCTTGCTATTCTTCTCTTAATTTCGGTTGAAAGGGCCCAACGAGTGGTATTCAGAGCTGATGCCCCAACAAGTTGGTATCAGAGGCTGAATTCCTAACAAGTGTATCAGAGCTGATCCCTAATAAGTGGTATCAGAGCGGAAGGTTTTCGGTCGGAAAGACGTTGCAAAATCGACTTAGTGATGAATAGTAGAATAGTAACTCGATGGTGAATAGTTACTATTGGCGTTACTGTTGCTGAGCCCGTCACTGTTAATCCCAGCACTATTCATGCATAGTACTATTCACATGTACAGTTACTATTCATGCATACAGTTACTATTCGAGTATACTGTTACTATTCATGATCATTATTCACGTATACGGTTTATGTTGGTGAAGATATTCTGCACAAGTCAAAGTGAACAAGAGACATAACCCAGTTGCCAGCGACTTAGAGTAGAGTGGGCAAGTGTTTGCAGAGGTGGACGACATCTCAGAAAGTCCACAGTGGCCAGCGACTTAGAGCAGAGTGGGCCAATTTTTGCAAAGGTTTGCAAAGGTGGACGACAGACATAACACAGTTGCCAGCGACTCAGAGCAGAGTGGCGCAGTTTGCAAAGGTTGATGACAGACATAACACAGTTGACCAGCGACTCAGAGTAGAGTGGGCAAGTGTTTGCAGAGGTGGAGATGACAGACATAACATGGTGGCCAGCAACTCAGAGCAGAGTGGGCCAATGTTTGCAGATGTGGACGATATCTCAAAAAGTGCAGTGGCCAGCGACTAAGAGTAGAGTGGGCTAGTGTTCGCTGAGGTGGATGATATCTCAAAAAGTCCAGTGGCCAGCGACTCAGAGTTGAGTGGGCTAGTGTTTGCAGAGGTGAATGATATCTCAGAAAGTCCACAGTGGCCAGCGACTTAGAGCAGAGTGGGCTAGTTTTTGCAAAGGTGGACAACAGACATAACACAGTTGCCAGCGACTCAGAGCAGAGTGGGCAGTGTTTGCAAAGGTAAAGGCCCTCAAGCCATGTTCTGGAAACCACCCCTCTTATGTACAGGGACCACCCCCTCGTACGTTAACCGATGTGGGATTTGGCCTAAGTGTGTGCTGGCTTGCCACATTACACCCCCCCTTGGGGACTCAAGCGTCCCCTCGCTGAGGTTTGCCCCACACCGGCCCAGAAGGAACGAGGGTCGGCTCTGATACCAATTGTCATAGCCCAGCCCATGGTCAATATTTGTCCGCTTTGGGCTCCAGCCCGTACAGTTACCCCCTCACGGTTTTGTTTTCAGGCAGGCTTTGCAACCCGCCACATATTATTGTGGCCAAGGCCAGCACACCTTAGGCCAAATCCCACATCGGTTAAGTTACGAGGGTGCGTGTCCTTGTACATAAGGAGGGGGTTGGTTCCGAACATTGGTTGAGGCCTTTTGGGACGGGTTGGCCAAAGCCGCCTTGAAAACAAACCGTGAGGGGTTACTCGTTACGGGCTGGAGCCCCAAAAGCGGCACAATTAGTGACCCATGGGCTGGGCCATGGGACAAATTTTGGTATCAGAGCGACCCTCGTTCCTCTTGGCCGGTGGTGGGCAAAAACCTCAGCGAGCGAACGCGAGTCCCCAAGGCGGGTGTATGTGGCAATGCCAGCACACCTTAAGGCAAAATCCCACATCGGTTAAGACGAGGGGTGGTCCTGACATAAAGAGGGGTGGTTCCAGAACAATGGTTGAAGGCCTTTTTGGGCGGGTGCAAAGCCTGCCTGAAAAAACAAAACCCTGTGAGGGGGTACTCGTACGGGCTGGAGCCCAAAGCGGACAATATTTATGTGCAAGGCCAGCACACCTTAGGCAAATCCCACATCGGTTAAGTTACGAGGGGGTGGTTCCTGTACATAAGAGGGGTTGGTTCCAGAAACATGGGTTGAGCCTTTTGGGCGGGTTGGCAAAGCCTTGCCTGAAAACAAAAAACCGTGAGGGGGTACTCGTACGGAGCTGGACCCCAAAGCGGACAATATTGACCATGGGCTGGGCCATGACAAAATTATGTTGGCAAGGCCAGCACAACCTTAGGCAAGGCCAGCACACCTTAGGCAAATCCCACATCGGTTAAGTACGAGGGGGTGGTCCTGTACATAAAGGGTGGCGGCCTTGAACATGGTAGACGCGTTTTGGGTGGGTTGCAAAGCCTGCCTGAAAACAAATCCGTGAGGGGGACGACGAGACGTAACGCCCCAAAGCGGACAATATTTACCATGGGCTGGGCTGTTACAATTTGGTATCAGAGCCGACCCTTGTTCCTCTGACCGGTGGTGGGGCAAACCTCAGCGAGGACGCTTCCAAAAATCCCACTTTCATTGCTTCAAAACATATGAAAATGGAGCTAAAGACAAGTGGCTCATCCACATTGTTCCTTGGCATTGATTCAAATTTGATTAAAGTTCCAGGGTTTGACATTTGAACTTGTGCAATGTATTCATGCAACTTATTGTAGCTCTCAACGTGTGAACCTGCAAGTTGCTCTCTAGCAGCTATCCTTGCCCTATGAAGCTGCCAATATTCAGTCTCAATGCCCCATTTTGCCTTTAACTCAGCTTGCATTAAAGCATAGCTCATTCCTGGATCAGCAGCCAATTGAGATTCCAGTTTCTTCTTCACCCACTGTCATGGCCAGCACACCTTAGGCAAATCCCACATCGCTTAAGTACGAGGGGGTGGTCCTGTACATAAGAGGGGTGGTTTTAGAACATGGTTGAGGCCTTTTGGGCGGGTTGCAAAGCCTGCCTGAAAACAAAACCGAGGGGGTACTCGTACGGGCTGGAGCCCCAAAGCGTGACAATTATTTATGTGGCAAGGCCAGCACACCTTAGGCAAATCCCACATCGGTTTAAGTACGAGGGGTGGTCCTTTACATAAAAGAGGGGTTGGTTCCAGAACATGGTTGAGGCCTTTTGGGCGGGTTGCAAAAAGCTGCCTGAAAACAAAAACCGTGGAGGCGGGTACTCGTACGGGCGAGCCCCAAAGCGGACAATATTGGACCATGGGCTGGGCCATGACACAATTATGTGGCAAGGCCAGCACACCTTAGGCAAATCCCACATCGGTTAAGTACGGAGGAGGTGGTTCCTGTACATAAGAGGGCGGTTGCGTTCCAGAACATGGTTGAGGCCTTTGGGCGGGTTGCAAATGCCTGCCTTGGAAAACAAAACCGTTGAGAGGGGTACTCGTACGGGCTGCGAAGCCCCAAAAGCGGGACAATATTGGACCATGGGCTGGGCTATGACAATTTGGTATCAGAGCCGAAACCCCGTTCCTCTTGGCCGGTTGGGGGCCAAACCTCAGCGAAGGACCGGCTGAGTCCCCAAGGGGGGGTGTATGTGGCAAGGCCAGCACACCTTAGGCAAATCCCACATCGGTTAAGTTACGAGGGTGTGGGGTCCTGTACATAGAGGGGTGGTTTCCAGAAACATGGTTGAGGCCTTTTGGGCGGTTGCAAGCCTGCCTGAAAACAAAACCGTGATGGCGTACACCGTGAGGGTGACCTCGTACGGAAGGGCCTAAAGCGGACAATACTTACCATGGGCTGGGCCATGACAATTGGTATCAGAGCCAAAGCCTCGTTCCTCTGGCCGGTGGTGGGGCAAACCTCAGCGAGGACGCTGAGTCCCTAAAGGGGGGGTGAGCGGTGGCTGTGGGCTGTGTGCGCAGTGCACTCACCTTAGGCGAATCCCACATCGGTTAAGTGCGAGGGGGAAGTGATGTACATAAGTGCGGTGGTCTTAGAACATGGTAGGCGCCTTTTGGGGAGCTGAGGAAGTCAGCACCCAAGGGGACAAAACCGTGAGGGTGACCTCATACGGAAGGGCCCAAAGCGGACAATACTTACCAGTTGTAACGGCATCCCTACGTGTAGTCAAAAAATGGAAGGGCCAATGGAGTTGTACACAGGCAGGAGTTGTACATTGGCATTTCTTACGCTTGTACATGGCATTTCTACGCGTTAACCTGCCTATAAATAGAGGCAGAGGCAGAACACACAACACACAGAAGAAAGAAGAGAGAAAATGTAGCAAGAGAGTTTTCTAATTTTAGGATGGGTTTCCTAAACTTAGGGGAGGGAAAAATAGTGAGGAAATTATTATGGAGTGTTTTTGGGAAACACTTTGAGTGTCACTATTTTTGTATTACTCTCGTTGTGTATCTACTATTTTAATAGTGGAAGAATGATTCGGATTTTGTCCCGTGGACGTAGCCCTAAACAGTCGAGGGTGAACCACGTAAATATCTGTGTGTCACAAATTTATTATTCCGCTGCGTTAATTTTCTCTTAATCGGTTGAAAGGGCCCAACGAGTGATATCAGACAGAGCTTGTTGCCCAAACAAGTGGTATCAGAGCTGATTCCTAATAATCTTTCTAAAAACGTTAGTAGGATTAATTGTTTAAAGCTGTTGTCGTATTTGCATGGCTGTTATAAATCGTTTATGTACTTTTTCCGCTGCGTTAATTTTCTCTTAATCGGTTGAAAGGGCCCAACGAGTGATATCAGAGCTGATGCCCAACAAGTGGTATCAGAGCTGATTCCTAATAATCTTTCTAAACGTTAGGATTAATGTTTAAAGCTGTTTTTGTCGTATTTGCATGTGTTTATAATCGTTTATGTACTGATGTATCTGTACTTGCTGATATGCTTATTGATGAAAGCAAATATGAGTTTAATTGACAATTTGGATGAAAATGAAATTAGCATTAGCAGTCAACGTGAGGAAAATTGTGGGCTTAAGCCTGTAGCCTGTAGTTGTGGGCCTTGTTGTTCTTTTTAAAAATATGAAATTGTTATACATTAATTGGATTACAGGCCCAATAAGAAATCTACTACAAGCCTTATGCACTGAGAAAAAGAAAAGAGAGGCAAGAATTACCCCAGCAGAGTTGTTGACGGTCTTTTATTACTGGGAAAAAGGACCGAAAGAGGCCCACGCAGTGATGTGAAGTGTTTTGCCGTGGCCTGCCACTACGATGCCGCGTTATTCTTACTCTCTTGAATTAGCTTCTTATTTTCTTCGCAGGGAAGCTGGAGAGAAAGATAGAGTCGGATCAAATATAAGTCAATCGATATGGGTAATGCGTTCTTTATCTTCTGTGGATGCGTTGATCAAGCCAGCGTAGGCATCATCGAGAGATGGGGCCGCTTCGAGCGATTGGCTCAGCCTGGCTTCCATTTCTTTAACCCCTTCGCCGGTCAGTGTCTTGCCGGCATCCTCTCCACTAGAATCAACTCCCTTGATGTCCGCATCGAAACGAAGACCAAGGTTTTCTTATTTTCCGGATTTCATTTCTCAATTACTCTATTTGAATTGATACGAGTACTAAATTTAGTTTTCCTTACAAATTATGCAATATAAATTATCGATGTTTCAAGAATATTATTATTCCATGAAATACAAGAAGATTTGGTTTATATTAAAAATATCGATATTCAATAGAAGGAATAGGCACTTTGTTTTCTATTTATGATTATATGATGGGACGAGCAGTTTTTGCTCTAAGAAAGAGAGGAAAAAAGGTTTATAGTTTTACTGTTGTGCAGGACAATGTCTTTGTGCAGTTACTCTGCTCAATTCAGTACCGAGTGGTCAAGCAAAATGCTGATGATGCGTTTTATGAGTTGGCAAACCCCAAAGAGCAGATTCAGGCTTATGTTTTTGATGGTAAATCTTTATAGTTATTCCCTTTATTATTATTTTTATATTTTCTTGGAGTTTCACTTGTTTGTTTCTAATGCATCTGTTTTGTCTTTTTTCAGTTGTTCGAGCTCATGTTCCAAGAATGACTTTGGATGAACTCTTTGAGCAGAAAGGTGAAGTTGCTAAAGCTGTTTTGGAGGAACTTGAGAAGGTAGTTAGATTATTCTGTTTGGTATCAGCTATGATTAATGAGAATTCTTACATGTTATATTGCATTATTGTGGTGATTATAATTTTTTGAATGCAGTTTTGCCTGCGGTGTTTAATTCCACATTGACAATTTGACATAAATACTGAAAATTGTTCCAAGGATATATTGGTTGAATCGTGGATAGTAAAGACACCATGTGAATTTGAAACTGAAACTTTACCATGGCATAGGTTATCTTATTTGAACTGCTACATCAATAGTACTTGTGACATCTTTACTTTTGTTTCTTTCTATACTATCTTAAGCTTGTCGCAGTTGTTTTTTCGATTGCTTTGTTTTTCTATTTTGATTGGGCTGTTATATGCTTCTTCTAATTGTTTATAAGGCCTTTCATATTATTGGAAACTTGTGTCTGTTTTCTGTTTTTTTGCCCCCGATATCTTATGTTGAATCATGGATCAGGTGATGGGAGCTTATGGATATAGCATAGAGCACATTTTGATGGTTGACATTGTACCTGATGCTGCTGTGCGCAAGGCAATGAATGAGATTAATGCAGGTATTGCATCTTTTCTGGATTCTTCTCTATTTAATCCACCAAACCCGTCTTCTCATCTCAGTTTTTGGAATGTAATGCTCAATATTAAAATGGTGATATGATTAGTTCTGGGAAGGAGATGGAGATTCTCGTCTCTTGAGAATGGTGTGTTAGCCTCTTATTTTTGTGGGCTGGCAGTGGGCAGACTGTCGTACCCTACTAAGCAGTGAATGGGATAAGCAACTAGAATAAATTTATACCTGCTATGCAAGCAGAAAATTCATCATGGTGATGCTATTTGAAGGATGTGTCACATTTATTTCAGCGCATACACGTTTTAGAATTTATATGATTCTGCTATGAAGAAATCAGATGACATGAATTATAGCTCTGTTATGTTTGCTGGCCATTACTGTTTTTGTACATTACAGATACTCTTCTATTATTCATATGCTCTTGCTACTAACTTAAAGTTCCTCTTGTGTTAGTTTCAGTTTAAAAATCTACCTATCTCTATGCATGGATCACGCACCAAACCAAAATGATGTTTTTGCTGATAACAAATTATGATTTTGATTATATTATCAGAAAACTTTAACTCACTTGAAATAAGTGTTATTTTGTCTGCAAATTTGATTATTTTTGAACTAACAAGGAATTCACACTGGCCAATGGTGTAGTTTCCGTTGATGGTAGTTCAGTTTAATCCCTTGCTTTAGTTTTACTGTAAGCACTTAATATTTGGTTATACACTGCAGCTGAAAGGCTCCGGCTTGCTAGTGTATACAAAGGGGAAGCAGAGAAGGTGCTCCAAGTTAAGAAGGCAGAAGCTGATGCTGAAGCCAAGTACCTTGGGGGGGTTGGGGTGGCCAGGCAGAGGCAGGCAATCACAGATGGCTTGAGAGAGAACATCTTGAACTTTTCTCACAAGGTGGAGGGAACCACTGCTAAGGAGGTGATGGATCTTATCATGATAACTCAATACTTCGACACAATCAAAGACCTTGGCAACTCATCTAAGAACACTACTGTCTTTATTCCCCATGGCCCTGGTCATGTTAGGGATATCAGTGATCAAATACGCAATGGTCTGATGGAGGCAGCCAGTTGTCAGGTGAATGTTGAATAAATTTGCCATTTGGTGGGGTACTTTGCTGGAATTTTCCTTTATTATTAGTATGTTGCGATGTTCTACATTTTTTTGTGAAACTACTATTTACGCATTGCTTGGATAGGTGGATATTATGTAACAGGATGGTTATGCTTGCCTGTAGAGTTCAAGTAGATCATTAGAAATTAACACTGAATGTAAATAACTCATTTTACTGTATGGTGTAATGGTTATAAATGCAGCGTCGCATGGAAAGCTCTATTTATATCGCAGGATTGTGCTTAATACTTGAACATATCACGCTCACAATGAGAGTGGCGGAGCAAAAGCAATGGACATTTTTTACAGGAATAAGAGATATTGTTTAATAAAACAATTTATGCTGACATTAATTTTATACAGGGGATTATTAATGCTACCAGTCCCAACTAATAGTATTGATTGCTATAATTGTATAATATGTACCATTAATTTTATGCCACGTCATGTGATGATCTGAGATAAGAGAGCACTGAAGCACGATATTGAAAATGAAACTTTGGCGGGGTGTAACCTTAAGCGAGGCACCTTCTCTCATAGTTGTCGTGTCTTGGGACCAAAAGGTCTCAAATTCCATCTCTTTTCAATCCTTTGTAATTAAATAATTATTTCTATAATTTATTATATTGTAGCATTGTAATATATAACCTATACAGTAAATATATGTATACACACTTATAGAAGAAGTTCTATAGATGTCTATTGGGCCAAAAGTCAAACGTCAATTGGACATAAAATGCAGCTAAGCTGGCCCATAAGATGCAACTCACAATTAAGTCGAAACTCTGTATAATTGGATTTGACGTAAAATTGGGTGTCCATTGCTTACAATCTGACCTACTATTATATCCAGCCAACCTTAAAATTTTCAACCTTTTTGTTTTACACACCTGCCTTCACGCTCAGGCTACAAATAGTATTTAGATAAAATCTTTTCACAGGTTTTAATGTCCTGATTTATAGGTAGAGCTTTTTCCTAATTAAGCCAATTGTCAATAAATTTTTCAACCTCCTTAAAAGAAAACAAGAATAGATTCGTAATATTTAAGGTTAATGTGTGTTCTAATTTGGATACTCAAAACAAAATATATATTTTCATTTTGGAGGATTGTAGACATATACATTTGTGTGTGTGTTTCTTTTCTTTTGGGATCACTTTATAATTATGCAGATGGAGACAACTCATGATAGCCATGCATGTAGCTAATTCATTACATTCAAATTCTTTTCTCTTAGATGAATATATATATATATATATATTTTTTAAAACGAAAAATTAGATTTAGTTACATCTACATTGCTTACCATCCAAACGATGACACGTACTTTTTGAAATAACCACACTCAGAATATTTTAACTAATACTTTTGAAAAAGATTAGAAAATTGTACATTTTCTAACAACTATATAAATTATTATTATTTTTTTTTTGTTAGAGAATTAATAATCATCTCTACTGGTTGCTTGCGGTGAAAACAGAAAGCTACATTGGTAAATTAAAGCCTACAAAATTAATCCTCATGATACAAATTGACCCACCAATCCACATAAGTCAATATACATATAGATAAGTGATTTTCTTGGACTGTTGTTCACAAGCAAATTAGAAAAAAAATGTCTGAGTGAGCAATGAAATAAGATGTTTAGGTGGATATGTTTTGAGCCGTAGAAAATGTAGATCTAATGATGGAATTAGAAGAACGTTAGAGATTATAATAATTAGGTTTTGTAATGAGTATAAATCATGATTCTTAGAGGAGATAATTGAAGAGTTGATGGACCTACTTACTAATTCTTTTTTATTTATTTATTTTTCTTGGTGGTGAGAGCTATGTTTTAACTTCAAAAGTTATGAAAAGAAAAAGGAAGTTTCTACTTTATATTATGTAGAATAAAAGAATTCAAATCTTAATTAATACTATCCTATCCATGAGGGAAGGATAAAGATTTAACTCATTTTTCATTTTTTTCTCAAAAAAAAAAAAAAAAAAAAAAAAAGAAACGTTAAGAGATTTATTAAGATTAATTAGTGTTTTTGTTAAATGAGTAATAAATCATGATTCTTAGAGGAATAATTGAAGAGTGATGGAGTCCTAACTCTTAACCTTATATCTTTGTACTTTTATGTTAATTTATGTTTTCTTAGGTGGTGACCTAAGGCTATGTTTTAACTGTGCAAAAAGTTATGGACGAAAAAAGGAAGTTTCCTACTTTGATAATTTTAAGTAGAATAAATAAGAAATTTCAATTTATATCTTAGATTAATATCTATCCCTATGTCCGACTCGAGGGAGAAGGATTATCAAGAAGTAAACTCATGTCTTTCAATTTTTTTCCTCAAATAAAAAAAAAAAAAAAAAAAAAAGAAGGCAGATATCATTTTCAAAAGAGAATGAGAAGGTAAGTTAATAGAAGGGAATTATATACTTTGATAGTATACTAATGATTGCCTGGTAAATTTATATCAATGATTATTATGATAAGCATTTTTCAGCTGGCGCCCCATGCAAATTTAATCGATGTCAAATTCAGCATAAGGGATTTTCTTGTTTTCATTTACTATATTGTTTATTAGAATGTATAATTTGTTCCATTAAAGTTGACTATTTCAATTTAAAAATAAAATAATGAGCACATTAAGCGCCATCAATCACATAGCAATTAGCATGCATTCACCGCTAGACTTGAGCAGAATCATCGATTGGCAAAAGCAAGAAATATGTATATATATATATAGCAGCAAAATTCGTAGAGAGTAATTAAATCTGTCAAAATCATGGCTGCTATCGGACAAAGGCCAAAAAAAAAAAAAAAAAAAAAAAAAAAGAACTCAGATATCATTTCAAAAGGAATGAGAGTAATTAAAGAAGGGAATTATATACTTTGATAGTAATACATGATTGCCTGGTAAAATTTATATCATGATTATTTATGAGATTTGCAGTGAACCCCATGAAATTTAATGATGTCAAATTCAGCATAAGGGATTTCTTGTTTCATTACAATTGTTTATTAGAATGTATAATTTTTCTCATTAAAGTTGATATTTCAATTTAAATTAAAATAATGAGCAACATTAAGGCCACAATCACATAGCAATTAGCATCATTCACCGCTAGACTTGAGCAGAATCATCATTGCAAAAGCAAGAATATATATATATATATATATAAATCTGTCAATCGATGGCTGGCTACGGACAAGAGGCAACATAATGAGCAACCCAATCACATACCACACCAGACCATTACACAAGAATGCACTCTAATATTAATCTACGCTGGACGAAGAAAATTAATCATTCACTTCTCTAATTATAAGTAATAAAAAAATTATTAAAAATTGATCGAGCGTTACTGTCTATAATTTTAAACTTCTAAATAAAAAAAAAATACCCTCTTACGCAATAATTTTTATGTTAAATTGAAATTAATTACCGCACTAAAAATCAATGATAAATTCAATGAAATATTAAGATTAGATTATTAATCGTTTTCACTTCTTGTTATTATTCATCTTGGATATGGTAATCTCTTGAGTACATGATGGTTAGAATGTGACATATATCATAATAATAGCAAGTGCCTGGAAATTACTCTCAAAAAAAGGGGAAGAAAAGGGAAAAAACAGAAGGGCCACACACAATGAATAATAATACCAATCCATTTCAACATCATCTCATCTAAGCAGAGATGATGGGCTTCGAATTCAAAAACAATCAAAACTTGTATAAGTGGAAAGGAAAAAAAGATACATAAAAAAAAGAAGGTTAATGATGGGGTAGCATTGAAAGTGTGAAGATTCTTGTAGAAAGAAAAGTCCTGTTCTGTATTAATCATTATACTTTCTTCCCTTTAACAGGAGAACATAAGTGGAGCAAACAATAAATCCATACCATACCAGTAAGAAAAGCTTCCTTTTCTAGTTGGTAAGCAGTCAGCTTTACCGACAGCATCCTGTTTCTCTCCACCAAATTTACTAGCAAAAGACAAAAACCATAGGTAAATATTAGTAGATACATTCAATCTAATAATCTATTACTGATTTTGCTCAAATAGGAAAAAGGGATAAGCATAATTGACTTTCACATTTTATGCGCGCGCACAAACCCCCCTTCGGTATTTCTCCTTTTCACTGCCATGAATGTGAAGGGTAAATTTAACTATCTAAGCTCATGCATACGTGCTTGTGTGTGTGAGAGAGAAATAGGTGGTCCAAAATTCTATCTGGTTTCTACTGCTGCATGTAATCAAAGGGAATTATGGCACAGTTTTGAAGGCTGCTGAGATTGCTATCTAAAGACGTAACAAAAGGCAATGATAGTATTCCAAAACTAGTGAATTGTTTTTCCACTTATAGAGATTATACAACAGCCATTGAAAGTCTCCATAAGCCACAGCCTGCACTGTGTATTTTCCGTCTCTCTCACTTGGTCACTTGAACTATTTTCATATAAATCACGGTTTCAAAGATTTACCCACCCGTGACAGCATTTCTTTGAATGCATGCAAAGCACAACCTTGCTTGTGTGTCATAAGTTACTATCTTCCATATATTGTTTCATAAGCCAAGTTGAGAGCCTTCGGTTAACATAATCGTAGACTTCTTATAATTGGATCTTATACCTGTTATACAGTAGACAGGTGAAAAGGTCATAGGTCTGCACTTATATACAGTACTGCATCAGAGTAAATTAAGATTTAGTGTCATAAAGGTGGCCTAGTAAGAATATTGAAAAATACTAGCACCAACTACTTGGTGAGTTGTAGTCAATAATATTTGCCAAAATATAGTACCTACAAAATTAGTTCAGGGTAGTTACAATATCCCTTTCAGCCATCCTGTGCCTTCCCATGCCGACAGCCCTCCTTGCTCCTTCATTGCTCAAGACTTTTACCAATCATACTGACCCTAACTGATAGCCCTACAAAACTTCAAAATTTCAACCTTGACATCAAAAGTTTAGAAAAGCGTCCAGCCTGAAAGTAAGAGTTTCACGAGAATTGGAATGTTTAAAAGACAAGTTAACAAAGATGGTGAGATAAACATAAGCCTAAGGAACAAATAATAAAAAGAAAATAGATAAACAAGGGGGCAGAGGGACAGAGAAACAAAGGAGTGAAGGCCCATTAGTCCTCACTTTTCTTTGACCGTAACAACCAAAGCCTGAGAAAGACATCCACTCCTCATGGTGGGGCTCTACATTTTCGTAAACAGACAATCCAGGTGATACGGCAGAGTTGCATCAATGAGTTATGCTGCTTTGGGAACAAAGATTCACTCTTGAGTTCTTCCAAGCTTGACTTCAGAGATCATCCAAGGGCTAAAGCTGGCTCTCTATCTACCCAATCGAACCGGCTCAACTGAAACCTACCTGCAGCAGAACGATGCTAATCAAAATTTCAAGCCAAAAATTTTTTGTTTGGTAAGAAATATTATTTTTTGAAGGATGCTTAACTCTACAACTCAATGAGCATATAAGCACTGGCCACTACTATCTATATACCAACTACTCACTAGTTTTGATCACAGAACAGGCAGGCAACTGTGCACCATGAGATATTTCAGCACGTTTCTTTGCTGTTATTTTATTTTCAGTAAAAGGCCTGAGGTTCAAAGATGCTGCCTAATGTTTGGTCAAAACAAATTAATGCTTGATACTTATGGGTATGCTATTTTTTGTCAGGATTCTGATCCTTCAAGGTTAACTAAAATGCTCTTCTAAATAAATTTGATAGAAAATGAACATAAATCAACTAAAAAACTTTGAGAAATTCAATAATAGCGCAAGAAGACCAAGATTTAGCTAAAATTCTTAGCCTGATCATTTTTGCTGCTGAAATGGAGATGGAGACAGAAGAGGCCAGACAAGTTTATTCAATAATTTCAGACATATTTTGCCCCAAAAAAGAGTATTATACATGAACTTAAAAGTTCACTGTATCAATGATACTTCCATGTAAGCAATCCTGGCTAATCCTCAAAATTCAGGATGTCAAGACATGGCTCCATTGCCAAAAAAGTCAAAATTCTCTGATCCCCAACATAATTCTGGACTCCACATGCATACTGGTCCATTTTGATTTCATGTAATATAGCATCCTGCGCTGATACTAATTTACCATGACCACATATGACAGAGCATCATTCGTAAAATGTACCAGATGCTTATCATTTTGTGTTCAATGAGCATTTCATGCATGAAGGTTTTATGTAACACAGAATTGGTTGAACAGCAAAATTGCCTCCTTGACAAAAATTTAAAATTGAGGAGCTTACGGGAGCTATATGATAGCAGTTCAGACAAAAAGTCAGACCTATTTCTTTTGTCATCTCTTCAATATGTAAAGTGGAACCTAGATATGAGTGAAAAACTGGACCAGGGAAGGACAAATTTAATTTCTTAGAACATGAAGAAAGTGAAGACAAATTTAGTGGACACTTCAGGTGGCAAGGCAGTTCACGATTCATTGCCAGTTGATTCAGATTTGGGAAACTAAGAATTGACAACCTCTGATGATTTATCACATCTATTAAGGAATTTAATTGAAAGTCAGGTTACAACTAACGTTAAGAGGAGCAATAATTATAGCCCATAAATTACAAAGTTAGGAAGCATCGCTCTGGCATATGACTATATTCCAAAGATGGTTATGACATAATGTAGAAATAAGATAGATAGTTACAATAGCATTAGAAAAACTGGAACTGATGCTTTCTTTCAGCAGACAACAGTTTAGAGGGAAATACTATCACGCTTGAATCAGTCAATAGCGAGTTGCTGTTATGATTCCTTTTCCTCACTGATTTTATGCTATTTCTGATTTTATATATTAGTAAATATATAAAAGGATATTAGAGTAATCACTATTTGAAGGGTTAAATCACTGATGTAATGCATGATGGCATCAGAATAAATTGCTATACAAGGATTCCCATGCTGAAAATAATATATAGAAACTTGTCTGGTGAAGAACAACACTGTTGACCTCATCTTTTTAAACATATAATCATCTATGAAAAAAGGTTTACCTAGTTGAGTTTTTCATGCGACAGTCCTTATTGGACAAGGAAAATCTATGCTTCAATTAAACTTGTTTGGATGATACTAATTTAAATGTCAGCTAGGTAAGATAGTTGCTTAGAGATGGAAGAAAAGTACTTAGTAGTCCAAATTCCATATAATAGTTACAAAGTGATTTGCAGAGAATTCACAAGGTGCGAATTCAAAATACAGAAAGAATTAATCTTTTGCTGAATAAACAACTCATTTATATTGTCTATAGGCACAACAATCCTACTCCAGTAGGTGAAATAAAGCAGAATACAAAGTGATATCTTTTAGATAATAATCCATTTATATTTCCCGTAGATAGAGAAAATTCATACAAAAAATGGCTTCCTAGTTAGGATTTTATACAAAAAAAGTCCCAAAAAAAAAAAAAATGAAACTAGGAAGAAAGAAAAATAATTCTTGCCAGCGAACAAAACGAATCAGTAACCAATTTTGTGGCAGTCTAGTTATAATTACCTAGATGCTGAAGCCTGATAAAGCAATGTTTTTAATGTAGTATAAAAACCAAACAACTTACTATAACAAAACTACATTTCAGACTATTTTTATATATGTTTATAAACAGGAAAACTGGAAAATGTTTCAACTTTCAAGAATTTACAAGCAAAAAAAATCCAAAAACATGCCCGAGAAGAGATAAGTGATTCATTCAAATCATGCAGCTATGCAGTGTAGTGATACATTGTTTAAGTCCCTCCAAACACGTTCTGTCCTAATCATTCCTCTCACATCTTCAACTAGAAGTAAAAATGAACGAGAGCAAAAGAATTCAATAAATCCTACGATTCAAAATTCTACAGGAGTTAAAAAGGAAAACATTACACTGATGGTGCATCAGAAAAGACCTCGTTGAGCATGTCATCCTCACAGCCAGTCACATGGAACAGCTCTCCGTCTTTGTCCTCTTCATTTGAGAAATCCCGTCTTTCAAGCTTAGCATGAGCTGCAATGAATATCATCTTTTGAGCCCTTTCAAGGGCCACTCTTGATTGCCTGTGCATACAAACCCATTTCAAAGAAGACCAATTGCATTTGAACCCACATGAAGTTGCATGGAGGAAGATAAGCCTGATTGCAGCCTTGCCTAATGTTTTATAGTCACTCAGGCAAGTTTCCCACACTAATCTGCTGCCCTGCGGATTTGCAATTTTCATCTTTCCAGTCAAGGGGTCCCTTTGTTTAACCTGAACAGCTTGAGCATAAAGTGGATCTAGCCCTTCTGATCTCCATTTCATAAGCTCCATTAAGGCAACATGAGCTTCTTCCCTGGAAACCAGTCGAGTTATAAGCTTGTCCACATCCTTCTCTTGCTCCTGTGTCAAGCACTTGAATGGAGGAAGGTATTTTCCACTTGTGTCTCTCATCAAGTAAAGAGGGTCAAGTATAAATGCGGCGGACCATGCTGGGTGGTAGTTCTTTCTGAATCTCTTTTCAACTACTTTCTCAACATGTCCATCAACAATGTTGAATCTTGCAGACCAATCCTTCACTTTTGCTTTTAAGTCCTCCCAGAGAGGAAGGCATTGCCCTATCAATGGCCGCTCCACCTCAATCTCATGAGCCACCCCTCTAATTAGCTTCGTTAATGAATAAACTGCTTCCAATTCATTCCAAAATCCTTCATTCTGAATCATACCAGCAACTTCCGCAGCAACAGAATCATCCACACTCATCACCTTAAATGGCTCATCCAAGACAACCATTTGAAGCACACGGGCACAGCTCAATATATCCTCCAGCATCACATACATGGGCATAAAGTCCTTCGTGCATTCACATTTAGTGGAAGGAACTCGAAGCAACCCAGCATACTCGAGCTCTTGCATCCTGTACTTTTGGAAGCTGCTCCTAACTTGAGATTTATTATTTATAAAATTAGCAAGCTTGAAGCAATTTTCAGTAACGGTCTTGAAAAGTTGAAGCTCCTTACAGAAATCTTTGATCAAACTATGTAACCCCTGAACCTGACATGAGAGGTTCACCATCCATTGATACTCAATCTCCAAATTCCTCAACGCTTTGGCCTTATACTTGTCTGCAACTATCCCTACACATCTGTGCACAGCATTTCCACATATGCTCACCACCGCCTCCCACATAATCTCCTCTGCATACTTTGAAGAAACTGATCCTCCAGTTAACACTGCCTTTTGATACAAACTAGTTCCATTTGGAAGATTAATACTAAACTTAACCAAATTCTCTTCTCCACTACAACAACTTTTGTTCTTCCAGCCATTACAAGCAACTTGAAAGAACATAGCGTCTCTAATTCTAGCTTCCACTTCAGTCTTTGCCACGTGAAATCTGTTCTCGAGCCTTGCACCAGACAATTCCCTTCTTGACAAAGAAGGCAAGCCTACTTGATGAAGAAAAGCTCGAAACTTAGGGTGCTCGAGACTCGAAAAAGAGATTGACCCACAAGCCTCGTAGAACCAATCAGCAAATAATTCAAGAGCTGAATCAACCTGGTCCTTGCTTAATGAAGGACCAGGCGAAGCTTTTGGACTCTTAAGCTTCTTAATGCTATCTTCCAACATTGCTAATGCACCCAAATCCTCTTTTCCACCAGATAACACCAAATGCTGCTGTTGACTTAACGCGGAGTTAGAATAACCGAGTTCGTTACAAAAACGAGTTGACTCAACTAAAGCGAGTGAACTTAAAGGAGTGACCATGTGAGAGCTTCGCTTGCGATGATTATGCGGAGGAGACGGCAAAGACGATATAGGCAAAGGAGAAACAGCAGAATTGGGTCTCATAACAGAGTTGAAATTGGGGCAAGTCCCTCGTTTAAGATGCTCAGAGGCAGTTCTCGATGGGTTTGAAGCAGAAAAAACGGCATCACATAAGGAACACTTAAGCTTGACTGCTTTAGGAAGACCCGTGTCCGGGTTTCGAATTAAAATCGGCTCTAAATGTGCCCAATACCATGCTCCTTTACCTTTTATAGCTTTAGTTCTAATCGCAACCAACCCGTCGTATCTCTTGTTCACGACTTTGGTTGCGGTGTCCTCTGGTATAGAAGAAGAAGGGTCAGTAGGCGTTGAACTAGTTGAAGCCATTAAAACAAGTGAAGACCGCTGAGGCTATCTTTGCCGGCAATTTTCAGTTCATGCACCTTAAGCTCTTCCTATAATCCATGAAGTTAGCCGGAATTTTATGGCGGACGAGTGGCAGTTAGATAGCGAGGTTTTTGCGGGATTGTGCAGGTGAAGTTGATGTTTGAAGAGGAAAAAAGTGCGAGAAGGGACAAGAAAACAACACTACATTGACATGACATATATATATTTGTGAAAATGCTACTATGAAGAAGAATATGCGAAAGAGAGAGTGATCCAAAAATCAGAAATCAGAAATGGCGACCTTCTACAATCTACATGATGGGGTTGCAGTTGCAGAGAGAGGACATTTGCGGTTTGCTTGTTTCGTTTGACTGTTGGTGTATCTCTCTCATCACTCTCGCTCTCTCTTCTCACCTAAACAAATTCCCGTTTCAATCTTTGTTATAATAAGAATCGATGTCGGCTAGTTTTAGTTATGGACGGCTATTGAGACGGACATATAATAGTCGTCGGTCCACGTCATTTTAAGGCTGCGTTTCTTTCCAAGAAAATAATAATTTGGTTGTATTGCATTGCAGGATATCTTTTTTGATTTACGGAGGAAAGCGATTATATTTTTTTAAATATATTTTTTTTTATGTTTGTCTGCATTGGAGAAATTTCTGTATCTTAGAGTCGCATTTCGTTGTCAGCATTGCACGAAAAAATAATTTGAAAAATAATAATTCAATATTTCAAAAATTAGTACTTTTCTAAGAAAATGAATTATTTTCAAAAATTAGTACTTTTCTAAGAAAACAATTTTCTATAGAAATGTTAAAATTTTAATACTACCTCTGTTTTATAATATTTATTATATTTAAAATTTCACATTTTTTAATAAAATTATTAAATTTATCTAAGTTACAATAAATTATTAAGTAAATTGACTATATTGTTTTTATTTCAATACTAATTCTCTAAAAAAATTATTAAATTGAAGTAATAATTATTAGTCATGTACAAATGATAAACATAAAAAAATATTTATTATTCTTTGAAACTACAAATGTGACAAATATTTTAAAATAATAATTATTAGTCATGTACAAATGATAAACATAAAAAAATATTTATTATTCTTTGAAACTACAAATGTGACAAATATTTTAAAATAAATTATTTTTTCAAATGTAAAATGTATTATAAAAGAGAGATAATAATAAATTGTTCCATATAAATGTTTGTACTTAAAAAAGACAATCAATTGGTATTACGGAAAATTACTTTTCTTGTAAATTTAAGTTATCCAAATATATTTTCAATTACACTCGCATTATTTTTACCCATTCTAAACTCAATAAGCATTATTTAATGAAATTTTAAAAAGAAAAAATAAAGTCACATAGGTTTGATATAAATTTATTTAAAATTGGCTCCTTAAATTACTTATAGGTTTGATTAGTTATTCCTTTTTTTTAACTATTATTCTTAATAATTATGCAACTATTACAAAGATTTTTTTTTTATTTTTGTTAAATTTTCTAATCTTAAGCATCAATTATATTGTGTATTCCAAACCAAAGGAAATAAATTTAATATGTGATGTAATATCATGTTATATTGAATAAGTAAATAAATCTCAACTAATAAATGTTTATTTGTTAAATTTTTTTATAATTATTTTCTATAATTTTATCAAATTTTGAAAACAATTTAGCGCTTTCATGTCAAAAGCCATTTATACATAGTTAAAATTTAAATGAAGGTTTTTTTTTTTAAAGAAAAAAAAAAGTTATTGATTGTGAATTTTCTCCAACCGAATATGAGTCTTGCTTTTATGATTTCCAAAGGTTATGTCCTAGATATTAATAAGGTTAGAATTATAAAAAGGTTGTATGACCTAAAATATTATTTCATTTCATTTAATATTTTTTTTGTATGTAAATTTTAAAAAAAAGCATTCACATCAAATCATGAGTATATCATGGTTCAATGGACCTCTTACCCAAATTTATATATCATCACATGTTGCAAAGTAATGAATTATATGAAAAAATATTAATATGCTTCTTTTTTTTCTTTCATTGTAAATACTAAAGAGGAAAAAAAGAAGGCTCCTGAAATAGTTTCATATTTAGTCTCAAGAAAATTTAAATATACATGATTAAATGGTGGAGTTAATAGTTTTGTAAGGGCTTTAAACATTATTATTCCAAATTAAAAAAAATTCTCTCGTTCAATTGTTAAATATGTTTTTTATTCTCTCTTTTTTATAAAAAATACGGATTTTTTAAATCTCATTAATATAATATAGTTATAAAATCAATCATATTTGCTTATACTATGACATGACATAAGCATGATTAAATATATAAAAAATAATTTCATAATCAACTATTCACATTAGCATATTACATTCTTTAATCTTATAAAATTATATTTATTAAACACCTTAATTTATAAAAATTATATTTATTGAACACATCATCATAAAAATTATATTCATTAAATAATTGCAAATGATTAAAAAATAAAAAATTTGTACTCTGATATGTAAAAAGATGCAAAAGTATCACATCTATTAAATATTTATATTTAATATATATACTTTTATAAATTAAAGTGTAGCATAAATATAATTTAAATAATAGAGAAATTCAATGGACCGACGAAAAAGTTGAAATGGCCACTAAAATTTTCTTGTATATCACTGTGTCTATTTATATATTGAGTACTAAAAGAAAGAAAAATTCTGTTGTAAAATTATTCTAAGAAATAAGATCTTGTAAAATTCTGTTGAGTACTTTTCAAGAATTAAGTGGAAAGGAAAACAAAAAATAAAATAAACAAATAAGAAAACGACTACGTACTGTTAACTCACAAGTCCCAACCCACAGATCGAATGTAAATAATTGTTTATTGTGTGTGCTCTTTATCGCTAGAAAATGAACATCATGGGTGTTTGGGGCTCATTGGTCAAAACGATACAGCTAAATCATAGCTCAGTTATTTTTTTTTTTCATCGACGGAGTGGTCCAAGGGACAAAAAAATATTATGAAATATATAATAAAAATAATATTATACTTTACTTACTCAATTGATAAAATTCGAGAAGTTTCTCGTTTTTGTGTATAAATAAAAAGATCAATTAAATCACATGCTTCCGTTACACATCAAATATTTATAGTTATTGTAGGTTTATTATTATGCTTTATATCTTTTTTTTTAATTGTAATACGTTAAAAATGGAATTCAAATTAATTCTTTTAAGTTTTGTAGATGATTTCAATCATAAGTTAAATTAACTTAGTAATACCAAAGATCAGAAGAATTATACTATTTTTCAAATCCATCATCATTGTGTGTGTGATTTTTTTTTTTTTTTTTTTTTTTTTTTTCAAATCGCATGCATCATTGTGTGGTTGTGATTTTTTTTTTTTTTTTTTTTTTTTTTTTTTTTGGTATGTGTATTATGTGTTTTTTAATAATAGGGTAAAAAAGGTTTAAAGCCAATTCAAATTGCATCAACTTAAAAAAGGAAACACACATTCACATGCAGGTGATTTTCTAGTAGAATGGCCAGTCACTATCTTTGAATTCCCCCAAACAAAAAACTCATATATCACCCATATCCTCAAAAAGGATTTCTTGGATCCTCCATATTTGATAATTACAAGTTAATGATTTAGTTCCCTCCTAAAAAATAATAATAAAAAAAAAGGTTAATTTGCAATTTAACTAGTCCAATTAGAGTTAATTTGCCCAAATGGTAAAAAAAAAAAAAATCCATGAACTTCACACGTAAACGTCAGGATTACATAAAAATGGCAGGTATGTGGATACATAAAAAGTCAAAAAGTATCCTTTGTTTAGACATGAGGAGGTGACATCTCAACCAAAAGCAAAATGGTCATGTCCAAGTCTAAAAGACTAGAAGTTTTTTTTTATATTTATATACATATTTAATTATAAGGGCCTACCCTATTTCATTAGCTCTTTTTTCTTTTCTTTTCTTCTTTTTTTTTTTTTTTTTTTTCAAAGCAAAGTAAGTTCTTTGTCCATTTAATTAAGGGCCTTTGATGTATTGATTAGATGGTTGCTTTTTTTTTTTTTTTTTTTTTTTTTTTTTTTTTTTTTTTTTTTTTTTTTTTTTTTTTTTTTTTTTTTGGAAAATGAGGTCTAAACTTCAGAATATGGTAACAAGGATGATGCTTAATTTAGTAGCAAAAGATGCATTATGTCATCCCAAATCTCACTTTCTTCTTTAAATTTAGTTGTTAAATATTCCATACTGTATGAGTTGATTATCATGGTTTGTTAATTTGGGAAAAGACTAAACCATCGACTAATTATTTGATTAGATTCATTGCAGAATCTAATTAATAAATAATCTTTGTTCAATATTTATTTGAGACACGAGAGATTTTAAATACAATTAATTTTATTTGTTGTCTAACAGCAGTTAATATTAAGAAATAATTACATATATAAAAATATATATGATATTGAGTAAAATCTCATGCAATTGAAAATGATCAAGTTGCTTTATACTTTTTGTCCGTGTTAATTAACTTTTTTTTACTTTTAAGCGCGATTTAATCTAATGTCATTAATAAACTTGTCTATCTAATTCCACGTTAATGATTGTTTGAATTGAATTTAAATTTTTTTTAAAAAAATCTGAAACATCACATTCAAATTGTGAATTTCTTCGAAACGTCCTTGACGTTTCCATCTGCAATAAAAATTCCATTGCTTGGCTCCGAAGGGTTAGAAGTTACTGTGTCAACATTGTTCTTTATATCCTGGTGATCTGCGGTGGACGGGTAGTTGAGGACATTTTCCATTATTTGGAAATTTATGTACATCCAACAATAAGACAAAAAAGTTTACTCTATGCATAACACAAATACCCTTTATTAATATTTTGGTATAGACAAAAATTTAAATTCTCACAATTTTCTTGAAATAAAAAAAGAAAATCAAAATATAAGACTAAAATGGCTATTTTGCATGGGTTAAAGAAGCTAAGATATCAATTGCAATGGCAGGTTGTGAACTGCCAAAGAGAAAACGAAACTGTAATAAATCACCAATTGTTTGTTTCTGTTCCTAAAATGGGTTGGAGGAAATGCATCATTATTAATAATTATTTGAGACAAAAATTAATGATTATATATTTACGTATTGGTGCATGTGTTTCAATTGTTAGACTTTGTATAATTAATTATATTATATATACATATCTTTAATGTGGTGGGTATGGTGGAATCCAACTCCCAACTTTTGGAAACACACCCATCACATAACAAAATCCCTACTTTATTTTTATATTTGGACCTTACAACTAATTCAAATTTAATTGTATAATATATATTTTCCCAAAGTCCCCACGACAACGAATTTTAACCCGATGGTAGGAAATAAATTTAATAATAATAATCGATATACAAAAAATACAATTGAAAAAAAGAAATAGTAATAAAAAGAGAGAGTTTTTTTTTTTTTTTTTTTTTTTTTTTTTTTTTTTGATGGAATTATAGATGTTTCATTGTGCAGTAATCAAAGCGATGAACAATAACAGGATTTTTTTTTTTTTTTTTTTTTTTGATGGAATTATAGATTGTTTCATTGCTGCAGTATCAAAGCATGAACAATAACAGGAGGAGGAATCAAAAACCACTCCCCTACATCTGGCATAGAATGAGAAAGGTCATAGAATAGGAATTCAAATAAGCAAAATAAAATTTTACTTTTTCATTTATTTTAATAAGTTTTATGATTGGTATGTTGCCTCTTAAGATAAGAAATGTTTATGTCTAAGTGTAAAGGAGGTGTGTGTCCTTGTGTCATGCGATGTGAATTATAAATTTGTATTTTCAAAATCGAAATTATTTCTTAATTCGTGCTAAATTTATTAAACTAAATTTTTGACTCATTAAAAGATGAAATTTATTAATATTTCATGCAATATTAAGGACTCGATATTTTAATTAAGGCCTTGGAGAAAAATTAACAGAAACAACCCAATTAAAAATGTTAATGGGCCTCTATGTTTGGGTCACCTTGGGCCTCATACAGTGAATAAGGAAGTTGGCGACAGCCCAAATCTTTGTCTTTGTCTTTGTTTATACATACGACCGTTAAAGACACGTGTCCTTCCCTTGTTAGGGTTCACGATCTTCCCGTAACGCGCTGGCGCTAACCCAAACCTGAGACAGTGGTAGGGTTTAAAAAGAAAGAGAGAGAAAATAGTTAGGGTTTTAGAGAACTCAGCTTAGAGCATTTGAACTATTTTGTAGCAGAGGAGGAAGCAATGAGTTTCTGGGGTAAGTGTTGCCATCATTTTCCTTTGTATTCCCATTTCTGGTATCGTGAATTTACGATTCTCCTATTTTCTGGGTTTCCATTTCTTTTATGTGTTGATCACCGAGAAATCGTGGGAAAAATTGGAATCAGCAGTCGGATAAGTCTGTTATTGGATTTCCTGAGATTTTGAATTTTAAATGTTTTATTTGACCTATATGCTCGTTTTGATCAGGAATTGAAGTCAAACCAGGCAAACCGCACCCTTACCACTCTGATAATGTGGAAGGAAGACTTTACGTAACTCAGGTTCCAATCCCTTATTCTCTCAAAATCTTTGAGATTTAACTAGAGCATGGACTTTAAAATTGCTTGCGATTTTCTTTGAGCTTTGTACGTTTTAGAATCAGTAATTAGATAGATTAACTTTTCAAGCTATTATGAAATATTATTGGCTTTTGTGGATCTTAATGGAGTTCATTCCTTTCTGTTAATATTCTTTTGAACGTTCTGTTATCATTTATGTCTAATTTGGTTATATGTTACAGTGCTACGGAAAATTTTTCTGCTACATTGTTGAAAATTTTCTACTATCCTTTATACCTGTTAGATATTTTTCTGGTTGCTTTTGTGCTATACTGTGTGTATTTCATGGGAGGAGGGGTCTGGTAACGTTATGATAGTAATCACATTTTGTTTGATTGGATGATTGATTTTCCATGTATTAGCAACAACTGCCACATGTTCTCACGCACCCTTTCCTTTCCAGCTTTTTGCAAGATATCCTTTATTATGTGAAGGGACAAAATATAGGCTCAGATTCTTGCCATTTGCTTCAGATTTTTTGAGAATTTTTCTGACTTAACATTATGAACTTATACTATAATGTGGGATAAATTGAAAGAATTGAATGATCGTTATTGCCTTATTGAGAGAAAATGGGAAGTCACTTCACTGTCATGTCAATCATATTTGCCTTTTTATTTGTGCTAATTCTTTTGACAGCTTGAGCTTTTCTGTGATTATGATTTCTTTCTTTCTTTCTTTTTTTTTTTTTTTTAAATGTTTCATTGTTATGAACTTTGAGTTTTAGTTGGGCCCACAATTAATTGAGGTGTTGAATATCTTTATAGATTTGCTATTGATATTGTTCTGTTGGTTTCATGACACTCCTTATTTATTTTTGGTTGCTAATATTTTTGTTGTCATGATTCAGGCAACATTAGGCCTCGGTTCCTCAGAAGAGAGAAGTATACTCCAGTGTTCTGTTGGGCATAAAAGTCCGATTTTCTTGTGTTCCTTGTTACCAGATAGAATTGAATCTTGCTCCTTGAATCTTGAATTCAAGGATGAATTAGTAGCCTTCTCAGTGCTTGGTTCACGAAGCATTCATCTATCAGGCTACTTTCTGTCCAGTGAAGGAGATCATCTCCGAGATGAATATGAATTGTATCCTTTTGTCTTTTGTCTTTGGGGATTTAATTTGAATTTTTGGTGGCTTTATATTCTATCTCTCCTTGTGCTCCTTCAATGTCTAAAAATGACATTGTTTGATTAAATGATTCTGTTGTTCGGTTGTTCATTTCTTACTACAATCATAGTGATTCTGGAGAGGACATTGAGGAGACAGACACAGAAGATTCAAGTGTTGATTATGACGATGAAGATGAGGATGAATATGATGATGACTTCATTGATGATGGTGACTTTGACATGCTGCCATCTTCAACTGTTCCCAATAGTGGAGGTAAAGTATGTTTGCGTAAATGTGCATGCTTGCACACAAGATTCATTTTTTTTTGTTGCTGGTACTTTATCATTTATGTTACATGATTTATTTTATGACTTTTTTAGTGGGTTCCATCCAACATGGTTTACATGTTTAATTGAATTTTTATCTAGTTCCAACACGGTCACAATTCTGAACTTTATACAAGAGGAATGTATTGGTATATAGTAAGTTTTGGGCAAAACGAAGTCACTGGCATTTAGCTAATGTGGCATGTTCTTGAAGTTGTATATAGACATTATTTAAAACATTGGTTAAACAGAATTTTAAAATTTGACAAAATTTCCCCCTTGAAATGTAATATGGATCGGATACGCCCATGGGAAAAGTTTGCTCAATATTTTTTTTTTTGTAGTTTGCTCAATATTTTTTTTTTGTGTGTGCATGTTGGTGTGTGTGTGTAGTGTGTGTGTATATATTATATATAATATTAATTATGCCTCAGATATATATATATATATATATATATTATGCCTCGTTTTTGCTGCATTTTCTTGTTATCAATGTATAAAAGTACATGATTTTTTTATCGAAAGGTAGGTAAATTTTTGTGAGTGAGTTGCGGCAGCGGACTGAACTATTATTAAAATTTTCCTTGATTCTAGTTGTAATTGAGGAGATAGTGGACGAGGACAAACCTACAAATGGAGACGGTCGGTCTAAACAATCAAAGAAGAGGAGTAATCAATCAAGTGACCGTGAGGACCGAAATAACTCCCAACAGCAAATTGTTACTAGGAAGGCTGCTGATACTTCAGTTCTAGAAAGTGAAGATGAAGATGGCTTTCCAATTGATGCTTCACAAAAAGGCAAAGATGCTCAGGAACTAGATGGAGAGAAAGATAAGTTAGCCGAGGAAACCAAGAGGAAGCCAAGAGATGGCAGTGGGGATGCTACTGGAAAAAAGAGGAAAGTTGAAAGTGCTGACCAGGATGTACAACCAGTCAGGTTGGTAATCCCACCAGTTAAAATTATTTCTTCAAAAATAGTTGTTTTTTCTTTTTTTATTTTTATTTTTTAATTTTGTTTGTTGGCTTGATTTTAGCAAACTTAGGAGACCTTTCAGTTGTGTTATTAGGTTATGCTTCTCACAATCAGGCAGCCTGCTATTTATTGTTTCATCAGTGGTATCTATTGAACTATATGCTATATTTGATGTCAGGAAAAAGAAGGATAAGCAGAAAAAAAAGGGTCAAGGGGTAAACACTGATGAAAATTCATTACATGACAATCACAAAGATGATATGTCCAAAGATGGTATCAAGCATGAAAAGGTGAAGAAGCAGGATTCTCCTGTTGAAAATAAGCATGACCAGAGGTGAGAACTTCAATTTCATTTTATGCCTGCATGATATTTAGGGAAATTGCTTGCACGGGTGAATGCAACAAATACTGAAGATTTATTCTCCTCCATGATGCCTCATCACAATGCTTTTAAGTTTTGAGTTTCTACATCTATAATTCAATCTATCCCTATTCCCTCCTTTATTCCTACCTAGCAAAGAGGTAATATAAACATAAAACCTGACAACAGTTAAGGGTTCTTACAATGTTCAATCTATTTTATCTTACATGCTCACACATGCGTGCTGTATGTAAATATACAGTTGAATGTGCACACTCATCCGATGTATGGTTATGTCACAGGCTATTAGGCTTACACTAATATGATTCTTTTAGATTTACATAAACATGTTGCTGGATGGATTGCAGGGGTGTTGACACTGATGCAGACAATGTGCCTGGTGAAAATAACTCTGACAAGAAAAAGAAGAAAAAGAAGAAGAACAAGAAGAACAAGGATACTGGGGAAGACGTGAGTAAGGATCAAACTATTTCAGTAGCAGGAGGTGAGGCCAAATCCACTCTGGAGTTCCAGGATAAGCAATCTTCAGTCAAGCCTTCACAAGTTAGAACCTTTCCCAATGGTTTGGTTATTGAGGAGATAGCAATGGGCAAGCCAGATGGTAAAAAAGCTTCTCCTGGATGTCAGGTAACTCTTTGGCCATTGGGTGTTTTGCACATGACAAGCTTCCCAATGCTTTTTTAAGGTTGTTTATTTCAATTTCATATATCTCCTTCTTCCTATGATGTCAAATGGACAACTGACAGACGAGCTTGCTGAAATAACTATGTAAACTAGAGAAATATCTTGAAGTTGCACGAGTATTTGCATGTTTTGGAGTTGATTGATTACCTGATACTTACTGGCTTTTTTCATGGTCATTTGGTTTCTATAACCAAAAGATGCATAGATTATTTCGATGGAGTAGATTTTGAGGTTGAAGTGCATGCATTTTAGGCATTATAAGGTTTAAATGCTTAAAACCACAACTTAATTTTTGCTGGATTTTTTTTTTTTTTTTTTTTTTTATTTTTGATGGATTTTTTTTTTTTTTTTTTTTTTGGTACGTAACAATTGGATTAATTTTTTTTTTTTTTTTTTTTGGTACGTAACATTGGTTAATTTGAACTATTATCTGACTGGAAAGGATCTGTTATTGGGTTTCAGGTCAGTGTGCACTACATTGGAAAGCTAAAGAAGAATGGCAAAATATTTGATTCTAATGTGGGAAGGGCACCCTTCAAGTTCCGCCTAGGTACTAGAACATTTGGATAACTGATAATAGAAACTTGGTTCTTTGATGATGATAATTATTTTCTTTTTTGGTCCTTCAGGTGTAGGACAAGTTATAAAAGGATGGGATGTAGGAGTTACAGGTAACTATCTTGTTTATTAAGATTTAAATACTTGTTATTTCTCCTCTGCCCTTCGGCATTATATTTACATGTATGTATGGTTAATTGGTTACTCCTCAGGCATGAGAATTGGGGACAAAAGAAGACTCACGATTCCACCATCAATGGGGTAAGCAATAACTATAAATCAGCATAGGTTAATTTTGGGGGCTGCTATTGCATCTTTTCTTTAGGATGTTATGAATTCATTTTCTTCTACTTATACATAGTAACTGTAAGGACTCACATATAAATGGGGATCTCCAGATCAGTTGATATCTATTTGTTATCCTCTACACCCAGTTTCCCTGCTGAAGTGAACTTTTATTGTGCATGCAGTTATGGAGATAGGGGAGCTGGCAAGGCTATACCGCCAAATTCGTGGCTTGTGTTTGATGTTGAGCTGGTGAATGTTCGGTGATCCGCCGCCTGCACCTTTTTCAGTTTTGAAATCCATTTCTTATCGCAGACTTAAATGAAGCTTTGAAACTTGTTGTCTAAATGACAAGGTTGTTTACACTAGTTCTTGTTACTGTCTAATAACGCATCTGAAATCAGATTTGTTAGATGGATGAGAGCTGAAATTTTTGGGGAAGGAAAGAAATGAATGAAAACTTGAAAGCTTGAATGAAAATATCAATCATCTTATAGACCGACACAGTATGTTGTTCATTATTGTTCTCCTTTGAACAGCTTGGCTTTATCGTGTCCAATATCTATATACCGATTGAACAGTTCGGTTTTAAGAGAGAAGAATCTTTCTGTTGCTTCGTTTTAAATATAATATGGGGATCGTGTCTCACTGCTTAAGTTCAGATAGTTTATATTGCAAACCCATGCTAGCAATTCAGCAACTTGAACATTTATATTGCATAATAGCACCTAATGGGAGGGGACACTGTTATTCATTGTCATTTCAGGTATTGATATCTCAGTTACAACCAACTTTCGTCCTAGCGAAATTTCAAAATTCTCATATGTAAAAAGCATTCTCCAAACATTCAAATAAACACTGTTATTCGTTTTTAGCTAAATTAATCGCTTAGATTTTTCCGTCCTCATCCTCTTTTCTCAACGAACAATATGCTGATTCTGCATAGTACAATACTGGAACCACACTAGACGGTTTTGGAATGCCAGATTTTGGGGAGCGCATTTAATTTACCGCGGCTGGAAACTGAAGAACGAGTTAGGATTTTATTTTAAATATTTTTCTTTTCGAGGGTTTTGGTAATTGAGAAACCTTGTTGCTCATTTGTCGTTTTTTCAATGCCAGTAGAAATGGCCCTGTAGCCAACTAAGTATCAGGATCGGGCAGTTCCCAGTCTTTCGGCTTTAAAGTAGTTATAGAGAATAAGGCACCTGTATTCTGTCTTACTACAAGAAATAGTTTTAAGGCTATGATTGCTAATAATTTAGTGGAATATAAATTCAATAGATGGCTGGATCATTGGACAGGCCAGTTTGCCATTTGGCGTGTGTATACTTAAGGGATGAACTTTTCGATAATAATCTAATTGCAGCTCTAGAAATCATGCTGATACAGTTATTTTCTTTATAGAAATAAACTTAAGATCACACTAACAAACAAAATCGAACTCAAGATAATCACCCTGCTTTATTAAACCACATCCGGTGGCAGTTTTTAAATTAAACCACAAAGGATTGTTTCATCTACTTTCAACTTCCCCGCTGGCAAAAGCCCTAAACACAAAGCAAAAACCATGTTTCTGAGTACAGACGTGACGCTTATTGAGACACTGCCTAGGAAAACTAATTAGTAAAACAGTAGTGAATTAATATGGTTGCACTGGTGCTCTGAATTTTGCTCCGGCATAGACTGCAGCAGATCCAAGCTCTTCTTCTATCCTAAGAAGCTGCCGTGGGAAGATAAAATGAAGTTAATATCCCAAAAAAGCAGGAGAGTGCTGTTTAAGCTATTTTCTTGGTTGCAATGCATTTCTCTATTACCTGGTTGTATTTAGCTAGACGCTCTGATCTGCAAGGAGCTCCAGTCTTGATCTGACCCTGTTTTACAGTAAAGAACAAACAACGGAAGATGAGCTCAAGGCGACAACACTAGAAGCGTGACGAGGTAAAACACAGCAGAAATGGGCAACAAAAAAAATAAAAAAAAAAAAATTGTGATGAGGTTAGATACCGTGGCCAATCCAACAGAGAGATCTGCTATGAAAGTATCTTCAGTTTCACCACTGCAGTGAACAAGGAGAACCATGTAAGCAACATGACATTCCAGATATTAGAAAAATAATTATAAAGCCGAACTACAAAAAAATAAAGGAGGCACCTCCTGTGGCTAGCCATTACACCCCAGCCAGCTTTTTTGGACATTTTCACAGCTTCAATACTTTCAGTTACAGAACCAATTTGATTCACCTGACAGATTATAAAATAGCAAGTTAATACTTTTTAGGTTTGTTCAATTTAATTACCATGGAAATTCCCCTTTCATTTAAAATGTTAAAACAAATTCGCTTTAAAGGGAGAACATTTAGTACCTTCAACAAAAGAGCATTGCAGGTCTTCTCTTTGATGGCCTTCTCCACTCGCTGTCATAAGAGCAAAACATTTAATGTCACTAGGCATTCCATTTTAAATTCTATTCCCACATCATCACACATTATGCGGAATATATTAATCTTAAGAATTAATTAACTTAAACTCCAGGTAATCTCTTCACCTTGGGATTTGTGACAAGGAGATCATCGCCAACAATCTGCACCTTCTCACCAATTTCAGCTGTCATCTTCGAGTAGTGCTCCCAATCATCCTGATCAAAGGGATCCTCAATGGATACAATTGGATAATCAGTCACAAATGACTTGTACACATTCTTCAAGCTTTGGCCTGAAATCTTCTGTGATCCGTCATTTTTCTGCAAGAGGAAGAAATTCACAGGCTCAGACACTTGAGCATTTAAGATAACCCAGTCATTCTCAGTAGACAAAAGTGGATATGACATTGTTAAACTCATATAATCAATTCAAGCTTCTCTATTACCTCTTCCTTAAAATTCAAGTCATAGGTCTTATCTTTGTTGTCATAGAATTCCGAAGCAGCAACATCCATCCCAATTACAACCTATCAGGAGTTCCAGGAAACTAATAAGATTATAGGACGACAATAGAAATGTTTAGACATCAGGCTATTCGCCATACCTTTCCGGTGTATCCAGCTTTCTCTATGGCTGTCTTCAGCAATTCAAGTCCCTCCTTGTTTTCCTGCATATCAAACTTTATGGTTGAAGATCCGCATGAAATCATCTAGTTATAACAAAAGAAACACCAACAAATGCACAATTGTACCACCACTTAATCAATTATTCAGTTCATACTTCAAATATGCAAATAACTGGCATTATTAGAACTTAAAAGATTTAAACAGAATTACAATTCTTTTTCAACGTAAGAACTGCCACATGTATATAGTTATGAGCAACTGCAAACCTGAATATTTGGTGCAAAGCCACCTTCATCTCCCACATTGGTGGCATCCTGTCCATACTTCTTCTTTATCACAGCCTGAAAATAGCAATAAAATCACAGATAAACTATGCAGTACATGTTACCCAATATACAAAATCAAACTGAGATAAAAGATGAGAATAAACACCTTCAGGTGGTGATATACTTCGACGCCCATCTTCATAGCTTCTTTGAAAGATGATGCACCGACAGGAAGAATCATGAATTCCTGTAGAAATGAAAAACGTTAAGAACAATCAATAGTTCACACAGAGAGGCAAAAGAAACACTCAACTACGGTTTAAGTGGGTTTCTTCCCTCATTATTACCTGCATTGCCAGTTTATTGCCAGCATGGGAACCTCCATTGATGACATTGAAAGCAGGAACTGGCAGAACCAAGGACTTGTTTCCAGCAAGATTTGCTATATGCTGTTAAATGAGACAAGACAACTATTAAACTATAACAACTGCAATGAAACAGCTGATGTGCTAAACAGCACAATATACCATTACAATACATGCCTGGTAAAGGGGGATCTCCTTGACAAGAGCACCTGCTTTGCAAACAGCAAGGGAAACTGCTAATATAGCATTTGCTCCAAGCTGGAATAATCAAAGAGGGTATGAAATCACAATTAGCATAAGAGAAAAAAAGTCATTAACTGTTCAAATCAATGTCCTGCCAACAGCTTTAATCTAAAGCTGATTCACAAAGTGGGAGATTACCTTCTGTTTGCACCAACCCCATTCATTAACTGTTCCATCGAGTTGTTGTACCATAAAATTATCAAGTTGGGTTTGCTCTGTTGGGTCCTGTAAAATTTCAAAAGTCACTGACATTGAGTATTGCAGTTGAAATTCAGGAAATATACAAATTAAACGCACCAAATCCACATATTACCTTGCCAATCAGGGCTGGTCCAATAATGGAATTCACATTCTCCACAGCCTAGATATCATCGAGGAAAAAGATCACTTAAAATTGAAAATGCATCCTAGACATTCTTGCTAAACTTTTTCCCCAGTACAATAAAACAGATTACTGGCTTACTGGGATAAAAATAAGCAAAAAATAACTCCAATAATTAACAAACAAAAGCTGGCATAATCTTAGAAAAGAATCAAAACATACCTTAAGGACACCTTTCCCAAGATAGTCTGATCCCCCATCTCTCAACTCTAGAGCTTCATAGATACCTTTCACAAGAAAAATCAGACATGAATTAGTGACAACCACACGAGTTAATAAAGATCGCAAAAATATGCGGCTAAATGCGGATCAGAAAAGTTCATAACACCATCAATACGATATATAAACGGTAAGTCTAACCATCAATAGATCATGGAAAAAAAGGGTATTTACCAGTTGAAGCACCGCTTGGCACAGCAGCTCTAGCTACTTTTCCATCGGTTAGTTTGACGTCAACCTATTATTAATCAACATTCATCAGTAAATGACACAAATCACAGAGCAAGGGAAAAAAAAATCTATTTAGATTGACTCTAAAATTGCAAAAACAACTGAGACACAATAACCTATTAAAGAAAACTCTAATCTTCTCATTAAATGAAATGATAAAAATAAAATATAGATCATAAGGAGTGTAAATGTGTAATAGAAAATCCAGAACAAATGTCTGAAACAATCAGAGATCAAACGGCTGAACATGGAATAGAACTCACTTCAACAGTGGGGTTTCCACGGCTGTCGAAAATTTGACGGGCCTTGACAACCTTAATAGTAGCCATTATAGTTTCTTTCCTCGATCGGGCTGAGCTGAGGTATTTTCTTTTTCAGTTTTTTTTTTTTTTCTGAGAAAATAACAATTACACTTTGCTATTGGTGTGTTTTTGCTGGATATTTATAGATATACCAATGGGGTCACCAGAAGGTCTAAACGACGGGTAGCCAAAAAGCAAGGGTAGTTAGTGATTTTACTTTTTCTTGCCTGCGCATCAAATGGAATATGCGAAACAGGGTGCGGGCAGGTTTTTTGACCAAGAAAGCAAGAAAGCTAAACGATAACTGTAAAAGGTAAAACCGTAAAAGTGAATGATTAATACTGAGGAATGCGTTTAAAGCAGCAATTTTCCTGCACGTGCGCCCACGGGTTTTAATTAACGAACGACGGCCAATTCATGTGAGATAGCTAATTGTTTTTGAGCATTGGAAAATGGGTAATTGCCATATGGCCCATAAGTTTTGTTCAAATCTCTAGTAAAAACCTCAATTTTTCAAATTACACTATTTAATTTATGCATTATAATTCCGTTATACAACGAGGTTTAACCACTATTTTTTCTGTTAACTAATTCTGAAATATTCAAACTATTTTTGAAAATGAATATTATGTAATGTTTATTTCTATCTCTCATTGATTAGAGTTAAATGTTAATTCAAAATATAATATTTGAACAATTTTTCCGTTCGATTAGCTTTTGGAGAGTGAACTAAATCTGATCTATTTTATTTTTATTTAACCTATATATAGTTATCCCCTAGAAAAATAGGGCACAAACAGTAATTGTTCCCTTGTAAGCGAAATGCATACTTTTATATAAAAGTTCAGGTGGGAACAATCTCATTTTCTTTATCATCTAAAACATGGCTTGTGGGTCTAATTTGCAAAACCATTCAAAACAACCAAGGGAAACTATAACGGCCGCCCTTTGCTCTTTCTGTGTGTGTGTATTTTAGTCTAACCATAAACTCCATCATCACATCCATCACCCAAAACGCCTTTCGAAAACACTGCCGTTTTATTCTCTATTTCACGAGCTTGAACGCGAACGCTCCATTCATTTTACCAGCACTTCTCCTTGTTAGCGCTGAAATTTTTAAAATGCCCATATGAATATTCGTTTATTAGGGTACGTTGAAAACGACAATCAAAGAAGCAAATTTTCGAACGACAGAGTAAGGCAAGCTCGAGTCACTGGACTGGACGCCCTTTTCTCATGCCTCCTGATTGTCATATTCTGAGATGCTGAAATCAGATGCTCGCATGGAGAAAGTGAAGAGTTGGCTTTTGGCTGAGTAGAGAAACAAAGGCGATGTGCCAAGAAATAAGACAATAGAAGATTGAAGTAATGATTTCCTTTTCCTTTTATTTCAGTTTGCCATTTCATTAACCATCCAATTAAAAGTAAACCAACTTAATTATGAGTGCAACTAGCATAAGTTGTTTGAAGTCGCTCTCAGCAACCGTAGCTTATTTGAAATGTACATCTACGATTTATCTGTTAAGGAGGCTGTTCAAATGGTTATTATGACCATCTGATTTTTAATCTATGAACAAGATTATCATAGGTATAAAAAGTCCACACAATGGACAAGGAAGAGGAAACCAGTTCATCATCATCTATGTAGTATTGTTGTTGTGTGCAAGGCATGCCATTTCCGCATTGCATTTTGTTGCATATTTTGCTAGTTTTCTTTCTCTCATAAGGATTGGCCCTGCAAGTTTCTTCCATTTTATCTCAAAAAAATTAAAACAAGAAAACAAAAGAGGAAAGTAGCCGTTTTTGACTTTCTGTAACAAAAGTAAAGAGAAGAAAAGCCCAAATCACAGAGGGCCGGTGATGTTGATGTGGCGACACAGGTAAAGAGATGATGCAAAAGTTATATGGTCCCATGTGAGGTGCTTGTTCGATACAATTGACCTTTTTTTTTAATTAATCAGTGATTAATGAAAGAGAAGTCTGACCTCGAAGTTGGCTAGAAGCTTCCCCAAAAATACATTAAATACATTAATCATTAATCAAAAAGGCATAACATATGCCTGTTCCCATTAACTTTCTAACTACACCTCACAGTCTCCACTCCTTTATAACTTCTGCTACAAAAGCTTCCTCTTCAATCTTTTCTTTATCTTCAAAACACTTTTGAAGAAATTCCCACTTATATATTCCTTCTGCCACTACAACATCCATTTCTAGCTTCTTTTTATTGACGTTATTTTCTTTCTTGTACAAACATGTTCGACTTTACACTGGAATTGATCGCTCGAGCTGCTTCCAACTCTCTTATCGTATTCTGCTTCTGCAATTTGATTGTAGTGTTGATCCTCGTAGGATCAAAACCTGGTCCCAATCCCCATAAAAAAACTCAAGTTCCTCTTTTGAAAGTCAACAACCTTAACGCAAACAGAAAACAAGAACTACTTGTGGCTAAGCATTCGGTTGGTGGAAACAATATGTTAATAAATTTTAACCAAGGATCAAAATTTTTCCGGGAAGCACCTGTTGCCGTCAACGAGAATGGAAATGGAAACCACAATGATAACGATGAATTTAGAAGAAGAGTTGAAGAATTCATCGATAAAGTCAACAGAGGATGGAAGACGGAATCAAGCTTAGCATAAGATCATCGCGAACACTGCTGTGCAATGATTTCCCGAACACCTAAAAAATTATTTGTAGTTGTTGTAACAACTCTTTTACTTTTTTCCAATTGCTTTTCAAAACCTTATATTAAAGGCTTGGGACAGGTGGTGGTGTTGATTAGTTGAGAAATATTAGAGAAATTCCATACATGCGCAATCGCTCGCGCTTAATTGAGTTTTTGCTTTACCTGTTATTGATTAGTTGAATTTGAACTACTATCTGACAGGAAACGATCTGTGATTGGGTTCCAGGTCACTGTAAAATATTATAAAATTGATTATTTAATAGACTATATCAGCTCAAAGGCTATGAGTGCTGAAGGATTTCCTTCGTAGAGACGGAACTCAAGCATCGCATTAACAAACAAAATCAAACTCAAGGTATCATTCCCACATAAAAACTAACTCGGGGTATGTAAAAACAATTTTACAGAATCAGGTTTTCAACTTCTCTGCTGGTAAGAACCGTAATCTGCAATGCAAAAACCATGTTCCTGCGTACAGATTCGATGTGCTTATTAAAATACTGCCTCAAGACTAAATAACAAGATAGCGCCCGATAAAAACAGGCAGCCTGGTAGTGCCCTAATAAGGTTCAACCGGTGCTCTGAAATTTGCTCCAGCATAGACTGCAGCAGATCCTAGCTCTTCTTCTATCCTGAGAAGCTGAGGTAGGAAAAATAAAGATGTGGTCAATCAACTATCCACAGAGCAAGAAAGGGAGCTGAGAAACTATCTTCTAGCAAGGCATTTCTCTTTTTACCTGGTTGTATTTAGCAAGACGCTCTGATCTGCAAGGAGCTCCGGTCTTGATCTGTCCCTGTTTTAGAGCAAAGAACAAAGACTGGAAGATGAGCCCGAGGCAACAGCACTAGAACCAATACATAAGTGTGACATACAGTAAAACAAACTGCTGACATAGGAAACCAAAAAAAAATTGCAAAGGATGTTAGCTACCGTGGCCAATCCAACAGACAAATCTGCTATGAAAGTATCTTCAGTTTCACCACTGCAGTGGACAAGGAGAACCATGTAAGCAAAATGACATTCCGAATACAGGAAAATTAATTACAACGCCAAAAAAAAATGCACCTCCTGTGGCTAGCCATTACACCCCATCCAGCACGTTTGGACATTTTCACAGCTTCAATACTTTCAGTAACTGAACCAATTTGATTCACCTGACAGATTATGAAATAACAAGCTAAACATTTTAACTTTTTAGATCTAATTAAATATATTCACCTCTCATTTGAAAATGCAATTGAAAGGCAGAGATCCAAGACCAGCCAAAGCATCAAAACAAAACCCCTTGCAAGGGAGAACAGTTGGTGATTAATACCTTCAACAAAAGAGCATTGCAGGTCTTCTCTTTGATGGCCTTCTCCACCCGCTGTCATAAGAGCAAAACAGTTAACACCACTAGCCTAATCATTTTAAATCCTATTCTAATAGGCATCATCACAATTCACACATTATACAGAATATTTTAACTGAAAGAATTAATCAACTTAAACTTCAGGTCATCTTTTCACCTTGGGATTTGTAACAAGCAGATCATCACCAACAATCTGCACCTGCTCACCAATTTCAGCCGTCAACTTTGAGTAGTGCTCCCAATCATCCTGATCGAAGGGATCCTCAATGGATACAATTGGATAGTCAGTAACAAATGACTTGTACACATTCTTCAGACTATCGCCTGAAATCTTCTGCGATCCATCATTGTTCTGCAAGATGAAGAAATTCAGGGGCTTAGAGCCTTAAGCTTTTAACATGACCCAGTCACTTAAGCAGACAAAAGTGAAGATGACACTGTCAGAATCACATTATAAATTCGAGCTTCCATATTACCTCTTCCTTAAAATTCAAATCGTATGTCTTGTCTTTGTTGTCATAGAATTCTGAAGCAGCAACATCCATCCCAATCACAACCTAACAAGAAGTTCCAGGAAACTAATAAGACTATGGGAGGATTATAGAAATGTTTAGACATCAGGCTATTAGTCATACCTTTCCTGTATATCCAGCTTTAGCTATGGCAGTCTTCAGCAATTCAAGACCCTCTTTGTTTTCCTGCAAATCGAACATTATGGTTGAAGATCTGCAAGGACTCATCACTGACCAATGCGCAATTGGAACACTACTTATCGTTTGCTCAGTTTTCACATGCAGAATTACTGGCATTAGAACTTAAAAAAGATCTAAAAGAATTACAATCCTTTTTCAACATAAGAACTGCCACATGAACATAGTTATGAGCAACTGCAGACCTGAATATTTGGTGCAAAGCCACCTTCATCTCCCACATTAGTGGCATCCTGTCCATACTTCTTCTTTATCACAGCCTGAAAATACATGCAATAAATCACAGATAAAACATATGGTACTCGTCACCCAATATACAAAAACGAATTGAGGGAGAGGGAAAAAACAAGAAAAAACACCTTCAGGTGATGATACACTTCCACACCCATCTTCATAGCTTCCTTGAAAGACGATGCGCCAACAGGGAGAATCATGAATTCCTGTAGAAAAGATAAGTGTTAAGAACAACCAATGATTGACAGAGATAAGCAGTTGAACCACACAACCATCACTTAAGTGGGTTTTTCCATAATATTACCTGCATCGCCAGTTTGTTGCCTGCATGGGAACCTCCATTGATGACATTGAAAGCAGGTACTGGCAAAACCAAGGATTTGTTTCCAGCAAGATTTGCTATGTGCTGTTAAATGAGATGAGCCATCAATGCAAGTGTCAGAACTGCAACAAAACAGCTGAAGTGCAAAACAGCACATTATAACTATACCTTTACAACACATACCTGGTATAGTGGGATGTTCTTGACAGTAGCACCCGCTTTGCAAACAGCAAGGGACACTGCCAATATTGCATTTGCTCCAAGCTGGAATAATCAAGATGGTAAAAATCCCAATTAGCACAAGAGAAATACAAGGCATTAACTGTTCAAAATGTTCTGCCAACAGCTTTTATTTGAAGCTGATTCACCAAATGCAAGATACCTTCTGTTTGCACCAACCCCATTCATTAACTGTTCCATCAAGTTGTTGCACCATAAAATTATCAATTTGGGTTTGCTCTGTTGGGTCCTGTAAAATGTAAAAGTCACTAACATTGAGCGCCTGCAATAAGACTCAATAGCCCTTGAAATCCAGGGCATATACAAATTAAATTCACCAAGTTCCATATATTACCTTGCCAATCAGTGCTGGTCCAATAATGGAATTCACATTCTCAACGGCCTATATGTCACCAAGGTTAAGATCATTAGAAATTGAAAATGCATCCTAGACATTCTTGCTAAACTTTTTCCCCGGAACAATAAAACAGATTACCGGCTTACTTGGATAAAAATAAGCAAAAAATAACTCCAATAATTAACAAACAAAAGCTGGTATAACCTTAGAAAAGAATCAAAACATACCTTAAGGACACCTTTCCCGAGATAGTCCGATCCCCCATCTCTCAACTCTAGAGCTTCATATATACCTTTTCCACGGAAAATCAGACATGAATTACTATGCCACTGAGTGATGATTGCGAAAATTTGCAGCTAAACGCGGATGAGAAAAGTTTCGTAGCACCATCATATGATTACATAAACGATAATCTAACTATCAATAGATCTGAAAAAAAAAAAAAAAACCTAAAGCAATAGAAGGGTATTTACCAGTTGAAGCACCGCTTGGCACAGCAGCTCTAGCTACGGTTCCATCAGATAGTTTGACATCAACCTATTATTCAATCAACGTTCATCGGGAAATCATACATATCATAGAAAGAAAAAAAAAACATATCTATTTAGATTGATTCTAGAATTGCGAAAAAAAAATTCGAGAAAACTCTCTGTTGCTTATTAAATCAAATGATAAAAATAAAACATATCAATCTAAAATAATATAGATCAAACGGCTGAAAATGGAATGGAACTCACTTCGACAGTGGGATTTCCACGGCTGTCGAAAATTTGACGGGCCTTGACAACCTTAATAGTAGCCATTCAAGTTTCTTCGATCGGACTGAGATTTTCTTTTCAGTTTTTCTTGAGCCAGTGAATTTAACTACACTTTCTTAGGGTTTTTCTGCGGGATATATATATATAGTAGTATAGTAGAGTGCTCACGAGACAAGGGTAGACAAATAGCAGCCGTCGATAGTGGCAAAGTGAGGGACTATTTGGTTGTGATGTGGGCGACGATTGTGGAAAAATGAATTTAATAAGATTTTGTTTCTGGTGTATTTTTCGCACACAAAAATTCAGTTTTGTCTTTTTCTTTTCCTTTTTAATTTTAAATATTTTTATCGTTTTTACAAATTATAAGATTTAAATTTGTAGCTTATTTTTAATACTGCATTTTGTAACGGTAGAAAATAAATTGTTTTAAATATGTTAAAGTTTTTGAAAATATTTTTACAAAAATCCATTATTTTCTTGGATTTACCCTCTAGTTTTCGGTTATTTATTTTATCCCAAAAATCAGTCAAATATTTATTTTAATTCAGTACGCTTAAAAAATGATTCGTAGTTATTGTAAAAAAAAAAAAAAAAAAAAAATTTAATTTCAGTACGCTTAAAAAAATGGAATTCGAAGTATTGTTAAAAAAAAAAAAAAAAAAAAAAACTCCATTTTGCTTTCGATTATTTTTTCAAAGTAACTTTAATAATTACTGAAGTGTGCGATTAGATGTCATCTTGGGCCGCAATAATGTAATAAGCAGGCCACTGGGTGATTAAGTGCAACGAAAAAAAGAGAAAAAGGAAAAATACGAAATGTAGATAAAGAGAAGAAAGAAAAACACGAAAGAAAAATTCGAAAAAAATATAAACGAACAGGAAAAAAGAGAACCGAAATATAAAAATAAAAGAAAAACCGAAAGGATAAAAAAAACGAAAACGAAAACGAAAAAATAAAAAAAAAACGAAATGAAAAAAGGTCGCCCCGCCCGCCCTCCCCCCGGCCCGCCCTCGCGCCCCCCCCGCCGCCGCCCGCCCCCCCCGCCCCGCCCGCGGCCGCCCCGCCTCGAAATTAATTTAAATATGGTTTAAATGGACGGATACATTTTTTATAATTAGCAAAAAAAAAAAAAAAAAAAAAACTCCTTTTGCTTTTCGATTATTTTTCAAACTTTATAATTATATACTGAAGTGTGCGATTAGATGTCATCTTGGGCGGCAATAATGTAATAAGCAGGCCACTGGCGTGATTAATGCAACGAAAGCCTCGATTAATTTAATATGGTTTATGGACGGATACATTTTTATAATTAGCTTTAATTATCGATAATATAATTTTTTTAATTAAAACAAAGTAAATACAGGATTTAAATTCACAATTTTAAACCTTTCAAACCCTAATTAAGCACAAGGTATGTGGAAGAAAGAGGATGAATCTGCAACGAACCAAAATGAAAAATGCAGTGTAACATAAATTGTAAGAAGTCCCAACCAAGCGACTTAAAACCAAAATGTCCATCATATTTAAAATTCGTTCAGATACAAAAGTAGTTGATCAGAAAATTGACACTCCGGATTTCATACATGTACTACAACAAATAACACACACTACAAAGTACATGATGACAACAGCCACAGAATGGTCCTAACTATGAATCCCTATCTAAACCTAACAAACAAAGGGTACATTTCGGGTTAAAATCCAGATGATGTTAAACCCTAACCTGTTTTTTAATAATCGCCGGTCCACCTATATTTGTCTCTAACAAGGTAGAAATATGCCTAAATGCTGTTGAGTCTGCAGTAAAACAATTGAGATACAACCAACATATGTAAGAATGTCATCAGCTAGAAACCTCGCAGTTGGATAGGTCGGGACCTTTTGAATCATCTTCAGGAGAAGAACTTCTATTGTCAGAAGTGGAATTCCTATAGGTCGTCATAGGGTTAACAGAAGCCGAATTGTCTCCATGGAAAGGTGAAGATTGTACGTGAACCGGCTTCACTCCACCATATGCTCCTTTCATCTCTTCTACAGAGGGAACATTGACTGGAGCCACAGCTGGTGCTATTTCAGTTCTCTGCTTCTTATGTTTCTGCTCCTGCTGATGACCAGGTAGAAAGCTGCCCACAACCACCTGGTCCCCAAAAACAATTGATAAGGCATTTAACATTTGACACTCAGAAACAAATGCCTAAAAATAATTGCATGAAATAATTGCATGTTGCCCCTTTGCTCAGAAATCATTATTTTTGCTTTTATCATTTTTACATTAAAGTGAAAAGGGAAAGGCTGAAATTTTTATTCAAGAATACAGCTTGAGAATGTGGAAATATTTGATCACAATGGGCTACCACCAAAGTACCTTAAATCCCTTTTTCACTTTCCTTTGTTTCCTTCATGTAGTAAAAAAATGGTATACCTGTACAGGCCCGGCAGCTACCAACAGACCAGCAAGTCCACCACCCACAACACGACCATCTGGACCAGCCAAAGAGACACTCATCCCACCAGATCTGCTCTTTGTTCCTCCACTATCAGTAGGCATAAATGAACCGGATAAGGAAAGTATCTCAAAACGACCCTGGAAAGGTGGAAACACTGATATCAACAATCTAAATGATAATACTTTGGAAGTTAGACTTACCACATAAACAACAAAAGATTCACAAAGAATTTTGGTGTCTGTAGTTTAAAGGAATTCAACATCAGATGGCATGACATGCAAAGAGGATGGTGGAAGAGAAATAAAAAAAAAAAAAATGCTTAACAATATGTCAGAAGATGCAGAAAATGCATAGCAGGACAGTGCTAGTCTTTCTTCACTAACCCCTATCAAATACAGTCCATTTAAGCATGTAACAAGATAAAATTCAAAATACTGACCCCAAACCAAGAAACAAGTATAAAGCACAACAAGAGATCCCAAGATATTCATCCTCACAAACCATGTAGTGGTCTCCCATTTTAAGGTTCCAAGTAACAAGTATGCCATTATACCACTTAGGAGTTCATAAAATGTTTTGCCACTATATTTTCATGGCCCCCTCTGTGTGCGCACATGCATCCATGAATCCTGTCTTTTGGAAGGCAGAATAGAAAAACAAAAGAGCAGGGGTGGAAAGAGATCCCAAGATATTCATCCTCACAAATCATGTAGTGGTCTCTCATTTTAATGTTCTAAGTACCAAGTATGCCACTATACCACTTAGGAGTTCCTAAAATGTTTTGCCACTATATTTCATGGCTCCCTCTGTGTGCGCACATGCATCCATGAATCCTGTCTTTTGGAAAGCAGAATAGAAAAACAAAAGAGCGGGGGTGGAAAGATGGGGGAGGGATGCGTAAAGCGCTGCCCTGGTTGCAAAGACCAACCATAGTGCATAAAAGAAGTGTATTTTTTGGATTTGCTCTTCAAGCATACTCATTTCTCTTGCAACTCAATTATATAAACTTACACTGAAAAGAATTCGGGGCCATACCTCATAAGTCAGAGTACCCCCAGAAGAAGTAGGTTGGCGAAGTGTAACATTTGAGATTGTACCATTTGCAGAAAGAATGCAGATAGCACGAGCTCCTTGCTGAGAAAAGGACATGACCTTCATTGTAACATCCTATAAAAAAAGGACGTAAGAAACAAAGATGGCCAGAAAGAAAATTCAGAAACTATTGAGATGTTGCATGGAATCGTCCTTCTTTAACCAAAAATCAATGGGGATCAAGGCAGAACTTCAATTATAAAATAAATGATTGAGGCATGGAAAATTTGATCCATGCCTCATTGTTGTTCATAGATGGTTCTATTGATCAATGCATTTTTTAATTGTAACATGAACAAGTGAAAGTAACTCACATGATTAATTAAACATAAACCATTTATTTGTACCTAACCTAGACCTCAAGTGTGCTTGGCTAAAAATTTTTAGTTAAATAGACAACAAAACTTCAAACTAAACATGAAAATTTTTTAGTCAACAAATTACAGAGATGCCAGTCACCCAATGTCATTTCTAAGCATACCTCACCAGCATTAACTGTGATCACATGGGGTGTGAAGTTCGCACCAACAAAGTATGCAATTCTCTCCCCTACAACAAATATTTCAAGAAATTAGTACATGAACGTTATGGAACTTCACAGCTTTGCAGTTGCATAATCATACCCAAGAAGCATACAAATAACTGGACTCCACTCAAGTAAGTGCAGTAGCTGAGTTGTGACAAGGATTATTTATCTTGATTCAGCTATATTTAGCTCAAAAGTTTCAATATACATACAAATAATGTCTCAAACCTACTAGGCTAATAACATGACCAGAAAACTCTATAATAAATCAAGAAAAATAATCAGTTATCTGCATCATCGGGCATATATAATATTTCACCAACCCGCCTCCCCAGGTCAAAGGCATTATTGGCCTCTACACATCCCTTTGGTGGGACATGAACAGTTTTGCATTCTTACATGATGTACAAACTTGGTGATGAATAATTATAGAATAGAAGATATTAATCATACAATCAAAAAAATTACCATTGACTGAAAAAAACAAAAATTATCAAAGAATTATATGTTGCACAGGTCAATCAAAGTGTTTAAACTTTTTTTCACAACGACAATGACATAAAAAAAAATGCCTTCAAGCTCTTTCAGCAGGAAAATTCTCGCAATCCACTATGATTCCCACCCTACCTAGAGATCTTCAGTTGGCTCCTTTTTCTGTACTTTTTACTGCCACATTAGAAATTATTCTAAATTTATGAGCAATATTCATTCTCTAATTTGTTTTCTCGTTTTCATTTCAGACATGATGTCAATTGCAGTTGTTCATTAATCTTTGACCAGCAAGGTTTAGCAGGCATTTAATATAAAATTACTAGCTTAAGACAGATCTAGATCCACTCATCACAGCTAATAGTATATTTTGCCTGTCAAAACAAAGTGGCAACTTCAAAAATATTCTCTGATTTTCTTGCAGAACTGTGCTATTTTCCCCTCGCAAAAGGCACGAAAGTACAGTGTTCCGTCTAGAACAAAAAGATTCCTTCTGATCAGTGTCATCATCAAATATTCATCCTATTCACCTCTACCATTAACTCCAGATATGGGGAACAGAAAAATCTGAGCTAATGGTCCCACTCTCACTCTCACATCAAACCCAACAAATATACACCATATCTACAACGAAAATCCAAATCAAACCCAAAAGATCAATATAGACCCACTTCAGCTTTTAACATAACCTACCATGTAAAAGTTTTTAACAAATTTTAAAATATAATCAGCCATAACCAGCTCATTGATGTAGCAACAGATGAGCAACTCACGATCCCAAATAGAACAGTAAAACATGAAAAACATGACTAATAGTAAATAATTTCAAAAATTCAAAATTCATAAATCATAAAGTATTTACCAGTGCTCTCATACTCATATTTATATTGCTTCTTGACCGATTCTAAAGGCCGCCCTCTACCCCGCTTCCATGAAGAGAATTCTCCAGTGAGTGGAATAGACGAAGATATTGGCATCGGAGACAATGCCGTTGCTAAGTTGCCGTCGGGTCCGTATTTCCTTGGCCTTCCTCTTTTCTTCTTTACCTCCGTCCCTGCGGTCACCGGTGAGGCCGTCACTGCGGGCCCACCAAACTGGCTAGGGTTAGGGTTAAGGCTAGCATTAGCGTTCGGATTAGGATTAGGATTAGAATTAGAATTAGAATTAGGATTAGGATTAAGATTAGGATTAGAAATAGGATTGGGGTTAGGGTTTGCGTTAGGGATAGAATTTTCAGTTCTGGGGGCCACTCTGTAACTCTCTGGAGCTTCATCTCCCTTCACCGTCACCCCCGAACTTATTTCCCCCTTTGCCTCCATTACTCATAGATCACTTAAAACCCCTAAAACCCTAAAAACACTAGAACATAACAAACATCAAAGACCAAAAATTCTTTGAGGTCAAGTGCTTGAATTACAACACCCAAACGTAAAATTGTCTAAAAATCAAAGGTTTATGCTGAACATGAGCTGAAACCAGATAGTTCAGTTCCCAAAAATAGAAAAACCAAGACTTTGCTTCACAACTTCAAAGATCAGAAACAAAACAGTACGGAGTACAACAGTTGCGTAAGTTCTGTGCATTAAATCTCCGCCATTGCAGAGAATGCACAGAGCTTCAATAGATAATTTAATTTGAAACCAAAAATTTTCATTAACTTACAAAAAAATTACAGAAGAAGATGAAAAAAAAAAAAAGAGTGATTGTAGAATTTCTTCAAGGAAATGAATTTAGGGTTTTGCAGGAAAAGGAGGAGAAATAAATAAAGTAGGAAATTATGAAAAATTAAAATATAAAATAAAAAGGTATATATGATATAATATTGTGAATTTAATTAATGATCAATATTTTAATTGCAATATTCAAAGTATAAATTTTGGTTAAGAAAATGGTTCAAGTCCGTCTTGGAAATTTAATAAGAGGTGATAATAATAATTAATGGCAGAGCTAGTAATTTTTTTAATATATATTAAAAAAAAAGTAATACAATTTGTGTAAAGAAAAAGGCTTAATTTCATATTTTAAAATTTTCCCTTTAATTATTTGAAGCTTAAAAAAATAATAGTAATAAAGCTGTAAAGCTAAGGTTGGAGCCATGCCAATTTTCCAACTACTGACATCTTCTTTGTCTTTTCAGTTCAATTAAAGTTTGACTATACAAAATCTAAACTATTTGCCCCCTCATTTTGGAGAATCTACTGTTAATGCCACGGTAAACCAAAGTAAAACCAACATACAAAGTTCATATGAACTCTTCATATGGTCTAAAGCTGCAACTAACTAATTGCTGCAATAACACACAGAGTTGAGAGTAATTTAAATCACTAGTCCAAATATTTATCTTATGTCCTAACTAACGTTCCCAAAAAGTTGGCAGGTCATCTGACAATAATTTCAGTAAACATTTACCATTATGTTAATGGAAAAAAAAAATTCCATACCAAATCCAAGAAATACTAAGGTCTTGTTTGGTTCACCATAAAGTATAAAATAAGGAAAAAATTTAAAAATTATGGTTCAAATTTAAATTTAAGATAACCATTATACTGTTGTACGAAATAATTGATTAGATCTGTCCAGTTTCTCATGTTCATATAGATGCCAATTAGACTTCAAGTTACTCATGAGATGATGGCTTTTTCATGATATTAGTGAGGAAGCAACACGACTTTGAGAGGTATTCTATTTCTAAACATGAGATGAGAGTAGTTATGATCAAATCATCCGCTGACGGGTAATGTAGAGCTATTACAACTGATGATTCAACAATGAAACATTGTCCAAGTAGATGAAAGGATATTGAACAGCAAATAGGGAAAACTCAGAACTCAAGAAAGCTTTTAGTTATTCTGCACCGTGTAACAGCACTATTGAACAAATAGCTCTCAATTTTCTCTACAAGTAAATATCTATTTTCATCCCAAATTCAAAATGGGTGCCCTATAAATTTCTAATACACCATATTCTGATGAATCTCCAATCCGGTACAAGTGATCTCTCATTCTAAAAGAATTTGAAAACATATAAACGACTAAGCTTGTCCCTTACACTATAATGAATTGAATCTCACTGCACAAGTTACCTTACCAGTTACAGAACCACAAGTATACAGCCTGTCTGGCAACAGAAAAGCAACAATCTCATGACAAAGTGCTTTGGTTGCCCTCATACTCTCTCCTTATTAGCTCAAGCACAAGTTCATTCCAGGTATCGACAGGACCTGGCATGCACCAGTGTAAGCAATCCTGTGGTGGGGGACTTCCATCTGGTCCACGTTTTGTAATTTTATTTGGGTCAGGGCTTCTGTATGGACCAGGATGCCCATCATGGCGATAACCAAAGGCTTCAGTGATATCCATCAACCTCAACTTTGATTTATTTGTCATCTTCTTAATTGCACATTCAAAACCTGTTACCTGTTTTTTGTGCATTATTTCTGTAAATCCATTTTCCACCAATTCTCCTGGTGCAAGAGGTTTTACCTTTCCAGTGCATGATCCCCCAGTGTTCCAGGCCCCACCTTCATAATGATCAGGTGAATAGGAACGCACAATGGCTAACCCAGTGAAATTTGGATGGGTAACAATGGAGCTGAGAATTGTCTCTGTAGATATCCCAAATGCTTCAATATTATTGATCTTCATTGGACGAGACTTGTCTGGCCACCACAGCTGCCCTCCCACAATCTCATTTTTCAAGACATAGACAGATTGCTTGGCAAACCAATGGCCAGAAGAAAGAACAATCACATCAAAACCTGGGATGTATTCCATGAAATCCTCATCAGGAGCATCCAGGTGGAGCTTGACTATACCTTCTGGAGCAAAATCAAAAGCTTCTGATGTTTTGTGAACAAGCCAAGAGGACCATATACGGACAATCATAGTTGAGGTTGACCTGAAAAAATATCGTTGCATTCTTCTGTTCCCCCGGTTTTTTGGAACTTCTACCTGAATATTCATCAGAAATATTTTTATGAGTAACATATGCCAAAACAATAAGATTGAACAACCATGCGAACTCTGTGAACACAACATTTCACGTGTCACAACACATGAGAAAACATTTTGTTCTTATGAATGGCCACTAATCAAGTTTATCTAGCAACAAGAGCACCAAGATTAACAGGAGACTATATGAAGCTACAAATCTCCAAAGTATACTGGAGCAAGTTGTTCCACTGCCACCAATTTGCTACAAGCATTATTATATCAATAGATATAATTCACTCACATAAATAAAACATCTGTAAATCAAGTTGTGCACACACCCAATATTGAGCAAAATATTGCTAAAGGAGTAACATCACAGGAAGCAAATACTTGCCTGCCACAGAAGGCACAGCATTGATTCCATCTGGTTTCGAGCAACAGAGTCGCCAATGAAAGCTAAGGTCTTCCCTCTCATCAATTCCAAAAATTTCTTTGCCTCAAATCGCGGAAGTTCACACTGAGTGGGTTTCCAACGCCAATTTTCGTACTCCTTGTCAGGTCTTCCATTCCCCTGGCAGTTCTGCATCTGTGTCAGGACAGGACATGTGTTGTTTGTATATAGTGGCCCCACCGAATCAAAGAACCAACTTCCATGATACAGGTCACAACCTATGGTTTAACAAAAGGAGGAACAGACTAAAATATCAAAACATTAAGAAACAGGAAGGAAAAAAGAAAAGAACTCAGTAAAAAATTAAGTATTACACAAACATATTCCAGAAGAAGAACTCTTTCATCTGAACATGTATAGAGAAAAAGTGAAGCCAAATGTTTTTCCTACTCGCTTTCCCAACCCTAATGTTTCCTTACGATGAGCATGGTTCAAGCTGGTCATTCATAATGTAAAACAAGCACATTTTCTTTATTTTGTCATTCAGGCATCACCATCTCATGGATTAGACAATTAACGCCTGCTATTTCATAAAACAGCTATAATTTGCAGTCAAAATTTTAGCAGATCACAGAAGAAAGGCACATATCAGATAAAAATGCACATGGTCCACCAAATTAGTACATAGAAAGCAAAGCAAGCCTTCTTTCTATCACTTAAAAGAGAGGTTGACTGCTTTATGAATCTATGATTGAGGATACATGACAACTTTCCTCCTCTTTCAAGGCTATCTCTGGTCCCCACACCTTACCTGGTTTAGAAACCAGGACTTAACAAATATCTGTGTACCTACACACAACTTAAAAATTGGCAGGAAAAACTAGGTTCTCGCACTTGAATAAAAGATGTTAAAAATTGACCACAGATTATTATCATATGCAAGAGGTAGAAGAAAATCAAATCCCCAACCCTGATCAAAAACAAATACTGAGACTAAAAGGAAACATATTTAATAATGATAACAAACCATTTTAACAATCTAATTGGACAACCAGTTAATAATTGGATGTGAATAAAATAGTAGCTGGAAGTCAATATATGGCACTTAAGAGAAATGAATCATATCGGCAAATAAATCATGTACGGCACTTATTATCATGTCCTATTCCATAATGCATGCAAAAACATTAATCTCTTACAAAATTTCTATTATTAAAAATAATAAAATAAAATAAAATAAAAGGAGAAGATACTCGATCAATTTATATAAATTAACATAGGGAACCTGAATCAGCTGAATGGATCTGGGTTGCATTGCTGGCAGCAGATGTAACTGACTGAGGCTCTGAGTTGGAATCTGGAACAGAAGTAGCAGGGCCCGTATCCTCTATTGCCCTACCGGCATTATCAGACACAGAAACTGAACTGCCCTTTTCCTGGGTTCCTTCTTCTTGTCTCGCATCAGCAGTTGTAACTTGTTGATTAGGATCCGGTTGCAAAGACTTCTCATCAATGACATCTACAGTATCATTAACACCACTAGAACTAATGGGTTCTTCTAAACTAGATCCAGATTGGGAAGTCCTATTAATCAAATCTGCATTACTATCCAGTCTATGATCACTGTTGGTTTCGTTACCAGAAATGACAGGGGAAACCAATTTTGAGTTATTAATGCCATAAAAATACTCATGGACGGTGGAACCTATGGGGTAAGACACCAGGAGCAAAGAAGCAAGAACCAAGAAAACGGCAAGGCCTCCCACTGAGACTGCCATGGAAGAAAGCGACCGCGGTAATGCGGCCAATCCAGGAACCTTTGGTGAATCCAAAGTCATGGCTTTCCAAATCAGGTATGTTCTACGAGGAATTGCGAAACATGGAATTTGAAAATCTGTATGAAGTTAACTAAAATTTCCAACCCAAATGAATTTCCGTCGTTGAAAGTCAAAACACACTTCCGAAAATAACAATAAACCACAAACACCCGCTAAATCGAATCCAGCTTCAAAATTTAGACTAACAGGTAACTGCTACCGATATCAACTCGTCCCAGCTTCAATTCCTCAATTCGTCGATCAAAAACTATCGCATTCAGTAGCCTGGAAAAACAACAAAAAAAAAAAAAAAAAATTAATAACAATAAACCACAAAACAACACCGCTAAAATCGAATCCAGCTTCAAAATTTAGACTAACAGGTAACTGCTGCCGATATCACTAAACTCGTCCCAGCTTCAATTCCTCATTTCGTCGATCCAAAAACTAATCGCATTCAGTAGCCTGGAAACAACAAAAAAAAAAAAAAAAAAAAAAATTAATGAACGATAAGAGAATACTGCATTTAACAATTCAAAATAAAAAGAAAATTCCTATACATCTTTATAAAAGGAAAGAAATCAGCAGCATCGGTAATAAAATAGAATCAGATGACATGCATCACATAATTTAATGCAAATAAGGATTCAATAATTACGCGCAAACAAAGCAAATTCTTCATACTCCGGTTCTAAATTCTTCCCCAAAATCAAGTTAAAATTATCATGGGACAAACAATCAATAGCAGTCCAATATCGCAATATCATCAATTGCCCAATTTTTATTTTTTAATTTTTTCCTAGAAAAAGAAAAAAAAAAAAAAAAAAAAAAAAAAAAAAAAAACAGAGCTGGTTCAGGACTTAAAAAAAAAAAAAAAAAAAAAAAAAAAAGCAGAGCTGGTGCGGCTTAATGTATAAATAAAGCTCGATAATGTTTGAAATCCGAGCAGATGGATTTGGATTCGTGAGGAAAAAGTATAAAAGGAAACGGAAACTGAAATCCGAATGGACCTGTGACTGTGAGTCATAAATTTCCCGGATTTGGTGCAAGCGAAAACGAAGACGTTTTGGTCTGTGCACAGCAATGTAGGTAATATTCCCGCGAGCGTTTGAGTATAGATGAAGAAAGAGAGCAGTGGAGGAGGGATGACCTTGGATCAGGAGAACAAAGGATTTTTAATAATTGAACTTGGGAATTTTGAGAAGGATTTTGCGGGGAATGCGGCATTCTACCCCGTTACAATCTGGTTCTTATTCTTTCGGAGATAAAACCCTCTCTTCTTTTCATTTTCCAGTTAAGAGAGAGAAACACGAAAAGTGAATGCAGGTCAATTACTGAACTGCCCTAGATTTGGCTTTTCTACCTTTTGTCTTTCCTACGTGTTTCACTGCACCGCCGCTCTGCTTGTCTCCATCGACCAAAATGGAAATTAAAGAACATATATAATGAAATCCCCAACTACTCCCACTAAGAGATTATGTTCATCTTTTATAAATAGTAAGTAAGTAACTGTTAATAGAGTTCTGAAATGATATAATGACCGTTAGCAATTCTTTACATAATAAGATATCAGTTTTCATTTTAATTTTTATCGGACTATATGCGATTATTTTCCTTTTATGTTTTTTACCCGGTTATTTTCCTATTATGAATTTATTATTTTTGTTGTTTTTTTATTATTAAATTTTGTAAACTATGGTGAACATATTATTTACGACCCCTTATAGGCTTTATTACCCTTAATGAATTTTGTAATTATTATAATGAATTGTACTCTCTTTAATGAGTTTTGAGATTGATATAATATTCATTTTTTATGCAGCAACGGATGGCAAAAAAAGTGTATAATATTTAAAGTTAATTTTCAATTATATTATTTTTTTATTTAATTTGGGTTGATGAAATATTGATAGAGTCTATTTTAAATTTAATAGTTAATTAAATAATTTTAATAAAATTACTTAATTAAAATAAAGATAAGGATGAGAAAGTTAATCTTGAAATAGGGGTTTTAATTACTTCGTCGTCATAAAAGTGTGCAATCATAGAAGGGTGATAGCTAGGTTTACAAAATTACAATGCATTCTAATGTCTTTCACTTTATTTTAATTTTCTATAATTTACAAATATTTATTTTAATTCTATGTAAAATTGATGAAATGTTTATCATCTTAATAAATTGTTTGATGTAGAAAACATAAATTATTGGATTTAAAAGTGATCAAGATATTTAATTTAGAAAATTATAAAGTATAATTCTTCATTATATTAGATAATCAAGAATTCCATCTTTAATCAACAAGTCTTCATCATAATTGAAAATTCAAAAAAATATTAGATATATTTCAAGAACATTTATTTTCCTTCTACATAAGAGAATTTTCTTTTTCTGCTGGTATTTTACGTGTATTTAGTATTTTGTTTTCTTTCTTTCATTAATTTCTATTTATGTTAGTCAGGCCGACAAAAGTGACCATTCTTCGGTCTTGCCTTCTTTTCTTCTTCTTCTTTTTTTTTTTTTTTTTTTTTTTTTTTTTTTTTTTTTTTTTTCCCACTCTTCTTCGCCATTAAAGACTTTTTTTTTTTTTTTTTTTTTTTTTCCCCACTCTTCTTCGCCATTGAAGACTGCGAGAAAATTTCAAGTGAAATAGAAATAAGTTACCTGAAATGCATATTCCAAATTACTGTGGTAAGAATGTAATAAAATTTGAAATTGTAAAAAACATCCTTCATCAACCTCGTGAACCGTGCAACTTTTACTTGCTCCTCTGGAAGTACGCGGCGTGGAAACAAGAGTCTAGACCCACGTGACAGCGCATGACTAAGCGGATAAGCGCACGTGTACTAGGAGTCTGGGTTTACCACATGAACCGATTGGCCCAAACTGTTTCCATGGGCCTGTTAGCTAGGCACTTTTGCGCAATCGAGACCGTTAAGTGCAAATACGTTCTTCCTTAAAAAAAATTATTTTCTAAAAATATAAATATACAAAATTTTTTTTTCCAATAAATTCAATAAAAATAAAATAAAATAAAAAATAGAGATAAGTATAGATTCGCCCTATACTTTAAAAAAAAAAAATTTTAAACTTTAGCCTTTTTGAACTTTTTCGCTTACTTATGCTTAGTATCTAGTCAAATTGAATTTTAATTTATAAATTATTTTATCAATTATTTTGATTTTTAAAATTAAATTAATTAAATGCTGAACGAATTATGGTAATATGTAAAAGATTATTATAAAAATTATATTAACTATTAAATTAGTATTTTATATATAAAATTTTAAAATTTAAAAAGGTAACACTATTTTAAATATCTATGAAAAAAATTTTATAATTTTAAGTGTATAATAAATTCACGAATGCTGTAATTATTTTTAAACGACAAATTGATGCATATGGCCAAAGTAAAATTAAACGGGAAAAGTAGCAATATAAAAAATATGAACATACTGTGGCTTCCTCCAACGCCACTTTTATCCTCGCCTGCGAAAGTTGCTGTCGCAGTGTAGCTTGAGGCCTTGAGATTCATAGCAAGCGCAAGGAGGATTATTAGCGTCTATGCAAGCAGGCACCTATCAACCAAACTCACTCTTAAAGCCATTCTCATAAAAAACCTAAGTCACTTTCTTTTAAACCAACCGTTGTACACCTCACCTCAACCTGCTTGTTAATGGCCACTCACACTTCCTCATTTCTCCCAATTTCACTTGCCAAATCCCAAATTTGCATAGAAAAACCCCAACAATGCCCGTTGCTATTTCCGCTGAGTTCATTTTATGGTAACAAGCTGTTGATTAGACAATCCAATTTGAGCAATTTCGTTCTTAAGTGCCATGGCTCCACGGTTGCAACAGTGCTGTCAAGTCTCCCAACCAAGCAAGTCTTGATTCTGTTGCGTGTATATTTCGATTGAATTTGATGATTCGCTTCTAATAGTTTAATTTGGCTGGTTTTTGCAGGAAACACTCTTCGGAGAAGATCCCAAAGTCCGTTATCAGTTACATATTAGTGATTGAGTTGATTATAAGTGTGTTGTTGATATTTTGACTAGTTTGTTGATTAAAGAAATCTTTTTGAGTGATTAGATGGTCCGCGAGGGCGATAAGGTCATTTGGTTTGGGAGAATTGGAGGCGAGGAAGCTCAAGTATCCAAATACTGGAACTGAAGCGCTTCTAATGGGGATTTTGATTGAAGGTTAGTCATCAATAATCATTTCTAGAGCTGTTACTTTCGGTAAGCATAGAGTATAGCTAAATTGTTCTCCGAACTAGAATTCATCACCTTATTACTGTTTGCTTGGGTAACAATATTGTAAACTCATTTTGTTTTAGTAATAAGTTTAGTGAAAACAATTAGTAATCCATTTTTGGTTATGTTAAACTTGTCTAATATCTATTAGTAATACTTATTGAAGGGTCATGGTTTTGAACTATGTGTGGGAAAGCATGACTCTCATTTATGTTTATCTGTTCTTCATCATGACATTTTCAATGGCAATATTGTCTTGACTTTACACAACCCATTTTGAACCAAGAAGTACTGCTCCTACTCTCAAAGGGTTGTTGTAGACATGTAGCATGTTGAGAGAAGGGCGCTATACTCTGAGGACTGATGATATGATGCCTATAATACTCTAAAAGACCATTGCTATGGTGGTTATACTGCCTTTAGAAACATGTTGGAGGACTGAGATCTCTTAAGTTTCTAGATGCATCAACCGTCAAGGTTAACTAGATATGCTACGACTGTGACTTAAAGATTTTTATCGACCCTTTAATGCTGATTTACAGGAACAAGTGCAGCAGCGAAGTTCCTAAGGGCTAATGGGATCACCTTTTTCAAGGTTCGAGAAGAAACCGTTGACTTGCTTGGAAAATCTGACTTGTATTATTTCAGCCCTGAGCATCCCCCATTGACTGAACAGGCTCAAAGAGCCCTTGATTGGGCTGTTGACGAGAAACTAAAGTCAGGTGCTTTCTAATGTCTTCACCGTTTGCCTCCGCCATGTGTTATTCTGTTGAGCATAAATAAGAACTGAGAAGTTAACTTGATGAAAGGAATATGCTTATGCCTGAAGTTAGTTGCAATATTTGGGTCATGGTTTTCACAATCTAAACCAGAAAAACATGTATCTTCTTGGATGCAAGATTGATATATTTTAATGAAAAGTTTGAGTTTTTAGGAACAAAACATTATTTCACCTCATGCACTTGAATGGCAATACATATAATTAGATCTTAAGGAGGTTGTCTTTGTTATCTTCTTGATGCAAGATGAATATATTTCAATAAAAAGTTTTGAGTTTTTAGGAACATAATTTTGTTTCACCTCATACAAACCATTGTTCAGTTGTATCACATATTGTCAACCTTGAGAGACTCATGTTGGATGTAAATGCAAATTTCATTGTGAAGTTATTATGATAGAGATGGAGTTTCCTTTAACTTGTGTGCTTCCTTTGTAGAATTCCACGGCTTAAATAACTGAATTTAATTTCTGCTTGCATGTGAAGAGTCAAGCTTGGAATTTCCTTTTGATTTAGTATCCAACAGGTGTTCCACAGTGTTTTTATCTACAAAAGCTTTTACTGGGTGTTTTATTATCCAATTGTCCAATGTCTGTGTTGTGGCCTTGTGGTATGTTCTTGGAAATAACCTTATCAATGTGTTCAGTTTTGCATCTGTTTTCCCTCTTCAGTTTTTCTACTTTAAAGAGTCAATAAGGGTTTCCTCATGATGAAACAAATACAATAGCTTCATGCGGTGCATTATTGTCATTAAAGTTAATGTATATGATCATATGATGATGTTACAACCGCGCACTTGTTTCTTATTTTTTGCGTCTGTGGTCTCTTACTTGATTGTTGTGGTAATTACAGGTGATGAGGGAGAAATAACCCCTAGTCATATACTTCTGGGGATTTGGTCAGAAAAAGAGTCTGCAGGTCACAAAATTTTGGCCACTCTAGGTTTCAATGATGAAAAAGCCAAAGAGATTGCTAAATCAGTAAGTTTGAATACTTATAATGTTTAGAGATAGCCTTTACAGCATTTCTACTTATGTGATCTCTTCTGCATGCAGATGAATGAAGATGTTGTCTTGAGCTCAAAATAGGGAGGCCAATAGCTTTTCTGGAACGTGTCTGGCTTGTCAAGTGTTAATCATAATACCATCTCCTGCACAGCTTCCAGAGTCTAGATAGTCCCTCCTGGTTAAGCCAGTTTGTCGTTAAGGAGCTTGTTCCATTTTTGGCATTTGTTTACAATTCTTATGTCAAATGCTTTCTCAGCTGGATATGTTGAAATTTGCATTTTTCTGTACGAGGAATTTTGAGGAATCCGATTCTCTGGCTCTATCTGCAGGGATTTATCTTCTTGCTGATTCAATCTTTAAGTTGTTGCTTTTGTTTTAATTAAATCTTCGTTTATTTCCCCGTTAGTGGTAGGAAAAATTGACAAGCTAAATTTCCTTCCTTGGCAATCAAAACCAAAAGCTCTTGAAATTTTTGAGTTGCTCTGTATCATACTGAGCAATACATCTGTAATTGCATTACAATGCACGTCCTTCTGGACTTAAAGAATGTATTTGAATAATATGTGTATGCTTCTTGGCAGAAAATGACTTTCTAAAATATAACATGGATTCTTTTTTTTTTTTTTTTTTTTTTAACATGGATTCTTTTTTTTTTTTTTTTTTTTTTTTTTTTGGATCAAAGAAGTAATGAAAGGTCATGTAATTGCCTTCAGTTACCTTTTGGTTTCTATCTTTTCTTTTTCTTTTTTTTTTTTTTTTCTGAAAGTTGCATATATAGTAAATTAAAATTTTTAGATATTAGTAATATATATACTGGATTTAGAATTTTAAAAAAGTATAAATCCAATCAAAGCAAAATGTAAACCTAGTATTTTTATTTTTAATTTAAAAGCAAATCAATGTTTCAAAATTAAATTGGTTTTGTTACGATTGTAGATGCACACGCCTACTCAAGTTTGGTGGTTCCGATGGGCCGGAGCAGAGAGTGCTTTTGGTCCTTTTGCTAGATACGCATTGAACCTTGAAGGAGAGAGACTTAAACGGTAAAATTCACCATCCATTTTTGCAATTGATCCACACTCTACTGTATTAACTTTTTTCCCCCTTCTCTGTTTTTCACATGAAAGTTCGGAAAAAAAAAAAGTAATTTAATGAATTTTGAAAATTATAAGAATAACTACAAAATATATTTTTTGATGTCGTAAATCATATAAAAAATAAGTAAACTGAAAGTGGAAAAAAAAAAAAAAAATCAAAAATGAGGCTCTCACTCTTCCACTGTTCCACAGAGAAAACTTGACCCGCCTCATTTTTGTTCCTGATTCAAACTCCCGAAGAACGAAACTGGCGTAAGTGATATTAACAGACCATCTACTTTCACTTCACTGCTTACTTCTCTCCCTCCCGCCAAACACAAATTCAGGGTAGGCCTCCATTTCTAGTCCCTTACGTTTTTTCTTTCCTTCACTCTAACCATCTCCTAGTTCTCTTCAACTCCCTCCTCTTCGTCTCTCGTCATTTCCAAACCCTAGAATTCCATACCACTGCCACAATGAGCTATGCGGCCTACAAGATGATGCACTGGTCCACTGGTATCGAAAACTGCGCCTCCGGCTTCCTCACGCATTGCCGCGCAGACTTTGTCCCCCAAATTCCTTCTGTGCAAACTGACGAGGTCGAATCTGAATGGCCAGCGAAGCGTGGAATTGGTCCAGTTCCTAACCTCATTGTTACCGCTGGGAACGTTCTCGAAGTGTATGTGGTCAGAGTTCAAGAAGAGGGCTCAAGAGAGTCCCGAAATTCCCGTGAATCGAAGCGGGGAGGGGTCATGGATGGCGTCTCCGGCGCTTCGCTGGAGCTCGTTTGTCACTACAGGTCCGTTCCATTTATATTACATTTAGATGTCTATATCCATTTGGATAAAGTTGAACGATCAGTTCCTTGATTGATCGGAACTTTTTTCGTAGGTTGCATGGTAACATCGAGTCAATGGCGGTACTGCCTATAGAAGGTGGTGACGGGTCTCGAAGAAGAGATTCCATTATACTGTCATTTAAAGATTCAAAGATGTCGGTTCTGGAGTTTGATGATTCCATACATGGGCTTCGAACAAGGTCAAGTTTGTGGTTCCCAATTTAATGGTTTATGCCTATGCTAAATTGTTTGATACGAATGAGTATGTTTTTGTCACGTTTGGAATGCATGGATAGTGTATTTCTTCTGATATTTTTGAAATTATATATTTATTTTTAGACGTTTGCTTTTCCAGCTCTATGCATTGTTTTGAAGGACCAGAATGGCTTCATTTGAAAAGAGGCAGAGAATCTTTTGCAAGAGGCCCATTGGTAAAGGTTGACCCTCAAGGCAGATGTGGCGGTGTTCTTGTTTATGATCTGCAGATGATAATACTTAAGGCTGCTCAGGTCGATTTTTGCCTTTTATTTAATCAAATATTAATCCCTAGATGGATATTTTTCCTAAAAAGAGTATTAATCGAAGACACTTCCTGTAAATCTAATAATGCATGATCAAACCTTTTGCCAAAACAGCAGTAAAGGGAGGTGTGTTAGTAGAAAGCTTCTCTTCTTCTGCTAGAAAATAGATAATCATGGGCTTTCTTGGTATCGCTTATCTAAGAAATTTGAATGTTTCTTTTCTCAAATTGTTCTTTTCCCCTTTTCTCTCATGAAAGTTTTTCACATGAAATTTTGGTTTTAGGCGGTCTCTGGTTTGGTTGGAGATGATGACACTCTTGGTTCTGGAGGTTCCGTCTCGTCCCGTATCCAATCATCCTATATCATCAATCTTCGAGACTTGGACATGAAGCATGTCAAAGATTTTATATTTGCACATGGTAAGTTGATAAATGTATGAGTTTTTGATTATAAATAAGAGTTTGAAAGGTATATAGTTATGAGTGATTGTATTCTGGATTTTGAATGTTTACATAGTTTTAGATATAGGATATGATTGTTAGGGGCTGTAACAGTTCGTGGTGGTAGAAATTTTTTTCCTGTCACTACCAGAGTGAAGAGTGCAAAACTGCTAGAGGATAAAACTATTAATCCGAATTCTCTTTAGAACTCAAATTTGACGTGGCCAAAATTATGTGATATGCAATGACCTTTAACAACAATGTGAAATGCTGGTAAAAGATGGGGATCACAATTTTGCTTCTAGCCCTTGGAAGCTGGATGAGGTGGTAAGGAATTGGGATGTGGTAGGGATAGATCATTAACTCAAGTCTAATTAAAAGAATTGGAAAAGCCAAAAGTGGTAGCACTAAAAGATGAAAGTTTCATCCCTTTACTTTTTCTGGTGATTTCTTTTGTTTGCCCGAGTATTTTATATCTGTAATGAAATTTGATGCTGAAGAGGTACTTGCTGACTGAAACAAGTGGAATTTGGATGAATGCTTTTCTAGTTTTTAGCGTTTCCTTTGGCTTGCTTCTTTGATCTTGATTACATTAGTCTAAACTGTTGTGACATATAGATTATATTGAACCTGTGGTGGTTATTCTTCATGAACGGGAGCTTACTTGGGCTGGGCGCGTCTCGTGGAAGCATCACACTTGCATGATTTCTGCTCTTAGTATCAGTACTACTTTGAAGCAGCCTACTCTCATATGGTCAGTTGTGGTATGTTGTTAACTAAAAGGAACCTCTCAGAAGAATACTGCAACATTTTGAGAAATGTCTTTAGCTTTTGACAGGATTTTAAACCTATAATTTTTCAGTGAAGTTAGGGCAAATTAATTACTATTAGATAGCATGTTGCAATTAGATAATGCTAAATATCAAAGCATCAAATTTGATTGCAGTTGTCATGAATCCTTCTGATATTTGGTAAAAGCATCTTAGCTATCAGCTATGAGGTAATTGGTAAAAATGCCTAAAACCTATACTTTCTTATTGTACTTGACATTGTACAAAGTAATAAACCATCTAGCATAGGCTGATAATGGTCATCTTGTAAATTTTGCCGTCTTTGCAAAAAGTTCTTCTTATGTCCAGTTTGTGTTTCTTTTTCTTGTCAGAATCTTCCACATGATTCTTATAAGCTGCTTGCAGTGCCATCACCAATTGGTGGTGTTCTTGTGATTGGTGCTAATACTATCCATTATCACAGTGAGGTATGCTTCATTATTGCATTTGGCACCTTAATTTATGACATTAGTTTCTGGTTGTTGATGGATTATTTGTTGCTTAATAATATGTTAATATCTTGTTTGTGCAGTCAGCCAATTGTGCATTGGCCCTTAACAGCTATGCAGTTTCTGCTGATAGCAGGTCCATCTCTCTCTCTCTCTTTCTCTCGTGCACACAACCCCCTTCCCTCCCTCTCCCACCGCATGGAGCAATGAAAATATGCATATACTTTATCATCTACCGAGTTCCTCATGTGTGGGTTTGACTTTCACTTGACTTATGTTTTATAATAAGGTTGCTGTTTTGTATTTTTCGCTTGTGTTCTTTTATTTCCAGTCAAGATCTACCAAGAGCGAGTTTCACTGTGGAACTTGACGCTGCGAAGGCAACTTGGTTATCAAATGATGTAGCCTTGCTGTCAACAAAAAATGGGGAACTCTTGTTATTGACCCTTGTCTATGATGGAAGGTAGGTTTCCCATCTTTTGATTTAACTTCTAAGGATTCTTTCTATGTTTTAAGCCGAAAGATGAGAGGTAGTGAGTTGTTACTGATGTTAGAAGTCATTGTTACTCTTTGCTTGACAAGGTTTTTACTATTTTTGTGAAATTGCAACCTATTATTCTTTTCACTCTTCCATTGAAAGAAGGAAGTCTAAGGACCAACAAGCCCTTGGCAAAATATGTTTGTCCAAATTTTTAATTTTAGTACCATAACAGTCCAGTTTAAAAAGATGCGAGTGTTTTACTTGGAGAATTCATCTAAACAGCTGAATCTTCATCTAAAAGGAAAGGAAAAGGGTTAAATACGGTAGAAAACAGGTCTTCCCTCCATTTTAAAATGGTAGCATTCATCATTTGAATTTGTGATATCATAAATAGCATGTTCTCTGTGTAGTCATATAATCAGGTGATTTTAATTGCCGATACCTCGTGTATTGACTGTTATTCTCCTCTCCCTTGAAGGGTTGTACAGAGGCTTGATCTTTCCAAATCTAAAGCTTCAGTACTTACTTCGGTTAGTTGGTATTTCAGATGTCTTATTGTATTACTTTTTGCTCTGTTATTCATTCTTTTGGTTTCACTGCCATAAAGCTTTAATCATATGCTGCTGGGACAATTTGCTGAACTTCCTTAGGATATTACAACAATAGGGAGTTCATTATTTTTTCTGGGCAGTCGTTTGGGGGACAGTTTGCTTGTGCAGTTTACTTATGGATTGGGATCTTCAATGGCATCATCTGGTTTGAAAGAAGAGGTATTGCTTGGAAGCCATCCACTTCTCTGAAGTTTTAAGTATAAGATTATACTGCATTTTCAGCTTTTAAACTCCAAGTACATCTTCTGGATCATGTGATTAATATTGACATTAATTTTATTATTCTGAGATTGCTTAGGAAAGTTACATGCTGATAAACTTTGAAAGAAATTCCTCTTCATTCTTGTTTTTGAGTCGTTTTCAGAATTATGAATTTCAGAATAATTGTGTCAAAAAATCTTTTGGGTCCTTCCTCTTTAAGTTCTGGGTAAATGTATTGCTTCAGGTTGGAGATATTGAAGGTGATGCTCCCTTAGCAAAGCGATTGAAAAGGTCACCTTCTGATGGTTTGCAAGATATGGTTAGTGGGGAGGAGCTCTCTTTGTATGGTTCAACGGCCAACAATACAGAATCAACACAGGTTTTTTAAGATCATTTCCTTTTCTATTTTTAGTCCTTTTAGGATCTCTTGGAATTGGTAAAAGGATGAATAAGAACTATTTCTACTCGAAGAGGGTCTGTAAAGCCCAGCAAATATGAAGCAAAATATCCATGACTATAACAACTTTGTCTGACAATATATTTTGATTTAGATTTGGCCAATCTACATTTGTTTTACTTGGCAATGTGTATGGTTTGTTCTTCTTCCAAAGAAGGAAAAAAAGAGAAGTTATCAATCATAATTGGCTAGAATTATTAGCAATGTGCCTTTTGAGAGGAATGCTCATGATTGGGAGACAGAGATCCTTGACCTTTTTACCCTTTTCTATTAGATGAGGATGAATATAAATGGAAAAGATAGTTTAGATGGGTAGGATCTAGACGAAATTACTTTGACAATAGGACCATTGTTATGGGGTGTAGTTAGTTCAATAGAGATGGCTTCAGTAGAGTTATGGGCTGAAGGAACATATGTAGTTGTATGATTAAAATAGCTTCTTTTGATTCTTCTTACCACGTTTTGGTTAGTCTTGAGGCAAGGGCCTTTGAGAGAGAGGAAGAACCTATATTTGAATTTACTGATGGTTTAGAATCATTCATCTTTGATATAGAGAACCTTTTTGTAAAGAATGCTTTTGTTGTTGTATATTTTGTTGATTGCCACTCCCATAGGCTATAGATATTTTAATTTCTTTTGGTACTTGAAATATTCCCTTTGATCCTCTTTTTAACACAATCATTCTTCAATTCCCTGCATTTGCAAGATCATAAATGTGCATTTGAATATTGTCGAGATTATGTCATAAAAAAAAAAAAGCTGCCATGGCTTCTATGGCATAGATATTTTTTATCTTGTCTAATGACAATTTTTCTTTGTTTATTGGATTCATATTTTGAGTGTTTTCTGATAACAATTACCTATTATCTCTCCCTTTTTTCTTTGTCTTCATGGATGCAGAAAACTTTCTCATTTGCAGTGAGGGATTCATTAATAAATATTGGTCCTGTGAAAGACTTTTCATATGGTGTAAGGATTAATGCTGATGCAAATGCAACTGGAATTGCCAAACAAAGCAACTATGAACTGGTTAGTTAGACATGTTTGTTGCCATTTTGTTTAGTTCTACATGATAATCCCGAAAAGGTCTTCAGATAAAGGAAAGTGAAAATAATGGTAACAAATTGCCTTATGCTTGGACTCTAACTTGTTTTTCTGGCCTCCCATTGCTAGTCTGGGTGCTACATGCTCATATTATTTATTCAGGATTTAACATCTGAGATATGAATTTTTATTTAGTTAAATTGTTCAGACGCTAGCAAATCTATTTTTTAATATGGTATTTCTCATTCTTTTTGGCTACTTCATTCAGGTGTGCTGTTCTGGTCATGGTAAAAATGGCACTCTTTCTGTCCTTCGGCAATCAATTCGTCCAGAAATGATTACAGAGGTTTGGCCTTAATCTTAACCTTCCATTGACCTTTTTCTTTTCTTTTGCATGTTAATAGCAAGCCATGGGTTTTAAATTTGTGCATATTGTGTCATCCGTTCATCATCATGAATTATATTCTGAATACTTAATTCCACACTATTTGCCACGCAGTAGTGGCTGGCATGACTCTAGCTCTTCTTTCTCTTTTGTAAAAATCAAAATGAATTCATAGAACTGCATTACTTAGTATCTTTCAACCCTTATGTACCTTAGGTTGATATGTGTAAATGACAATTAATCTTGTCGCAAGGGCTGTTTAGGTTATGCTACATGTACCATTTTTTATATTTATGACACGGGTTCATGACCATTTTTACCATGTCTTTATGGTTGGTTATCAATGGCATATTCTTATGGACTAAACATCATTGCTTTCCCGTGAAGATTGATGAAATACATGCAATTTGGTCCTCTAAATTTTAGTAATGCTATTTTCAGTTTTTCTTCAATCTTCCTTCATCAATTACCAAACAGATCTCTCATCAAGATGGTACCTTGTTTGTTGAAATTTCTTTTTCCAGTAATCTTTTGGTCACGTGTTATTTCTTCTATGACAGATGCACGATCAGTTCTCATGTTTATATCATCTTCACGCATGACTGTTTAGTAAATGAAATTATTATCTGTATAATTATTTATTTATATATTGTTAATCAAAGTGCATCTTATATGTGTGCTTCAATATGCAGGTTGACCTTCCTGGTTGTAAAGGAATTTGGACTGTTTACCATAAAAATTCACGTGGTCATAATATTGATTCATCTAAAATAGCTGAAGTTGATGATGAATATCATGCATATTTGATCATAAGTATGGAGGCTCGGACTATGGTATTCTCTCACTCTTATTAACAAAAACTAGAAGTTATGCACAAAATTTGTGGATTAGTTCCTTCACAGCTATTCTTGTTTTCTTTTCTTTTCTTTCTATTTTTTATGTGAGATAGTCGTCTGTAAGGCATGTAGATTGTAGAAACATAATTATATTTTTTGTGTACATTTTGGTAATTATGTTGTCTCTTTAATTTGCTCTGAAAATAGAATAAACTCGGAAGTAGGTCCTTGAATAAGATCGTTATAGTCATATAAGAGGCTTTCCAGTTTCAAAATTTTTTTACTGTTTTGTGATTGGATGTATTTGGTCTCCTTTCCTTTTATTTTTTTTTATGCCACTATTATTTGTATGTCACTGGTGTGAGTTAGACAGTTTAAGCACATTCGATAGAGTTTATTGAAACAAAGAACTATTTCTTGTTTTGGTAAATAAAACTGCAAAACAGCATGCAACATCTAAAAGGTTGCTTTTTCACATTTAACCCCAGAACTTTTCACCTTATGATAAAGTCCAATATCTTCGAGTAATTCTAAACAGTTCTTATATTTTGTGGTCCAATTCATCCAAGTTGGTTTTAGTCTTGCAAATGGAAATGTTCTTTAGTTGTACAGTCTATGCTTGGCATCATGTAATCCACTCTTGCAATGGCTTTCTATTTTCTCATGATGAACAGGTTCTTGAAACTGCTGATCTTTTGACGGAAGTTACTGAAAGCGTGGACTACTTTGTACAAGGACAGACAATTGCTGCAGGCAATTTGTTTGGAAGGTTAGACTGTACCCAGTTTTCAGTTGTTTGAATTTATTCGTTCATGGAGCCTTTCCTTTTTGTGGCATTTTATTCTTTCATTTGGTTTGTAATTTGTTGACATGTCTTGACTGTTAATTCAATCTGTTTAAAATACATTTTCTTTAAGTACCAATTTTGTTCTAAATGGACCTTTTTTTTAATGGGTTGGAATTTAACTCAAGAAATTAAATATTTGTTTATATGTGAAAATTCTCTCTATCTAATTAATGTAAAGTTTGCATTTATGATATTCTATTTTCCTGTGGGTTATGCATTGTTTTCTGCATAGAAGCAAACGTAAAAAAACATTCTATGTGTTCTGCTTCATACATTTTCCCCTTCTTTTCTCAGGCGTCGAGTTGTCCAGGTCTTTGAACATGGTGCTAGGATTCTCGATGGTACTTTTAGGACTCAAGATCTAAGCTTCGGAGCTTCAAACTCTGAGTCTGGCCCTGTTTCTGAGAGTTCCATAGTGTCATCTGTTTCTATTGCTGATCCTTATGTGTTGATAAGAATGAATGATGGAAGTATTCGGCTTCTTGTTGGAGGTATACTTCGTTTTGAATTTTTAACATGTATGATGAGTTTTGATCTTATCTTTTACTTTTAGATGCTATTTGCCATGGCATGTGCTCATGACAATATGGTCCTTATGAACTTGTCACTTGGGTGCTGCCCTGAGAATTGGATTAGGAAATTCTTGTTTGGATACTCTAGGTTTGAACCTTATATTTTTAAAAAGGGAGCCTCTTCACCTATATCTACACATATAAAAACGTTGGCTTTGCATTTCTTTCAGGCCTCCGCCACAATCTCGATTTATTTTCAAATAGCTCATTTACTCATATATAATATTTATGCCAAAACCATTTGCATCAGGAATTTGGGGTTTTTTTTTATTTTATTAGATGGGTAGGGGTTATCCCATCCTGTATAGCATCTATTGGGCCAACACCAACAATAAAAAAATTATTGAGAACTTTTTTCCTCTAATTCTCTCTTACCGTGTGGTTATCCTCGCAAAGGCATTATAAAGATTGGATCACGAACAAGAGCCTCATATGCTGCATTCTTTTCCTATTCTGCGTGTTCTACTTAGCTTTTCCTTTTTTTCTTTCTGGGTTTTAACAATGCTTGCCTTCAACTTGGAATTGCAGATCCTTCTACTTGCATGGTTTCCATAAATACTCCATCTGCTTTCGAGAACTCCAAGAAATCAGTATCTGCCTGCACACTATATCATGATAAAGGACCAGAGCCTTGGCTAAGAAAGGCAAGTACAGATGCATGGCTTTCCACTGGCATTAGTGAGGCCATAGATGGTGCTGATGGTGGTGCACATGATCAGGGAGATATATATTGCATTGTTTGTTATGAGAGTGGTGCACTTGAAGTACTTGATGTGCCAAATTTCAATTCTGTGTTCTCAGTGGAAAAGTTTATATCTGGAAAGACCAATCTTGTTGATACCTATGTGCGGGAACCACCCAAAGATACACAGCAAATGGTGAACAAAAGTTCTGAAGAAGTGGCTGGCCTAGGCAGGAAAGAAAGCATGCACAATATGAAGGTTGTTGAGTTGGCAATGCAGAGATGGTCTGGACATCATAGTCGACCTTTTCTTTTTGGAATACTGACTGATGGCACAATCCTTTGTTACCATGCCTATCTGTTTGAAGGTCCAGATGGCACTTCTAAAACAGAGGATTCTGTTTCTGCACAAAATTCCATTGACTTAGGCATCAATAGCTCTTCAAGACTAAGAAATTTGCGATTTGTTCGTGTCCCCTTGGACAGTTACACAAGAGAGGAAACATCGATTGAGTCCTCCCAAAGGATTACTATCTTCAAAAATATTAGTGGTTATCAAGGGTTTTTCCTTATTGGATCAAGACCAGCTTGGTTTATGGTATTTAGGGAGCGAATGAGAGTTCATCCACAGGTCTGACGTGTTTTCTACTATCTAATCAGTTATATTATACTTTTCTTTTTTGACATTTAAGTATTAGTCTATGTGCAAGGGTCTACTTACTGAATGCCTTTTGTCCTTCTGCTCAACATCAACCACCTGTATATAATACTTTATTTTCTTTTTGCAGTTGTGTGATGGTTCTATTGTAGCCTTCACGGTTCTTCACAATGTCAATTGCAATCATGGGCTCATTTACGTTACATCCCAGGTTTGAAATTGACCGTGATTTTTTTTTCTTGGATGATATTCATTTGCAAGAATATAGCTGTGTTATACCTCTGGTGGAGGTTCATTTAAATTTTCCTATCTTACAGGGCAATTTGAAGATTTGCCAACTGCCATCCGTCTCAAGTTATGACAACTATTGGCCAGTGCAAAAGGTCCTCCCCAACTGCCCCTCATCTACCATTCCTCTACCCTATTTACTAGTAATAGCCTGTTGTACTCATAGAAGTTCTGTCTGCTTGTTAGGTTCCACTGAAGGCAACTCCACATCAAGTGACCTATTTTGCAGAGAAGAATTTGTACCCACTTATAGTTTCAGTTCCTGTGAGTGATAATTTTCTTGCTGTTCTTGTATATATGATGTATCTGTTCAAATAAAAAAGATGATATGATACTCATGTAGAAATGGCTTGCACACCCTTATCTGGACTATTTTTGGCCAGCAGCAGCAGTTTTTTTTTTTTTTTTTTTTTCCATAATGCTCCTTCCACAGACTAAGACTATGTTGCTGGACATTTGTTACGGCTGTCTCCCTTCGTACATTACCACAAGGAGATAAACATCGCGATATCTTTTGAAGTCCTCCTCTCTCTCTCTCTCTCTCGTCCTCTCTCAAGGGTTTCTTCCATTTGTTCTTTGTCGTAATCATTAGCGCTTGCGGTTTCATTAGTATTTTAGGAGCGTAACTCGCATGAGTTCCATCTCCACAGGTCTTGATACGTGTTCTCTTACTTATTCTAATCACGTTATATTATATATATTTCTCTTTTTTGACATTATAGTGTATAGTCTCATGTGCAAGGTCTTACTTAACAGAATTGCCTTTATGCTCCTTTCTGCCTCAACATCATAACCACCTGTACTTTAATACTTTTATTTTTCTTCTTTTGCCAAGTTGCTGATAGTGTGGTGCTATTGTAGCCTTCTAGGTTCATTCACGAAATGTCCATTTGCGAATCGTGCGGGGCTCATTTACGTTACATCCCCAGGGGGGGTTGAAATTGGACCGTGATTTTTTCTTTTTCTTGGACGATATGATATGTCATTTGACAAGAATATTAGCTGTTGTTATACCCTCTGGTGGAGGTTCATTGTAAATTTTCCTATCTTACAGGCAATTTGAGATTCTGGCCAACTGCCATCCCGTCTTTCAATTATGACAATCTACTCTCGCCAGTGCAAAAGGCTCCCAGATGCCACCTTCATCTTATCCCTTTCTCCTCTACGAGCCTTATTTTACTGTAATAGCCTGGTGTACTATCGAATTACATGTTCTGACTTTAGGTTCCACTGAAAGGGCAACTCACATCAAGTGACAGGATCGCCTATCGGTTCAGAGAAAGATTTTTGTCATGTACCCCACCTCTTATAGTATTCTCAAGTTCCTGTGTCAATCGTGAATAATTGTTACTGCTAGTTCTTGTATATATGAGTGCGTATCTATTCAAAGTGAAAAAAGATGATATAGTTATTGAGTTTAGCCATGGCGTTGCACCCCATTTATCTGGACTATATTTTGGCCAGCGGCAGCAGTTTTTTTTTTTTTTTTTTTTTTTTTGGACTTTGAGTTTGCCTGTTGAAATCTCTTCTGCATGTCTGAGACCTGTTAAAGTGGTGTCTTGTTTGCTGACCAGAAAGAGAAATGCTAAGGGCGGAAAAAGCAAGGACGAGAGAGGAGGCATTGTGCTTTGGACTCTGAATAGTGCATTCCTTTCTGATATGCATTTCTTTTAGTCATCCATCCTTGTAGTTGTGTTATTGCTTTAACCATTGATTGTTCTTGTCAAAATAATTTTTACTTATTTTCTGTGTCATTGGCATTAGCTCCCCCCCCCCCCCCCCAAAGTTTCTGTTGAATCATTTGTCAATGTTTTTTGTTTACTCTTCATTTTTTTTTTTTTTTTTAAAGTTTGCAATGACCACAAATGTACCTCAAACATGTAAACGATATATTGTAAATTATACCTGCATATATATAAGGATTTATCTTACAGTTTTCAGTCTGGAGCATACCCTGAATGGTTATTCTGTTTCTCTATATTCTTTTCAGGTTCAGAAACCAGTGAATCAAGTTCTTTCATCGCTGGTTGATCAAGAAGCAGGCCATCAGATTGAGAATCATAATTTAAGTTCTGATGAACTGCATAGAACTTATAGTGTAGAAGAATTTGAGGTTCGAATCTTGGAACCAGAGAGACCTGGTGGCCCATGGCAAACCAAGGCTGTAATCCCAATGCAAAGTTCCGAAAATGCACTTACTGTACGAGTGGTTACACTGTTTGTAAGTGTGCTCATTCATATTCCAACTTTTCATTCTTCTAATCTTGGGGGTGGGATGGCAGATTGAACTGTTGCCTCCTTTGTTTCTTCTTTTGAAAGTCTGTTTTTTTAAGAGATTGCAACATAAACACTTCTGTTGATTTGATTATAATTCTTTTCTTAAAGATATGAAAATATCTCCGTTGCATCCCTGTAGTTTTATGTAGTTTACTCACTTATGTAGCAATTCATTGCAGAATACAACCACTAAGGAAAACGAAACTCTTTTAGCCATTGGGACTGCTTATGTGCAAGGAGAGGATGTTGCAGCGAGAGGGCGTGTGCTTCTGTTTTCTGTTGTGAAAACTGCAGATAATCCCCAAGTTTTGGTACTTTTTTGGATTGTTTAATCTTTTTTTCTCAAATTCTTATCTTTTCTGCTTAAACTCAATCACTGTAAAAGTTCCTCAAATAATTTTTTTTCTTAATTCATGCTAATGTATATGCAATAACAATTGAGCCTTAATCCCAAACTAGTTGCGGTCGATTATATGAATCTTTTGTTTCCATATTCACTTTGTTCAATTAAGCAATTTTTGTGAAAAAATTTTGGAAAAGAGGATTTTTTTTTTTAAATCATTTGCTGTATTAGTAAATAAACAAAACATAAGACACCTAACGACAACTTAGCCTTAACTAGCTAGGGATTGTTGTAAGAATCTTTTGTCTCCATTCTGCTCTGTTTATAGCTAAATCTTCACTGATATCCAAATATCGTAGATCCTTCTCTCCATATGATTCTAGGTCTACATATTCCCTGTTCAGCAACATCCACTACCAAAGTATCGCACTTATGAACCGGGGATTATGGGAATCTACATAACATGTGGCCATACCATCTCCAACTTCTGCTACTTGCACCTTTTGTCTAATTTGGTCATTCCTAATCTTGTCCAACCTTGTATGACCTAATGTCTATATGCTAATGTCTATCTTTGCTAATATATATATATTTTTTTCAATATAAAATTTAGTCACTCTTCTTTTGCAGGTTACAGAAGTTTATTCTAAGGAATTGAAAGGAGCAATATCTGCTTTAGCTTCACTTCAAGGTCATCTGTTGATAGCTTCTGGACCTAAAATTATTTTACACAAGTGGACTGGTACAGAGTTGAATGGTGTTGCATTTTTTGACGCTCCACCACTATATGTTGTAAGCTTAAATATTGTAAGTGACCTAACATCGACATCTCTTCTTATCATTACTTTAGATAGCTATCAGCCCTGTGATTGTAGCTTGCAATCAGCATCAGATATCTAGTCTGAAGTTATACCATATTCTTTTTGGAATGATTCATGCTCCTCTTTGGTATCAGAAAGAGGGTTTGGGATTGTGGGGCAACTGAAAAATGTGACTTCTGATTAAAAAAAAAAAAATGGAGCTGGCTGCATCTAAATTATCTTGATGGCAATGGCTTATGGCTGGATTCGTGTAACCTAATTTGCAGGGAAACATCTTAAAATTTCTTGATTGTGCAACTTGTTTTTGTTAACCATTCCCAAGTTGCAGTAAATGCTTGGTTTTATTGTGAACATTAGAGGATTGTTTTTATTAAGTGGTTTCTGTTCTTTATTCTAATGGTATTGAGAAGCATGGCATGTGATTAAGTTACAAGTGATGAGAAATGCACCATACAATGTTTTAATGGTTATCTTTTTTTTTTGTTTATTGTAATTATCTAAACCTTCTTTACTAGATTTGCCTTTTCCTTTGTAACTATGAACCAGACTAATGCTCTTCATGTTATTCCAGGTCAAGAATTTTATCCTCTTGGGTGATATTCACAAAAGCATATATTTCCTTAGTTGGAAGGAGCAGGGAGCTCAACTTAGCTTATTGGCAAAGGATTTTGGTTCACTTGATTGTTTTGCAACAGAGTTTTTGATTGATGGAAGTACACTTAGCCTCGTGGTTGCAGATGAACAAAAGAACATTCAGGTCAGAACCTTCAATGTTGCATTTATTGACATTTAGTTAGACATTAATTATCAATGTTAGAAGGTTAGAATAAATCACCCATGAATAAAAAGATCAATTTGGACAATAGAACGATTGAAAAATAATGATTGTAAGTCAACTATGGGGAAATTAACTCACCTCTGAATATTTTATATGTGCCAAAATAGATATTCTATTATGCACCTAAGATGTCTGAGAGTTGGAAAGGACAGAAGCTGCTCTCAAGGGCTGAATTTCATGTTGGCGCACATGTGACCAAGTTCATGCGGTTGCAAATGCTTTCTACATCATCTGATCGAAGTGGTGTTGCACCAGGCTCTGATAAGACGAATCGCTTTGCATTATTGTTTGGTACTCTTGATGGCAGCATTGGTTGTATTGCACCTCTCGATGAGCTCACATTTCGTAGGTTGCAGTCACTACAGAAAAAACTTATTGATGCTGTTCCTCATGTTGCTGGCTTAAACCCAAGATCATTCCGCCAGTTCCAGTCAGATGGAAGGGTTCACCGACCTGGCCCTGAAAGCATAGTAGATTGCGAGCTGCTTTCTCAGTAAGTTCTTGTCTTAAGTAATATATTGAGTAGAGTGACCTGATTTAAAACTTACTGAGGTCATCAAAGTCTCAAATCTTGAAAATTAACCATTATATTTGGTACTTAGATTTGAGTGAAATTTCAGAAGAAAATTTAGTGAGGGTGGGTATTGAAATTCAATTTAAAGGGTAGAGTTAAAACTCCAACATTTTAAGGCATATGGTTCAATTTGCTATCATCTTCAAATGTAGGGGCTGCGTGTAATTTCTCCTATTTTTATTTTGATATCAGCCTATCTAACAAATTATCCTTTTCTTTTTTGAGAAATTCAATAGATTTTATGTTATGGAACTTGGTCACTAGACTAAACTATATGATTCTTCTCTGCAGTTATGAGATGCTTCCATTGGAGGAACAACTTGAAATCGCTCAACAGATTGGAACAACCCGTGCTCAGATTTTATCAAATTTGAATGATCTTTCTCTTGGGACAAGTTTCCTGTGATTACAGCTGATCTAGAAGCAATTCATTGGAGGACTAACTTTTAGAAGGACCATTTTTTGGTATTCTAGGGCTGCCAGGTGGTAAAGACTCGGGGTAAAGAGCAGCATCAGGAAAATATTTTAAGATCCCCCCATATCAGGACTGCTTACTGGTAACAGCCTTCATACAATTGTACATAGCCGTCTGCTAATTGTTGGCTAAACAAGCAATGTTTCTGAGAGGTGTAGCTTATGTAGAGAACTTCACAAGGTTCATAGAAAAATAGATTTTATAGATGGGATGTAATATCGCAAAATGAAGGCTTCTGGAGTGACAATAGATTTTATTAACCTTTAGTTTTGATTCACTGCAGAAAGTAGATTAGCAATGCCAGATATCTCATGGCAACCATCTTCGATGTGATACGATTCATATGTTGATGCTTCCCTGAACAGATTTTTTAAATTTGTTTAAGAATAAGAACTCATGAATGTTGAAACTATTCTCATTATTATTTTTACTGAAATGTTGAAATCATTTGAATAACGCACGCACACACATATACATATATTGCCTTTCCAGAAGAAATGGCCCAATTCCCTTGTTAAGACACAAGTTCTTTTATCATCTTGCCACTCATAATCTGCCATCAAATTCTCTGTAAATTGGAGGTTATATCTACTTATGCTACGTCATCTATCAAAATTCATGCATTTTGGGGCTATTCTTATTAAAGGCTAATACAACATTCAGGCTATATTTTGACAAGCTAGAATATCATCGATCAACTGCATTTCTAATTTGATTTATTTTCCATTGTAAACGAATCAAAATGGGGGTCTTCGACCAACTTCTATCAGGATCTAATCTGATGGTCCTGAAGTAGAGCCCTAGAGGCCTCTACCAAATCTCAGTTTTCTTTTGAATAATCGACTCTCTGGTATAGGATTAAGATTCCAACATATATATCGACAATGGCCTACCGGACAAAATGTGCTCCAAAGTTCAAATTGAAAAAAAAAAGGTTCCCTTCAAATACACCTTAATTCCTGCTGAAGATTCTTCCCAAATTGATAGACTGATGGCCCAATATCAATTCATATCTTCGAGATTGTTCAGTGAAACATCATCAATTAAGTAAGTCAAAGCAACCAATTGAAATAATGATGCCTCAAACTCAAACCCAGTAAAATTATAACATGCAGCAAAACGACATGCAGTACTAATTTTAGGTTAAAGATAAGTTAAAAGAGCATCTATGACTCATTGGAATCCTTTCTAATTTGTTGGAAAGAGTTGAAAATTTTACTATAGAACAGATGGGACTAAGGAATTGGGCAGGTGCTGAGCTCTTGTTGGGTTGCGTCCGTGATATGTTAGGTATGGTACAATTAATGAACAGTTTTCTGATAAAGCAATCATGAAATGGGGTCATTTTTTCAGAATATGAAATGATAGTGGGAACATTCCCTCGTGCCTCTATTGTATGACTTCAATCATCACATGATGAAGCTGCGATTTAGGGCAATGTCGTTTCGAACCAACCTTTTACTCCTGTTAGATGGAATAGTTAACACTAGGTAAGCACTATTAATTTCATATTTTAAATATTCTGAATGGACTCATTTTTAAATAATTTTACTTTGATTATTAAGACTATGGATGTCCTTATCTTTAATTAATTATATAAACCGGGATGATATTAATTCTATTAGATACAAGATTACAAATAAATTTCACTTCCATTGGAGATCGGATTCATCTATCCCCTTTTTTCTTTCTCTCCTTTAAATTTTCCCTTCCTCGTACTCTCTCCCTTGGTAAGGGCAAAAAAAGAGAGAGAAAAAAAAAAAAAAATATTAATTTCATATTTTAAACATATTCCGATATGCAAGACTTCCTTTTCATTAAGACCTAACTTTCTACTTCTTGACTATATTAGGATATGGAATGTCTTATCCTCTATTAATTATATCACCTCGGAGTTCATTATTCTATTAGTACAAGATTAACAAATCAATTTAACTTCCACATATGGAGACTCGCAGATCATCTATTCCCTTTTCTTTCTCTCCTTTAAATTTTCCCTTACTACCGCTAATCATCTTCTTGGTTATACAGGGGCAAAAAAAAGGACAGAAAAAAAAAAAAAACCAGAATAAAGATGGGGCTGGACCCTAATTGCACGATGGCGTATGATTGAACTATTTGGCTCTACCCATGTCCAATGCATGACTTAGACCCAGGTGGGCTCATTCATCACATAGGGAGACATCTCATCTATCGAACGATGGTCTTATGTGGCTTCTAATCTTTTTTTTCTTTTTCTACTTTATCTCTCTTTCATGCTTGGACCATTTTCTTCAAAAAGAATGTCCTTTCGCAAAAGTGAAACACTGCCCCTTCTTTCGTGATGACAATGAAGGCCATCAATATGCTCCTCCTTCATGCGATATTTATTCATATATATATTAAATATATATATATATATATATATACATACACCTACACATACAACATGTTTTTATTCATTTTAATTTCATTAATTAATATTTAATGAGCTTTTTTAGTATTAATAATTAAATAAAGACTAGCAATTTAAGGGTCCAAATTTTCAAAAGCTCTTATAGTGGGATATTAGTAATGCTGAATTAAGCTTCCATCAACTTCTATTCAAAAAGAAGAGAGCCTTTCATTTATTTTTCTTCCAATAGCCTTTGAAAGTATTCTAATGGGGCCAAATCAAGGTACGGTGGTGTCTTGACTCAATTTTTTTTTTTCTTATATATAATATACTTCCAATTTAAATGAGTTATTCTATATATGGGATTTTATTTATAGTTAAGAGTTAATTGAAGATTCTATTCTTTTTATGTCAAAGAGGTAGGTCTGACTAGTACCAACCAAATCAAAATCATATACACATGACCTATTATTTTGTTTTTGTACTAAAAGATTGAAAAGAAAAAAAAAGGGGGTCATGAGTTAATCTCTTGGCTCTATGTTGTTGGCTTCTATTCCTTATTCTCCAATTGGGGAGGGTCAAAGTCACGACGAATGCAAGCCCACATGCAGATGAAGTTTTTTCTTTCTAGGCTTTTTGAAAGCAAGCAAAATGACAATGCATATGAGATAAAGATACGAGTGTTTATATTGTACAGTATTTCTTATATGATTTCTTTCTTTCTTTTTTTTTTTTTTTTTATTTTACATTCATGGGATTTGGTATTATTTTATTTTATTTTTATATATTTGAAATTACTAAAGAGGAAGATTATTGACAATATACACAGTTTCTTTCATTAGAGATGATGAAATTGGCATGCTATAGCCTAAAGATATTTGAATTTCTGTACATCATATAATTATCTTTGTTCTTCATCGGAGAAGCCAGCCAACTACCTAGCCGGGATTCATCCATTACATGGGCTTTTAGTTATTGGATCAAATTCTTTCTTGATTTCTACCTAATATAAAAATAAATAAATAAATAGCTATAGATACTGTATATGTATAAAAGCCATGGAAGTCCAAATTAGGGTATATATATGAATAGGAGAAGCTTTTGAAAGTTGAAATATCTATGAGCGGCACCGAAAGCCTTCATAGAGAAAACGTTTTAGGAGCCATCAGCCATCTCTTTCTGCACATTTATACTTCCAACTTCCAAATGGGAATTATATATATGAACTTGCAACATCCTATGAGTCAAAAAAAAAAAAAAAAAAAAAAAAAAAAAAAACTTTCTTCTATTAATGTTTGTCAAACTCCAAAAAAAAAAAAAAAAAAAAAAAAAAACTTTCTTCTATTAATTTTGTCAAACTCCAAAAACATCATATGATTATTTGTGACTGTAAACTCATTATTAAAAAAATAAAGTCAAACATTAAAAAAATAAAAGTCAAACATATAATTTCTTATTATGGAATTGAAGCACCTTAGTGGGATTTGAACTGCTTTGCAAAGTGCAATTGCGTGATAGATAGCTAATTTAGGCAGAATAACAATCAGTTGGTACAACTAATTACATTAATATACATATATAAATATAAATAAATAAATAAAATATAAGAAAATAATTGTTCTTTTCATTGGGTTGACTTAAATTTTAGCATGGGAGACATTAATGAAGAGCGTATTCAGCTTTGACCCCAAAAATTTTTATGGCTGAAAATGGTCCTTTCGACGTTATCCATAATAATTAACCTAAACCCTCATGCCTCAACTATATATGTACAGTCATTATGGCATTTTCACAAACACTTTTTTCCCATTTCTATATCTCTGACTCCAATATTGCTGTATTACTACAACCCAAAGTGGAACACTATAACTCAGCAACTGGTGCCATTATCGCCTACACACTCATGTGGATCATTGCATCACATTCCATAACATATATATACATATATATATTTGCTCTGACCTTCAAAAATGAAGACCTCACTTGTCATGATTTTTTTCTCTTGAGTGCTTGCTGGGCTGCGTGGCACCATTAGAGCTTAGCCAGCGTGCTTCTTTGCTAGCCGCCCATGGAATCGCATTGGCCCGCATGTCCTAACCCACTTGATTGGTTCCATTTACAGATTAACAATAATAAATTCCTTTGATTAAGCCATAATACTATTGTTATCAATAGATTTATCTAGCCATGCAACTTCAGTCTATAGGAGAATCTAATTCAGCGAAATAGTTTAGTAATTGAGAATCTAATTCTATACACTAATTAAATTTATTTTTTTCAATTCAATCAAAAATAAATTATTCATGTCAATAATAAGATGATTAAGAAGTGAGAAAAATTAATATCTCGTAAGATGTTTTTCTTTTTTAGGAATTTATTAATTTTTACATGATCTTTCTAAGAAAGGTGTTCATATATATATGATTTGTTCAGAATTTGAGGATAGTAAGTTATTTGTAGAATGTAGTAAGATGGAGATCTTAATTGTGTAAATGGGTATGCTTAATTAATTAAAGATATATACAATTAATTAATAGCTTAATCGGCCAATTTTGGTAATGTGTGGTGTACTTAATATAATTGGTAGCTACGGAATCTAATCTAAGTATCTTCTTAGGGTTTGGAAATTAGTAAAATGGTACATTGGACTTGTAGAAAGAGACATGTCAATTATCTAAATGTTTTTTTATATATATATATATACTTAAATTGGACCAATGATATATATATAATAAAATCCCATTTAGAATAACGAAATGGGTGGTGTTAAGATAAGTGAATAACTAAATCTAATTAATTGTGATACATTTAGCCTTTGATGAGGAGACAAATGTTTGAGCAAACATGCACCTACCATATAATATATATCAGGGATTCCTGAAGGGCGAAACAATCTATATATAATTTCCAAAATCTCCTTATTCAATTCCTACAAATCCCTGTGCCTGCGGGCACACTATAAATACTAATGCATAGACCAAAATGTGGTTTAGAAATGATCTCAAGCTAATTAATTATGTAATCCTCCATTATATATACTCACAAAAAGAATAATCAGCTCATTTTCCCTTCATCAGCATTTTGTCTTTTTTTTTAAAAAAAAAAAAAAAAAAAAAATTTTTTTTTAAAAAAAAAAAAAAAAAAAAAAGTATAACTTTCTGTGTTTCTTCCTGTGAGTAATTTACTTCATAGAATGATGGAGAAAGGTTTTTTTTTTAAAAAAAAAAAAAAAAAAAAAGTATAACTTTTGTGTTTCTTCCTGTGAGTAATTACTTCATAGAATGATGGAGAAAGGAAAAGAATAAAAAAACAGCAACTATGTCTATATATATTTATCTTATGGTTTAGTGACAGGAAGGAAGGATGAGAATAAACAAAAGCAATTGTGTTTGCAAAGAGGCAGATAGTGATAGTGAGTTACCATACTCAATTCATTTAATTTAATGGGCACATTTATCGACAATATATATATATATATATATCGTCCGACAATTAAACAAGGGTATCGTTCTTTGCCCTTCCATTGGTAGGCAAACCTTTAATAAATCAATACTATCATTTTTTTACAAGTTCAAAAAAATAAATAACCCAATTTTACTAATGTCAATATATATATATATATTTATGTAACTCTCAAAACTTGCTTTGATGAGATGACCCAAAAAATGTACAACCCAACACACTAGTCCATGTGGTTTCAATGAGTGAATTTAATTTTCTAGTATTAATTACGTGTGTGTGATTCCATACATGATGTTTATCTCTGCCTCATGTTCCCATTTCTGGTCAACTTGAAGAACACCACTCGCTAACTCTTTCAACTAATTTTCCCTGATCTGAAACCAATAAGATCTATCGATGGTAGAGATTTTGATACAACTTGTCAAGTGGCCATCATCTTCAATTAACTTCATAACTCTGAAACTTGTTTATTTGGAGTCTTATACCCTAATAAAAGATTTAATAATTTCTACTCTTTTATATATATATATATTGGTCTTCAACTTTTTAAATTTTCTGCTTTTTATGCATGCCTTAGCTATGTATAAGCACCTTTAATTTTGAACAAACAAATCAATAAAGGGTCATACTGTTATGCACTCTACAGCAGCAGAAAATTTGACTAGGAACAATGTTTGTTTAATTGCCAATGCTGTGGTCTAGATCCATTGCCAGGTATATATATAAAAGAAATATTTATCACATATTTATTTGGCTAGGCCATAGCAATATATATAATTTCAAGAGGTGAGAGATTATAATACTTCAATCACCATCTTTAGAGTGGTTGTTGAGTACTACATTTGTCCATCTATCTCAAAGTACATATATATGCTCAATCCAAATTATTTCTTTCAAACAATTTCTTTGGCTCTCATTGATCTATAATTAAATACTTGTGCTAATTCCTAGCTAATCTTGAGACATTATTACTTCCCTTCCTTTTTCTCTTGTAGTGTATGTTAAAATAAAGATATTTGCTGGAGGATTCATAATTCAAACAGAAGCAAACATATTAATTTATTCAAAAAGATTGCATTATAAAAAGTTTTAAAAGAAGAGGCCAATAATGATAATTGATAAATGACCCCTATCCTGCCTTCAAATGTGCATGGAAAGAAATAGCATCTAAGGACAAATGTTCCTTTGTGTCCAAACACATCCTCTTTTTACCGACTGGGATAATAATAATTATTGTAATATGAATTTATATAAAATCAAAACAAAAAAAAAAATCAGAAAATTCAACAAAATGAAAACTCTACGCGCTTATCAATTCGTTGGATTTAAACCATAAAAGACAAACAAATAACATGTTGGAGAAAAATGAATATACAGTGTCACGCACTACACTGCATGTGGGTGTATCTTTTAACTTTCTTATTCGTCTATTTGGGAATTGCTATTTGTAATGCTCTTTGCCTTCAACATCCCACGAGCCTCACCTCACCTCACCTCAACTCAATCTTTGCATTTCTTGCTTCTTCCTTTCTTTTATCCTTATCTCTCTGCAACTCCACTTTCAATTATTTCCAATCTCTTCCATATACTTGTGTTTCTTCACTATAAATCCTTTCTTCAAAACCCAGAATTCTACCGTTTCATCAACACAATCGTTTCTTGTAAAATATACTTGAACAAGTTAAAGATTCAAGTAAATATGGCCCTTGAAACTTGGCTTATAAAGGTTAAAACTGCAATATCTCATCGCCTGGATTCAGTAGTAACCTCTGCGCCTATACCAAAAGCATCAAAGAAATCGACCGTTGGAGTTTTAGCTTTTGAGATCGCAGGTCTTATGTCTAAGCTCTTCCATCTATGGCAATCTTTGTCTGACAAGAACATAATTCGGTTGCGAAATGAATCCATCTCTCTTGAAGGAGTTCGGAAGATTGTGTCCAACGACGAGTCGTTCCTTCTTGCCCTTGCATGTGCAGAAATCGCTGAGAATCTAAGGCTGGTTGCTAAATCGGTCTCAAGATTGAGCAAACGATGTGATGATGCTAATCTGCGTCGTTTTGAACGTCTTTTCGATGACTTCGCGAATTCTGGTCATGATCCTAATTCTTGGGTCTTGAATTGCAAAGAAATGGAAGCCAAGAACAAGAAGATGGATAGGTACGTGACAATCACAGCGACGCTATACAAAGAAATGGAGGAGTTATCCATATTGGAGAGTGGATTAAAGAAAGCCTTGCAGTATAGCGAACATGAGTCCACAACGAAAGAGCAAAAGATTATGGATCTTCAACAGAAAATATTTTGGCAAAGACAAGAGGTGAAGTATCTAAAAGAGAGATCTCTTTGGAATCGAAGCTTCGACGGTGTCGTTTCAATGCTTGTAAGGTCTATCTTCACTGTTTTAGCAAGGATCAAGCTAGTTTTTGGAATAGGACATGGATATCCAACTTCTCTACCACGTAGTCTGTCAGCTTCTGCAACTGTCCATCCAACTGAAAACCCTAATACTTGTAGCTTTGTGTCAGGGCCACTAAAAGGCTCAGAACTTGAAGAAAATAAAGATTTGAGTGATGGGTTTTTCGAGTCGAACTCGAAACTACTAAAGCCACCAGAGACTACACTTGGCGCTGCGGCTTTAGCTCTACATTATGCAAATTTGATTATAGTTATGGAGAAAATGATAAAATCGCCTCAACTAGTCGGTGTCGATGCAAGAGATGATCTTTACTCCATGTTACCAAATAGTATAAGATCTTCTCTAAGGGCAAGATTGAAAGGTGTAGGATTCTCAGCCAGCGATCCAGTTCTCGCCGGAGAATGGAGAGATGCTTTAGGTAGGATATTGGGATGGCTATCGCCTATAGCACATAATATGATAAAATGGCAAAGTGAAAGGAGCTTTGAGCAGCAAAATTTGTTGCCCAAAACAAATGTTTTACTATTGCAAACGTTATTCTTTGCAAATCAAGAGAAAACTGAAGCTGCCATTACAGAACTTTTAGTGGGTTTGAATTACATTTGGAGGTTTGAAAGAGAGATGACTGCTAAGGCCTTGTTTGAATGCGCCAACTTTAATGGACTCCTGAATTCGCAGAGTTCCAGCTAGGAATTATAGCAGTTATAGATATATGGTTTCTCTTTTTTTCCTCATTTCCCAACCTTTCGGGTTTTAATTTTTGTTTTTCCAAAAGTTTATCATGTTTGATCTAAGATTGAACTGAGTTTAATCCAGATCTTTTGAGGGTTAAATTTGTTTTCCTTCTGACCCTGATCTGTACATGTCAATATAGGAGTGTAAGTAAATGATATGATTTGATCAGTAAACTTTAATTTCAGTTTCAAAGTTTGAAACTTTCGATCACATATAATTATTTGCAGCCATGTGAAAACACTACTTCCTTCATATTGTTATTATTATAGTTATTATTGAATCAATATTCTACTTGAAGTTTATGGGTGTGGTTGGTTGGTTATGAAGTGAAGTTTTTCCGTGTCAATGCGGTTTCTGATATAAAGTCATAAACTAACTTACATACAGAAGCAGTTCGATTGTGGGGCCTACAAACACCATAGATTTGAGATCACACTGGAATCTTTTTTTTTTTTTTTTTTTTTTTTTTTTATAAAGTCATAACTAACTTACATACAGAAGCAGTTCGATTGGTGGGGCCTACAAACACATAGATTTGAGATCAACTGGAATCTTTTTTTTTTTTTTTTTTTTTTTTCTTTAAAGCCAAATAATCAATGAATGTGAGGGTAGACTATATCAAAGCAACGACGAGACTTTATTCCGGCTATGCAATGTGATCAAAGATAAGGGTGTGTAGATTTTGGAACTTATCAAGATTCGAGGAATTTTTTTCAGTTTGCATTTTCATAATGTTTTTTAAAGAGAAGGAGATATCAGGCCTTTGTTTGAACCCTCATTATCTCATAATTTGTAGTTAGTTTAAAATTTAATTGACAAGATATTTAAACAAACTTCTTTTTCTTTTTTCCTTTTCTTCTTTTGGTGCATATACGGTTTTTTTTTGTTGATTCCTTTGAGACCCTCAAACGGTTACTTCTAGAAAGAATTAGTAACATTTTTTTTTTTTTTTTTTTTTTTCTTTTAAGCACCAAATAATAATGATGTGAGGGTAGACTATATCAAAGCAACGACGAGACTTATTCCGGCTATGCATGTGATCAAAGATAAGGTGTGTAGATTTGGAACTTATCAAGATTCGAGAATTTTTTCAGTTTGCATCATAATTTTTTAAAGAGAAGGAGATATCAGGCTTTGAACCCTCATTATCTCATAATTTGTAGTTAGTTTAATTAATTACAAGATATTTTAAACAAACTTCTTTTCTTTTTCCTTTCTTTTGGTGCATATACGGTTTTGTTGATCCTCTTAGCAACCTCAAACGTTACTTCTAGAAAGAATTAGTACAAGGACCAATCCCACAGTCATCATCCAAATTTGCTTTCTGCATTTGTTTATGATTTTTCATCTGGGGGTTTCCAGCTCATGCTTCAAATATTTATTAATTGTGCCTTCTTATACATTATATTCTCTGTCTAAATGTTCCCAAAATTCTCATTTTTGTTCCCCACCACCTTATTATTATCCTTTTTTTTTCCCACCTCACATACTACTATAATGGTTTTTGGTTATTTAAACTGAAAAAGACCTCATTAGACAGAGATTATATTTTCCAACATAAATAAATATCCTCCCAATATGTGTGGCCAGCAATTTGCTGAATTAGGACATTTCTCTAACCCATACTATGATTGTGGAATTGGCTATATAGGCAGGCAAAAATTGCTGTGTGGTCCAAATTTTTAGACCGAGGCCCAATTGGCTATGTTCTCATTCAAAAGAAAGAAACAGTTTTGATGTTCAACAAAAGTAATTAACTTTTAAAACTAGAAAATACAAAGAATTAGAATGTTAACTGTAATTAAATTGAACAACTTGACGAGCAAAAATTAACTAATCAAACCAAGAATCGATATTTCTTCAGATCCTTGAATCGAGTTTATCGCACTTGATAAGTGGATTTTGCTTGATCAAACGATCCCGATCAGCTTTCTTGAAATCAAACGTGCACGAATGTTCTTTAGGGTACCGGTGAGAACCACACAAGACCTTTCCGCAACGGCATGCGAATCCTGTCAAACCCACCTTCTTGTTGCAACTTTCACATCGATTCTTCACAGTAGAAACTGCAGAAGTACTTGTCAATGTCGTTTCTCCAGTCTTGGGAGGCAAAGATAGCTGCTTATCTATCGTGAGTGCTGTCGTATCAGCAGAAGCTATTAACATTGTCGTTTCTCCAGTCTTGGTTGGTAAAGGTAGCTGCGTATGCGTATCTGTCGGTCTATCTGTCGTTAGCTGCGTATCTATAGGTCTATCTGTCGTTTTGGCAGATTCAGCTTCAGAAAGTAGTTTCTCTTTCAAATAATCCTTGTAGCACTTAGAGCACAGGCCATGATTCTGTGGTGATCCGAAGAAGCCACAGCCCCTCTTGCAAAGAGAAGAACTTGAGTTGTTTTGAGAATCCATGTCTTGAGAATCCTTCTTCTTCTTCTTCTTCTTCTGTTGATTGCTTATGATCAATTGATATGTAAACATTGACGAGGTTATCTCATATTTATACAGAGTGATTTTTATATTCGAATTGGGTTGGGAGAGGAAAAGAATTATAGAAATTACATACTGGTGTACGTTCCTGCACCTTCTCTGGAGGCGGTTTTCGATTTCCTATTCAATAGGACAACTTTTTAGATAACGACAGTTTTTTTTTTTTTCTTAGATTAAATTAATTTTGTTTATAACGAGAAGAATTAGGATTAAAGTAAGTTTAGGTAGTCATGATCGATAGTGTTTCGTTTTAACAAATCAAAATCAAACCAATTAAAATCTGAATTAAATCATAGTCAACAAATTTTCAAACTACAGTTTTAGGGGTAAGACTTGTCTATATCCAATATATGGGGTTACTCATATACTAAATCAATTGAAAGGAGATGTTAAAAAAATTATTAATGTTTTATTTTTTTTCTAGTCAAAACACTTTTGTTTCTTTTAAAAATTATTTTTGATTTATTTGGTATATGAAATGAGCCATATCGAGTGTAGGTAAGTGTATGCTTAGGGATCAGTTCAAATTCTTTATTTTTTAAAATCAAAACTAAGAGTTTAAATTTGAAACTGTGAAAAGGAGAAAAAAAATTATAAAATTGACAAATAGAATCTTTTAATTTATTTTTTTATTTCGTTAGAAAATCTTTAAATAAATTTTAATATCTTTCTTATTCTTGTTATTATTATTATCATTATTACTCATACAACTCAAACTAAAAAGAAATTAAAAAAAAGTTTGATTTGATTTCTAATTAGTACCGAGTTAGAATGGACGATGGTTTTAATATCAAAACCGGCAATTAAGAAAACCTAAATTTTTGGTTCGGTGCGCGGGTTATAGAGTTTAATTGCTGTATTCTCTCAATTTTACTTTTGCATCCCTATATATGTAGAGTTGAATTTACTCCCTCCATCCTTTAATTTTATCTTTTTTCATTTTTCATCCTTATTAAATTATTGTAATATTTCTTTTCTTTTTTTAAAATAAATAATATTTAAAATTTATTATTTTACATTTATTTAATATGTTTTTTTATCCAACAAATATTTGGGCTTGGGCTTTGTAATTGTTAGTTGTAAGAGCTTGTCAATAGCGTCCATTAGATATTTCTCGAGTCTGCCCGGTTGCAAGGCTATTGCCTATTGCAGCGACAACTGCAGTACTGATCTCATATTTGTCAGGGTCTTGAATCATATGTGAAATTTCGAATTTCTTTTCTTTTCTTTTTTCTCCCCTCGTTTGAAGTTAGTCAGATTGATAGAATTGAAATTAGATTGCTTTTGCCATTTTTAAGTCGGGAGAGTGTGCTAATTATATAGAGCAAGACAGGAAATAAACAATCATCAAACATAAAAGAAAAATCAAACTGGAATGAAAACACTAAGTTTAAAGCAAGAACAATAGCCAATAGGTAAAATCCTCTTAGTCTGAAATGGAAATTACAACAAAAACAATCTACAAGACTTTAGATTAGTCATCGTTCCCAGCTTACACTTTTGCTGGAAAGTGATATTGCATCTTCTCCTTCTCTTCATATTCAAATGATTTTGTTGTTCAAAGTAAACAAAGAATCCGGTGAAGCCCATAAAAGAGAGACAATAACTAAAATAAAAGGTGAGAATTACAGATTAGTTCACACACTTTGTTTTTGAGTGTTTGGCATTTTCCTACATTTTTCACTCTTAAATTTTTTTTCAGAAAAAAAAAGTGCTATGCCAAACACGAAGAAGAACAAAGTATATCCAATGACAAAGAAAACATCTGACGGACCACAGAAACACCAAGAAGACCCCATTTTTAATATTCGTTTTTTCTTTAAAAATTAAAAAAAAAATTATGAAACCAAACTTTGCTGAAATTTTCTTTTACTGTATTTATCTACCAATTGATTCGATAGGATCGTTTTCTCATAAAAGTCCAAAGAAATGTTTCTGAATATATTACCTGTAAATTTCAATTTTAATTTTGCAAAAAGCACTTACTGAGGAATTATCCAATACTTTCGGCCTTATCGCGTCCTACAAACGCAATACACCAATGACTCAATTGCACTTGCAGGAGATGACGAGACCAGCCAAAAGTATTGAACAATCTCCTAACTCGGATCGCATCAATTTGCAGATAAATCTAATAAAAGAAAACAATAAACCTGGCACGACTCCGAATAACCTTGTTCCTAAATTAGATTATACGCTGCAATTTATTGGCATAGCCGGCCGCCGGGTTTTGTTTGAGCAAAACCTCGCGGCCAAACGCCTTAAAATCAAAGCTGCATTTATGTTCTTCCGGGTACCGGTGTTTTCCACAAAACAAATTCCCACATCTACACTCAAAGCCCGTTAACCCGACCCGTTTGTTGCATCTATTGCACCTGTTCTTTATGCACATTGAAGAACCAAAAGAGAAATTATTAACACTAGTTTTAGAAGAAATCGGAGTTTTGAAAGTTAGACTAGAATCACCAGTAGTTGCATCACCAGAAAAAGAAAACTGTTTGGTGTTCGAGGAAGCACCAAAAAAAGAATTAGAATCGGAAGTAGTATTAGTATTGAGAGAGAGAGAAAACCGAGGCATTGAATTTGCAAAAGCGAGGGGAGAGCTCCGCGGCGGCGATGACGATGAATTCAACGGTTCCTCCTTTGATTTTGCCACGGTTGCCTTTTCGTATTCTTTGAAGCAATTTGTACAAAGATTGTTGTTTTGTGCGGATCCATAGAAACCACAACCATTAGCGCAGAGTTGCGAATCGATGCTCTTATGCGACTCCATTTGCGTGCGTTCCTTTTCTTGCTATTGCAGGGGATTTCAAGCCCTTCTTGTTTGTAAAATCTTGATCTGGATTTCCTTGTTAATGTTATTATCAGATTAACATTTTTGTATATCAACAAGCAGTCTCGGTTTACCCCTTCTAGAAAACGGAAAGCGTCAACCGACAAGAAGTTCGAAGGCCCAATAATATCTTGGGCAACGTGATTAAAGGCCCAGGGTTGCGGCCCAACATGTCATCCTATAATAATAATCTTATGACCACTTGACCAAATCCATGAAGTCGTATAGACTAGAGGAGCAGGTAGTCCTAATCTACTCTAGCGAGAAAAAATGGCACGGTTGGCTGAAGTTTAGATGAACTTTATCACACGTCTGTCATGGAATCTGCCTCTTTATAAATGTAGGAAGAGGAATGGTTCAAAGGTAGAAAACATTCAGAGATAATAGCTTCTCACTGCCGTTCCCAGAATGGCAGAAAATGAAGCAATTGGTCCTTCACAACGAAAGTATATTAGGCAACCACCATCAGTTCCATTTCTCTGGGAGGAAAGGCCAGGTGTAGCCAAAAAGGGCTGGCGGCCTGTGGTTTCTTCAGTTACCACCCTAGCTCTACCTTCTCCAGTCAAGCTTGTTGCCTCAGTCCCCTTCAACTGGGAAGAAAAGCCTGGAAAACCATTACCTTGTTTCTCAGAGCCACCACCAGAGTCGGCACTTTTAACTTCACCATCCCCTCCCATGTACTCTCAAAGTCATAATGACGAGTACAGTTATGAGGAAAATGGTGGCAACGTCTATCATGGAGATAAAGGAGGAATATTTGACTTGGATATTGAATCATTCAGTTTTGAGACAGAAGATTCTCTCAGCTCTGCACCCTCTCTCTTGGCAAATTGTCTGGTATCATCAGTAGCTGTTTCTTCTGCTGTTCCAGTGCCAAAAACTTCATCATCAGTTGACATCAACGACCAGTTTGAAATTGCTTCCTCGCCTGCCTCTGAAAGTGACGACAGTACCAACAGCTATGCAACTGGCAGATCAAGCCTTGCAGGTGCTTCTTTCTTGGAGTGTCTCTTTCCATTATATTCACCCAGTTCTGGTTTTCTAGAGAAGCATACATACTCCAAAAACAGCACCGTCAGTCCATCAGAGGTAACAGGTAGCCGTTTTGATTATGAAAGTGGTAACACCATGGCAAAGAAACCTCCAACACTCGGAGAATTGATAATGATGAGCCGAAGGAGGAGCCACCAGAGAAAAGCTGTTCAAATGGGAAAACAGAATTTGTCGATGGTAAATCTCCAGATCCTGATTCTTTCCATGTTATTAACACCTAAGACCATTTTCAGATGCTAGACTACAGAAATGCAACTACGAATAATAATAATATAGAGGGAAATGCTACCAAAATCAAAGAGCAAAAAAACAATTCAAGCCATCTCCATCTAGCAACATCCTGAAATTAAACAAAATCATGTTATTAATGATCTGATATTTTCTGTACAAGATTAAAAAACAACTCTAACTCTAGCTTCATTGCACCTGTGACAGGAATTTATAAATAATAAAGCTTTTGGCTGCTGCCTCTTTGGTGCTGGCATCAGAATTATTGAAGGATCACAGAGGAAGAGACACCATCTTTTAAGACTGAAACTGATATAGCTCAATCTCGTGTTACAAAAATAATCTGTTTGAGCTTTCAACTTCTAGTGATGTGAACATTTTACAACTTCCAGAATGTAACCATGAGTTAAATACTTGAATTGTGATAGAACAAGAAATCTGAATTTGAAGTTACCATCAATTCAGTATCTGAACATCTCCATTTAGGGATTGTTAAAAAGATCTCTAAAAGCAATGTTATAGGCAATCAAGACTGAAAAAAGAATTCACTGTGCGAGTCACATTTCAACTGGAAGATTTACAAGTTTCTGCAACTCTGCGGATCCGTTCTATGACCACGGGAATATCTTCTTGGGTTATAGTAGTAAAACAACACCGGAACCATCCCGGCTCTATGCAGTGGCATGCCGACCCAGGAGTTACATTGATCTTAGCAATATTCAACAGCTTATCCCATAAGTCAAGTTCCCCTTTCTCACTGTAAGAGGGAATTAGTTCACCCATATCAGCCCAACAGTATAAGCCAGCACTGCTTTCTGCACACTTGATTCCTAATTGCTTGAAACCTTCAACAAGTAAATGATAAATTTTCCGAATTCTCCTTATATTGGTCTCAATATATTCCTCAATGAATCCTATATCTGAAAGCATTGAAACTAGTAGCCTCTGGCTGGGAGCAGAAATAGAAGAAAATCTAGATAACCTTTTAGCTGCAGCCAAAACACTTGCGTTGTAGGAATAAATAGCCCCAACCCTAAATCCTGGAAGAGAAAGATCTTTTGAGAGCCCATATATTATGTGAACCCTGTTCTTGTCAAATTCTTCTTCCTCAAGAATTTGTGCCATGCTCACAAATTCATTGTTTCCATATACAGACCCAGCAAATATTTCATCAGAAATAATGTGGATATTTTTCTCTTGAGCAAAGTCTAGTAAATCACAAAGTGTTTCCCGCGGCAGTAAATTACCAACAGGATTACAAGGATTAGAAATCAATATTCCACGAACCTTTAATCCTCGCTTTCTAGCCTGATTGTATGCTTGTTCAAAGGCATTAACACTTAGTAGGAAATTGTCAGTGCTGCGGCAGTGAACAGGTATTAGTTCCACTCCTGTCCGCCATCTCATATCTCTGTCAAATCTGCAAATTATTTCCCAATTAATTTCAGGATTGATATCTAAATGAAAAGCTAAATGATTTAGCAGCGCCTTCTTTGGTTAGAAGAAAAAAAAAACGTTTTATGAGAAATATAAATTACCCAGGGTAATATGGTGTTGGAACAAGAAATGCATTTCCTTGGTCTGCCAAGCAGAAGCATAGAATCTCAACTGCAGGAGTTGCACCAGCAGTTAAAACTATCTGTGATGGATCAAACAACCCTGCTCTTCCCATGACCTTTGACATGAAATGTGCCATAGCCTGTTAAGTCCAGAGAGAATATAATAAATAATTGAAATGACAACAGCATGAACTGATTTCTATTAACCAATTGTAGGTGCACAGAAATTATATTCATAATTCATCAAAATGATAAACAAACAAAAGCATATGAAAAATTCAGAACTCAAAGAACCTAGGAGATGTCAAGGCAATCCATCCTACATTCCTATAAAGAAAGAAATCAACTTTCACGTCCACAATACATTGAACTGGTAGGGCATAGAATTCCCAAAAAGTGGGTGCAGTACCCTTACATAAAAACAAAACAAACCTACCAAATGTTCTCTGCAGCATGTAACAAAGGCCCCTTACCACTCGAAAGCTCTAATTTCTAAGAAACCATAAAGAAGCACAAATGGTATTAAAGTCATGACATCTCATGCTAACCTGAACATCTTGGACTGAAATGCTAACTGCCATAGCTCAAACAGATGTAAGTCTCAATAATCTATATCTAGAATTAGAATAGCTTTTCCTTCATGATTTGAACTCTCAGTAGTTAAAATCTCAATACTACAGCTTTCCAGTAAAAGAAAGGATTGACCAGAGATTACAATTCAAGCTTCCTCAGGAAATGTTACTTCTCTTATCTTAATCTAGATATTATCTAATGGCTAATGCAATTACACCACCCATCTCCCTATCTTTTCTATTTTCCACTTCTCTAGTTCACCAAACTACTATAATAGTTTAAAATTTTTTTCCATTTAGATGAAAAGGCTTTTGATTTTGTTAAGGTAAGCCTAACCCTAACAGAACAAGATTAACACGTGAATGGTAACATGAGAAATGAATTATCACATTTCTAATTTTCTATTTAGTCGTGCATTGATCAGATAACCTTTTAATCATTACTATTTATATCTAAGATTAATGTGACAAGCTCGTCCACCGATGTAAACATCCTGCATATCCAAATTTGTATTTTTAAAGCAATATGAGTTAAAAAAATTTAAAAAAATTTAAAAAAAAAAAGATATGATTCTAATGCACCTACATTACCAGGTAAGAAATTTAGTCGATAAGAAGACATGGATACTATACTTGGATTAGCAATGTTACTGGGTGACTTTAAATTTAACTTGGATTCCATGTTATGTTGTAGTGGAAGCAAGTACTTCCAGTTCTCTCAACCCACGAAATGATCCAACCAAGTAACTAAAGGCTTACTCACTAAACAGAAAAACTCATGAATACAGATGCAAGGAAAAAGAGAAGCTAAACTGAAGTCCAAAATTATAAATGACCAAAAGATTTTCTTAACCACTTTCAACTCCATCAATCCGTCGAACGGCTGGTAAGTCGCGATGCCATTAATATTCAGATCTCCATCGTCTCTTCCCACTATAGAATTTGTCACATTCTCCGCCAACCATTTCTCAATCAAATCTAAACACAACTGAGATCATCAAAACAGAAAATTAATTAACACAGACAACAAAAAGCTAAATATTAAAAGATGGAGTAAAAGAGGGCAAAACCTTACTCTATTTTCAGATAACCCAAGCTGAATAATCCCATCCGGATTATCCATTCTATCATATGGATTCTCCAATACCATATCCAACCCAATATAGTACGGTGAATCATTAGGTTTGGCAATGGACATCGCCCGATTGGATGCCCGAACCCGCCCAATCGACCCTCTGCTCGACAAATTGGACCGTGAAGAAGACCTTGGTATTTCCGCAAGGTTTGGAGATGAAGAGGAAGGGGACGGAGGGTTCGAGGAGCTTGGAGAACGATAACGTTTGAGGTAGAGCTGGAGGAAGTAGAAGAGAGCGCAAGGAATTAGAGAACCTAATATCAGGCCTCCTCTGCCTTGGACGACACCTTGAAGTGGCACTATGAGTCTCATTCCGGTGGCTCTGGTGGGTTTCGAGGGCGGGTTGTCCGTTTCGATGGATTTAGGTCGGGTCCGGGTCATTAGTTAAGCAGATGGCCCCGCTGGGATTGGAGGCCTCAAATTGTCCGTCAGGTGAAGCTTGTAGAAAGTTCGGTTGCTTGTCTAGTTAAAAGAGAGGGAAAGAAGGGATTGTGTGCTTGTTGTTGGGATTGTTTAGAGCCGTTCGTTGGAAGAGAGGGAAGATTGGATTTTTTTGGATTATTTGCTGAGGCAGGCAGCTACAGTATTGGCGTCATTCACATCATAATTAGTCAAATGATAACATCTCGACTGTCGAAGTTTTCTTTTAAAAAAGAAGGAAATGGAAAAAAGCAATACGGAGTAGAGTAGAATGAAGAAACAAGAAACAAGAAACAATAAAGAAAAAGTCAGTTTCTTCAGAGTACTTTTTTTTCCCTTTTTTTAAGGGATATATTTCATTTTTCTCAACAATGAAGGTTACATTCATTAAATTCAAATTTTAAATATTGAATTGAATTTATAACTGAAAAATACAAAATATGTTGAACTAATCATAAAATAATAGTATAAGTAAGTCTTTGAAATTTGCATTTATATTTTATTTTATATGAACTTGATTCAACATAAATTTTTAATTGGATTTGATTTGATTCTTTTTAAAATATTTTTGTTTGTTCGGTTTAGATAGTTAAGTTGAAATTGAAATAACTGGATTCCCATGTTTAACAAAATTAATAAGATTAGAGAGTAAAAAGAAGTTCTAATTAAGAAATTAAAATTAAAATTAAAATACATACAATCAATATCTCTAATTTTATTATTTGTTGTGATTGGAGACTAAGATCTTGTTCAAAAATAGTATTTTATGTATTTTTTAGTGTTTTCACTTATTATTTATAGTTTGGTGACATTAATATCTCGAGTTTGAGAGAAATTATAATTTATTACTTTTTTAACATTTGATGGAAAGCAATTAAAAGAGTTTATAGCTACTAAAATAATTAACATTATGGAATATAACATAATTTGAATTTTTAACATATATAGCTTAAACTATATTGTTAAAAATAATTGCACTTTCGATTCAAATTAAGTTTATAATTTAGAGAAAAACAATTACTCAAAGTTAAATCCAGTCATATTCCGAAAATGACGCAGCATCTTAAAGAAACAAAAAAATATTGTTCATTGCTTCGCGACCGGCTGTACATGCATAGGATATTAGGGTCAGGCCCAGGCGACTCCGAGTGGCCTTAGTCCCACTGCAGGCCCATTCCATTATTTGCAGCTTAAGATCCTTAAAGAGAGAGACTGGCAATGAATTAAAATTTTAAAATATAGTTGCAAAACGTTAAAGTTTGAACTTTTAAGCTGAAGAAACTGGAATAATGAAATGCCAATGATAGGTCATATAGTTATTAGCTAATGGCAATTGTACGAGTGTTGGAACTTGGAAGGGGACAAAGGAAGAGAATAAAGAAAAGGAAAAAGGAGTGACTATGAGTTCAATTATAACTATATTGTTATTGCCTTTTGTATGGCGGAAAAGGGTTGTTGATGATTATATAATAGGCTAGTGTTGAGATGAACTCATAATAGGATATAAAGAAACCATATAACAAAAGTTGGAAGTAACATCATTCCTTGCTATACTTTACTCTTTCATTTTCACAAGCTTCATGACTATTCATGTTTTTTTGGGATTTTCATTGCTTATATGCATAATTTTACATGATTGTCTCAATTATGGGTATAGTTTGCTCACTAAATTTAACGACAATATAATTCGTTTAAATATTTATTTTTTTATAGGAATAAATGTCAATTTGACTCCGTAAACTTATTGAATGGGATCAAAAAGATTATATTTAACCTTTTAAACCAAATTAACCCTCAATTTATTAAAATAAATAATACATATTCATATACATGAAATTTCAAAATTATTTACGCTTTTTATGCATCACTTATATAATCCGACTTTCTCCCTTCTTTTAGATTTGTGAATTTACCTTATGCTAAAAAAATATGGGAAAAAAAGGAAGTTAATTGGACTAATGTCACTGATCATTCTTGGCTATCTTTATTGTCAATAGTCAGTTTTCTAAGTTAACGAAGCCTTATCTGTGAGTAGTGTTTATGCCTGCAAGGTGTTCGTGAAATTGACATCAAGCCCGATCTTTAAAGGGTAGAAAGAAAAACAATGGTCCAAACTCTTTCATCACTAAGGGGAAAAGCACAAGAAACAAAAAACAGTGTGGTGTCAACAACATTCATCCTTTTGGCGCTCCCTCTCCCTGCTATATTCTTAATGGAATTTGAATTCATAGGAGCGTCTATGTGCCTTTTCACTTCATTTAGCAAAAGACAAACATTCTTTACCTGCACACGACAAAAAAAAGATTAGCTAGGGACAAGACTCACGAGTTGGAAAAGAAGAAACTACTTCTATTTCGCGTCACATATAGGAAGAAAAGAAGTTTCATATAGAATTATAAGCACAAGAAGGAAACTGTGAGAAATGACACTATGTATTTATTTATCGAATCATTGTCTTTGTCTTTATTTAATTTGATGATTTAAATTTCAAATTCTCTGCATTATTGATAGCTGTTCTTCTTTTTTTGATTAATTGACCGATCAAGGTCATATATCGAGCAGGCATGGGTTGAATAACAATTTTTTCTCTTTTTTTTTTTTTGTTTGTTTGTTTTTCAACATCAAAGCGAGTTTTCAAAATCTAGGTAAAAATGAAAAATGGAAGTAAATAACATTATAAAGCTTTTAATATACGGAAAACATTTTTGGCAAACAGACACAATGTAAATATCGTAAAATTAATTGTAACGCTTTAAAATTTTTAGCAGTTTTAATACTGTTTTTGTCGTATGATATATATATTTATAAATATATTACTACTTGTACCATTTAGCATATATGTTAAAAATAGTATATGGTAACATGCATTTCACAATCAATTTAATAGCATGTATTCATAACTAAAAATGGAAAAGATAGAAAACTATCCTCTATATTGATTCTGAATAGTTTCATTTCATTTTTTTTTCTTTTGTTGTATTTCCAATATTTGAATAGTTTCATTTTTTTTTTCTTCTGGCCATACTGACAATTTATAAATGAATCAGTAAAATGGGTTCCTGATCCAGCTAAAGGCATTTAATTAGACTCGCCATCTCATAAATGCTACTCTTCAAAGGAATATATATATTTTTTGTTTGTTTGTTTTTTTTTCACAACATCAAAGCGAGTTTTCAAATCTAGGTAAAAATGAAAAAATGGATTAGTATAATAACATTAATAATAGCTTTTTTTATATATATTTCGGAAAACATTTTTTGGGCAAACTAGAGCAAATGTAAATAGTGCCGTAGAAAAAATTAATATGTACGTTTCTAAAAATTTTTAGCATTTAATACGTTTTTGTCGTATGAAATATATATATTTATAATATATTACTACTTTGTACATTTAGCAATATATGTTATAATTAATATGTAATATGTAATATATTGCATTTTTTCACATTTTTATCAATTTAATAGCATGTATTTCAATTAATCTTTAAAATTATTGGAAAGATTGTAGATTTAAACTATCCTCTTTTTATTTATTGATGTCTGAATTATGTTTTCATTTCATTTTTTTTTTTGTTGTATTTCCAATAATTTGAAATAGTTATTTTTTTGGTTCTTTCTGGCTATCGATCTGACTAATTTTATGAAATGAATCAGTAAAATGGTTCTGATTGTCCAGCTAAATGGCATTTGAATTTAAGACTTCGCCATTCTTCATATGAAGTGCTACTGCTTCATATAAGATATATATATATTTATTATTTTATATATGATAATCCTTAATACATCAACTATTTAAACTTTTCAAGTTGTTGCCTTCATTTATAATAAATGTTAAATATTAGAATAAATTTTGATCTTACAATTATAGATAAATTTACTATCATTTTATGTCCTTTTTCATTTTAAAAAAGAAAGATCAATATTAGTATTAACTTTCGAAAACACATTAAATTCAAAATATCTATGATTTCTTTATCAATTAAAAATTCTGACTATATATTTTAAAAACTAATTAACTGTCATTTGTCAAAGATTGTTTAATATAATTAATTAACAATTTAATATTATATTTGATTTTTATATTCTCTTTATTTTTGAAAAAAAAATTTAAAGATGTTATTAGAAAGAATAAAGTTTTTTTAAATATTGTAATATGATCTATATTTTTTTTTATATTATATCTTATATTATTATTAATTTTTTTAATAATTATTTTTTATTGTAATCGTAAAAATTTAAAATTATGGTTTTTTTTAATTGCATCATAATTTTAGTTTGTATCATAATTTAATCAGAGATTATATTTTATTTTATGTTTATGCATTATCAATTTTTAATTATAGTTTTTTACCTTATCAAAATAATAACTAATATTAATTATAATGATTGGAGGGTATATTTGGCACATTATAAGCGGTAAACAGTTTCGATTTTTTTCGGATGCCCTCTCAGTTAAAATTCTTAATCTCCCAGTCCGAGAAGCACCGAAATCTCTATAAAATGGATACATCCTTTCGTGCTTTCTGTTTATTCTTTTGTTTGTTTTTTCTGGTATATATATATATATATATATTCTTTTAATTAATTATTTTATGTAACGTAAAAATTAAATTATGTTTTTTTAAATGAATCAAATTATTTACAATAATTTAATCAAATTATATTTATTTTTATGGGTATCATTTCAATTTTAATATATTATTTTATTACCTAAAAAAATTAACAATAAATTTATAAGATGGAGGGTATAATGGGCACAATATAAACGGTAAACAGTTTCGATGGTCGGACCCGCCAGTTCAAAAATTCTTACTCCCAGTCGAAAGCACCGAACCTATAAAATGATCATCCTCTGCTCTGTTTATTCTGTTGTTTTCTTGCATATCTCGCTGTATAACCCACCGTAATTGTCGCCGTTCACTTCGAAAAAAAAAAATTGTTTCTCTCATTTTCTCTCATTAGAGTTTTCAAAGACAAATTTTCATACCTTTCTCTCCTTCTCTACCATTCTTTCCCTCGTTTTCCCGGAAAATTTTGAGAGAGGTTAGTCGACATCATTACAACTTCTCTCTAACATTTCCGAGGAAGTTAGGGAGGGGATGGGGGCCGAGAAAATAAGAGACATCTCCTTTTTCTAAGCTTAACAGAGACAAAAAGGAAAGTAAAGGAATCCAGTTCATGTTATAATGTTTTCTTCTGGCTCATTCCTATGAATCAAAACAAAAAAATAAAAAAAAAATGATTCTCGTTTCCCGAGAAAAAAACGTATGGAGACAGAGAGGATGTGTCAGCTTTCTTCAGATAAACGAATTGTGTCAATTGCTGTTTTAAGTACCTAAAAATCTTGATAGAGATAAAAAAAAGCGACGGGATATGGATTTTGACATGGAGGAATTTTTTATTGAGCCATTTTTGGCTGGAGAAATCGATATTGATTACGAGTTTGATGCAGCTAAATATTACGATTTCACCAGGCAAGAAACTGATCTTGAGGCTCAAGAAGCTGAGCGCTGGTTCGAAACCGCAGGACGTAATCTTCCCTCGCGTAAGATTCTCTCATTTATATTTTTATGCGCTTATCGAATCTTGTTTACTTTATATCTTTATTGGATTGCTTTCGAAATCACTTTGTATCGTAAGGAATTCTAAGATCGTACATGTTGCATTTAAATGTTCTCAATTCCAAGTAAAATAAACGGTTAAAGAATTGCTTTCTGATACACAGCTTCTTTTGCTTTTGTTTGTTGCTGTGAAAATGAATCATGTGATCATTGTTTTTCAAATGATAACTTTTTGAATTTTCGTTGTTTAAGTGCAGTTTTTTATTTTATAAAAGTCTAGCTTGATTTTAGCTTTCAATGAAGGCAAGTCAAAAAAACACAGTGAACCTTTTTGAAATGCAGTTGAATTTTAATGATCTGTTCTCAATTAATTATATTTCAGTGGCTGTGCAGAAATAAAATGTTGAATTGAGTGATTATGGGTAAAATTTATCCCGATTTCAGCTAACACTTTCATACCAGCCAGTGCATGGGTCCTATTGTCATCTATTCATCTTTTTTTCTCTTTGGATAACTGTTATACACAACACAACTCCACAGTTGCATTTTCAATTTGTTTGCTTCATTTGCGTGGAATATATAGTAGTTCCCAGAGTTTTTCATTTTCTCTATCTTGGTGTTCTTGGATGATTTCCTATGCGATAATCACTCCATTTATTGTACTTAATTTGAAGCTCACTCAATATTTGTTTGTATTATTTAATTCATTCTTTGATCTCCATTTAGTTCATTACTATCAATTCTGCAGGATTAGAATCATATCGTCAAGCTAAAACCTCACCAACGAAGTTAGTCCCATCAAAACATTTAAATTTCATGAATCCTACAGCAAGTCAGTTGGCAAAGCAAAATTCCCCTCCACAAATTCACGGTGACAGATTACTCAGAAGGTGTTTATTGTATTTTTGTTAGGGCATCAGATGATTAGATCAGTTATTATCTTACAAGTTCTTCAATGTTATCTATTGGTCTATGCATAACTACATAGGTGTCAGAAGTTCTTAAAAGATGAGATGAAGGGTTCTCGAAGTTCTTCTATGAATGGAACCCAGGCTACCAAAAGGCAAAAGCTCGAGGCTGGTTATTTATGGAAGGTGCGTATAAAATTTATTCTTTCTTATTTTTTTGCGGCTTTAGTTTTTATTTGTTTCTGTCATAGTCATTGATTGTATTATAAGAACTCAATTGTAAAATTTTGCTTATGAACTAAAAGCTAAATGGTATTATAACTCGACATTCCTTTGCTGAATTATGAGGTGAAATAATGAGAAAGCCGTGGTTGAGCTAGGATTTCACCTTTCTTTTTCCTTCTCTCTCTCTCTCTCTCTCTCTCTCTCTTTATTTTATTTTATTTATTTTTTTAAGATACCATTTATATAGTGAACTAGTAAAATTTTCTGGGTTAGCCCCTAGCTTCCCCTCCCTCCACCATCAAAGACTTAAGAATATTGATTTAATTTGCTATGCAGGCTGCTTGCTTGAAGCATCAAGCTCTTTTTTCTCACAAGACCCCTAAAGTTACAATTCCAAGAGAACCTAACCTGGAAACATCTTTGAGGGCAGAAAGACATAGGTGCCATTCTTGTCATGTCACATTAGCTACAGACTTTTGTATTTGGAGGCTTTAACTGTGGAACAATGCCTGATGTGCTTTACTTTTATGTTGCGCGCTTAGGTTCAGGATTAATTTGGAGTCTATTGAAAATACAAAATCAGATGCTTGTAACTTTAAAGCAAGACCATTGAATAGAAAAGTTGGTACTTCCCGTTAGAATTTAGTTTTTTTCCCTTCCCTCTGTTTAAATTTTGTGGAACCAACAAGTTCCACAAGGAACTGCTTCAATTTTGGATATTTTCTAACTGTCATTTTGACTTCACAGATTTTCAAGGCCCCTTCAGTTCCCCTCCCTAAAAAGAGCACCCCACAACCGCCAGAATTTCAAGTAAATAGGACACACACACACACACACACACACATCCAAAGGAATCTGCTTTCATATTTTTGGGATATTTTTGCTAACTGGTCCATTTTGAAATTCACAGATTTTCCAAAGCCCCTTCAAGTTCCTTCTCCTAAAAAGAGCACTGCTCACAGCCGCCCAGAACCATTCAGTAAATTAGGGACACACAACATCAATTTTCATTTGTTTATATCTACACTATCTACATCATCGACACACATATTATATTACTATAGTTATTAATTATATATATGTGTGCTTTTTGTTCTCTTTGGAAGTATCTGGGGTCAGTTACATTTAATAAGCAAGCGTTTCTGCATAATTTTTTTATTACATGCTTTCAGTGTATCATTTGAGATCTTATCAGAAAGGGGCAAATCCAGCATACCTACAAACGTAGGTGATTAAAAATTAAGAAACCATTCCTCTAGTTCTTAAGTAAATGTAAAATTCAATTTCTCGTTTTACATGGCGGTTTATCTACCATTTTTCTCGAGTTCTAGTGCAGCAAATCACACCTAATGTATCCTCGTAGCCTCACATGAATGAAACAATTAAGTTCTATGGTAGGTAAACAGTTCTAGTAATTTCTGTCGAAACATATAATGTGCCCTGCAGTTTTTATTCTTGTTGTTTACTTTATCTTTCAATGTGCCAACCATTTTCCCTTGGCAAGTGGCATAGAGTATTTTCAGTTGTTTTTTGTTTTCAAATTATACTTTTAGCAACTATTTTTTGTTTCATAATTTGGTCCCTTCTATATTTGTGGAGTTTAGTTCTATCCAACCCACCCTGTCTTAAGCATTATTTCCTTTCCCATTTTATACGTATTGGTATGAAATTTTCCTCTTAAAGAGTTGCAATTTCCTCTGCAATTCAGAGTAAATATTTCCAGGTTTTGCCGTTTTTTGCATTAATAAGGTAGAAGATTGTTGAACACTTGACCAATATTAAAAGCTCGTTTGCTTGATAAAAAGGTTAATATTGTTAATAGTCTGTTTTTGCCTTATCCGATTATTTTGTGATGTTTAGGCTGCTAATCTAATTCTGTTGGATATCCATATTTGGCCTCTACGTTGCAGTATAATTTTCGAGTAAAGAAAGATCATTTAGTTGTCTCCAGATGTATCTCTGTCATTTTTGTCTCATCACTTTGATTCCTTTGTTCTTTAATTCCATCGCTGTGTAAATCTTTCCTAGGAATTTGAATCTTCCAACCGATAAAAGTGTCATTCAATTGAGCCGGCCAATAGATATTTTTTTAGTATAAGGTTTGACCTCGTGTCTTTGTGCTTTTATTCTTTTCTTGAGCCAATCCCACAGCATGTGATTGCATTCACCTCCCTATCCTTTATCTGTTTGTTTTTATGTGCGTTGCTTATAATTATGTATCTGCAGTCTTCATGTCTCGCGCCTGGCATCTGAAAGTCCTGGTTTCCAATTTGGCCGGGTCGAGTCGCGATATCAAACATGACGGCATTTTCCTTGTTAGGATTGGTTTTCTTTTTTATAATAGCACTTTTTCTTGTCTGTTATGTATTTAGGTCTAAAATTAATTTTTGCTAAATCTGATTTTAAATCGTTCTGAAATCATTTGAATTAATGGTCTCAAAGGAGATAACTGCCACTCAGGCTCTCTTCGCGTAGAACAGAGTATTTTTAGCTTCTTTTACATCGGTTAAGTGATTCCAAAGCTCTAATTAAGTGAATAGGTGGTCTTCATTATGCAATTATTTCCATTTATTTTTCGCTAAAATTTATGTAGTATTATTAGAAAGAGTAGATTAGCTAAACTGGCAAAAAGTTTTGCTAGTTGGTTTTTCATTTTTTTTCAGATTTGGAAGATCACATTCCTTGCTTTGGCGAGGGTCATTACCTGGTTTCAATATCTCAGCAGGGTTATAGCAATAGCAATCCTAAATTTTCTAGTGATCCACTATCTGATTCTAATATTATGAAGCGCTTCAAAATCTCTCATAACGATTAACTGCCTGCATGGAGCCTCTGCACGCTAAATTAATATAATCATAGCAATGTGCTCTTATCCAGCATTGTTGAAGTTTGTTCCAATATTCTCTGATTAATTTGATTATATATTTATGATGTCGCAAGCCAAAACTAATATGGCGTTTTGTGTCATTTGTGGTACTCCGTGAGGAGAGATATATATATATATATATATATATATTTGTGCTTTTTGTTCTCTTTGGAAGTATCTCAAGTCATTTAATCAAGCAAGTTTCTTCAATAATTTTTTTATTACATGGCTTTCAGGTGTTTCATTTGAGGACATCAGAAAGGGCAATCCAGCATACAGCTACAAACGTAGGTGATTAAGAACAATTAAGAACCATCCTCTAGTTCCTAAGTATGTAAATTCATTTTCTCGTTTTACATGGTCGGAGCTAACCATTTTCTCATTTCAGGCAGCAAACACACCTAATTGTACCCGTACCCAACAGAATGAAACAATAAGTTCTAGGAGGTAACAGTTCTAGTAATTGTCGAAACAAAATGTGCCCGCAGTTTTTCTGTGTTTACTATCTTCAAGTGCCAACCATTTTCCTTGCAAGTGCAAGAATTCAGTTTTTCAAATTTACTTAGCAACTATTTTTTTGTTTCATAATTTGGTCCCTTCTAATTTTGGAGTTTAGCACCAACCCAGTCTGCTTAAGCATTATTCTTCCCATTTTACGATTGTATGAATAGTTTCCTAAAGAGGTTGCAATTCCTCTGCACAGAGTAAACCATGTTGCCGCATTAAAGGAGAAATTGGAAGCACTTGACAAATTTAAAGCTCGCTGCCTTGATAAAAAGGTGATATGAATATCTGTTTTGCCTACCGATAGTTTGTGATGTTAGCGCTAATTAACTGGTGGAACCATATTTGGCCTCACGCAGATATTTTCGAGTAAGAAGACATTATTGTCTTCCAGAATGTGCTCTGTCATTTTGTCTCATCATTTGAGTCTTTGGTTGCTTTAATCCCATGCTTTTACTTCTTCCTAGGAATGCAATCTTCCAACCGATAAAAGGTCATCAATTGAGCCGCCAATAGAATTTTTTAGTAAGGTTTGACTCGTGTCTTTCTTTACTTTCTTTACCAATTTCCCAGCATGGATCAGCACTCCCTATCCTTACTTTTTTGTGCTTGCTTAAAATGCTATCCAGCTCTCCCTGGCATCTGAAATCCACTCCAATGCCCAGTCGCGATCAAACATACGGCATCCTGAGGTTGGTTCTTTTAAGACTTTTCTTGCTTTAATAGGCTAGAAATTATTTTTGCAATCTGATTAAACGCTTAAATCATCTGAATTAAGGGCTCAAAGGAGAACGCACCAGGCTCTCTCCGCCTAGAACATGAGGTATTGCTCTTACATTCTTAATGATTTCAAAGCTCTAATTAGTGAATAATTGTCTCATATGCAATATCCAATATCCAAATGATGTAGATAAAGAATTTAGCTAAAGCAAAAAGGCCTAGTGGTAATCATTTTCAATGTGGAAGCAATCACACCGTGCCTTCAATCATACCTCAAATCAGCAGCAGGTAGCAATAGATCCAAATTCTATGACCACACTAATTTCTAGTATTATGGAGCGCTCAAAATCCTCAACGATTAACTGCCGCAGGACGCTCAGACGCTAATAAAAATCATAGCAAGGCTCTTCCACATTGTTGAAGTTTTGGCAAATCCTGTATATGAGTTATATATAGATGTCCAACCCAAACCTATAGGCGTTGTGTTCATTAGCTTCCGGAGGAAATTATTCTTGACACTCATCTGTAGAAAGTAATTGGCCTGTAGAATTTTGGAGACCGTGTACAGCATTCTCCATTAAATTTTCTGCTGGCCTCAGCATCCTTTTTCAACGTTGCTGCATGAATGTTAATTTCATCCTTGAAATTGGAAATTCAAACCAAGAAATGCACATATTCACTGTTCTTATAACAAAAATTCAAGGACCAATATATAATGTGATTAGCAAAATAAATTTATACAACATAAATAATAATTTTAGACTACAGTTAGTATCAAAAGGTTTACAAAAGAACCTAACCAGATGGACTCAGATCGTTTCCTGGTTTCATAAATTCAGTCAGTTTAGGTGAACAAAACCCGCGTCAAAAAGCACATACTCCAATCTTGAGGTAGAAAAACATCCATGTGAGCCAAAATCAGGGATTTCTCCATCCTTGTTAAATTAAAGAGTGTTCTTAGATATTACTTCACGAAAGCCAACAAACCACTGAGCATCAGAAGAGTTATTTTCTTGTTGAGCTTGCTCCTGCTTAGGTGCTGGCTGCTGCTGTCCTTTGTCAATCACAAACTTTGCATAGTCAATGCGCTTTGGTGGAGCTGAACAAGGTTTCATAGCAGGAGCTGGAAGGAAGGAAACCAAAACCCTCACAACTTCATGCATGGTTGGCCTTTCAGAAGGGTAAGGCTTTGTGCACAGCAGAGCAAGTTGGAAAGTCTTTCTAACATGGGTTAAATCCACGCATGTCACAGAAACTTCTTGATCAACAACTTCCATTACTGTATTATTGTCTGCCTTGGATAGTATCTGGAAAAGAATACACAAAAGTTACTCCAACTGCTAGCCAAATAGAGAGCCTTTGAGCTAATTCATAACTATATACTTATCAAGTAAACAGCAGTTCAATTAGACTCAAGTGAGCACCGGTTATAATGTTTATTAAGAGAACAACATGATACTTACTAGCTGATGCAAATTAGATTCATTATCCACAGCTTTCTTCCCAGTTAGAAGCTCCAAAAGAACAATGCCAAAGCTATAAACATCTGACTTCTCATTTAGCCGAGATGTGCGAGCATATTCTGGGTCAATGTAGCCAATTGTTCCTAGAACATATGTTAAGGCATGAGTTTTCGTAGTTGGAAGGCATTTGGCAATTCCAAAATCAGACAGATGAGCCTCAAAATTCTCATCCAATAGGATATTTGAAGATTTCACATCCCTGTGGATAATTCGCGGATTGCAGTCATGATGAAGATAGGCAAGTCCTTGAGCAGCTCCTACGGCTATCTTCAAGCGTGTTTCCCAGTCCAGCTTCACCTTTTTGGATGGTCCTGTTGGATGCATTAGCCAAGAACCATCAATGAGGTTGGCATGCATGTCTAAAGAAAGTTCACAAATTCAATCGCACAAGTTTGAAAAAAAATATAATTAAGCAAAAATGAGCAGGAGCTGAGGAAACACAACTAACCATGAAGGAGATCCCATAAAGAACCATTCTCCATGTAATCATAGAAAAGAAGGTTTCCATAAGGAGATAAAGCATAACCATGCAAACTGACTATGTTTCTATGTCTTATGCTGCCAATGGTCTCAAGTTCAGTTTCAAATTCTCGCAGGTTGCATGGGTACTGATTGTAGAGTCGCTTAATTGCTAGTGGTCGGGAACTTTTCAGTGCACATTTGTATACTGTGCTTGATGCACCGTAACCTACAATATACTTCTCATTTAAATTCTCAGTGTTTCTCATTATGTCATCGAAGGTGTGAATAGCCATATCCATGTGAAGAACCACAAGCTTGGGTGGACCTGAAAAAACAAACGACAATCAGGGATTGAGAAACAAAAAACTCCAAGAACAAGACAAAACCAAATAGGTACATCACACATGCCTTGCATTGTTTTGTGGGATCCTTTGATCAAGGGCTTCTGGTGATTAGATTTGTAGATTGCAACTATAACCATGGACAATAAAATGATGAAGCCCAATATCATGCAGACAACTGCCGCTCTGGAAAAAAGTGCTGAAAGAAAGTATAGTTTGAGAAGCTAAGAGACAATTCTAAATCCTTAACTCCACAAGGAATAACTATCATGCTAAGAACACATATGGATCAAATAACACTGAACAAAACCATTAATAATCAGCTGTTACCTCTAGACTTTGGTTCATAAGGGCCACAAATAGATCCCAACCAATTGCCACATAATAATGGATTTCCAATAAAGCTGGCCAGAAAAACATCAGATTAGTACAAGAATTTTCAGAAAAAGAACAAGAATCACTTCCCTCCTACCTTTCTGATGGAAACTGTGAGAAATTTCTGATAGGAGGTACAACCCCGGATAAATTGTTGTGCGAGAAATTCCTAACACATCAAAATCCATAATCAGGACATGGTGGGTTGCTTAAGGCACAAGAGCTTGGTTCTCCATTCACTTCCTCATCAGAGAACCTTATGGTTAAATAAATAACAAACATACAGAAACAGAAAGAACATACAGATTTGCAAGACTGAAACAATTGGTAAGCTGCTCAGGGATTTCTCCTTGCAGATTGTTGTTGTTCAGGACCCTGGCATACAATGTTCTCCTTGTTACTGACAGAACACTTTACACTGTAAAGAGATCAAACCCAAGGAGGAAAGTATTTCATTCTTACAGAGAAACAATGTTTTGCAATTGACCTAATTCTGCAGGAATGCTGCCGGTAACATTGTTGAAGGACAAATCACTACACAAGGAAGATGAAAAATAAAAAAGGAAAAGGCAGGATATCATCATTATCAGGGAATTAGGTTGGAGTAACAAAATGTAGATTGTCCAAGAATATACAAATGGTTCTGATTCAATGCCCTTACATAATCTGTATACTCCTGAGATTCCCAAATTCAGCAGGCAATTGGCCATTGAGATGATTTCTGCTGAAATTTCTGAGCAATCACACACCATATAGTAGTTAAATACTATCAGAGAACTTAATAGGAATAACAAAAAATCCCTAATAAAAATTAATTTCGTAAACTTACAAGGTAAGAAGGTGCTCTAGGTCACCGACAGAAGCTGGAATAGGTCCAGAAAACCCATTGCCAGACAGATCCCTGAGCATATGGTTATGCATAAGAAACTAGTTTAAGAAAATGCCACCTCCCACAACGTATCCATGTTAAGAAACTTACAATGTGTCAAGGTTGATAATACGCCCCAGCTCAAGAGGAATCCTGCCTTTGAAATTGTTTGACGAAAGGTTTCTGTAGGTTTGGGAGACCATAATTTATTCTAGTAAGAAACAGGCTCAGCTGAAATTGTGGATGACAATCTTTAGAATTTTGGCCACGAGAACTTACAGGTAAGTCAAACTCTCTAGATTCCTGAAGCCCAACGGGATAGTTCCATTTAAGCGATTACCATGCACATTGCTGAAACGCAAATGGAACATCATCAGTTGAATGCTGTAAAGTTTCAACACATAACGACATTGTTGTTTGACCTGAAAACAATATCTCATACAATTGGTTCAAAGCAGTGCAGGAACTGATGTTATGGGGAATGGGCCCTTCGAGATCATTGTTAGCAAGATTCCTGTACCACAAAATAAGAAATAAATAACAGTGGAATACAACTCACAAGAAATAAAGTGACAAACGCTTACAATTCAAATAACTGTTCCAGCTTCCCCAGTTCAGGTGGAATGCTGCCAACCAGTTGGTTGTCATTCAACTGCCTGCAAAATGTTCAAAGCTCTGAAAATCACACATTGACACAAGTAAACATGAAGAGAACTTATGAAAAGCATCTTACAGATAGCTAAGTTTCGACATGTTGCCAAGTTCTGGAGGGATTGGTCCAGTAAGCTTGTTGCCATAGAGATACCTGCATGCAAAAAAGAATATCATGTAACCATCTAAAAAGATATGGTAATATTCATTGTTAATAAAAAGAACTCACAGTTTTCCAGTATATGATAGATTGCCAAGTATTGGCGGGATTGGCCCAACTAGCTCATTCTCACTCAAATCCCTGAAAATTAACTTTCACAGAGTCACAGGAAATGAAACAATACCTTCTTCCAAGAGTGAAATTTCAGTAAGCATACTTACAAAACAGCAAGCGCCTGCATTAAACCAATCACCTCAGGAATCTTCCCTGTTAGCTTATTTCCTTGGAGTGACCTAGAAAAATAGATTAAGCACGGCTCATTTAACTGAGAATGCTTTAACCATTTCTATAAATTTTCTGTGAACTAGCCAAGACACTTTCAACTTCAAGGATATACAATTCTAATATGGTATGAGGGAATACTTACAGAGTAGCTACTTGCAAGAATCCAATATTATACGGTATCTCCCCCGTGATTTGATTGTATGATAGGTCCCTTTAATTTTCCAACAATAATTATATATCAACACTTGAATATGAACAATAAAAGATTGCACAATGATCAGAACATACAGTATCTCAAAACTTGTACAGTTGCCAATGCTATCAGGGATTGTGCCGGTAAGGTTATTGCCTCTCACATCACTAGAAAACAAAAGAAATTCACAAGTTTACTAAGCAACCATTAGCTGGCAATCAAAGAAGAGCACAGCACAACAGAAACACATAATCAAAGGATTTTTTTTTCTTTCCATTAGATGGGACACAATCAAACCGATCAGTTATGCAACTTACAAGTACCACAAGCCAGTTAACTGACACATGTCCTGGGACAACGTTCCAGTCAAAGAATTGCCTCGTAGCCCCCTGTCAAGTAATTGCAATAGTAGTCTCAAACCAAGAGCACATAATAGCCACGGAGAATGCATGTATAAATGTAAATTCCCAAGATACTCACAGATACTGCAAAACTTCATTCCAGTAGAGTAATCTAGGTATCTCCCCAATGAGCTGGTTCCGAGCAAGGTCTCTATAAGGATTATACCAGTGAGAACAATATTGGAGAACATTGAAATAATACATAGAAAGCTTTTAGTTAAGAACTCACAGAGTTTTTAGGTTTGGAATCTGGGTCAAGGTTGCTGGGATGGGACCAGTAAGCTGATTGCTCTTCAGGTTCCTGCACCCAGAATAGATTGATTTCATGGAGTCAGAGGATTATGAGAGATTACGTTGATGACGCTAACAAATATGGAAAAGAGTATGTTTCCATGGGGACAATACTAACAAGAACTCAAGTTGCTTGAGCTTAGATATAGAAAAGGGAATGTCTCCAGTAAGCAAGTTATCCGATAGATCCCTGCATTTCACATTGCGATCCACAGGTAAAATTTTTACAGTGTAAGTAAGGAAAAGCAGACTGCAACCTCCTGAACAGGGTAAATAATGCATGATAAAAATAAAGTTCGAGAAGACCCCTACATTTCACATTACGATCCGCAGGTACAATTTTGACAATATAAATAAGAAAAGGCACATTATAGCCTCGTGAACAGAGTAAATAATGTCCAACAGAATGAAATTTGAGAAGATCGATGATTACAGATGGAATAAAGAAAGACAGTTGCCAATCTCGTCAGGGATTTGACCCGTTAACTTATTTCCTTGAAAGTCTCTGCAAATTTGAAAAAACAATAAATAAAACATAAGTAATTTCATATGGGCAACACATTCTAATGAAAAGATAAAAAGCATACATGGATTGCAAGTTGCTCAACTCTCCAATGGCAGGAGATATTTCTCCACCCAAGTTCAAATTAGACAAATTCCTTCACGACAAGAGGAACACAAACAAATTAGATAAATAAAATCCATATAAAATTCGAGTGAGATTTTAGTAGTGAAAAAACTTACAGAGAAACAACAGAAAGGCTGACATTGTCGCAGAAAACACCACGCCAAGAGCAGAAATCTCCATTGTGCACATCGTCCCAGTCGAGAAGCACGTTAGCAACATTGCTGAATGATGCCTTCATGACCATCAAGGCTTTCCCTGCATCCACCATTTTCCCCTCTCATTTTCTCATAAATCACGTACTCAAAGATAACAACAAATGCAAGATGGAACCCGCAAAATTGACACCGCCATTAGACTGTAAAACTCCAACATCATACAAGGAACAGTAGCCACAAAAAAATTACACCAGCGGAAAAAAGTTGTAGAGAAAAGCATAAACAGAATTAGTATCCGAATTTCAGGTTCTGGAAGCATCATCTCTTTCTCTTAGTTCCAAAAGCAAACAATTCTCTCCTCAATGAAACAAAAATACAGAGGAGAGCAATGCTACAGTGTGAAGCATCATGTTCATGCAAACAATAATCCAAATACAGTAAGGCCAGAAATCGGATCTAAACGCAGAACACAGACAGAGAACTGAAGCAAGGGAACAACAAAAAAAAAGGTGATAAGCTCAATAACAAAGTTATTGAAAAAATAATTGAAAACCTTCGTTGTTGAGCGGTAAAGCTAGAGAACAGAGCAGCATAAACACCACCATTATCAAACACATGAAAGACACATCCATCTTCCTCTTCATCCCTTTCACTATGATGGCCTCTACTCCCTCCATTATCACGAATTCCAGGCAGCACCAAACCACACAAAGAAACAACAAACAAGAGGCAGTAAAGAAGATAACAAAGAGAAGTAACAAACAGAGAAAGGTTATGTTTGAGAAACAAAAATTGGCTTAACTGCCATTTTTTGAGAGAGAGAGAGAGTGCAGGCGCTTGGCGTGAACTGTAAGGAAGGAGTTAACACAGAGGCTTTAAGAAGAAAGAGAGAGAGTGACAGCGAAATAGTACACAGGTCGAGAGGGACAGTGTTAAACGGCGGTGAGTAGACGTTAGTGTGTGACTGTAGAAATTTGATTTGACAATGAGAGAGAGAACGCGGCCGTCATTCGTACTACCGTTTCCCAAAGTGGTTACAATTTTCGACAGCTATATCTTTTGATATTTCCCACGCTCTCTCCCTCAGAGCGTGGTCACTCAAGTTCATCGAACGGCTATCGCTTCCTTTAGCATTATTAGATCCATGTAAGGCGCGTTGATAAGTTTTCTGGGGTCGAGTTCGTTGGTTCATAACTCCCCTGTAATTCTTGTTTATAATACATACAAAATTTTATTTTTCCCTCTTGAATTTAAAACATTAAGCACGTTATAATACATTGCAACATTTTTTCATAATTTATTTTCTCTCCATATTTTTTTTTCCTGCAATATTTTCTTCTTTTCCAAATAAGTGAAGGGAAGAAAATTTGGAAGAAAGTTTATATTATTTTTCTTCTCAATTTTAATTCCTTCTATGTTTCCCATCAATCCAAAAACAATGTAAAAAGAAGTTTTTAATAATTCTTGAATTTATGCAACTCATTGAATAAATTCGAACCAGGTTCCTTGGATTAAACTTCAAAAACTTCAAACAGTTAACCAGTAGCTTTATAGATATTCATGCATGCAAATGCAATGCAAGGAAGGAACTGATGAAGCATGAAGAAAGATTCTGCAGTCATACTGCAATGGCATTAAATAAAAAATATTAGTACATAAAGCTCCAATCCAAATTGCTTTTGCTTTAATCCTATCGAAAAGGAAAACAACTTTACGAAGACTGTCGTGGAGAAAGAAAACGAAAGAAGAAAAGGAAATAAAAGAGAAAACGCAGAAAGAAGCAGGCTGAGGCAGAGGCAGAGAGGCAGGCACCAGTGTCTGCAACAACTGCAACAATCAGCACTTTGGCAATCAACAGGTTGCTCGTATAAAGCTGTCTTATGCCTCTCCTCTTTTAAACTATGCTTTTGTTTTTTATACTATTACCATATTAATTTAAAAGTTAAATTACTAATTTAATTTACTGTTTTATACTCCCTTGTTCCAATTTTCTCATGGAATTGGATTTATGTTGCTGAGCCCAATAAGAAACCCCAGCCGTTGGATTTTCCAACTTTGGGTTCATTTACCCGAAAGCATAAATTGTCTTCTCGTTTCTCCTGGACAGGACCATTTTCAGCTCCTTTTTATTTACCCAAACTACCCTCAGAATTATGAATTATCTGTTTTATGGTCTCGTCATCAATAAAATAATAGATTATTAGTAGTATATTTTTACAGATAACTTGATACAACACTGTTTGAATATGGAGTAATATTTTATATTTAAATTAAATTGATTGTTTGGGTACACTCATTGAAGATAATGAAGCAATGATCAGCAGCATAATAGAAAGCAACCAGACCTTTTTCATTGATTAGCTGGCTGAGAGGCACCACGGGGTTGTTTTGGAAGAACAAGGGAGAGGAAGTTGCATTAATGAAAGTATTTCCCCTGTTTGCCCTGTTTGGCAAACTGGGGCGTGTGGAGGGAAAGGAATGTAAATGGGAGAATTTTCCCATAGGCGCACATAAAACCATTCCCTCTAAAATGGTGTGGAGATATTACGGGGAAAAAAAAAAAAAAACAAAAAACAAATCTCTTATCATAATCTTCTTTCCCAAATTTTTCTTTCTTTCCTTCACCCTGTTCTGTTTCCAAAACATGGTGCAAAGAATCAGACCAACCAACCATCCTACGACAATTCGTAGAAAATGGCCAAAATCTCAGACCACCTACAAACCCACGCGAAAAAGACACCTGATTTATTGTAGCAATACTCTCATATCAGTCATTACACTCTACTCTCGCGAGCAGAAAACGTTCGCCGGCGACTTCTCCGCCGGGAACCGTAGTAGCCGGCAGCTTGTGTCTATGTGGACCCAACTTAGTATCTTTTTTACTCGTGGAGGGTCCCACAAGAAGCAGTCAATTGTACACATTGGGTCTCAAAAGGTTGGGATTGATGTGATTTTGGCCTTGGGCTAGCGCCAATGGCATTATATGTAAATAATTGTTTTTTTTATAAAATTTGATTGATTTTCCTTTTTTTAAAAATAAATCGTGATATTTAAAAAAGGTACAAAGACTGGAATTGTAATGATTAAGTGAGATTCTGGTTCTGTCCCTATCCAACTAAAATATGCCACGTGGAGTAGCAGAGTTCAATTTCCAATAAATTGGCTAAAGTGAATAATCCATGGTCGAATGAAGTCGCGTTTCGGTTCAGAGGGATCAAGGATGGGCACGGACCAGGGAGAACCGGTTACTGTTCAAAGATTGTTTTGGGATAAGGTTATATATTTTCCCCAAGCGCACATATAAAAACCATTCCCTCTAAATAGAAATGTGGAAGATATTACTGAGAGAGAGAAAAAACCATAAAAAAAAAAAAATAACAAAAAAAACATCTTTAACTCATAATCTTCGGTTTCCCAAATTTTTCTTTCTTTCATTTTCACCCTGTTCTGTATTCCCAAAAACATTGCTGGCTAAAAGACATCAGCACCAGACCCAAACCCATCCTACGAACCAATATCGGTATGAAAATGGCCCCTACAAAATCTCAGGAACCACCTAACATAAAACCCACGCCGACTGAAAAAGGAAGACAACGACTGATATTATCACTGTAGCAATATAACTCATTATATATCTTACTCCATTGAATCAGTCATTACACTTCTACTCTCGCGAGCAGAAAAGCGGTTCGCCGGCGACTATCTTCCGCGGGAAACCGTAGTTAGCCGGCAGCTGTGGTGCTATGGTGAGCACCCCAAGCTTAGTATCTTTTGTTTACTCGTGAGGGTCCCACAAGAAGACAGTCAATGTTACACATTGGCGTCTCAAAAGGTTTGGGATTGATGTGATTTGGCCTTGGGCTAGCCGCCAATGGCAATTATATGTAAAATTAATTGTTTTTTTATAAAATTTTGATTGATCTTTTTTTTCCTTTTTTATTTAAAATAAATCGTGGATATTTAAAAAGGTACAAAGAGCTGGAATTGTATAATGATTGAAGTGAGAGTTCTGGTTCCATTGTCGCGCTATCCCAAACTAAAATATGCCACGTGGAAGTAGCAGAGTTCAATTTCCAAATTAAATTGGCTACAAGTGAAACATTCCATGGTCGAATTGAAAGTCGCCTAACGTTTCGGTTCTCTCAGGAGGATCAAGGATGGGCACGGGACCAGGCGAGAACCGGATTATGTTCAAAGATTGTTTTGGACGGATTAAGGTTGTATATATATATATATACTATATATATTCTAATATATAATTATTAATATTATATATTATTATATTAAATTTTTATGACTTTTCTTTTTATAAGTTAATTTCATCTATGAATTTTTGGTTAAACCAGTAAAATAATATGCACTATTTATTTAACTTTAATGCTCAAAAAAAAATTCTCATTTTATTATTTATGCTATCTTATTCCACCCCAAATTCACTAACCACAGATTTATCTTTACTATATTAATCATTGAAACTTATCTGAAAAGATAGTCCATAATATGGGAATTCAGATTTACATAAGAACTAAACTAAATACATAGATATTATAAAATTTAAAAAGTAATTGCGAACAATATCAAATACTTTTATGCTCAAAAATAAAAATTAAAACGCGGTTTGAAGAGCACAGCGCATTGTCACATCATGATGGAACTTTCGGCCAAACAGAAGAAGATTTCTCAATATGAAAGTAATAATAATGATAACAAACCGAAGGAGTATTTATGTAATTATAAAGTGTGGGTCCAATGTAGTCTTTGGTAGAGAAATTAAAGACTAGAGGAAATCTGAAATTGCCACCCATCATTAAGACCCGTGATACCCATCCCAAATGGTGTTCTACAAGAGTTTACTGTTTCTGTCCTTCTCGTGACCTATCGATATAATACTCCGAATAAGGATACGTTACCTACTTAATAGATACCAGTATACTTATTAACAATTCACTTCCATTTCGTTAGGAGTATGAAATTAATATTGCACGTGACGGACTGACAATGATGCTGACCCAAGAAAAAACTTCACTCACAAAGTCAATATTATATTAATTTTATATGCTTTTCTTTTTAAATTATTTATCTAGAATTGGAAAACCAGTAAAATAATTTATTTTATTAATTTATAATGTCAAAAAAATTTTATTTTATTTTATTTATGTACTATTCCACCCAATTTAACACAGATTATCTTTACTAATTAATCATTGAAATTATTAAAAGTGACAAATATGGGAAATTAGATACTAAGAACTAAATAAATCATAATTATAAAATAAAAAGTAAATTGGAACAAATCAATACTTTATGCCAAAAAAAAAAAAAGGTTTGAAGAGCACAATTGCAAAATGATGGACTTTCGGCCAAACAGAAGAAGATCTAATATGAAAGTAATAATAATGATAACAAACGAAGGGTATTATGTAATTATAAAGTGTGGGTCCATGAGTTTTGGTAGAGAAATAAAGATAGAGGAAATTGATTGCACCCATCATAAGACCCGTGATACCCATCCCAAAATGTTTACAGTTTACTGTTTCTGTCCTTCTCTGCCATCATTTATAATAGTACTACTCTTATAGAAAGTACTATTAACAATTCATCATTTTCGTTTAGGATATGAATATTATATGCCACGTCGGCCTACAATGAGGTCAAAGACTCAAGAACAAAACTTCACTACAACAAATTCATTAACTCGACCATGTAGCCGTTGTTGGGCTTCCGACAGAATCATAAAGACGAGGACAAAATTAACAGCTTTTATTTTTATTTTTTGTTAAATAATTAATAGCTTTTATTTAATTCATCAGGATTAAATAATGATTTATAAATTTTCAATTTCTTAAGAAAGGGCAATTAAAAAAAAGAAAAAAAGAATATTAGCCCCTTTTGTTCGACGACGACAGCGAGCGCACGGAGGAGTGTTCTCGTTTCCCTTCTAACACTGTGCTTAGAATGGAAGGATTTTATAGGAGGAAGTTGAAGGGAAAATAAGGAAAAAAAAAAAAAAAGAAAAAGAAAAGAGAGAGCTAGTTTCCCCTATTTGGATGTGAGTGTAAAATTAAAAAAGAAAAAAATATATTATCCAGAATCCTCCGGGGCCCACATTTCACTAATCTTTACAGGGAAAATGAGATAATTGAGCAGATATAGTAAATTACCAAAATAGTGAATGCCTCACAATCTAAATTTTGTGAATAAGAAGAGTAAAAAGGTAAAATTATAATAATATCATTTTCTTTTCTCTGCGTTTTAAAAATTTTAATACTCGAAAAATTAAGGTTTTAATACTCAGAAAGATTATTCGCAAGGACCATCAACCACAAAACATTGAAAAGAATACAGGGAAGAGCTCTTTTTCCTTTTTTTTTTTCTGACAACCACAGGAAATATATGATCAAGGCAAACGTCTATTTCCTAATAATCAAATTCAAAAATACTGAAGTCGGAAGATCATTTAACTTTTAATAGCTAGGTTCTACATTATCAATTGTTGAAGTAAGTCACACCATCGTACCAAAAGTAGGATTCCACACTGTAACAACAGTTTTTCAAGTGAAAAAATAAGGGGGAAAGGAAAACAGAAGACAGGAGGCCCACTAGAAAGATTAGTTCCAGTGGAACAGACACGTAAGAGAATGTGTTGTCTTGAATACAAAATTTTGAAGTAGAAGGAATAGCGGAGAAAAACTTCCATCATGTTCTCCAGCTCAAGACACTGGATCAGCGTTGTGCCATCCCTTGGTGCAAGGCGGAATGCTCATGAATTCATCGAACTCCTTCGCATGAACATCACAACACTTCCACTGCAATACCATAGGAAATAAAGAAAAGATTATCATTAAGGGTAGTAGAAAGAAAAGACTTTTGAGTAGTAAAATGAGGCATAACAGATACACAATTTGACGCACCCCTCTCAATCGATCATGAAAAACAGCAGGCCCAGGATGATAACTACAGGCAGTTTCATGATTATCCTTTTCTTTGAAAGTTTGACCACACCCCTGATTCTTGCAGGTTTGAGGCTGGTTTATATCAACTACCTTCTTTGGCAGTGCAGACGACACCTGTTTACCTGCATTGTTTATAACAGGAGCAGCTTGCTTGGCCTGTGAACCTAACATGGATATGATGTGTTTCAGCTTCTAAAGCATTAAAACCAGATAACTTAAAATGGATGAAAATTCAAAAATGCACAAATTGATGAATGAAAAACTGAATTTGTGTGTGCATGACATAGAAATTCACATCCAAAATTTTTATATTTTCCTTCCCTCCACACTCAAGTAGTAGACAATATCTAACATGCAGTATCCCAACAAGCAAGCAAGACAAGGGAGAGAGGGTGAAGGGGGGTAAGGATTAAGAAGCCCATGAGTAAGAAAGAGGTTCCGAGAAGCATCAAAAGTTAATAACTTCCCCGAAACTTAAACAAGGATCATGCAACCACTAGGAAGTAGTTGTCAGTTTACCAGATAAAGACAGCTTCATTAGCAAGGACAAGTCATCAATGTCAACCATAATAAATATTGCATATTGCATATGCTAAAATCAATCTTGTACATAATCAATTCCACATACACTAAGGTACTTCCATAAATTACTGCTGTAAAGAAAGTTAAAGAGCAAAACAATTCTTTTTCCTTTCCCATCATAATCTAGAAGAGAAAGAGTTATATTTGTTAATACTTTACAGGAAAATACAAAAAACAAAAATGTTCCAACGAAAAAGAAAAGCTACTAACCAAAAAAACAAAAAAAGGCATGTGTATGCTAATAAAATTACCATGATCTGAGCAAAAGAAACCCTGCTTGCACCTAGGACAAGATTCTTTAGAGGACATGTTGGTCGTAGTAGATGCAACAGGAGTAGAAATTGGAGTCTTCGGACTTGGAGTAGCCTTTGCTAGCACAGGTTTCTCAGTTGTGTGTTTACCAGTCTTACAACTTCATCATAGAAGAAACTTTGAGGAACTAATACCAACATTGGATGAAGAAAAATCAAATTGAAATAGCAAGATTGAACAAATCAAAGAAGTTTGATTCCTAAATCAAGAGGAATGCTACTAAATTTTAGCAACTATCTCAAGTTAACCTTGATCTCTAATCCAGTTAAGGTCAGCTACAAGGACCATTTTCCTCTACTCAGTTGAATTAAAGGAACAAACTAGAATAAACATACACTCAATTTCAGACACTAGTAACAAACGTGAGTCAGTTTCACAAACCTTACCACGCAAACAAATGCTGATAGTTTGATGATATTTCAAAGAGTACAAAACCCAAATTAGCAAGGGTGAAAATTTTTGACAACAGTAATGCAGCCAAGATAAAATTCATTATGAATTTTAGTAGGTATAACATATTAACAATAAATCCAACTCAACTCAGCCCCGATCCAATCTAGTTTGGGTTGGCTAGTCATTCAAGAGTTGAAATTTCAATCTATTGGTTCTAAATCATTTATATACAGCTAGAAAAAAGTTCTCCTCAAATAGCAAAAGTTTACTTGCAGGGGTGGGGACCATTCCCAATCGTCAAGAAAGGGGAGAGAGAGAGAGAGAGAGAGAGAGAGAGAGAGGAGAACAGGCATACCCTGGAATTTCTAAAAATAAGGTAAAATCATGACTTCTTTTCTTGCAACAACTCCATTCTTTCATTCCATCATGAAATATAGGCTGGAAAATGCATTCAAGCAAAGTGAAAGCAGTACGTCAAAGTTAATGATGGAAACAAGGTTTAAAGAGGAAAAAGAACAAGAAATCTTTTTCAAAAGAACTAAATAAATTAGAATAGATTTTGACTTACTCCCTAAGAATACATATGCCAACATGCGGTGATCCCAGTCCAACCATGCAAGATAAAAGTCAATTAGCACAATCCAAAAATATAATTATAAAAGTAAATAAAATGGACAGTGCAATAAATGTTTTCACAGTTCAATGATAACAAATATATCTGGATTTTGCAAAACCTATAAAATAAGGAGGAAAAATGCACTAAATGTTGCTGAAAACCTAAAACTACAATTTACTAGGTGCATAACAGCACAGATGAAACTGTCAACAGAACTAAAAACAGATCGCTATTCTACATGACGTATGAAAATTTAGGACGCCTCAACTCATCAACAATTTAACAATTAATGCATTGTACTCTCCAGAATGACAGTATTGGCTTGTACTCTTTCAGAATGAAAGTGTTGTAACCTAAGCCTTAATATACCCGCATATCCATTAAAGGTTTTTGCTGTACACATTACACACCTAAATTACATATTGACATTAGGGACTTTCAGAGTTTGATAACTTAGTCCTAAACAAAAGGGAGATCACAGAGATTACAAACATCATGCCATAGCTAGAAACATGCATCATTACAAAGTTGAAGAACCATTAACAAATTTTGTCCAAAAAAAAAAAAAAAGAACCATTAATAACTTTTGTTACTACTTAAAAAAGAAATTGACAAGTAAAGAGTAAAATTTTATCCACTTTTACATAAGTTGTCTAATTAACATGCAATATTCACAATGACAGCCAAATAATGGATGGTTGCCGTCACAGAGATCAATGTCGCAGAATTTGTGATTGAAACAAATGCACCCACTATATAAACCTCTTACTCCGGTCTAATACTTCACGTCAACAGTTTCAAACAATAACAAAGCGCAGGAGTGGCTGATCATGTCCTTTATTCAATTAGCTAGGTTCGAATTGTCCAAAGAAATAAACAAAAGAGCTTGATAATTCGATATATTTTTTTTTTTACTTCATCAGTTGGTACTGAAACGCTGAACAACAATTTCTATATGAAATAGAACAAAATTCAATTAGAAAGAAGAAGTGAGAGCACAGAGCAAATTGACAAAGTAAAGCCATCAGGCTTCGATTCGCGAACACAAAGTATATGAGCGTGAGTAGAGGCCATACAGTTGAAAAAGAAAAAAGAAAAAAGAATAGCAGAGGACATACAGAAGCATGGTATTGACAGGAATCTTCGGGGTTATCGTGTTCGGTGAAGAAGGCGTTGCAGCCGATTCGCTGGCACCGGAGCCTTACAACCTCCTGCTCCATTCTGTCGGTGTTCGAAAGACTCGAGTAGACTCTGATTTGTCTCCCGATCCGAGCTTTCGTAATCCTCTAGACACTGCTAAAATGTGAATGGAAAGAGCGGCGTTTAGAATTTGATTCCATTCTCCTTTGTGGAGCTCCAAGTGTCATAATCGTAACGGTTCATAAAAATTCCACAATTATTATCCTCACGTATCAACGGCTCAAGCTTTGATTTTTTTTTTTTTTAAAGAATAAAACTTTGATTATTGATTATTGATTATTTGAGCTCTGGCTGCACATCCTTTTTGCCTTGATGAAGAACGACAATTGGTAAGTATTGCTCCCAAATAGTTCAGAATTTTTTCCTGTAATTTTCTTTGTGAACAAAAGTATAGTGTTTTTAAATTCATTTTCGTGCAATTCGTAGATTAAATTATGAAGAGGTTAGAGAGTAAAAACAAAGCACACGCCAAAAAAAACCATGCAATTCAAATAGTAATAATTTTAACAATTGATATAGTTTTCACTTTTCACTTGGAAAATGTAAATAAGAAACAGAGGCACTGGCAATCCATAGAGCGGAGGAAGGGAGAGGAACTTCATAGCATAACTAATAAAATCGTAATCGCCTTGTAACACCTATCAATTTAATTCTTAAAGTATACAACTGTACTAAAGAAAGTCCCTATTGGATACATATACATATATTTCTTAAATCTGTCAATGTCTCCTAAAATTTCTTTTCCCTCTAACAAAATCGTAGTGTCTCGAGAACATGGATATGAGAAAATGCCACCAAATCACCAGCAGAATCATATATACACTACTCAAAGAATGTGGTATATAAATGAGATCTTCAAGCTGAAATGTTAATGGAACTGAAATTCCCGGTGTGTCGTCTGAAATCTAGATCACCGAATTGACAGTGAGGAGAACCCATATGCCTACAAATTACTTAAGTATTTACTCCCTGATATAACCAGAACATAAAATGCGCAAGGTTACAACACTCTGTTATGCGCTTCAATCATGGAAACTCTCTCCTGAAAGAATAAATGCAAACAACGATTGTGTCAGACATTTCCGAGTATCTTCACAACTTCTGAGCTGCAAACATAAAGAGGGAAAACAAAGTGTTGCGAACAAAGAACCAGAGCAGACATTCAACATTCCACTTGAGGTATATTCAACTAAACCATGACTCGAATAAATCATATGTCCGCCTATGACTATTTGTATTTTGTGGCAGTAAGTATGAGACTGGCTTCCTTAATGAATCCCTCAAATATTCATCGACCAAAAACATGAAGATCACATTAATTGGTTGATCATTGATGTAAACAGAGTGATGGATTCCACCAAAACTCTTGCTTCAAGGATGTTTCAGCATTTACTATAAATATGAGAAAAACTGTATTTTGTAGCCTGAGTGAAGAATATATAATATCCAGATTTTTGTTTCAAGTATATTACATAGTGGCCGTTCAGGCTTATCTCTATGCATGTATAAGCATGTGGGTGGAAACATGCACATGCACACGACACAGGGAGTGAGATAGAGAGAGTAACCTCATTCTGCGTGCTGCTTTCTGATGGAAACCATTGCAGTAGGACACCCAAATTCATGACGTTGGGTATCAATTTAAACAAAAGAGGAGTGGTTACCTGAATGAGCAGTTGAAGAAGTAAATATTAAACCTGAGAGAGCCAAAAGTATAATTAGACTTCCAAAGCCTTGACTAAGTAACAAACCAGGCTAAGAGCTGTTGTTCCGAGAAGAAGAAGATACATCTTTCCCTGCATTAACCACAAACGTGCACATGCACACACGTGCCATATGCATATATCAAACTTAGATTCTCTAATTATGCCATATATCAATATAAGACACACTGCTTAGGAGAGGTCACCTCGACAAGATGAAGATTTGAAGCACGGCTTAGGAGAACAAAAGCAAATTCTCCAATTTGAGCAAGCAATACTCCCACCTAAACAACAAAAGATGAGATATTTCTCTTTAAAAGACAAAGAAATTCACATATAATATTTACAAGTAAAATGGTTGTATCTTCTTCAGCAAGTTTAACGAACTCACATGGAATGATGTCCTAATGCCATATCCAAAGGCTTTCACAACCATAGCAGCAACAGCTGTCTTGACAACTATGACCAGAATGACAGATGCTAGCAATATATCCACATGGTTCCACAGAAAATGTACGTGTATGAGCATCCCAATACTAGAAAGGAAGAGAGCTGCGAACAGGTTACGGATTGGTTCCACCTAAAAGATAAAATGCCCACAAATTCAAAAAGGTACTGATCCCATAACATAATATAGGACAAGTAAGTTGAAATCAATTGGGCCACTAGATGAAGTTTGAGGGTCAAACCAATTATCAATTTAAATGGTTAAATTTCCAACATAATTATTAGCTCTACCTGAGCAAACTACTTTGAAATCTTTATTTAAATGCTTTGCAAACTACAATTTAAGGATTCCAGCATCTCTAAATTTATGTGATTGAGCCAGCTTTTTTAGAAGGTAAGGAACCATAGCCATTTATGATAAATGAACAACAATATTCCAATAGCTAAATTTAATTCCGAAAGAATTCACATTCAAAGAATACGAGGAGTGAAAGCCAGGAATGCTAAATGATACTATAACGCTAACAGCATTTAAAGCCAGTGAAGCATGTGCTTCAAAATCAGAGTTGAAAGCATTAAGAAGTTCAGGAGAACATTAAAATACAGAACTTTGATTTTAAATATATAGTAACACAAAGGAAATAATTTAGGATAAAATAAAATAGCACACTGTCCAAGCACAGAAGTATACCTGATCTAAAGTGTGTTGTGCAAAGTCAGTGGTAGATATCATAACTCCAGCGACAAATGAACCCAACTCAAGACTAAGACCAAGCTTATCGCTGCACTGAAATGATTAAAGGAATTCCAAGAGCATTAAAAATGAGATTAGAAAAAAAAATAACAAGCAGTACTATGCTGTGAAGACTTCATCATATACTGAAGCCCTACATGCATTGTAACTCAGAAAAATTAAAAATAAAATATTATCTTGCAAAGATTTCAATGAATAACTGCTATTGCTTGATGTCTCAATTATGAGCATATCAAGCTCTTTTCCCAGGGAATAAAATTGATGATACAAAACGTTACATTAATAAAACGCCACGTCTTAATCTGCCCCAGTTGACTTAACTTCAATGTAACTTCATTAGACAATGAAGAAATGATCAGCATGCAGGTTTTAAAAAAAATATCAGCCCTTTTGCAGTCTGCCTCTCAATAACAAAAAATTTAACGGAAAAAAAAAAAAAAAAGTGGGCATGGTTTGCCAATTCAAAGGGCCTTTTTGTTCATTTGCTTTCTAATTCCTAAAAGAGAAAATATGTTAACAAATTTAACACTCAACCCAACTAAAGGACAAGAAATTAATATTCAGCAGAAGACTAAATCCAAGTACAACATGTATGGCCAGCGAAAAATGGGAACAAATTTAACGCTTACCCAAGCAGATAATAAGCAGAAGGCTACAGCGGCAAGCTGATAAAGTTCATTTGTCTGAATCACAAAATGGAAACAAATGTGAACTTTTGAAGACATCCAAAGAAGTATCCAAGTGAAACCATAAGAAGCAAGGTAAATAAAACAATCGACTTACTTGAGATGATAGCTGCACCATTAACTTAAGAAAGCGAGGAACAAATGACCAAGACAATATAGAAGCAACAGTGAGGAATATGGACAACACCAACAGCCTGCAGTTAATAACAAAAAGAAGTTCAGATTCATTCCAGATCATCGACATAATTACATGGGGGTCATGGCTTGCAATAAGTTCAAAGCTCTATAAGTAAGAATAAAAGAAGTCACAAAGAGTGGGCCCAGACCCCCCTTCTACCCAGAAAGAGAGACACAGATAAAGGGGGGGCATGGAGTGGATGTAATTCAACAACTGCAGTAAATGATCTCTCTTTTCCAAGAAAGAGGAGAAGAGGGAAAAGATAACAAAACAAACTTACAGTTTCCCCATTGAAACCATTCCATGTATAAGGCCACTGCTGCCACCCAAGACTGGGAGCAAAGCGAATAACAAACCAACAGCACAATCCTGCAATAATACACAATGAAAGAGTAATGCAGATAAGAAAGCAAGACTTTCCACCTTAACAAGCCACAGATTAAATGTACAAAATGAACATCAAAAAATAAATAAAATAAAATAAACCTGAAAAATAAGTGTCCCAATTGTGACTTGACCATGAAGAGCACTAGTACTATTCCGTTCAACTAAAAATTTCACCACCTGATAAAAGGTTTAGAGAAAAGCATGAACTCCGAGTTATGTCATGAGCAGTATAAACACTAGTATCCGAAACTACTCTAGAAGAGTACCACTGCTGTTGATGACATTGACAGAAAGGAACCTAAGAAAACACCCTCAGACAACTTTGCTCCACACAACTGCATGGTTGATAGATGTCTACATTAGCAGACCCTTCAACAGGAATTATAGAAACTCAAGCAGAGTAAGCCAGATGCTTTAAGCAACATACCACAGCAGTTATTCCACACAAGAACATAAATATCATAATTTGAAGTAGGCCTCCAAGAACAGCAACAGGGCCTACAACTTTTAACTGCATAAAATATGAGTTAGAACAGCCCTTCTAATTTAAAGAAGGAAAACACTATCATAAATGACTATATAACCTCCAGAAAAAGCTGCAGCATATAAATGCGAATTTCCCAGGCCAAGTGTAAATTACCTTTGTCAATGAAAACTCCAGCCCTAAAGCAAAAAGAAGAAACACAACACCAAACTGGGCTACAGTTTCAACCTGTGGTGGAAGAAAAAGAGAACATGTAACAGCCATCATATAAATATTATAGCAAGAAATCCTCTACGCATGGACTTCCTAGCTGAAAAGCTGATATGCAGAAAACCCAGCAAAGGGTACTTGCTGATACTATTTATCAAAGATTATTTTGCTAGGATGGTTTGTTGAAGATATGAGTCACTTTTTCTGGGCCCTACATTCTCATTATTGACAACAATCGAGCGCTTACATCAAAACTCAACATTGCCTCAGTATAACTCCTAATAAATGAAAAAATACACAGCAAGAAGATCATATCCTAAAAACTAAGCATCAATAGTCCGTTATACACAAGGAAAGAATCTGAATCTTGCATCTGGACACAGCCTAGATTATGCACTCAGCTGGCCATGATCAACCACAATTTTTAGCAGCTAGCTACAGGTCATTTAGTACAAAATACAGCCACCTAAGAGATCTTGGCACATCCATGCACTTTTCCCACTACAGTTGAGATTAAAAAAGAAGAAATTCTTATAGTAACATGAGTGTCAGTTAATCTTTCAAATAGCTCAGTGATACGGGGACAACATCCTCACCTATAATATGTTGATGGTGCTCTAACTTATCATTTCCATAATATCCCCACATATACTATAACAAATTTGAAATTCAAGCCTAATTAATAAATAATGCAGGCTAAATTAGATGAGCACTATTATAACCGGCAATACATCCATCATAACAAATTATGTGGCAACATTATTCTGTCTTCTGGAGATATGAAAGGTGGCAGTCCAGCTAGACTCTGACATCAAGAATGTTAGCATAACAATGATGCTTAAAGGCAACAAATCCCCACTTGACAGCCCCAAAAATTTGGAGTTATCCAGAGAACACCTTTAGTGAAAAAATCTTGACTAAAAGCATACAGAGAAAATGAGCACTCAGGAAAATGGAAAATGACATACCTGTACCATTTCACTAATGAATTTTAAACCTCCTGGTCCAATCATCGAACCAGCAAGCAGATATCCCACAATAACCTATCATGCATATCCATTTCAAATTAAAAAATACCATAAATAGTGCACAAGATAAATCACAAAATAAACATGAGTATCCACCATAACCTAAGTAAACCAAAAAAAAAAAAAAAAAACTACCAAATGCAAGCAATTCAATAACACATGTAGATACTTACTGGTTGTCCCAAACAAGAAAAGACAATTCCAGCAATTGCCGCAGAAACTATGACAACTACTAAATCTGAAATCAATCTGTAGAAATGTCAAACACGATGTATTAAAGTATAAATCTCACGAGGTATAAATAACTAGAACTCGACAACTTCAAGCATTGTATTAGGTTAAAAAGGCAAGAAAAAGAAAAAAGAAAACCCTAGGTGACTGGTTCAGGAAAAAAAAAAAATAGAAAGGTGTGCCTTCCTTGAGCCTTAGGCGCAAAAAAGGGACATGCCTCTACCCAGAGGCGACAGCCTGAGTGAAGTCGCCGGCCTGAGCAGTGTTAAGGCGCCTCTTTAATAACTATGAGACTAGGCACAAATGTTCAACAGCTCATCATTTAATGGACATCAGAGAAGCAATTGCCATTGTATAAGAGTCATAAATAGATTTAAAAGATATTAACCTCAAATCTACTTGAAGTACTGGATATTTGGATTTCTTATTTGACATCACGAATACATTGTCCTACAATTAATAAGAGAATCATGTTATGAGAGATCTAAATTGATAATAAGAACCGTTGGACCCTGAATCTGTTCATAAGATTCTGGATAAAGAGCTCATTACTGACTTTCAGCACACCTTTTTGTCAATAAGCGTTGTCATGTCCTCAGAATCTTCATTTTCAAGTGAAAATACATCTTGTAACTGAAATGCTTTTGTCCCACTGACAAAAAAATGAGAGAGAGGAAAAGAAAAGAAATAAGGACATATAAAATGAGACAGTTTTGTCATTGAACAAAACAAGGTGCAAAAACATATCTTGGCACATATTGTCATAATGCAGCAATTTTGCACCATAACTACATCATATTCCCTTACTTAGTCACTTGTGTATCATTTTTCTTCTCATGAGAGATTTTAGCTACAGTTTCCAATACAGCCTGTAAACCACAAACAAAATTTCTATTTAGCATAAATAACATAATTAAATAGTATTAACAGACAAACAACAACAACTTGACTAGAAATCTAACACATGAAATGCAAAAAAGGAAAGATTTTAATTCTGTCATGTATGAGGCATAAAAATAAATATGGTGTGTCACAAATGTTACTTTCCCCATTAACTGTTAAAGGTAACATATAAAGCCGGTTCTTTAAAGCTGTTTGAGCGTCATGACTAAAACTAGAACCCCGCCATATTATTTTGCAATTCTTTCTGTGTATGCACACAGCAGTAATGCTAAAGCTTTCAGAACTTCTTTAACAACAGTGAATAAGCAAACTGTGGTTGGATGCATTGCATTTTGATCCAACATATTTTAAGGAAAAGTTAAACATACCTGTTGGTCAGCCACACTGCTGTTGAAGTTGCTTCGATCAGAACCTAGGAAAAGAGAGAACAAATTTAAGTTAACATCACCCAAGCGGCATCCATGGAACCAAACAACTATTAAAAAATGATAAACAATCCTATGGCAAGCAATATTAAGCCAAAAACACCAAACTGGATTCTACACAGAGGATTTAGAGATATTTAACAACCTAATGGCAGGGCATGGAAAACTTGCTTCCTTTCCAAGAACAGAAGCCAATGTCATGATTTTCAAACCAACACAGTCTATCACAATTTGACAATGAGATACGGAGGCATAACAATGTCAAAAACCTCAATGAAGAAAGTGGTTTGGGGGTCTCATCTTTATCAAAGTCTGCAAATTCCAATTGCTAGAGAATGGGAAATGACGTTCTAGTTGATCAGCATAGGTCTCTGCCAATTCACACTTAGCTTCTCATAAATTTGTGATACTTCTTTTGAAGAAGTATGATGGTCCTTATGGCTGCTCAGTTACTCTCATTATACTGGCTTCCTGAGATGTTGTGTTCAGCTAAATATTAATCCATGGCAAATGTTCCATTGCCTTAAAACTTTTAAAAATATAAAGTCTAATTAGTTGTATTCAGGGTTCGGATTGTCCAGTGCTTCCAAAGATCAAAATAACATTTCATTTCTATTGAACCAGAAATGTGATCTTAAGCTTTAGATTTTGACATCATTACAGTTAATATTTGATCAGGTTCATTGGATAACTTTTCACTTTTGTTAGAGTACTGAAATTTGAGCATTCTCTGCAGGAAGCATTAGAGTGCCCTTTTTTTTTGTGGATAATTTCAAGTATCGAGTGACTCTACATGTCACGATCAAGCAAATTGTAATCAAAAGTCCTGGATAAAAAATTTAAAAAAAAAAAATGAAAAGGCTACTGAAATTATTTAGTTATGTTAAAATCGTTCTAAAGGACATGGGCTTTGATTCCGGCAGCACTTGTTTTAAAACATCACCTCCTTTTAATCCCCATAAAGGAAATCAAAAGCCTAAGACAATAATCTCAATTTTTGTTTATTTTTTTATTTATTACTATTATTGTTATTATTTTTTTTTTTTTTTACAAACCATATAATTGAACACAGAAAACTGAGCTCACCCAAGCACAATAAAACACCATATTTCCTTCGCTCTGTGTTCATTTTCTGCCCAGATTTCAGACCTTCTCTAGCATGGCAAATTGGTAATCCAATTCACATTTAACAAAGTCATAGATATCACAGATCTAAATAGCAATCTAAATTGTGAATTTCACTCTCATATTTCCTCAGAAGCACTTGTTTCAGTTATAGCATTCTATCTGTTTCATAAACTCCACAGAATTCCTTTTTCATTTTTCTGAATCGCTAGCCTTCTTCTAATTAAGCGCCGCCATTTCTTCTATTACTTTTTATTTATTTATTTGCTTATTTTATCGAGTAAAACGCAGCATCAACTAATTTGAGTCTAAAAACCTAATAAAATGAGGTATATGTGTCCAAAAAATCATTACATAAATAATGGGACTGAACAAAGAAGTAAAAGCAAAAGCTCCTAACCTTCAGGCTGATCATTTTCAGAGAACTCTTTCTCCAGAACCCGATCGAACATTTTCGCTATACTGCCTTCTCCATTATCAGGCGCCGAGGAATTCAACAAATTCCCGTAAAACCGCTCCCTGGTCTCCTTGTCAGATCTTGCGGACACACAAATCGCTGAGTAGGCCAACAGCAACAACAACCAAAACCAGAAACCAAACACTGCCCGTTTCGCTTCAAAGCTCGCCATAGATTGTAGCAATCTCTCTCCTATAAGTTGGGAAGCAAATTAAAATCCAAGGGAGAGGGAAAGGGAAATTCGAAGTAACAATGCGAGATCGTGGAGGCTTATTTGATCGAACTTGAAAGGCTTAAGCCGTGCTTTTCTTTGTTTTTCTTTTGTGCTTATGAACGACTGGGATTTAGCCACCCAAGGCGTGCTCGCATGGGACTTTGTATATTGGTATAACTATCGTTAATTGTGGTCATGTGGTGCATTCGCGTCATTTTGACGTTTTGCAGCTGTAAAAGTAGCTTCTGTCTTGGAGTCTCCTGTTGCATTTCAATGCCGTAAACGAACCAATGAAGTGATTGTTTGCTATTGACTCCCTCCCACCATTACAAGTTTAAAATAATTAATAATTAATTAAATTATCATTTATTAATTGTCTAAATAATTAATACGTCCTTTGTCTATGAAAAAATAGCTCTAATCATAAGTATATAATTATATAGATATTATGATTAAATCCTAATTTTTTTCTAATATATTCTTACATTTTTTTCATTAACCAGAAATGAGAAAGGATAATGTTTGTTGATAAAAAATACATAACAAATAGAGATTGAGTAGGATTATTCTTTTATAAAAAGAATATATTCCATATAAGTAAAAAAAAATAATAATACAATAAAAGGAATACTTATATAGCTAGTAAAACTGTTTATTTAAATTATTTCTTCCGGTTTCCGTTCAATTTGCTAATGGAAGATGCAATTTCGTTATTGCCATCCTTTTCTCTTCTTGTTTTATTGGAGATTGGAATTTAACCAGCTTCTTTATACTATCTTTTAAAATTGCGGTTGATCAAATCTGGACTTTCTCTTCTAAGGAAAATGCGATGTAAATGAACCAAATCCATATTAGCATGTTCATTGGGCAATGATTAACTAATAATTAGTGTGCTTGTGAGGTGGTTATTATGTCACTATCGTTAGTTAGAACTTAGAGAACAAAACATGAGCGATAGAAATAACAGTAAAGATTAAGGAGAATTTAAAGGACATGCAAACAGTCTAACAGAAAACTAAACAAAATCCATAATTCAAATTCCTAACTTCAAATGTGCGCTTTTTTTTTTTTTTAATTCAAAACTTGCTTTATTTATTAATTAATCAAATCAAAAGTCAATACATCTATATCTATCTATCTATACTACATATAAAAATGACAATGAGAGAAAATAATGAGATCGCCGATATTGTCCTTTTGAAATTTAAAATATCATAAAATAACTTTAGTTTTAACGAATTAAAAAATTTTAACCTAAAAATATATATAATATTTTTATAATTTAATTGAATGTTTTTTTTATTTTTTTAATATATAAATATAATATAGATAATTAAGCATTTTAAAAAAAATATATTATAGAGGTTATTTATAATTTAAATAATGAGAAACTGTATTTTAATAATTAAATTTATTATATAAATATACTTATAATAAATATAGATAATGGGGCATAGCATTTTACAAAATCCTTTACAATTATTAACACTAAAAGAGGCATTAAACGGCTTTATCTTTTGGAGTTCCTAAATAAAAACCTTTTGATTTCTCATTATAGTGGAGTAATGCCTGTTTCAACGACTGATATAGTAAAAGACACATAATTAAAGACTTAAAATTTGGTATTGTCATTTAATATCTTAATGTACCGGGACATATATTAGATCACATGTTATAGCCTTTACTAACGGGTCTCCCCAATATTAATATGAGTTTCCTCTTTTAAAATAATCACCTATAATAAAGGCAACGGGCTATGGTGCCAGGATATCTATTTGGGGTTGGGGCTGATAAAATTATGTTAATAGTGAAGGAGTGGTTAATGGTCTAGTATGAATTCTTCGATTTGGATCTTAAAATTATAGTGGGATATGAGGGTCAAATTAATTCTGCGGTCCCTTGACACCAAGTATGACCGCCTCGTCGAATGTTGACTCCCAGCCCAACAGAAAAACTGGCAAATGAGTCACCAGAAAGGTTAAATAAGTCGGTCTAACACCCTTGAATCTAATGCGTCGGTTCAAAGTTGTCCTAGCATTGGAGGAATATGGTCCTCTAGGATATCCCTATCAAATTGGTATAAGGTTTCCAAAGTTCGTGCTCATATTTCTATTAAAGGAATATAGTTCAATTAGTCTAATGCCATTGAGGTAACCTCTTCTTAAAGATACTTTCATGATCTTGAGGATTGAGGCTTGACATAACAAACCACTAAAAAAGACTAACATTAAGCATGTGTGCAGGTGTTTACTCTCAATGTTTTCACGGAACCAAGGGGTGAGTTTTTAATTTTGAAATACTCTTATATAAACCTTCTCTCTTGTCATGTATGGGCATTAGCATGCGAGGTCGAATTTCAAACGTGATATTTTAGAGATCTCTAAATTTACGAGTGAAATAAGTCCTAAACTTATTACTAATTAAACTTACTGACTAAAATCGTAATTGAGGATACAAACGGTATAAATAGGGGCGGGGGGATCCGGAGGGGACCAGACCCTACGTGACTCCTCACGATTCGGAGGATGAATTCCATATTCATATTAACTCCTATTAACTATATTTTTAAAGTTTTTGGGACAGTCCTTACATATTAAATCATCGGAGGCACAAAACTAGATTTAGAGTTTAGCGACTAACCCTCGGTAAAAATGAAAGAGGAATAATATGATATGAAAATGGGAGCACAACAACAACCGAAGTTTCATGCTAGTACGAGTATATGGAACAAATGATCCGACAACAACACATTCATGACTTGTGGGGACGAGACGTAACTAGGGAGAGGAGGGGAAGCGTGTATCACAATTAATTTGACGGGGAACCTTTATTTTCTCTCAATATTTTTAGCAATTTTAACAACCGGAGTGATCAGGGCACTGTAAAGCTTGCGAAATCATTTCAATTAAGTAATATTACAACTAACACCTAAATAAACTACCAGTTCCCGAAATGAGTAGCGAAAGAAGGAGGGTGAAGAGAACTTATTGATTACTCTATATACACCCAAATAGTAGTTAACGCGTACAACAGACGCAAGAGGATGATTCTAGGCCGGGTTAAGAAACGCAAAAACGCGGTGTCTGCGAGAAATAAAAAGAAGTATCACTGTCCCATATAGGATTAAACTCAGAGACCTATGGATGGTTAAAAGTTAAACTCCCAACAAGTTCCAACATACGGAACATCCAAACTAACCACACCAGAAGACAGATGCAAATTTGAAGGGTGACAACTCGTGATGCTAATTCGATAGTTCAGCCTTATCCAATAATCTTTGGGGACAATCTGAATACATGAATGGCAGTAAGTTTGGAAAACACAGAAGGAGTATTTAACATATAGAGGTTTCTCTCTTTAAAGCGGAGGTTGATTGGAGGACCAAGCGTGGGATGTTCCTACCACTATAACACGCCCTTTGATCTGTATTTAAATATTCTCTCTCATTCTTCTATATCGGGAGTTATCAAACAATAAATAAATCTATAAAGAAAATACTTTGGCCATTGTAAGTGAAATTAAAGAGAGAATCTAAAATCTAAAATTCATGTAAGTAGATGGCGCAGAAGTTTTGAAAAGTGCAAAACTAACGTATAGATATGCATGAATATGAAGAAATGCTCGACTGAAGACGTTATTCGATGAATAATGTTATTGAATTCCGCATATAAATGTTTTTAATTTAATCCTGAATATTATGTAAATGGAAAAACGTTGACCTATGAGAATCCACCACTTCACAATAAATAAAAAGTAAAAAAAATACAATAATTAATGAGGATAAACACGAGGAGATAAGGAGATTGGCGTGAAGAATCTACGTAGTCAACGGGGCGAGGAACAATTGTAAAGGCTCTCCACTTGGGAACAAGAGTTCTACCAGGATTGCGGCGTGCTCAGCGCTACAGACAGCCATCTAATAATAAACAGAATAAAATGAATTATCGGATAGGAAGCATCTTGACCTTCATAGAGGTGTGTCCAGAGTGCCCATCTATTTTGGACTCAAGAAACAGACTAGGTTTCTAAACTTTGCAATTGGCAGTAAAATGGGAAAAATGGGCAACTAGCCCCTGCTCACTTCTCTGGGTCCGAACCGGGGGAACGTTCAGGCAAGTGGGCACGTAGTTGAACTTGTGGTTGAGCGTATGTTCTAACAGGTCACAAGAATCGCATAAGAAAGCCATAACCTGTCAGTCGCGATAGTGGGAAAGGTCTACCGTGGTTTCTCTGGTTAACCCGCGGATAGTATTCGACACACGGGCGACTTTGTACAAATCAGACACACTTTAGCAGCTTACAAAGTACAGTTGCCTCTCGACACGAAGATGGATCAACTCTCAAAACCCAACTTGCCAAAGACAGTGCCCCACATATAGGAATACAAGGATCTTTCGAAAAACAGCGACGAGACCATACAACGCAGTCCTGTCATCCAAATTGAACGACGATTTTTAAAATACTTTCATGATTTTGATTGGCTACAAAAATAAAAATAAAAATTTATTATTATTTATAAATATTTAATTTTATTTATTAGATTGTTTTCTTACTCTATTATTAACGTATATTTATTTATTACGAGTGAAAGTTATTAACAAAACTTATAAATTAATTATAAAACGTATAAATAGAAGCTTTATGATGATTTTTATAAATCAATTTAGTTTTTCCTTAAAAAAGAAAATCAAAGTAACTAACGTGTAATAAAAATTGTATGAATCAGTATGTTGATATAGAATCAAAAAAATATTGACTATATATAAAAGTGTAATATAATTTAATCACTCTATTTAAATAAGAATTTATACTTTGATATTATATAAACAAAAAATAAATAAGTATAAGGAATGAATATATAACAAATATAGTTAACGTACAACGCACGTCGTAAAGAAGATTAGTCATAAATAAAAATATGGATGGTTAAAGTTAAACTCCCAATCCACTAAACTAGACAAAAAAACATATGCTCGAGCTAATGAATGCGCTTCAATAATTAAATTTCATGAATTCTAAACACAAAATTTAAATATATCCTTACAATTAAAACTCATTCACCATAACCTTGATCTGATTAACCCATTTATATCACATAAATAAATAGAATCTGTTTTTTAAAGTTAAATTTATTATTAGTAATTTAAGTGAAATGAAAACTAATTTGCATAATATGAAGAATGCTCATAAAATAATAATTTTCATATAAATGTTTTATTTATTTATTTGTAATAAAGTGACCCAAGATAAAAAAAAAAGTAAAAAAACAATAATAATAATAATAAAGAAAAGAAGTGAACTGAGAAACACAATTGTAGGTCCACTTGGAAAATATCGCGGTGTCAGCTACAGACGACTCTAATAATAACATATTCGGAGAGGTTGTCGTTTATAAAACACTGGCTAATGCATTGGCAGAAATGAAATGACTAGCCTCTCTCTGTCGTCGAACGACAGGACGTTGGTTTTACCAACAACGCATAAGACCATACCTGTCATCTGTGGACACGTGTCTTACCCGATTTCCACAGCACTTACAAATCAAAGCAGCAGAGCGTGCTCTCCACAAGTTCAACTCTCAAACCCACTTGCCAAGGCCAATATTATCAAGTTTGACAGCCAGCTACCTTCCTTCAATTGACGACTGTGAGATAGAGAAACCGATATCTACTGCAATGGCGACAATTGCGTGTGGTTTGGCTGCCGGTTTCTGTTACAGCAAATCGAGAGTCGATGGTCTCAAGCCAATTAATTATTCTGCTGCGACACCAAGGCGTATGGTGGCTGTAAGAGCTGAAGCTCAAGCTATCAATCCAGAAATTAGAAAGGACGAGGAGAAGGTTGTGGACTCTGTTCTCGTTGCTGAACTCTCTAAACCCCTCACTCCTTATTGCAGGTTCTGACTTGATTCACTTCATTATTTATTTATTTTGGTCTGATAAATATTTGGTTCTCCATTTATTTTCTTGAATAAATATATGTATCACAACAATACCAATGAACGATTTGCAGGTTATAAATCAGACAGGAATTTAATTGAAATGGCGTAACTATTTTATTAAAAAAACAATGTTTTAGTATTAATCAGATAGAGTTGTGATAGAATTTCCTTTCCAAATTTATAGCTATGTCATCATATTTCTTGAATTCACATGTTTTTCAATATCAAGCTTCAAATGTATCCTTATAGACCAAGTTCAGCATGCTAGATCTTGCATAAGCGTTCCTATTTATACCAGTTTAAAACAGATAAAGTCACCCCACTGCTGTATAGAAATTTTGATAAATTGTTACTGTTATATGGTAGATGTTGGAGGTCAGGAACTTTCCCTCTATGTGATGGAAGCCATGTAAAGCACAATAAAGCTACTGGCGACAATGTTGGACCTTTGCTCTTGAAAAAACAGAAAGAGTAAATATTTTCTTTCTTATTTTCATTGTAGTTTAATTTTCATGTATGCATGGAGACAATATCAATTTTTTGTTTGTCATAACACTGTTGGCTCATTCCATGCTTGACTTTGTTCTTACTGTACTCTCTAGAGTTGTTGCCATTTATCTCTTGTGCAGAATGTAAAACTGCAGCTTATTATGAGTTGAAAAACTGCGAAATAAAATAGTTTTGAACTTTTTCAATTGATAAGCAGCTGTTCTTTTCCCCCCCTTTCCCCTTGAGCAACAGAACATGGAACGTTTGCTTTTTGTGCTTCATATAGGCAAGACATGCTTTATAGTGGTTTAGATATTGGTCTTCTATATTGTTTACAATTTGGAAAAAGGTACATAAGCCATTTTCTTTTGATCAATGATATATCCGAATTCTAGAACTCCTTTCTTCAAATTAATGAATGATGGAGGAGGAGGGGGCCTGTTGTACCCCTGGCCTTCATAATTTCCAAGGAGCCCATCTGCCATGGAAACCCCACTTCCTTTCTCCCTCTTAACTTAACCCAAACAGAATTCCTAGCTCCCTCCCTCCCTCTCCCTTGTCTCTTAGTTTGGTTGTTGACTCTTTTTGCTGTTATATTTAATCAAGATGTCATCAGCCACATTGGAACTTACATAATCACAGTGAACGGGGATTGTCACTTTTTACATATCCGAATACTATAACCCCTTTCTTCCAAATTAATAAGATGATGGAGAAAGATGGGCCTTTGTACCCCTGACCTTTATTATTTCCAAAGTCAAAAGAACCCCATGTGCCATGGAAACCCCAGCTCCTTTCTCCCGCTTATCTTAACCCAAACAGAATTACTCCTACCTCCCCCCCTTTCCCTTGTCAGTAAGTTTGATTGTTGAGTTTTTTTGCTGTTATATTATTACTTGAGATGCCATCATCCACATTGGAACTGATATAAACTAAATCAGGAATAAAAGCATTGAATAGAAATTGTCACTATTTCCCTATTGTCTGGCTAGCATAGGTGTTTTCTGTAAAAGAAGTTGATTTCCTCTCTGAATTTTCAAAATTATACCTCGTATATGTTCCAAATTAGAACCATTAGACTAATCCTATGTGCTACTTAACAGCGAGAAGATAAAAATGTCAATATTCTGTTGGGTTTCAAAAGATACGAGTCCAACTTTGTCTGTCATCGGAATCAATTGAAATAATAAACTACAACGGTCAAGAAGTGTATCTATTTATTTGCACAACTTACTGAAGTCTTGCCCAAAATCTTCATATCTATGGTGTCAAAATCTTAAGCAGTTTAGCACATCAAGTGGAGTTATGGACTTGCTCTAACCAAGTATAATGAGACTATGAATTCTATTCGATGAATGATGTCAGTTCCATCCAACTAAACTTTTAAATGTTTACTCTGCCTTTGAACTATGAAGGTCTTTTTTTTTCATTCTCAAATCTCAAGAAAGTGACTGACTAGTTAAAAAATTGACAAACATAAGGTCCAATCTGTATACCATTGCCTTAAATTTTTAAAAACTCCAATTCATTAGTTTATTTTCTCGCCCTATGTTTTTCTGTAGTTGACGATAACAAAGAATCGGTGCTTGGATGACAAAGTTGAGATATTATTGATAAAATAAAATAAAATAAAATACAATTATAATGATAACTGGCTGCTAATATACAAAGAAAAAGACAAAAGGCCCACAATGATTAAAGCCAATGAAAGATGCTAAACAATAAAAAAAGATTGATAAAGAAGATAAACAAAACACGCTTTTGTCGCACTTATTTTAACGGGCAATCACCCACAATAGGCAAAGCCAGTTAATGGGGTTTGGAATTATTCCAAATAAATGGTCTAAAATCATGGTTTTAGACTTGCCCTTCTCAATTTCAATATTCAAACAAGTTTTGCAAGTTGTAACCAATCAATTTCAAAACTAAATAGTTTTTGCCTATCAAAAGAAGGAGGAGGATTTTGAAAAGGGCAAATTTACAGGACACCAATTTGCGGTAAATCAATTTGTCAAGAACACCTAATCAACTTTTTCTTTTTTTTCTTTTTTTTTTTTTGGAAAATAAGAAAACCTAATCACTTGGTTTAGTGATGTTAGGAAGAAGAAGAGAAACTTTGATTCCCCCCGTTAGCAATTAGGATTGCTAAAGAATCTAAGCACATACGCAAGTTCTCTTTTGTCGGTAGAGATCAAACCTTAATTAATGCATTAACGTACTATATTATGTACTAACTACTCCAGTTGAAGCAAAGGGGTTTTCATATACATGAAAATACAATGGTGTCCGAATCATTACGTTTCCTTAAATCTTTGATTGTCGCGTAAGAAAAAAAAAAATTTCTTGTTACATGTGTAGTTCCAAGAAACTTTATAGTGAAAATCTGCTTAAACTGTATTACTATTGTAATAGTATTATTCATCTCTAGCAGGAAAAATAACTGATGGCAAGAAATAAAAAATAAAAAAATGATATGTCGCTTAAATGGGGCCCAGTTTTAAATTCTTAACCAAGTGATGCTGCCGAGTGCCAAGTGTTCAGTTAAGGCCAATTTTCAATACATAAGAGTGGATTGCTGGTTTTTCGCGACGATACGCATTGTATGATTACGATTTCTGTCGGCAGTAACATGATGCTACACGTCGTTTCTCTGAAGTCCGAACTCCAGTTCAGCTACCTATCCTTTCTCTATCGAGACAACTAGTCCTTTCCCACCGTATCATCGCTGCTTATTAATAGTATTTTATTTTATTTCTTTTCTTTTTTTTGTTTCCTCGATTTTTTTTTTTCCTTTTTTTCCCAAGTTTAAACAAAACGAACTCGTTTGGTCAATCACGACAAATCTGAACAGATGTCCAGGTCCTCCGCTTGGGTCCACTTCTTAGAAACACGTGGCGAAATTGCTTAACGGGTCAACTTTTTAAATGAGAAAAAAAGAAAACTAAAAGGAAAATAAAATTTTAAAAAAACTGTCGGTCGGTCCTGAGGGATCTTCAACGTGGGCCGTGGCTTCGCGACAGCATACACGCGTCATTTGTGGTGTGTTAGAATTAGAATAGAACCGCCTTTGAGTTGTCAACACAGTATGAAACTCAAAACTCAGTATTAACCCGACTAAAAGAAATAAAAACACAGGAGGCTCAATGGTTCCAGATAACAGCGTTATAATAAAGGGTAACATTTTTATTTGAATCACTGAATTAATAAAAAATCACCAAATTGATAGTATTAGTTAAATTATAATTAATAAAATGAAAATTGTAGAATATTAAATTCTGAAAGGAATCAATCACAATATGTTTTTATCTTATAATTACAATTAGTATTTGACTGTTTTATCGGTCGGTAAATCACTAATTTAATTAAAATTATTGGTAGTTTAATGGTTAAATGTGTTTCTTGGAGTGCAGATGTTTTACAATAATAACAATTATAAATCAAAGGATAAACACTTAACTATATTTCTATTAGGTATTTAATTTAGTTCTAAAATGAAATTTTGAACCAATGTAAAATATAAAATTTTAAATTTTATGGTGAATTGCATTCCATTTTTGAAAAAAAAAAAAAATTAAAGTTTTGTTTAAATAGTAAAAACTTTAAATTTTAAAAAAATAAAAATATGAAAAGTGTGAAAGAAAACAATTCATTTTTATTTTCGTTGTTTTCCATCTTTGACGACCATACTGAAACTTTAGTATTTTTAAAATGTAGTATTATTTTTCATAAGTAAATTAATTATAAACTCAACATTTATTTATTAAGCTGATTCCCTTTCAAAAAATTTTAATTAATATTATTAAAAATTTTTAATTAATATTATTAAACTATAATTTTTATTTTATTTTTTAATATTATGTTTATGTTAATATCTATAAAAATTAAATTATTCTTAAAATTAATCAAATAAAATTTTATCGAAAAACTAAAGATTAATATGTTAATTTTATTTATATCAAGATTAACGTAACTAGTAATAATATAGTAAATTGAAGATTATAATTATTGACAAAATAACATATTAAAATAAAGATAAATGGTAAATTTAAAATATTATTAAAATAATAAATTTGAAATATTATTCATTTCTAAAACACGAAACAATCAAAGAGTAACAATTTGGGATGAATGAAAAAAGAAAATATGACAAAAACTATGGGATGGATGCTAAATATATTTACATATAGTGAATTTCAAATACATTGTTTTGGTAGTTAGTGAAGAAATTTAAAATAGAAAAGAAAAAAAAAGAAGAAAAATAGAAATTGGTTTTTATTAGAGTAAGAACTTAATCTTACTAATTTGGTAACTAAATTGAAAGGTATTCCAGAATTCAAATTGAAAATATCCTGAATTTTTTTACAACATAAAAGCAACGGCAGTTTCCAATACTAGACTAGACGCTGTAATTCATTCTCATGAAACTATTATAGTAGGTTTTAATTTCTGATTTACGCCGATTAAATTAGAGTGAAAAGGAAATAAGACAAAAAAAGGGAAAAAAAGAAAAAGTTTTAAAAGGAAAATAAATATTACTTTCCCTTTTCACCTTATTTTTTTCCTTCTCTGCAAACAAGATATTTCTTTCTTATTGGTTTCTTTTTTCTTGTATTTTCTACGTGACTACGTCCAAACACATTAGGAAAAAAAAAAAAAAAAAACAGTTTCAAATACTAAGACTAGACGCAAGCCTGTAATTCATTCTCCATGAAACTATTATAGTCAGGTTTTAATTTCTGATTTACGGCCGATTAAATTAGAGTGAAAAGGGAAATATCAGAACAAAAAAGCGAGAAAAAGAAGAAAAAAGTTTACAAGGAAAATAAACTATTACTTTCCCTTTTCACCTTATTACTCTCTATTTTTTTCCTTCTCGCAAACAAGATATTCATTTATCTTATGGTTTTCTTTTTTCTTGTATTCCTTCTCTCTACTACACGTCAATACCATTAGGCAAAAAAAAAAAAAAAAAAAGATAAGCTTGCAGAACACTAGCATAAAAAGGAAGCAAACGGAAACCTACCTGCTTTGTTTACAGCTTAATACGTCGAGAGAAAGCCACATGCGCCAATGCCAAAAAAAAAAAAAAAAAAAATGCAGAAACTGAAAAAGGAAGCAAACGGAAACCTAGCTTTTTACAGTTAATACGCGAGAGTAAAGCCACATGCGCATGCCTGTACACGTGCTAAGCAAGCAGCCGGTTATCTAGCCGCATACGTGCTAGCGCCTCCTAGCTTTTTATCACCGATGCCTCACTTCGCATTTCCTCATGCGAAAACCTCCAGAAAGCTCAAAACACAGCGCAGCAATAAACGCCCCATTTCAAACCCCCACGCTCTCTACCTCACCGCTCACCGCCCCCCGCATCTTTATAGCTTAGAAATAAACAAGAAAAGCTTTTGCAACGTAATCAACAATTTTTACGGTCCGATCGTCGCCGGAAAAAACTGAATCTCCATAATTCTGATGCTTTCCGTTTCCAGTCCGCCCACGCAGGAACCCTACATCAGAAAACCCAGAAGCCCGCCAGACGGCGTCCATCCTTGCAAGAATTCATTCAACTCGCTTTACTCTCTCCTTTCGCATTCCTACTTTAATCAATCACGCGCATGGCTTCTCCTCTCGGTTCTCCTTTTCCAGATCATCCTCTTCCTTAGCCTCCGTTCTGTTCCCCTCTCTTTTTCCCACCGCCACCATCACTTCCCCTCTCCCTCCACAGCCCCCCACCACGTTAACATCCCTACCCCCACCATTATCAGTTCCACTGAAGTCACTACTGCTGCTGATGATATTGATGAATGTGGATTAGGAAGAGTCTTCGTATATGATCTACCCAGTGCGTTCAACACTGAATTAATTCGAAGTTGCGATGGTTTAAATCCATGGAGTTCTAGGTGTGATGCGTTGGAGAATGACGGTTTTGGCCAGAGGGCTACCGGACTTTCTGGGATTGTGCCGGAAAGTCTGGCACCGGCCTGGTACTGGACCGACCAATTTGTTTTGGAGATTATATTTCATAATCGGATTTTGAAGCACAAGTGTAGGACTACAGAGCCAAAGAATGCAACTGCGTTTTATATACCGTTTTATGCAGGACTTGCGGTGGGAAAGTTTTTGTGGTTTAACTACACTGCCAAAGACCGTGATCGGCACTGTGATAAGATGCTGAAGTGGGTTCAAGATCAACCGTACTACAATAAATCAAACGGCTGGGATCACTTCCTCGCGATGGGGCGTATCTCATGGGATTTTCGACGGTCAAAAGAGGAGGATTGGGGTTCCAGCTGCATTTACATGCCAGGTATGAGAAATATTACTCGCCTCTTGATTGAGCGAAATCCGTGGGATTATTTCGACGTCGGTGTGCCTTACCCAACTGGATTCCACCCGAGATCAGACGCCGATATCCTGCAGTGGCAGGAGTTTGTCCGTACGCGTAATCGTACGAATCTCTTCTGCTTCGCCGGAGCCAAACGCCGCTCTATCAAAAACGATTTCAGAGGTCAATTGCTAAGCCACTGTCACAACGAGTCGGACTCATGCCGAGTCGTGGACTGTGGCGGAGCTAAGTGCTCTAACGGCACATCGGCAATTCTGGAAACGTTTTTGGATTCCGATTTCTGTTTGCAGCCGAGAGGCGATAGTTTCACTCGCAGGTCCATTTTTGATTGCATGTTAGCCGGTTCGATTCCGGTTTTGTTCTGGAGACGAACCGCTTATTACCAGTATGAGTGGTTTTTACCTGGTGAACCGGAGAGTTACTCTGTTTTTATACACCGAAACGATGTAAAAAATGGCACCTCCGTGCGCAAAGTGTTAGAGAGTTACAGTAAAGAAGAGGTAAGGAAAATGAGAGAAAAAGTAATCGATCATATACCCAAATTCGTATACGCAAGATCCCACAATGGGTTAGAGAGTATAAAAGACGCATTTGATGTCGCCATAGATGGAGTATTAAGGAGGTTCAAGGAGCAAGAGGAGGATGGTTACAAATGGTAATAACAGTGATAATTATGAGGGTATATCAGGGAATCTAAATTCCCAAGTTGTAGAATAGATTATTTTTATTTCTTCTTTCAATTTTTGATAAAATTTCCTCAGAGTGAGGCAGATACTCATACTGTTATACCCGTATTGATTTGGTTGTGAAGAGAAAAGATTCCAGAGTTGCAGGTATTGTGTGGTTGGTGGTGGAGGTAAATTTAATAAGAGACCGCAAGCAGGACCACTGAACCACCAACTCGATGGTCCTCTTATCTTTGTTAATTGGTATACACATATTACTTGGATGAACGGCCATGATCAGCTACCAGAATATTAAACATAAATGATAAGGTTGAAGGTAGTAATAATGTACAAAAATAAGTTCAATTTTTTGCAAATTTACATTTACATGGGATTCAAATGTATCTATTTATATTCAGTTTTGTTAATTAGATTCGCTTTTGTTGCTCATCACTGTTTTAGTGTGATAGCTGTAACACACATTATATGTACGCATCCATAGCGTTGCTTTTCATTTTTATGATATTATGTTGAAGAACAATTATTATTATTATTACTATATTGGAATCTCACTTTTTATCTTTCTTCCTTTTTTTTTTTTTTTTTTTTTTTATATATATAATAATATCCGTTATGAAGAAGCATTCTTGGAAGCAGGACTTATAAAATCTGATGGAAGTCTCATATCAGGTTAAAATTGGCTCTATTTGATTATTTTAATTATCCTGGGAGAACACAATTGGTAATTAACTGTATATATGGGGTAGTACAATAATATATATAATAATATCCGTTATGAAGAAGCATTCTTGGAAGCAGGACTTATAAAATCTGATGGAAGTCTCATATCAGGTTAAAATTGGCTCTATTTGATTATTTTAATTATCCTGGGAGAACACAATTGGTAATTAACTGTATATATGGGGTAGTACAATAATATATATAATAATATCCGTTATGAAGAAGCATTCTTGGAAGCAGGACTTATAAAATCTGATGGAAGTCTCATATCAGGTTAAAATGGAAGATGACAACGATGGAAACCGACACAACATTATTCATTTAGAATTTATTTTAGCCTTTTGCGCATGTATGTATAATCATTTGAATGGGTTGGGCACATAATAAAAATAGTATTCCCAACAGAAAAAAGAACACTGATCAATTGTCATCCATAAACACAATCATGCTTTAGAAGATCATTTGGCAGGTGAATAAATGTTTTTGGTAAAAAAAAAAACAGAAAAGAGAAGAAAGACAAATATATTTCGAGCAGCAATCTAATTGCATGGATCTAACTATTTTAATTTGCATCCTATTGCTATGCAGAAGGAATCGTTTTCTCTATATTTAGGTAACGGTAAAATGAGTAGTTGAGCGCTCCTTTCTCGAACTGGACTTATCAAAGTTAATGGAAAGAGGCATACTGACGGCGACAATCAAGGAAATACAGGCTTAGATTTCATGTCATTACTCTTAACGAGTCCTCGTTTCTGACCAGGATACGTACGTTGTCGGCTTAATGACAACTTGAGAATTGTGCTCTACTTAACTATACGGTCATCAAAACATTAAAAAAAAAAAAAAAAAAAAAAAAAAAAAAAAAAAAAAATAAAAAAGCTGACTACTGCTTTTGGGAGAAGATGCGGGTTTATAGTTTTAAAAAAAAAAAAAAAAAAAAAAAAAAAAACGCATGACTACTGCTTTGGGAGATGCGGGTTTTAGTTTTAAAACTGTGAGATTTTGATTTCAATTGATAGTGAATTTTAAATAAAAATACTCTTAAATTTCCTTTTCTTCAAAATTACCTATTTTTTTTGAGAAATATACTTTTTATCAATTGAGAAGTATAATTTGAATTTGTTTATATAAATCAACTTTTTAGATAATAAATTATTCTCAAATTATAAAAGATGATATAAATTTAATTAATTGGACATGGCTATAAGAAATTGAATTTTAAATTGCGCAGTTTAAATTGAATCAAGTGAATTGGAATTAATTTTGTTTCATGAGCCATCAATTCATATTTTACAGAACTTATTTAATTACTAATTTTGACTTTTACCCGCATTATTATATCTAAGATCATCCAAAAATCTAGTGAAAAAAATATTGGGTATAATAATAAAGCATTTTTCGATTGCAACTAAATATGTGGTGCATAAAGCAGCATGTGTTTCACGAATTGATTGCACAGATTTTTGTGCCCTAAAACAGAGGTAGATATCATCCTTCACTCACCAGAAGAAATTGTTTTTCTTCATTATTAGTATAGTTTTGTTTTCTGTTCTTTTTCTTTTGGTTACAGTTGTGAGTCTGTATATTTATCATACATTAATTTCAACAATAAGAAAAAAAGATTCTAATTGTTGCGTGGTCATCGTCATTTCTTGATACGTTCCAATCCTTTGACCCTACAACATTAAGCATTGCCAGCTGCCATATTTGTAGAATGAATGAAGCAGGACCATATGCAGATATGGTATTATTGATCATCATTTTTTGGGCTACTCATACGTTTTACCCCAAACTTTTTGCAAAGTTGCAATTTCACCCTGGAACAACCTTTGTTATTTAAGTTACCCTAAATTCAAAATTAAGGTGTAATACTATAAATTAGTGAGACCCACGTAAAACTCAAACTAGAACTCAGCTTACGCACACCGTTTCAATAAATAAAAAATCACAACAAATCTGTAAATCTGCGAACTTCACAAAAGACCATAAAATTATTTACATTTTCAATTGACACTTTAAAATGTATAATTTGTTTTGTCTTTTTTCTTTCTTTCTTTTTCCTTTTCAATCTATTTAGCTGGAAATGGTTAAATGACAAATAACATGTTGATCTCAATTATTTTAGTTTATAATTAAGTATATAATCTGCATCAATCACAAAATGGAAGTGACACCAATTTATCTTATCAATAACTTTATCACAAAAGGAATATATATTATTAAATACCAAAGAAACTACCAAAATAGAGAAAAATTCAAGGTGTAACAAACTCAGAACGCGTTCAATGATTTGCTTAAAATTATTTGCTAGCTACATAATGCATTAATTAATTATTTATACCTCCTATGGCACAACGCAATCAGCTGAAAGGCTTGCAGCTATGATATATAACCAAGCCTTTTCACCTCACTAAAAATATTATAGATAACCAAAAAATATATACAACTAATTCAATAGCATAACTAGATAACTACAAGAAACCAAAAAATAGTGATAGATGACCAATACCACTTCAGCCCATACACTTTTTGATACAAGTCTCTCTAAAAAACCAAAAAAATAAGGGAAAAAAAACATAAATTCTGTCTCAACAGGCAATAATTATTATGTTTTTTCCTCATATTGGCTGCAACCAAGTTGTAACGTGCTCAATATTTGTTCTTTTCTTTCGTTTTCAAACTGACCTATTAGTGATAGACATGCGATAGATAAAGGTGATGAACTGTTCCTTCCTTCAGCTTCACACACTACACTAGTGGCTTATCTCTACTCCTACCATCTATCCTCATGCAAATCCGCCGCTATAATTCTATTCCGGCGACAATGAAAAAATTCAAACACCTTTTCAAGTTACGCAACTCTGTTAGTTACTGCAACGCATGCCTCTACTTCATCATTTCTCTTCCTTTTCTTCACCTTTACCTCATCTTCACCTCTCGCGCTTCCTTCTCTCCTAGCTATGGATTCTCCATCTACAGAAACCCTTGTCCTTTCGGCATGGTTTATGTCTATGACCTTCCGTCCATGTTCAATCAAGATTTATTAACCAATTGCCATGATTTGAATCCCTGGAGCTCATCTTGCGAAGCAATATCCAACGGTGGGCTTGGCAAGAGAGATGAAGAGCTTGAAGAATTCTTGCCGGAGAGTCTTGCTCCGGCATGGCGTCGAACTGATCAGTTTACGTTGGAAGTTATTTTTCATAATAGGGTTCTTAACCATCAGTGTAGAACTTTAGAGCCAGATTCCGCTACAGCGTTCTACATTCCTTTTTATGCTGGACTAGCGGTCGGAAGGTATCTATGGGCTAATTCCAGTGCGGAGGAACGCGATAGAGACTGTGAGCTGCTGTTAAATTGGATCACGGATCAACCCTACTGGAAGAAATCTAACGGCTATGATCATTTCATCTCACTGGGACGCATTACTTGGGATTTCCGGCGGAAGAGCGATGAAGAATGGGGGTCCCGCTTCTTCAGAATGAACGGCATGCAAGGTGTTACACGACTCTTGATTGAGAAAAACCCTTGGGATCATCTTGATATCAGTGTACCTTACCCCACTGGATTCCACCCAAGATCAGCCGCAGACATTTTGCTTTGGCAAAACTACGTCCGTACGTATAACCGCACAAAACTCTTTAGCTTTGTAGGAGCAACACGTGGAAAAGTGAAAAATGATTTTCGAGCATTGCTACTGAGTCAGTGTCAAAACGATTCATCAGTACCCTGCCGGGTAGTGGATTGTGCAGAGACTCGGTGCAGTCACAGCAACTTGGAGATTCTTGATGCGTTTTTGGACTCCGATTTTTGCTTGCAGCCTAGAGGAGATAGCTACACGAGGCGGTCGGTTTTTGACTGCATGGTGGCTGGGTCAATCCCGGTTTTTTTCTGGGAGAGAACCGCTTATGATCAATATGACTGGTTCTTGCCGGATGAGGCTAAGAGTTACTCAGTATTTATACACCATAATAAGGTGATGAATAGAAGGACAACTATAACAGGAGAGCTTGAGAAGTATAGTAGAGAAGAGATAAATAAAATGAAGGAAAAAGTTATCGAATATATACCAAAAATTGTATATGCTAAGAGGGGCTTGGACAATGTAAAAGATGCTTTTGATATTGCCATTGATGGAGTCTTGAGGAGATTTACGGGACAATAGAAAGCAAACTGAAGCCTTAAACTCTCATTCTTCTTTCTGCTATGTATTTTAGGATCATTATGGTTGGGAAAATGTTGGGCTATCACCAACTCCGCCATTTCTTTTGTTATTTCTTTATTTTTCGAAGTGTCAAATTTTACTATATGTTAGATAATTTGTGATGTATTGAAAAAAAAAAAAAAAAAAAAACTATTGTTTAGATAATTTGTGATGTAATTGAAAAAGATAAAAAAAAAAAAAAACTTGAATTACCATAATAAAGCATATAAGAAATGAAAGCCGAGTGCCTCCTACCCCCCAACACACCGCCAAATTCAACACAAAATAAATAAATTTCATTTAAAGGAAAGCTATTAGACCCAAAAAAAAAAAAAAAAAAAAAAACTTGAATTACATAATAAAGCATATAAGAAATGAAAGGCGAGTCCTCCTTACAAATTAATAAATTTCATTTAAAGGAAAGGCTATTAGACCATAATTATTCTTCGAGTCTATTAGCACTTCTGTAATTTCATAAAAGATAAATATTTAATAATCAAAAATACCATAATTAAAAGATTTTCACAGATTATATTCGACTCATTAGTAATCTTTATTACAAATTTATAATAACTAAATGCCAATTGTTATAAAACAAATTCGTATGTAATATGTGCATGTATATATAATTACTCATGAATTTATATGTTTATATATTTCAAATTTCCATAAATTATCCAAAGAAACAGAAGATGAAGTTGGCATAAAACTTGTCTGTCTATAGGTTAAATTTTATTTTTTTTTTCCTAATAGATATATGTAAAAAGAATATATTATAATTTATACTGAATCGAAGCCATGCTACAATTGAAATAGACTTACACAATAATTAAAACCCATTAAAAACGGTACAATCCATATGAAATAAAAAAAAAAATTACAAATTAAACAACGTTGACTATGGGATAGAGCCCATGGTCTCGGCCATCTGGGCTTCAAAAACTTTGTCTTACAAATACATGTCTCTGAACTGGGCTAAAACTACTTCAATTATGGGCCAGTATAGAATTTCAGTCTTTACTTTACTTTCTTAATTCATGGTTAATTGGCTGATTACTACCATCTAATAAAGGGTTAACCGGTGGATTCATGGTCTTAATCACGTCAACCAGGCATGATTTTTAAACAATTTAATAAAATTGACGTTTTAAACAACGAAAGAAAATAATATATCCAAAATTTCCTGTTTTCGTTAGACGCATCTCCTTTATGTATTCTCTTCCTTCTTCCCTCTTCCCTCGCGGTTTCCTGCGCAAAGACGAAATGTTTAAACCCGTTTATTCTCTTCTATTTTACTTTGCCTTGCTATTCATCCAATCTAAAGCCGAATCGATCAGTCTGAAGCCTCAAGCTCTCGACTCTTTCAATCTCAGTTTAATCCAGGTAATCCCCAACTCCTCCTCATCATTTTTGATTCTGAGTTGTTAGTTTTCTGCTTTTAATTCTCTTCCTTTTTTTTATTTATTAAATAGAATGTGGGAAGTTGCTCTTACCGAGTGATCGTATCAACAAGCTGCTCCTCGCCCAAATACACCCGAGATCAGATCAGCCTTTCTTTCGGCGACGCTTATGGCAATCAGGTTCGATTTTGGACTCGATTGCTCTTTTAATTTAACGAATTTATTTCTCCTTTAAAAAAAAAAAAAATTTCTCGAGAAACTAACAAATCGTATACTACAGATTGCCTTGTATTAGTTTTCTTAACACGGAAGACTCCAAATTTTCTCCTTTGTATCGTTGTTCATAACTTCACATGATAAGCTTTCTAAAAGTCCATTATTCACTTTGACCTGTGTTCATAAATGTGGAGATGACGTGTCCATGGCTGAGCCGTCCATATATATTATGCGTTTTATTTTCCTTGAAAAAAATATTGGCAGAATTTTGATTGGAAGAAAAAGTTATAGAATTATAAAAATATAAAATTTATTTGGAAAATGCTTTGTTAAAATGCCTGTGGTTGAGATGGGATAAGGCTGAGGCCCAGCCATGGAAATATTTATGTGACGAAAAACTTGAGCTTGTGAAGTTATTTGACTTGGATATGTATTGGTCAGATTTATGCACCAAGGCTGGATGATCCATCATCAAATACATTTGAAAGGTGTTCCTCTGATACATTTCAGATAAGTGGACCATGTGCATATCAAATATGCTATGTCTATCTTTATAGAACAGGACCTGATGGCTGGAAGCCAGAGAGTGTGAAGATTTATGGGTATAATTCAAATCCTGTTAGGTTTGACTATAACACTTTTATTCCCAGTAATACTTGGTATGGATTTAATCTGTGTCAAAGTGCCTCCTCTGCACAAATACAAAGAATTCCTGGATGGTTTATGGTTCTGATTCTATCGGTTGCCATTGTTGTATTGTGATTCTGCTTCTACAGAATTTAAATTAGGACTTTGTTGTAATAATGATACTAATAATTTAAGTGTGCAGTGGATTGGACCATCAGAATTTTCTAATCTAAATGTAAAGATACAGCTAATTGCTATTGTTTGAGAACAATAATTTATATGCAAGTTGTGATTTAATGTGAATTGCCTTGGTGTATCATCTTCTGAATTTTTGTAGCTGAGAGCTAACAGATTGCCTTGATTTGATTACAGAATTAGCTTTTGTAATTTTTATTTTTTGAGATCTCATGCAACTTGCAGCCCCTACCCATTCTAATATCACAGTGTGATCTGAATTTCAACTGTTTAATAAAGTCAGCCAGTCAGTGCCTGGAAAGTTTAGTAGCAACTTTTTCAGTGTGTAGGTGCTGAGCAGTAAAAGAAAGATGTGAAGAGGAAAAGAAATCGGTATATTGTGTTTTCAAGTATTTCTATCTGCGCTGCAGCAATCTGACAATTGGTTAGAATAATAGTAGTAAGATGGTGTTTGTTATATGGCTGATAGCTGATTTGTATCCAACAGATTGTAAATGTCTAGTAAATTTTTTTAACTTTTATGTAGGAGCTATAATTTAAATATTGTTTTATTTGAACTTCATTAATTTCAAAAAAAATGACTAGCAATAAAAAATTTTCGAATTAATATTTTAATATAATCATTTTGCTCATTGTTATTTAAAAATAATAATGTTTTCCTTATATAACAAATTAGAATAAATTTACTTTTAAAATAAAAAATATATACATTATCTATCATAATGTATAGAAAAACAATTATTTCTTTAATGATAATTTTATATTTTAATAACAACCGCCGTTAATATTTTATTAAACACAAAAATTCATCATCTAAGTGCTGTCAACCACTAGTTATCAGCAACAATTGTTATTCATAGGGTTTGGCTTGTGCGGACACTAGAATCAATCACCATTATTCACACGTATAAACAATTAAACTAAACTAGCCTTAAAGGGTTAAATTAAATTATCAGATATCACTCCATTTAACACTTTCACAGTTTAATTGTTGAAAAAAAAAATCGTGGACTGAAAGTGAGAGCACCAATGGACATCAATGAAAATTCTAGTTTTTCTGAAACACTACGGATTGGATTTCAAGCAAGTGGTTTTATTTTTTATTTTTTAAATTCAAAGTATTCTACCGTTTGTGCGTTGGTATTTCCTTACGTACCCAAAAAAAAAAAAAAAAAAAAAAAAAAAAAAAAAACCCAAAAAAAAAAAACACAAAAAAAAAATAAAAAAAACTTCGAGGGAACTCGGGCGTTTTGGCGTTGCGGTTCGGGAATAACCCGGACAATGTTCCGGAATTCGTCAGGCTTTGATTAGACAGAGTTGGGGCAGGTCTAAGTGGTTACACGAGCCATGACCCAACCCCAACCCACTTAGGTTGAGCCTTCTTTAAATGTTAATAAGGGAAAGTAAGGAACCAAGTGAAAAACTATAAACAACAAAATCTTAAGGACGGTGATATTTCTAAAAAAAAAAAAAAAAAAAAAAAAAAAAAAAAAACTGGAGGACTCGGGTTGGCTGGGTTGGGATAACCGGACAAGTTCGAATTCGTCGCTTTGATAGACAGAGATTGGGCCGGTCTGTGGTTACACGAGCCATGCCCAACCACCACTAGTTGAGCCTTTAAATGTTAATAAGGGAAAAGTAAGGAACAAGTGACTATAACAAAAATCTTAGGACGTGATATTTTATTTTTATTATTTTAATATTGGTCAACTAATTCCAACCAGTCAAAGCACACAAAAAGAATTCTAATCTAACGGCGAATACCCAAATTACATAGGGTTTCATGATCTGACGGCCTCACATGGATCCGCCACTAAACCATAAAAACGCAAACCCTAACGTTTCCTCTTCCTCTTGCTCTCCTGCTTCTGCAACTCACTGCCAAAACCCTATGTAGCAGGAGAAATCGCACAACTCTCAACCCTCTTTTCCTCACCTCACAATCTATATACACACACACGATTATATTCTAAGCTCTATTTGTTTCACTCTAAAATATCATGCCATCTATAGCTCTGGCCAATAATTCATCCGATTCTAAGGACAAGAAAGAGAGGAAGATGAAGAAGAGAATAGTTCTGCAAACTTCATTGCCTGACTCTGAAACTCCAGGCAAGAAGAAGAGTTTGATGGTCTCTGATGCTGAAGAGGAAATATTTTCGGAGAAGCAGAAGAAGAAAGAGAAGAAGAAGCGAAAAGCTGTAGATACCGAGCCTGAAGATGAAGAAAAAAGCGAGACGAGCTCGGAGCTAGTAGAGCCGGTGAGTTTGAAGGCTGATAAGTCGAAGAAGAAGAATAAAAAGGCAAAACTTGATGAAGATGAGGAGGAAGAGGGAGAGAGAGAAGTAGCTAAGGCTGAGGATCCCAATGCGACTTCGAAGTTTCGAATATCACTGCCTCTTAGAGAGAAGCTTAAATCCAGAGGGATAGAGGCGTTGTTCCCAATTCAAGCCATGACCTTCAATGATATTCTTGATGGGTGTGACTTAGTTGGGCGTGCACGGACTGGTCAGGTATGATCTCTCCCGTGCTCTAGTTGCGATTTGTTTCTCAGTTATTGTTGGTATTGTAAATTTTTGCAAATTATTATTTGATAATTAGTTGTCCATGCCATATCAACATTCTGCAGGGTAAAACTCTGGCTTTTGTACTGCCTATTTTAGAGTCTCTTACAAATGGGCCTGCAAAAGCATCGAGAAAGACCGGTTATGGCAGGCCACCAAGCGTGTTGGTTCTTCTACCCACCAGAGAATTAGCCTGTCAGGTATTTAGCAATAGAGGTTACTTCTATACATTCATGGGAAGCCTTTTTTCCTTCATTTTATTAATACTTTTTTTGAATGTTGAAAGGTGTATGATGACTTCAAAGTTTATGGCGAGGCATTGGGTTTGACAACTTGCTGTTTATATGGCGGAGCTTCATACCATCCTCAAGAGACGAGCTTAAAGAGAGGGGTGGATGTAGTTGTTGGAACACCAGGCCGCATAAAGGTGAGGTTTTATTGTAATATTATTCGAGTTCCTGTAATAAGGGCTGGTTCAATTCGGGTTGTATTAGAACCTGTTGCAACTTTTTGGCTTTTCTGTCCAGTTCACCAACAAATTCACGGAACCTTTCTTACGTTTAGTGCTCTGCCCACTTCTTATACAGCTTGCACTTATAATCCGAATTCTCAATGTGAACAGCCCTACCTGCAATGTCTTTGCAGATGCCTGTTGATTATATATATATATATATTTGAATTTTGTATCTGTTTTATGTATTCATTTAACATTTCAAACTTTTATGGAAATTCTTTATAGGATCACATAGAGAGGGGCAATATTGACTTGAGCTTACTCAAGTTTCGGGTCCTTGATGAGGCTGATGAAATGTTGAGGATGGGCTTTGTTGAAGACGTTGAACTTATTCTTGGTATGTAGCTTCTTATGAATACATTTAATTGATTGTTGTTGAATATGGTGAAATGGATCAATGTCATTGTAGTTTTTTTTTAACCACATGTAAATGTTCCTGTACTTTTCAGGAAAAGTTGAGGATGTAAGCAAAGTTCAGACGCTTCTCTTCAGTGCCACTTTACCAGATTGGGTGAAACATGTTCGTTTCTTAGCCACAATATAGTGCTTGTTATGATTTGCAGTTCCTTTACCAACTTGCCATTTATTGAATTTGGCCTTCATTTTTTTTTTTTTTTTTTTCCACAATATAGTGGCTTGTTATGATTTGCAGGTTCCTCTACCAACTTGCCATTTTATTGAATTTGGCCTCATTTTTTTTTTTTTTTTTGTATTACCAAGCTTTCTTACTATTTTTTTTTTTTTTTTTTTGTATTACCAGATTTCTACTAGATTTCTTAAACCATCTAAGAAAACCATAGATCTTGTTGGCAATGAGAAAATGAAGGCTAGTACCAATGTGAGGCACATTGTTCTACCCTGTTCTGCTTCAGCAATATCGCAGCTTATTCCAGATATAATTCGTTGTTATAGCAGGTTACTTGTTTTTTTTCCTGCACTTCATTTTCATTGTGATAATTTAATAATCTTTTGCTCTTGTTGAAAAATATGTTTACTCATTTATCTGGTGGTTGCTTTTGATTCAGCGGAGGGCGTACAATTATTTTCACAGAGAAAAGGGAATCTGCAAATGAGCTTGCTGGTTTATTGCATGGAGCACGGGCTTTACATGGGGAGATACAACAGTCTCAACGCGAGGTATTGATTGTGTTCGCATTCAACTGATATCATCTAGACATGTCTCCATAAGCAGAATGTGGCAAATTTTATAGCATGCGTGCTGATCTTTTTGGATAATTGATTTGATGATATATTTGGTATATAAGATGTTTCTAAGGTTGGAATGGGCTCAAACAGAATTCCAGAGGTCCTAATTTTGTCTCGTCCTCATCTGCTTTTGACTATCAATAAACAATATATTTGATGCCTAGGACGTACTACTTCAATACCTGTGTAGAGCGCTGGGCATGTTATTTTGTCCAGCACAAGCCCAATGATCGTCCTTGCTATGTAACATTCCAACAAACAGTAGGATCTTGTTGATATTTTAAATGGAAAATGGAAAGGAGGGTGATAGAACTTAATTTGTTAATTCTTAGATTTGCTTTGCTAATTTCTGACATAATGCCTCCAGGTCACCCTTTCTGGGTTCAGGTCAGGCAAATTCATGACATTGGTAGCTACAAATGTGGCTGCTCGGGGACTGGATATAAATGATGTGCAATTGATCATCCAGGTGTGTTTTTATTCATTTCTCCTGTGTTCATGTGTGCTTACATCAGGAAACTCTTTCAATGTTTTCTTCTTATTACATATTCTTACACTAGTGTTTGAGCTATAGTGTGAACCTCCGCGTGATGTAGAAGCTTATATACATAGATCTGGACGCACAGGAAGAGCAGGTAATTGTTGATGTTTGACTGCTCTCTTTTAAATGCTTGGTTTATTGACATGCGGCTGAGAGTTATTCATCACATATAGGCAATACTGGAGTTGCTGTAATGCTCTATGATCCAAGAAGGTCTAATATATCAAAAATTCAAAGAGAATCTGGTGTAAAATTTGAGCACATTACGGCCCCTCAGGCTGCTGATATTGCGAAAGCTGTTGGTGTAGAAGCAGCGGAAAAAATAACTCAAGTTTCTGACAGGTATGTTTCCTTTTAAAACTAATTGATCTGTAATTGGATTGCTCTTAATTTCTGATTTGAGATCAAATATTGCAGTGTGGTCCCTGCATTCATGTCTGCTGCAGAGGATCTGTTGAATAACTCGGGTTTGTCAGCTGTAGAACTACTTGCAAAAGCCCTTGCCAAGACTGCTGTGAGCCCCCATCCCCTTTTCTGTCTCCCTTCTCTTTGCTCTCTCAAACTTTATGATTTTTACCTCCTATTTTTTTGGAAGTGTTAAGCCGTAAAATCTCTCATATCCTGATACATGTGCAGGGTTACACCGACATAAAGAGCAGATCACTTCTAACATCGATGGAGAACCATGTTACATTACTCCTTGAAGCTGGAAAACCTATCTACACGCCATCGTGAGTGCATGCACTTTAGTTCTGTCTCATAAATATTTGAGTCCTTTAAATAGTAGTTTAGGAAATTAGAGTATTTGATGTGGGCGAAATTGTACTAGAGTGCTTATTCTTCCATGAGTGTGCCAAAAATGTGGCAGTTTGAAATACATGATGAGGTTCCCCAAACTTGATTACCTTAGATAAGTTACTCTGTTATGGCGGTAGTTATCGGATTATTGGCTTACCTATCATGAAAATTGTCAGATTTGCTTTTGGTATCTTGAGGAGATTTTTGCCTGAGGACAAGGTTGAGTCAGTGAAGGGTATGTCCCTTACTGCTGATGGCAACGGTGCAGTGTTTGATGTGGCTGCATCAGATGTGGATGCATTTCTTGCTGGTAATATTTTTTGTTTCCAGGTTATCTTTTTACAGAAATTACCATTAGCCAAATATCCACCTCAGCTTCTTTAATTGCTTCTCAATCTTTCTCTTGATGTTTATTGATATTGAATCTTACAGGTTGTTGATATTGACTTCCATTGTGTTTCCCACTGGTTGGCTGCAGGTCAGGAAAATGCTGCTAATGTCAGCTTAGAGGTGTTAAAAGAATTGCCTTCCTTACAAGAAAAAGACCAATCAAGGGGAAGGTTTGGTGGTGGAGGCCGAGGACGGGGTGGCTTTAATGATAGGAGTGGTGGTAATAGGTTCTCAGGGGGCAGAGGTGGTAGGGGTGGAGGATTTTCTGATAGAAGAAATAGCTTTGGCGGAAGAGGTCGCAGCAATGGGAACAGATGGTGAAGGACCATAAATTTATCTCAGTTCATGGGTGATTTTTTTAGCATTTCTTAACATAATGGCTACCGGGTGAAGCATTTTCTGATAATGAAGAAAATATGCAATTATACGGTCTGGATTTTGTTAATATAGGATTTGTATTTTCTTTTTGGGTGCTCCCTTGGCCTTAAGGGTCCTTTTTTTTTGAAATCTTATTTGTTCTTTAGTCCTATTATTTTAAACTTATTAGGATAAGCCAATATGTTTATTTGATTTTCTGGGGAATTTTGCTGTCTCCCCATGTGTTTGAACTATGCTGGAAAAGACTAAGATGCTACAAGATGTATTTCTATTATTATTATTTATTTGAAATGAATTTTTAATTGTTTAGCGTTGTGGATTTTTTTACAACAAAATGCAATGTTGGTGAACTCTAATCCCATTCCTGTGGATTCGTAATTTTTGAACTCTGTATGTAAGAGGAGAAAATGGGAAGGAAAATGGTAAAAGGAATTTAAAGAAAGTTTTCACTTGTTACTTGTTAGTGTAGAGTTGTAGCGCCATAAAAATTTAGTAGTAGAGTCAACAGTGCCCGTAAATGGACTGGATTCTGTATGAGAGATCCGACCCGATCCATTGATAGTGGCACACCCAACGTCCACCGATTCAGAGCTCTAGTCACTTCCAGAGGCGTTAACCTCACCAATTTATCAAGTAAGGTAAGGAGTTATCGATTGTGCAGATGATCATGTTATTTATGCAATAGAGCCTCCTAACGAACCAAAACAAAAAAAAAGTGCGGGTGTTTAACCTGTCCCGGAGGGCCGGAGTCGACAAGCATGCTCGCCGTTTCTCAATAACCTTAACTGTTTCCAGTCTCTACCAAACAAAATTATCTGCGCACCTGCGATCATGGGAAGCTTCAGGAAAGCTAAGCTCGCGATCGGCGCTTTTTCAAGTATAGCTCCGAAAATCATTCCCAGAGCTCCATTTCAAGAGTCTACTTCGAGAATCTTCCAAAATGGGTCTTCACACTCTTCTTCTAATCCAGCTAAGTTTTCTGGCTTCTATCCATATTCTTCTATTTCTCAGAGATTTGGACTAGGTCTTCAAATGGGTATTAAAAGAACAGTAAATTATAATAATAATCCATTTCGCGGCGGTGGTGTTGGTAAGAGATTTTACTATGTAGACCGATCCCAGGTATACCATTTTAAGCCGAGAGGCCCTAGCAGATGGTTTCAGAATCCGAAAACTGTACTGATCGTTATTTTGGTGGGTTCTGGTGCTTTTGTCACTATCTATTTTGGTAATTTGGAGACTGTGCCTTACACAAAAAGAAAACATTTTGTGCTTTTATCTAAATCCATGGAGAAAAAGCTTGGAGAGGAGCAATTCAAGCAAATGAAAGCGGCAATGAAGGGAAAAGTTCTCCCTGCAATACACCCGGACAGCGTTAGGGTCCGCTTAATTGCAAAAGACATAATTGAGGCATTGCAAAGAGCTTTAAGGCCGGAACATGTATGGAGCGATTTAGAGTATGCATCTCCAGAGAGTGATCTAGCATATGAGGGTAGAGCTCATGAGACATTGAAGGCACTGACTGAGAGTGAAGGGAAAACTGAAACTAAGTGGTATAAGGATGATGAGATCCTCGATGACAAATGGGTTCAAAAGAGTAGAAAGAAGGGTCAAGAGAGAGGATCAAAAGCAGAAACTTCACATTTGGATGGGTTGAATTGGGAGGTTTTGGTTGTTAATGAACCTGTTATTAATGCTTTTTGTTTGCCTGGTGGGAAAATTGTTGTGTTTACTGGGTTGCTTGAACACTTCAGAACTGATGCAGAAATCGCAACAGTTATTGGACACGAGGTTAATTTGCTCTACACATCTTTTTTCGAGTTTTCTATGATTGTTTATCTATTGCTGGATATTAGTATAAATAATAATTAGAAATTTGGTTGAGGAAGATTTTTCTTTTTCTGTTTGTCATTTAAAAACTAGGTTGGGCATGCTGTTGCTCGACACGTTGCAGAAGGGATCACAAAGAATATGTGGTTTGCCATCTTGCAACTTATTCTTTATCAGTTTATCATGCCTGATCTAGCCAACACGATGTCTACTCTATTTTTGAGACTTCCTTTCTCCCGGAGGTGATTTTCTTGGCCTTATTCTCTTTAGTAACCTTTGGCTTGGTTTGTGTAATTTTATCTTGATGTAAGTTGAATTTTTTTTCTTTTAATATTATGGCTGGAAACACCAGTTATTTTGCATATCCTATTTCTCAAAATATTTTTGAGATGATGACTTTGTAGTCTTTGTTCGTTGAGTTGCCTTTGGAAATTCTTAGAATAACAATCTAATATTCTCCATGGGTACATGATATGATCATCTACGCATTTAATGTCATGGCAAATGTAATTAGATACAGATTTGTGGGTGTTATTCAGTATGAAACTGCTCATTTGGAAGCTAGAAAGTTGTTACTGTCAATCCCATGTGTTTCATTTCTTTTTGGCTTTTGTGATTGTAATGGAGATTGTTGGAAACATGATCAAAGCAGTCTACAATGTGTCGGGACTATCTTGGTTGTCCATTAGCATTTGCAATTTGATCAGGACAGCAAATAAAAGAGTTTTTATTTCAGTGGCAAATGGTTATTATGTTATCCTATAGATTGATGGACCTGTCAATCATGCGGATTGATAGTCCCATCTTGCTTAGTTGCCCACTTGCTAGTCTGATGGAGGTAAAAAGATCGTTTGGTGTCCTTAAAAAATACCTGAAGGACAAATAGATTACATCTCATATTATGTCCTGAAAAAATCGTTAATCTTGGCAATTGTATGCAGCAGTCTTCAAATATCTTGAAGGCAAAAGACAAGGGTAAATCATAAGCACTGGATCTAGTGGAGGCCCGGTTGGCTTTGAGTTTAACAGAACCATGTAGAATTGATCTTTTAGCCGTTTATATGCAGCCAATCACCCAATTGGTTTTCTGGATATAAGTTAATGCATTATTTCTTAAGTTCATCTTCTCATTTTAAAACAAGTAGATGTTCTTCTATGAAACTCCTCCTTTCCATATTATGTTGTTTCTGATTTTTGCTGTATGATTGTCAAAGTTAAAGATTGGGGAAATTACTTTTCATGATTGTAATATGCAAAGGAAAATAATAACCACTGCCCTTTCCTAGACCAATTCTGAAAGAAAAGTCTTCACGTTTTGTTCTATAGAACTCATACAGAGAGATGAAATACTTGTGCACACTGGCAGGTCTACATGGTAAAGAAGGGAGGGGTGGGGGGTTGTTTTGTTAAAAAAAATTCCTTGAGCAAAACCCAGGTTTGAACTCAAGCTAATAGTAATTTTACTGTCCCTTTAGCTATCTTTTCCCCTTAATGTATGTCTACTCTTCCTTTAAGTAATTTTTATACTTGCCCCCACTTACTCATGAATCCTAGCTTTGCTCTTAAGCGTCCTGAATATCTAAGATTGTCAATGTTATTTTTGTTGATTTTGTGTTTACATGCCAAGTTGATTGTACAGTTGTCAATGTACAGTTGTTTTCACTGCTTTTCTCCCAAGTTACATGTTTAGTTAATTTTTGTAGAGCTAGCTTGATTGTAAGCAATTCCAGAATGCAGAATAGTAATATAATTATAGATATGCAAGAGCTGACCTTGTTTCTTGTTTTCCTTTTCAGGATGGAAATAGAGGCAGATTATATTGGGTTATTATTGATGGCTTCTGCTGGATATGATCCTCGAATTGCACCTAAAGTGTATGAGAAATTGGGGAAGATCGCTGGTGGTTCATCATTGCAAGATTATCTTTCTACTCATCCATCTGGAAAGAAGAGATCTCAACTGCTGGCTCAAGCTAAAGTGATGGAGGAAGCACTTAACATCTACAGGGAAACACTATCTGGACGAGGGGTCGAAGGCTTTCTTTAGATTACCTCCAAACGCACAATCATTACAGTTAGAAGCAATACTTGCTGGAAAGTTGCTTAGTCTGTTATTTATATAAATTCTCCAGTCACCTTTTCTTGTACCCGGCAGAAAATTTATCATTATAATACAAATGTAACATGGGCACTGCGGCTACAGAAATTTTTTCTTTTCCTCTCAATTGAGTCTGTTTTCTTGGGAATTTGTTCTTTTGTCCTCTTAACATATGTTTTCTTATTGGCGCTTTCTGTATTATGCTCGTCCTTTGGTTGCTTACTAGATTTTACTACATAGCACAATTATTAGGCATGGGATTGGTTTGGATTAAGTTTCTTGTTACATTCAATAAAAAATATATATTTTTTGGTTAGCACCTAAACACCATAAGTTACTAGCAAAATCATTTTGGTGCATCAGTAGTTAGTTACTTTTGCCAAGATTTCCCGCCTATTTTTAGTAGAAAAACTGACTGTTTGTTTTCTGTCCCAAAAGATATGCTTGAACCTCAACAGCTCTCTCTCAGGAACATAATCTTGCGCTTGATAGAAGCATGCAAGAACCCTACCCAACTTAAACAAATCCATGCCCATATCTTAACATGTCCCAACTACATCCAACAAGAACATTTCTTAATTTCTCGTCTTCTCTTCTTTACCGCCCTTTCAGATTCAGGTTCACTTAGCTACTCCTCAGAAATTTTTCGAAGTATAAAAAACCCAAATGTCTCTATCTATAACATCATGATCAGGGCCTATGCTTCTAAAATTGACGGGGATTATGATACACATTTGTGTCGGGCTATAGTACTATACAAGCAGATGCTCACTCATGGTGTCTCACCTGATTGCCTCACTTTTCCATTTCTTGTAAAAGAATGCACGAGGAGCGTTGCTGTAGGCACAGGCGGAGGTATTCATGGACAGGTTAGCAAGCTTGGATTTTGTACTGATCTGTTTGTTCAAAATTCACTAATAAGTTTTTATTCGGCATGTGGGCTCGTAAAGAGTGCCAGGAAGTTGTTTGATGAAATGTCTAACAGAGATGTTGTTTCTTGGAATTCGATGATTATTGGATCTTTGAGAAATGGGAGTCTTGACGAGGCACTGAATTTGTTTCAACATATGGATAAGAGAAATATTATTACATGGAATTCGATTATAACAGGGTTTGTTCAGGGTGGTCGGCCAAAGGAGGCCTTGGAATTTTTTTATGACATGCAGTGTTTGAGCGATGAGATCAATATGGTTAGACCTGATAAGATTACTATTGCTAGTGTACTTTCAGCTTGTGCTTATCTTGGTGCTATTGATCATGGGAAGTGGGTGCACAATTACTTGAGGAGAAACGGTGTAGAATGTGATAAGGTGATCGGAACTGCATTAATTGACATGTATGGTAAAGGCGGTGGTCTGGAAAGAGCTTATGAAGTTTTCAGGGAAATGCCTGAGAAGGACACCTTGGCATGGACGGCTATAATTTCAGTGTTTGCACTTCATGGATATGGTAAGAAGGCTTTTGATATTTTCAAGGAGATGGAAGCAAAAGGGGTGAAGCCTAACCATGTTACATTTGTTGGATTATTGTCAGCTTGTGCTCATTCTGGATTAGTAGAGATAGGAAGATGGTGTTTTGATGTCATGAAACGGATTTACTTGATTGAACCGCAAGTGCATCACTTTGCATGCATGGTTGATATGTTTGGTAGAGCTGGACTATTTGAAGAGGCAGTGGCACTTATTAGAAACATGCCAATGGACCCTGATGTATTTGTTTGGGGCGCCTTACTGGGGGGATGCCAAATGCATGGTAATGTACAATTAGGAGAAAGAGTGGCACAATGTTTAATCAATTTGGAGCCTCGGAACCATGCTTTCTACCTGAACTTGTGTGATATGTATGCAAAAGCTGGTAGATATAATGATGTGAAGAGAATTAGAGCCTCAATGAAAGAACAAGGAATTAAAAAGGAAATCCAAGGCTGTAGCATGATTGAAGTTAATGGAATTGTATATGAATTCTCAGTAATGGGCTCCCCTGATGTTGTGATGGAGGAACTGCTTTGTTTATTGATTGCATTAACTAATGAGATGAAGATTAAAGGTAATGTATAATGAATGATGAGACGCCAATGGAGCCATGCATTTATGGTGATATCTGGTCGACATACAAGCGAATTGTTTACCTTTCATTCATTTTGGATTATAAGAAGTTATTAATCAGCTGTCTAAAATCTCCGAGTGAAACAGCTGAGAGAAGTTTATTCCTGGAGGAGCCTTATTGCAATATAAGATGAATGATAGGCCCTCGATGCGCTGCAACTGTATAAGACAAAGGGAGCTGAACAGAGATGCATGCTTTATGGAGGTAAATCTGTCAATCTTTCTCTGTAAATATTACTGATGTCCTTAATCAATATTCAATAGGAACTCCACTGGATACAATTCTTTTTGCCTTTTTATTCTTGTTAGCAAATTGTATCATATTAATTGTTATTCAATTGCTTCATTCAAGCATGTAGGTAAAGAGTAGATGAAGGATGTGGCTTCAATCAAAAGAAGTTAATTTGCTTTTCTGTCTTTATGTTTTATGGTTTCTAATGCAAGCGTGTGAAAATACGTCACAGCTTATCTTCAAAAGATGCTAACTGCGAGATATAAAAGACTAATGCATCCATCAAAAAAGTGCAAGCAAAACAAAAACGAAGGGCCAAAAAGATCCACTCACGCTCAATGCTATGCTGAACTTTATCTTTGTATATGGTCCAATGAGGAAAACTTCAAATGATATGATGCTTTTTGTCCTCTGATCACGAAATGCTATGCTATCACTTCAAATTATATGATGTTCGTCCTGAAGCATAGAATATTAAGCAGTTCCTTTCTGGAATCTGCTTTTGAATTCTCTATGCAACGTGTTTCACAGTGACTGCTCTACTCTTTGCTTTAAAGCACGCATTTTCTTTTCATGGGATTTTTTTTATTGTCGCCATTTTGTAGTCCAATTAGCATATTTATTTGTCTCTGTGTTTGTCTTTGCACCTAAGAATATATTCTTTTACAGAAAGGAACAATAGGATTTGCAGATCAAGGATTCGCATTAGGTCTATGTTTTAGAATTTTCAGGCACAAGGTTATCTCTGTAAACATAGGCAGTGAGTAGATTTAAGAGAAACGACAAGTTTCAATGGTTCTAGAGAGGTGACAGACAAAAGAACTCTGTTGCAAAGAGAAAAACAGAATTGCGTCGGTGCTAAAGTGCGGTTGTCCCCAACCTTCAACAGATGTGACCTATATGGATGAAAAGTTACATCAAGAGACAATTTTCAGATCATCATCTTTATAATCATCGAATTGGGTTTGAAATTGTATATAACCATTTATCAACTAACAGTTAGAAGCTATCATAAATCACTAAAGAAAATAGACCTTCATATATTAATGGGTAAATTTGTTTTTTTTTTTTTTTTTAAAGTCCCTTATTTAAATAGCTAATTACTAATTTAAACTCAAAAAAAAAGAAAAAAACAAGTATGATTTGAAATTATATAATTTTCACGGTTGGGCATTTTGTTGGTCAATACTTACGTACCTCTCGTATTGTTATGAAGAAAATAGCTTAAAAATAATTTAAATATTCTAAATTTTGTCGCTATCAGAAAGAAGAATGGGCAATTAAGAAATATGAGAACGTTTCTTACACTTGAACTTCAAAAGTTAGCAAGTTTGTATGGTGTGGAGGCAGACAAGTCATAAAGCCAACCTCACATGGCTTGCAAAACCCATTACCAAATACTGGTAATTTCATGTTTTGTCATTTAATTAATTTTATTAGCAATTATTACGCTACTAATTATCCAATAGCAAGCAGCGTAGAGCTCCAAACCTTAGAATATTAATTTTCAGCACTTCAAAGGAACAATCTCCTTTAGATATTGTTAAGGCAAGGGAGAATCTATATATCCAATCTCCGTAATGCAAATTAATTAATTAGGTGGATACGCAATCATAATTGGGAATCATAACCTATTCTTTTTAATTCTGCCAAGCTCAACAAATCTACGCTACGAATTTTCCAAAAGCAAGTGCAGCTTAACCCTAAAGATTTGTGTATGACTTTATCATAATATTATTATGTTTTCTTATTTTATTTGATTATTGTATATAATCCTTTTTCTTACTTTTTTGTAGATTTTTTTTTTTTTTTAAAGGCGAAAATCATAATCTTTGCCGATGCAAATTAATTACTTAATAGTAAAATCTTCGGAATCTGTCTTTTCTATTTTTGTGTTTATACTTTCAATATTTTGACATTAGTGAATAATGAATGAGGAGATAGACCTAAAAGACAAAGTAAAAGCTAAAGCTAAAGCAAAAAATAAAAATTAAGAAAGTGAAGTAAAATGACATTGCTTTATTATTGTAATTTATGCTCATTTTGGCTTCCAAAAGGGATCATAATGCAGACCAATAGAAGAAATCAATGGCACTCCTCTTGCTTCCAATATCTTAATCTTCACAATTTGCCCATTAGCTACTACTTCTTGAAGCCTATGGAGCCTTTTGTACCCAACTGTAGTCCCTTTAGCAACTGTCTTGCCATCCACATAAATTTCATGCCGTTTGATCCTTTGACCCAGACCAATTGCTTCTTGAATCCTTATCACGTTAAATCTCAACCCTCCTTTGCATCTAATCTCAATCCAATCGCTCTCTTTTTCTTCATCTCTCGGAACCCAATAACTCCACAAATGGTCATCGTCTACGACATTTTCTGGCCCAAAACCACCCTCCTTACCTCCTCGTTGGCTACTTACTTTAAAACTGCATTTCTCTGCTAAATTTGTACCAAATATTGTATTAATTGCGCCTCTAAATTCCTTCAGCGTTTGTACGTCGGTGTCAGATACGAGGCCAGTTGAATTGGGCGGCACATTGAGCAATAATACACAGTTTCTTCCCACGGACTTGTAGTAAATCTCAAGTAACTTGCTGAGCTTCTTGGGTGACTCTGCTTTATGCCAAAACCATCCGTTTCTAATCGAGACATCACATTCTGCTGGTACCCAATCTGTCCCTTTTGGGTCGCCGGTGTTAAGATAGCTGCATTATTGAAATGCCACTGTTAGCTAATCAATAATTACTGGAGTCCTGGAGAGAAATTTGTTTGATTGGGATTTGGGTGTAAAAAGATACATACTCAACAATACTTGCGTTGCCGATGGAAAGAGAAGTTCGATTAATGGTGGACCAACATGTACTTGAAGCAAATCCATTTTCATTTCCAACCCATCTGACATCTGGACCAGCATCGGAGAATATATTGATTGAGCTCTGCAATTCTTTCACCATGGCGAACCAATCCCAGAAATAATATGACATGTTTGGTGCATTTGAACCCTTCGCCCCATCAAACCATATTTCTTTTTCTTTCCCATATCTGCATGTATACCCAGAACATTTTTCACTTATATAATTGATTAATTCAATAGACAGCCTACAAATTTAATTTCAGTTTCTTTACTTACTTGGTTAATAGCTCTTGCATCTGGCCCAAGTAATATTCATTGTACTGCAAATCATGGGCATATCTTGAATCGTGTCGGTCCCATGGCGATAAATAAATACCCACATCCATTCCAGCATGGTTCTTGGCTGCATTAACAAGTTCTCGAACTACATCGCCATGGCCATTTTTCCACGTACTGCTTGCTACAGAATGGTCAGTGTATTTACTAGGCCATAAGCAAAACCCATCGTGGTGTTTTGCAGTTAGTATCATCAAAGAAATTCCAGCTCCAGCTGCTGCATTAACCCATTGATTGGCGTCGAGTCCGACCGGGTTAAAAATGGCCGGGTTTTCATGTCCAGTGCCCCATTCGGAGTCGGTGAAAGTATTGACTCCGAAATGAAGAAACATGATGATTTCTCTTTGTTGCCATTTCAATTGAGAAAAAGAGGGGAGTGGCAGGATTGGTAAGGGTGGCGTTGGAATTTGTTCCCTTCTAGAGATTGCAAATTCAGAAAATTGAACAAATGCAGTAATCATTATGCATAAAAAGCACCATAGCTTAGCCATAATGGGTTTTGATGTGTAAATTAAATGATTGAAAGAGAATATAAATGGTGAGAGATCGGGACAGACTATATATAGAGGGACCGAACAGAAAAAGGAAGGAGAAGAAGATTCTGTGGATTGAACGAAGGCCAAAAACTAGAGAAGAAAAGGATGAAAATAATTATGGTTTTAATTGGAATTTGTCATTTGTTATGGTACTTTTGTTATAATGTGTTTGTTTCCTTTTCAACGTAGCTATTATTCACGGGTTGCTGATGATGCATCTACGTCTCATTTCTCAAACCAGTATGAAATAGATGACTGTGGTTTCACTTTTCACTTTTTGTCACCAACTTCTTTCTTTTTATTTTTTTACCCCTCGCATCCTTTTTGTGGCCAAATAGTTGGTGGGAAAAGACAACAATTGCCCACGTGGCATTTGATGGAGGTAGGAATAAGTGAATAAAGCCTTTGGACCTCTTATCCAATCAGCAATTCATTGATAGATTTCTATAATCTTAAACCTCCCTTTTCTTACTTACTCAAATAGTCAAATGTGAAACGCTTCTCTAGTCAATACTAGTTAACTTATAAATTTCTGAAATTTACTTTCATGTGACTATTGTATTACTTGTGAGGTCTTTGAAGTACTTTTTTTAATCTCTTAAGAATAGACTTATTTTCATTTTTGCACACTACTTTCTCTATAAATAACTTTACATTTAAATTTTTTTTCACGTCTTAAGAAAATTATTTAATTTATCTAATTTATTGAGTAAATTAATTATATTAGTATATTTAATTTATCTAAGATTTAAACAAAAATGGCGGCAAGAAATAAAGAGATAGAGATTTTTGGAAATTATAATAATTATTATTTTTCATTTGTAAATGTAAAAATGAAAAAAAAAATTTATCATTTATAAATTTTACTCATGTGATAGTTTATTATAAACTGAGAAAGTAATTAATGTTATTTAAATACTAATAAATTCTATTTTCCTCTCACCAACTCTTTTTCCACCGAATGATTAAGGGAGAAAGGAGAATGGAAATACAAAAATAGAGACGCATGTAGAAGCGGATGCACTTTATGCTTGTAAATACAAGAATAAGGTTCACGCCTCACGGACCCATCCAATCAACGATACGTAGCGGATTTGCTGAGTGCACCTTTCTTCACTAACTCATACGTGTCATTTTTTTGTTTATTTAATTTGTTCACTGGGCTGGGTTATTGGACTAGGCTTGTATTCGGGTTGGTTGTGACGGTCCAATAACTTTTTAAGAAAAAATCAACTCTGATCTTGTCAGTGCACTTTATCATTAATTTGAGATTGTTGACATTTCTTTTGCATTGTCTATTGCACGATTAGGGGGTCAGTAGTCCTGATTAATTCAAATATTTTTGAATTCACATAAATGTTCCTATCCTCACTTTACAAATATCACTTTATGCCTTGTACAATACAAGAATAAGGTTCACGCCTCACGGACCCATTTCCAATCAACGATACCGTAGCGGGATTTGCTGAGGTGCACCTTTCTTCACTAACTTCATTACGTGTCATTTTTTTGTTTATTTAATGTTCACTGGGCTGGAGTTATTGGACTAGGCTTGTATTCGGGGTTTGGTTGTGACGTCCAATAACTTTTTAAGAAAAAAAAATCAACTCTGATTTCTTGTCAGTGCACTTTATCATTAATTTGAGATTGTGAACATTTTCTTTTGGCATTGTCTATTGCCAAACGATTAGGGGCGTCAGTAGTTTCTGATTAATTCAAATATTTTTTTAATTCACATAAACTGTTCCTATCCTCACTTTACAAATTATATATATATATAATATTATATATATAAAAATAATATATATATATATATACTATCCTGATATGTTTCATTCAAATATCTGGCATTTACGCTCTGATATATATATACTATCCTGATATGTTCATTTCAATATCTGGCATTTACGCTCTGGCCTTTTTTGACTTCTGCATTCTATTTCTACCATTTCAACAACTATAATTAATCCTTCATCATCTAAATTAATCTGGTAAAGATTATTTGACACAAACGATATATTCTCACCGGAACAAGATATAGCAAGAAGTAACCCTAATAAGCAGGTGTATGTCTGACTTGGAAATCGGAATACCAGCGTAGCTGGTTTTAGCCCCATCGACTCCCAACCTACAATATTTATGATCTCCAGACTCTATGAATCTTTATTGTCGATCACACATTCCAAAATTTTCTCTTTTCATTTTCTTTCCCTTTTTTTCTTGGTATAAGCAATTTCTTTCCCTTTAAAACCAACTTGGGAAATTTTTTAATTATTTACTGACAAAAACATGAGCGATCGCAAATGATCCGTAAAATAAATAATTTTTATTTTGGTATATGGATCTTGTAAGTTTAAACTCTAAACTCTGTATAATGCACACCGTCTTATGCCTATCACTGACGCTGGCATCTACACTAGCCAGGTCCAGTCACCAATTATTTTAGTCAGATTAAAATTAATTGTACTGTATAAGAATGTCCTTTTTTTTTTTTTTTACAATAACCTCCAGGCTACAAGGCATAAGCCCTTCTCTTCTGTTTCCGATCAGACCTTATTAGGACTACCACTAGACAAATTCTTCCCCAAGCTCCAAATTTGTCCATCTCTAATGGATTTGTCTGTTGCAACATTCCTTATTTTTCTAGTCCTTTTGTTTTCTAGTTTCATTGTCAAAAATTACGTTTTAAAATCCTTTACAGTTTACCTCATAGATTTCTCTTGTTTCAAACCACCCAACTCCTGCAAAGTTCCTTTCTCTGTATTTCTTGAACATGCATCCATGATCGAGTCGTTTGATAGTGAAAGCGTTTCTTTCATGGCTAAAATCCTCAGTTCTTCTGGGCAAAGTCAAGAGACCTATCTTCCTCCGGCATTGCACTGCATTCCTCCTAAAACTAACCAACAACAATCCATAAAAGAAGTACAGATGGTTCTTTTCCCTATTCTACAAGATCTTCTTTCTAAAACTAAAATATCCCCTCGTGACATCGATATACTTATTGTAAATTGTAGCGGGTTTTGTCCGTCACCTTCCTTATCATCCATTATTATTAACAAATACTCCATGAGAGCTGATATTAAAAGCTATAATCTTTCTGGTATGGGGTGCAGTGCAGGAGCCATTTCCATTGACTTGGCTTTTAACCTTCTCAAAGTTCAAAAGAATGCTTACGCGCTTATTCTTAGCACCGAAATATTATCAACCGGTTGGTATTCTGGCCACGAGAAATCTAAGTTACTCCTTAACTGCCTATTTAGAATGGGAAGCGCAGCAATTTTGCTCACAAATAAAAATGAAGCTAAAAAATCATCAAAATACAAGCTTTTTTGCACAGTAAGGGCCCAAAGAGCTTCTGACGACAAAAGTTATCATTCGGCGATTCGCGAAGAGGATTCCAATGGAAGACTCGGGGTTACGCTTAGGAGGGATTTACTTCAAGTGGCTGGAGAAACTCTCAGGCCCAACATAACAATTCTTGGTTCACGTATTTTGCCTTTCCCAGAAATGCTACGATATATCGTTTCGATAATTCAAAACAGGTACATTGATAAATCAGGACAGGTATACGTGCCAAATTTCAAGAGGGTGATACAGCATTTTTGCCTGCCCACTTCAGGGAGGCCGGTGATAAAAGAGATAGCAAAAGGGTTAAAGCTTGGTGATAGAGAAGTGGAAGCTGCATTGATGACACTGCATAGGTTTGGCAATCAATCTTCTTCATCGATTTGGTATGAACTTGCGTATATGGAAGCCAAAGAAAAAGTGAAAAAAGGCCACAAGGTGTGGCAGTTTGGGATGGGAACTGGGCCTAAATGCGCTAGTGTCGTTTGGGAGTGTTTAAGGCCCATTATTGGAGAGTCCAAGAAAGGCCCATGGGCTGACTGTATTGATCGGTATCCAATCTTGGCCGTTGATCTAGGCATTTAAACTTTTTTTTTTCTTTTTGGGCGAGATTATATATATATAAACACTAGAAAAACACCCATTGCACGGAAATGTTAATTTATATAATATATGTTAATTTTCCTTCTCTGTGTCATTAGTTGGTTGATCCTAGCGGTATATAAGGATACATAGACGAATCAATTTGAGAGCAGGGGATTTGAGAAGGATATAAACTACAACAACAACAACAACATAAAAAATAAAAAATAAAAAATGAGCAATTTTCAAAAATGAAACAATTATATCTATTTTCCTTTTAAAATTAAAATGGGGAGTAGTTCCATTTCTATAAATTACTAGCATTTTAATATTACAATCTTTTTTTTTTTTTTTTTTTTTTAGCATTTTAATATTACAATCTTTTTTTTTTTTTTTTTTTTTTTTTAAGAATACAATCTTTTGTCTTAGCTTTAATTATATATTCCGTATGTTGATTTACGTTCCAGGCAAAGCTACCCAGAAAACAAACTAAGCTTAAATAAGATACGCAAATTACGAATTTCCTATAATTAATCCATTTGAGAATGAAGAACGAAGAAATATACAGTTGTTGACTGATTAAAATGCAAATAAATGTGTTTTTTTTTTTTTTTTTTTTTTTTAAGAATACAATCTTTTGTCTTAGCTTTAATTATATATCCGTATGTTGATTACGTTCAGGCAAGCTACCAGAACAAACTAAGCTAAATAGATACGCAAATACGAATTTCCTATAATAATCCATTTGGAGAATGAAGAACGAAGAATATACAGTTGTTGACTGATTAAATGCAAATAAATGTGTAATCACATCAGGCCATATATACATAGCGTCATGTATAGATTTTCTAAACTTATTAACTGAAAAAAAAATAAAATTTATGAGCTAAAATTAAAGCAGGGCAGAAGAGATCGGTGGTCAAATTTTTTGAAAGGCTTTGGTCTCTTTAAGGTCATGAATAGCCGATCAGAACCCAAAGTGCATGCGTGAGAGCTTTGAATGCAGATATTAAATGTGAAGTAATTGTTCGTTCACAAGTACGGGTAGGAGTTAACTCTTCTCTTCCTCACACGTCTCTCTATATTTCTGCATGTAAACAAACAAGTGTTCGATAGGTACTGGTGATAGCATGGCGGTGCACCATTTACTAGACCTGGGTGCTAGCTTCTTTGGGACTCTGCATTTCCAAAATTCCAATCAGCATTTTGTCTTTGCTTTGAGATTTTTTTTATTTTTATTTTTTATGGGCAGCCAGCAATGTAGATGAAATTAATTTTCGTACTAACCACAATATAAAGTGCTAGAAATACTTGCGGTGAAAAAAAACATTTATCTAATTTTTTTAATATCAAAAGCATATTCAAATCTTACATGAAAAATCTTATGAAATTCTAAATTTTGGGATGGATCTATGCGTTTAAACGTATGGATTTTGACAACATTTCATATTTCTCCACAGTCACCATAATAATAATAATTTTTTTGATATTTTTGGATTTAATTTACAAAAAAAAGAAAAACCCAACAGTTTACTAGAAAACAATAATAAAAATGAATTAGAGTTTGTTAGTAAGGAGCCTATACCTATACCTATACAGCTGAATTTCCTGGCTTCCACCAAACCTAGTTGCCCAATTTTAATGTGCAACAAACCCTAGGAACAAAACGGACATGTGGATTCGAGGGAGATAAAAGTTTCTTCAAGAAATAAAGTTGAGAATTAAAGACTCCAAGTGTCAACAACCTACCTATCAAAGGAAAAAGTATTGATATTTTGCTATCCTGGTGCAATGCCAGTTTGGCACGGTCCTCAAGCTGTACTGTATGGACTATGGAGGGAGCCTAACCCCCACCTCAATACAATAATTGGAAGTACTGTAGATGTTTTGTTTTTTTTAACTATGAGATATTTATGTACAAAGAACATGTTAAAGACGAAGCAGATATGGGTTTAAAAAATAAAATTTGATCCGCTCTATTTATATATATATTTAAAACAAAGTCTAAATGTTTTCTAAGTTTTCATAATTTTTTTGAATAAAACTAAGTCTATAGATTTAATTTTATGGACAGATATAGGTATTAGAAAACCCGTCTCCCGTCCCTAATTTAAGCAGACTATTACACATCACAAAATCGAGAAAACAATTTGACCCGTGAAGAATAAAAATACAAAATCAAACATGAGACCTAACAGTCTTGGAACATTTAACTTTGCATTCCAGCTATGCAAGTTCTGAACCATTGATTGCCTGAAAATTGCAAAACTGTACATTTACAATAAATAACCCTCTCGTCTGGTGTTGTATTTATGTTGACATTTGTATTTCTCAGTACCAGTTTATATAAAACCAAGGGAAAATTACTAAAAGAAAAGCTGAAAAGGTCTATATCACTTTCAGTCTTCGTACTGCTGGGAAGGTCTTTTTATGATCGGTTGTTTCATACAATAAATGATACTATTGTTTTAATTTCTCATCAGAAAACACATTTCAAAACACAAATTTTCATTATAAAACTAAAAAATAATAAAATATCCTAACGAGTGAGATGAGACGACAGAAATTCATTATCCGTTCGAACTCTGAATATAAAGTTTTTTTAAATACTCGGGAGGAAGCGTTTTGTCCCCTTTTATGGGTTTGACAGATGCGAATCTAGATTAGTCAGGTCAATGAACTTCGGATACCAAATAATTAAAATAATAAAATATCATTTTTCAAGGCCATATATAGATTTAGTGTATAGTACAAAAGTTTGGAAGATGACATTTATGTAAACATAATAAAAAAGAACAATATTTTCCATGATATTAATAAGCATATTAGTCCGCTGGCATTTCTATATCATTTAAATGTTGTTAAATGCTATAACCTAATTCCTTTTCAGGCGATAATCAAGAAAGAAATATGATTCCCAATTGTCCTTATCGGCTTATTCCTCTCTTTTTATTTCAATTTTTTTTCTTTTGTTTTTTTGTCAGATAAAGCATTTCCTTCTGATTTCTGTGTCTTCAACATGAAAGAAAGTAGGGTCATTATCACGTAAGACAGTGATTTTCAGCTTTCCTCACATGGCACTCTTGAACCAAGTGTCTGGTAGTTTACTGGGGTAAATTATGAATTATTATCCCTGTAACTGTAAATAATGAAATATTCATTATATTTGCAAGACAAAACGACATTTAGCAATTCTGAATCTCTTAGAAAGTAGAAACAGATTAAAAGATAGTATGTTTTTTACAAGAAAATTAAGTCACTGAGTTATTTTTTTACCTAATAACGGTGCAGGGATGCCTCTTCTACAGGTTTCCTGTGAGTGTAGGGACCACATAATAAGACCTTAGTACCTTACAAAGACGGAAAAACCAAAACACCATTGAGGAATCTGTATATAAGACCATGACTGTCTCCCACAATGCCCATAATCTGTTGAAATCAAGATTGAAAGTTAACACAAGCTAATATAGTAACAGAAATGAGAATCTTTACATTGATTAACAGCAGGATTAGTCGTTAGATGGCTTTTCTTGTGACCCAAAATGAGAAGAATGTGCTAAGGGTCTAAACACCAAAAGAATTGAAACCATTAACAAAGTTAATGAGAAAAAAGAAAAACAGGGTTCTGCAAATGTCCATAACCAAATTAACTACTGTCACCACCAACCAACTCTCCTTCCAACGATTGGCATTCATGAAACAACCAACCACCATAATTACCACCACAAGAGGACATTGTAAAGGACCCTTCCATCCTTTCTGATATTTGATATTTCAAGCCTCAAGATACCATCTCCATAAGACTCTCTCCTGCCTTCTTCTTCTTTGACATCTCTTCTTTCTCAATCTATAATGCCTCAAAACCTAGGAAAATGGATGTTTTTTATTGTTTCAAGCTATCTAGCCTTCAATGTTGTCTCGTCCTCAAAAAATCCATTGACCAGAAAGACTTACATTATTCAGATGGACAAGCATGCAAAGCCAGAATACTTCTCTAATCACTTTGATTGGTACTCCTCCAAAGTACAATCGGTACTGTCTACACCTGAAAATGAAACCAATGAATCTGATAATGAAGAGAGAATAATTTATAGCTATCAGACTGCTTTTCATGGTGTTGCTGCAAAGTTGAGTGAAGAAGAAGCAGAGAGGCTAGAGGAAGAAGATGGTGTGTTAGCCATCTTTCCAGAGACTATATATCAATTACACACGACAAGAAGCCCCATGTTCCTTGGACTAGAACCAGAAGACAGCACAAGCGTCTGGTCTGAAACAATTGCAGATCATGATGTTATAGTAGGAGTGCTGGACACAGGAATTTGGCCGGAGAGTGCCAGCTTCAATGACACAGGCATGACTCCAGTTCCTGCTCATTGGAAAGGAATTTGTGAGACAGGCCGAGCTTTTCAAAAGCACCATTGCAACAGAAAAATTGTCGGTGCAAGAGTATTTTACAAAGGATATGAAGCTGCTACAGGAAAAATCAATGAGCAAAATGAGTATAAATCTCCAAGAGATCAAGATGGTCATGGGACTCATACTGCAGCCACTGTTGCTGGGTCCCCTGTACATGGTGCAAATCTACTAGGCTATGCTTACGGAACAGCAAGAGGAATGGCACCTGGTGCAAGAATTGCAGCTTACAAGGTTTGCTGGGCCGGTGGATGTTTCAGCTCAGATATTCTGTCAGCAGTTGATAGGGCAGTGGCTGATGGAGTGAATGTGATATCAATTTCTTTAGGCGGAGGAGTTTCATCTTACTATCGTGATAGCTTGTCCATAGCCGCATTTGGGGCAATGGAGATGGGCGTCTTTGTTTCTTGCTCCGCTGGAAATGGAGGACCTGACCCTGCCAGCCTCACAAATGTGTCACCATGGGTCACCACCGTTGGCGCTAGCACCATGGACAGAGATTTTCCAGGCACTGTCAATCTGGGAACAGGCAGAACTCTAAAAGGTGTTTCGCTCTATAAAGGCCGGAGGACTCTGTTGACAAACAAGCAATATCCTCTGGTATATATGGGCGATAATTCTAGCAGCCCTAGCCCAAGTTCTCTGTGCTTGGAAGGAACTTTGAATCCTCATACTGTTGCTGGAAAGATTGTGATATGTGACCGTGGTATTAGTCCAAGGGTACAAAAGGGACAGGTGGCTAAAGATGCAGGAGCAGTAGGCATGATTTTATCAAACACAGAAGCAAATGGAGAAGAACTGGTTGCAGATTGTCACCTACTTCCAGCAGTTGCGATCGGGGAGAAAGAAGGAAAATTGATCAAACATTATGCTTTAACTGCAAGGAATGCGACTGGAACTCTAGCTTTTCTGGGTACTAAGGTGGGAACTAGGCCATCTCCAGTAGTGGCAGCATTTTCATCAAGAGGACCAAACTTGTTGAGCCTTGAGATTCTGAAGCCTGATGTCATTGCTCCAGGCGTGAACATAATTGCTGCCTGGACGGGCGACACAGGTCCATCAAGTTTGCCGACAGATCGCCGAAGGGTGAAGTTTAACATACTCTCTGGAACTTCCATGTCATGCCCGCATGTTAGTGGAATTGCTGCATTGCTCAAGGCTAGGCACCCAGAATGGAGTCCAGCTGCAATAAAATCTGCTCTAATGACAACAGCTTATGTTCATGATAATACCCAAAAGCCTTTGCGAGACGCCTCGCAAGATGTTCCTTCCAGTCCATATGACCATGGTGCAGGGCATATAAATCCAATGAAAGCTCTTGACCCAGGTTTGATTTATGACATTGACGCACAGGGTTACTTTGAATTTCTATGCACACAAAGGCTATCACCGACGCAGCTTAAAGTTTTTGGCAAGTATGCAAACAGAAAATGCCAAAAATCTCTAGCAAGTCCAGCAGATTTAAATTATCCAGCTATTTCAGCTGTTTTCCCAGACAACACATCCATTTCAATTGTCACCCTTGGAAGAACTGTTACCAACGTTGGCCCTCCAGTTTCAACATACCATGCAGTTGTCTCCAGATTCAAAGGCGCAACTGTTAAAGTTGAGCCAAAAACCCTGCATTTCACCACCAAAAACCAAAGATTATCTTACAAGATTATCTTCACCACAAAATCTCGGCAAATGATGCCTGAGTTTGGGGGATTGGTATGGAAGGATGGAGTTCGCAAAGTAAGAAGCCCCATTGTACTCACATGGTTGTCACCAATATAAATTTGCCGCTTGATTCAACATTGTTCCTTAATAATCAATGTGTTCTGTTAAGAGCTAGGGATGCTCACTCATTCTTATTAACAGCAATGCAATTTCTTTCTTCCGTCTTGAGATCCATCCCCAGATAATAGAACAGTTCAAACTTTCACTTCAACTAGTTCTGTAATTTGCATGCATACACATGCCCAACTTTTGGCCTGACTGTACTCGGAATAGATATAACCTAAGCATTAAGTGTTATAAACAAAAGGTACTCTAGGTGGACATTCAATATTATCAGGATAGCAAATGCATTCTTCTATATGCAAGCTAAGGTACTCCACAACTGACTTTTACATTCTCTTAATACAGTGACACAGAGGACTTTCAAAGATTTGTGCCTCTTTTCCAACTACTCTAGTTCATAATGGTCTTCTACATTCTTCTATATGAAAATGCAGTTCAAGTTACACAAAATTCAGTATGAGACCTCAGGGTTACTCTGCTGTTTGTAAACCATTCAACCAAACAATAATAATCATCAAATATATGGTCAATGATCCTGCTATAATAAAGATTAATTATTTTCTTTTGTATGTGCATGTAAAACAAAGGCTATCTATTTCACATTCATGTTTATCCAGAGCACGGAACTGAATGATTCAAGAACAATTTTTTCATAATTGCATTCTCAACATCAATTTCAAAAATATATTTTAGAAAAGGAAACTTTTAATTACATCAAAGAGATCCTGTTTTTTCAAGCTTCTTTCTCATTAATAACAAGACAACAAATAACTAAGTTCTCCTAAATGATCATCATTTCATCTTCTAGAGAATTTGAAGTCTTTGACATTACACATGATCATCTCCGTTATGTTACGCCTAAATGTTACAATTCATGTCTTTTGCTCTCAAGCTAAATGGGACTTTAATTATCAAATTCTACTTGTACAAAACGGCAAGGGGAAGAAGGAAACTTCTAAAGCACCTATCTACATAGCAGTTGTCATTATTTGCCCAATAGAATTTCCCAGGTCAATGATGTTCTAACACTCAGAATGAGATCCATTCACTTGGATTGAGATGGAAAGCAAGTGCAGATGCTTTTGGATATATATTAAGGAAAATATTAATCAGTTAATTGTAATTATCTTTACCATCTGTCATTGTATATCCTTTCTATAAATATGAGATTGACATAGCTTAATTACAGGATGAGATAGCTTAATTATAGGATGAGATTGATACTTGTACTTGTATAAATTATGCACTTTTCTAATAAACATCACAACACTGTAAACCATTATCCTTTTCTTTATTTTAGAATATTAAGGGAAAATATTAATCAGTTAATTTTGTAATTATCTTTACCATCTGTCATTGATATCCTTTTCTATAAATATGAGATTGGGGGACATAGCTTTAATCTACTATAAATATGAGATTGACATAGCTTAATTACAGGATGAGATAGCTTAATTATAGGATGAGATTGATACTTGTACTTGTATAAATTATGCACTTTTCTAATAAACATCACAACACTGTAAACCATTATCCTTTTCTTTATTTTAGATGGTATCAGAGCAACTTTCCTGGTGCTCTTGAAGCTTCTGTTTTCTTTCCTTTTCCATAGTCAACAATGGGCGACGAATCACCAAAAGCCCGTAACATGGAATCATCAAAGGCTGGTAATATGGATCCTTCGCATTCATATTACGTTCATCATTCAGATCAACCTGGTCACATGCTCGTACCAGTTAAATTAAATGGAGAAAATTATCGATCATGGAGTAAGGCTATGATTCACGCTCTTACTGCGAAGAACAAGTTAGGGTTCATCGATGGGTCGCTAGATTTACTGCGAAGAACAAGTTAGGGTTCATCGATGGGTCGCCTAGGAAGCCCCGTCCCAAGAAGAAAACCAAACGGAACTCGCATTGTGGAATCAGATGCAAGCCTAATACTTTCTTGGCGTTAACTCATTCTGTTGGCTTACTCATTCTGTTGAAGCAGACCTGACAGAAGGTGTCATTCATGCCAAAACAGCATAGCAAGTTTGGACAAACTTCAAAGATCAATTTTCCCAAAAGAATGCACCGGCAATATTCCAAATTCAGAAATCTATTGCAACAATCTCACAAGGCTCTATGTTCGTGGCCTCATATTATACCAAACTCAAAGCCTTATGGGATGAACTCGAAAATTTTTGAGATCCCTACACTTGTAATCATGCCAAGGCACATCAGGAACAACTTCAGGAGGACAGGGAGGACAGGTTGATGCAGTTTCTTATGGGTCTGAATGAATCATATAAAGGGGTAAGGTCAAATATCCTCATGATGACACCATTACCCAACGTACGACAGGCGTATTCCCTGGTAATTCAAGAGGAGACACAGAGACAATTGTCATCAGAACCCACTGAGAGCTTCACCATTGCCGCGAATATCCAGAGCAAGGCATCCGGGATCAAAAATAACAAAACGTGTGATCATTGCCATCGTTCTGGTCACACAATTGAAGAATGCAGAACTTTGAAATATTACTGCAAATTCTGTGACAAAGGCGGACACAAATATTACTGCAAATTCTGTGACAAAGGCGGACACATGGAGGATCGCTGTAGGCTGAAAAACAACAAAGGTGGACCACCGCAACAGAATCGAGGTTCATGAAGCAAGCCACAATCTGCGGCAAATATGGCAAAAAATTCGAGCATGAATGATGACAATTCCCTCATGGGTTTTTCGCCTCAATATCTTCAACAATTGGCCAAAGCATTATCTACCATGAATCGGAATTCCTCTTCTGGTAATAGTGATATTTTTGCAAACGCAGCAGGTTTGTTTTCAACATTCATATCTCATGTCAATTCTATTTTTACCAATTCTTGGATTTTAGATAGTGGTGCCACCGATCACATGACATCGCACCCTTCCCTCTTGTCAAAACGTCAAAACGTCAACCATATTTCTCTCAACACAGTAAATTTACCAAAATGGCAAACATCTGCTGCGCCGATTACACACACTGGCAACATGAACATGGTTTTCAATCGGGATATAACACTCAAAAATGTCCTATGCGTACCCACTTTTCGCTTAAACTTAATATCAGCCAGCAAAATTACAAAAGATCTTAATTGTTCTGTCACCTTTTTTCCTGACTCATGTATTTTGCAAGACTTAACGACGGGGAAGATGATTGGCTGGGGTAAACAACATGGGGGACTCTATTACATGATGCGGGATTCCATTTCTCCAGCTTCCTTCCAAGTCTCAAATAGTCCTGATTTATGGCATTCACGCCTCGGACATGTTTCTTTTTCTCACTTCAAATTACTTTCCTCTTCATTACCAATTAATAAAGAAACAGTCTCATTTCACAATAATTGTAGTATTTGTCCTCTTGCAAAACAAACCAAAACAAACGAGATTTGCCTTTTCCAATTAGGTTCTATCACAACTAGAGAATTCCATTCGAATTATTACACTGCGATATATGGGGAACCGGTCATAAAGTTCCTTCGCATTTCGGGGGCACGTTTTTTTTCTCAGCCAAATAAGTTGAACGATTTTACTCGGTTGTACTTGGGTTTTCTTAGAAACAAATCAGAAACAATCCGACTTAACTCATCAACATTTATTCAGTTTTACAAAACACAAGTTTTAACACTTCCGTTAAATCATTCGCAACAAATAATGGGAGTGAATTTTCAGCCAGTTTTACAAAATTTCCCTTCTCAATCGGCATCGAGTTTCCAAAATAAAATGCGTTATACTCCACAAACAAAACGGAGTAAGTCGAACGCAAGCATCGTCCACATACTAAAATGTGGCACGTTCTTATTATTTTTTTCAATCAACATGGTACCTCTTAAAATTCTGGGGGGAATATGTGATTCTTACAGCCGTATAATTTTGTATTCTTACAGCCGTATATTTAATTAACTGGCTTCCAACTCCTCTTTTATCTAATCAATCACCATATGAAAAGCTCTACAAAAGGCCACCCTCACTTGATCACTTGCGAATTTTTGGTTGCCAGTGCTACGCAACCAACGTTCACCCAAAAGGAAAATTTGATCCCCGTGCCATTCGGTGCGTTTTTATGGGATATCCTCATGGCAAAAAAGGTTATAAATTATATGACCTCTCTACACAAAAATTCCTTATTAGCAGAGATGTCTACTTCCAAGAGGATACTTTTCCTTTTGCGTCTCCAAATAATATGCAGTCATCACAATCTTCTCCTAATCCTGTGGCACATAATTTTCCTTTATTGCCAATTTTCCCAGAAGCAGAATCCAAGATATCCGAACCACATATTACGTCAGATTCATCCCCACCCCCGCATAATTCAGTCTACATCTCCACAAGAATTTCCTTTATTCTCCGCGCCATCTACAGTCAACACAATCTCCTCCAAAACAACCGCCCTTTGCCCATTAATTCCACTTCGTCATCACCACAATCTTTCCTTTTGTCAGAACCTTTGTCAGAATCTTCCAGCTCTTCACCACCTCAACTGAATGACAATTTCCAAAATCTTCATCGCTCAACTCGCGACCGCCAACCTCCAGCCTGGCATCAAGAGTACTTCATGTCTGTTGCAGTCAATCATTCATCCCCTCGCACAAGTCCACGTCGAAATACAAGGTATCCTCTGTCTCATTATCTATCTCTTTCACAATTTTCATTATCTCATCGTGCCTTTTTAGCCAGTATAACATCCCAGGTTGAACCTACCACCTATTCCCAAGCTGTCCAATTCCCTCATATTCCCAAGCTGTCCAATTCCCTCATTGGCAAGCAGCTATGGATGCTGAATTACAAGCATTACAGCGCAATAACACTTGGTCTCTTGTTCCTCGTCCCCCCGGTCACAAGCCTATCGGCTGCAGGTGGGTTTACAAAATAAAATATCATTCTGATGGTACAATTGAGCGATATAAAGCTCGCCTCGTTGCAAAAGGATATACACAGGTAGAAGGTCTCGACTACAAGGAAACCTTTTCTCCTACAACAAAAATGACAACTCTTCGTTGTTTACTTACTATTGCTGCTGCCAGAAATTGGTTTACTCATCAATTGGATGTACAAAATGCTTTTTTACATGGAAATTTGCAGGAAATTGTCTACATGGAACTGCCTCCCGGATTAGGCCTCCCGGATTAAAACGCCGACAGGGGGAGAACATGGTTTTGGTTGGCTCATAAGTCCCTTTACGGGGCAAAACAAGCATCCCGTAATTGGTTTTCTACCTTTCTGAAGGCAATTGGAATCCGCCGGTTTGCACAGTCAAAAGCAGACTAACCTCCTTATTCTACCAAACAGGCAAGATACATCCTTCCACTGGCAGTACCTTTATTTATGTAGATGCACATCCTTGGACAGGGAATAGTGAATGGCCAAAGAAATCAAATGGCCTCTTAAACAATTCTTATCAAGAAAATTTTTTAAATCAAGGACTGGGAAAGCTTGGTTATTTTTTGGGTATATGAATTTTTCCTTCATTCAAAAAGGGTAAATTTTTATGGTCCTTTTATGTCCCAACGCAAATATGCGCTAGATATTTTGGAAGATTCTGGCCATATAGGTTCACGGCCGGAGAGCTTCCCAATGGAACAAAATGTTAAATTAACGCTCACAGATGGAGAAAAATTACATGATCCAACAAGGTACAGACGATTGATCGGTCGATTGATCTATTTAATGGTAACAAGACCGGATATTGTTTATTCTGTCCGCACATTATCTCAATACATGCATGAACCAAGAAAACCACATTGGGAAGCAGCCATTCGGGTTTTAAAGTATATTAAAAGTACTCCGGGACAAGGTTTGCTGTTGCCGCGTGAAAATAATTTGAAATTGTCAGCCTTTTGTGACTCAGATTGGGCAGGTTGTCGTACATTGTCAGCCTTTTGTGACTCAGATTGGGCAGGTTGTCGTACAACACGACGTTCCATTTCAGGTTATTGCATATTTCTGGGAAGTTCATTGATCTCATGGAAGTCAAAGAAACAAACTAATGTTTCTAGGTCTTCGGCAGAAGTAGAATACAGATCTATGGCAAATACATGCCTTGAGTTGACTTGGATCCATTATTTGCTTCGTGATCTAAGAGTAAGTCAGACGGGGCCGGCATCTTTGTTTTGTGATAATCAAGCAGCATTACATATAGCGGCGAATCCTGTTTTTCATGAACGAACAAAAAAGATTTCGTTGAAATTGTTCGTTTGGAAATTTACACATCGAGATAGATTGTCACATTGTTAGAGAGAAGTTACAGTCAGGATTGGTCAAACCACAATATGTTCCTACACGATTACAGTTAGCAGATATCTTCACAAAGGCTTTGGGACATGAACAATTTCAGTTCTTGAGAAGCAAGTTGGGAATACAGAACATACACTCTCCAACTAGAACATACACTCTTCCAAAGGGGGAGTATTAAGGAAAATATTAATCAGTTAATTGTAATTATCTTTACCATCTGTCATTGTATATCCTTTCTATAAATATGAGATTGACATAGCTTAATTGCAGGATAAGATAGCTTAATTATAGGATGAGATTGATACTTGTACTTGTATAAATTATGCACTTTTCTAATAAACATCACAACACTGTAAACCATTATCCTTTTCTTTATTTTAGATATACACTTCACAGCATAGCAGCCACTTCAGTTGCACCCTCACTTTTTTTGAGCTGATAACAGTTTTTCTTATTAATAGAAACAACATTCTTCAATCTTAATAGCTTCTTCTGATATTCATGGTTTTTTCTTTACCACTCACATTTGACGCCATCTAGAACAGTCCTATCATTTTCTGGTACAATTTTTATTAATGGTGAAGAATATGTAGTTCCATAATCCCTAATATTCCATTCGGTGCAAACAGGCCCTAAATCTTGAACTCTACCATTTTCCATAAGCATCTAACATAAATGCTAAAGAGGTTCGGAAAATTGAAATGTGTATTGTTTTCCCCTGACCTGCGCATATTGTTGGTCTGAAGCGTGTGGGATCGTGCTGTATATCAGCAGCACTGCCACTAACTCCTAATCGTTGAAAATTTTGGGAGAAATTCTGTAAATTTTCCTTGATAAAAATTAAGAAGTAGAAAAGAGAAAGAACCAAAACAGAAAGGCGATGAGGAATAAGCGACAGAAAATAGGCCAACTGAATGTTTGCAGGCGGCATGTCGTCTTGCTATCACGTGCTACTATTAGTAAATACGAATTACTCGTTCAGTTCCGCTTTCACTATTCTCCAAACCACTGAACTACATGTCGTTATTAAAAAAATTTCTAATATTGAAATTTTTTTTGGGTTATTTGGCGTCTCAAAGCGGGGAACATATTTTCAAAAAAATGAAAAACCAAAAAAATTTACGTTTTAGCAGTTAGATTCCAAAACATCAACTTTATTAATTTAGAAAAGCAAAAACAAAAAATTGAAACAATATAAAAATAATAAATTAATAATAAATTCTAATTAAATTATTCCTCTAAAAAAATAAGTATTTAAGGTTTTATTAATTCTCTAACCCTAAATATTATATACATTTTTTTTTTCAAGAATCATAGTGTAGAATATTAGAATATTAAATCAGTCATCTTTTAATGAATAGACATTTTTATTTATCAGGTTAAATCTTATGAATGAATTAATAAATTTTAACAAAAGGGAGGAAAGAAGTGCTTATTAAAGTTTTAATAGTTGAACAAAATAATTTCTTTCTTCAAACATTTCATATAGATTTCAAGAAAAATATACCATTTTTTATTATCCAAACATGAGTGTTCATGAGCAAGGTTTTAAAAATTGAATTAATTAATTCAAAAATTAGAGATTAATCTGGTATAGCTTGACTCACAAAAATTTAAAGAAAAAAAACAGATTAAACCAATAAAAAATTTAAAAAATGGTTGACCAAATTAAATGCATTAATATCATTTTTATCATCTCTTCCCTTCTCTTATTCTTCTTCTCTTTCGCATACTCTCTCTTTATTTTTTATTTTTTATTTTTATTTTTTGAGATAAACACAATCATTTCTCCTTCTGTTTTATTTTCTTTTATATATCAAATCAATTAAAAAAAATAAAAAAAAAAAAAAAAAAAACTCATCGAGATTACTCAGGAAAATTAGCAAAAGAGATTTCGTTAACCTTGATAACATTCAAATTAGACAGGTTATCTTTCTTGATTATACTCGTAATAGTGGACTAGTGATTTAAATTATAAGAATCCATTGTGAACGAGCAAGTTTCAGAAAGATAAACAAAGAATTTAACCATGAAATTGCTTAATTTGTAGTTGTTTAATCCTTTCGAAATGTGATCAATTGGAAAATCTTACTCTTGAAGAACGTCATAGGTTATTTTATCGTCATCCTCGCTGACCAATTGGATTAAGGAGACTAGAAAGAAGAGAACTGGAAAGAGAAAATCCATCTTGACATGTAAAGGAGATCTAAGGGCTTTTGTAAATGAATTTTATAGAGTTAATTATAATTTACCATTTTACTTTATTAAACTTTACTTTTTGAGTAAACAATAATTTCATTTTCATTTTCATTTTCATTTCTTTATTTTTTAAATGAATGACATGTTTTTGGTTGGCTCTGCAATTTCTTTAAATGGATAACAAATACTTTTTACATTTTTCTTACATGGATTATGCGTATTTGATTTTGCTTACATGGATGGCATATGTCTAGTGTTTGATGAGACAGAGTCTAGTTCTTATATAGACCATGCTTGTCAAATTCGCCTCATAGGCTTATACTTTCCTTACATGGGCGATATATGTGTTTCCGTTGTAAAGACTTGTTTAATTCTTTATATGAATGACATACTACGTTTTTCTTCCATGGATGACACTTATCTAAATTTTTATAAAAATAATATGTGTTTAATTGCTGTACGCTTTTCTTACATGAATAATATTTATTTAAATCTTTATAAAAATGATACGTATTTAGTGAATTTTTCATTTTCCTTATATGAATGGCACTTGTCTAAATCCTTATATAAATAACAGTATCCAGTCAATTTCATACTTTATTTATAAGAATGACTCGTATATAATATTTTTGAAGAATTAAAATTTATATTATTATTGAGAATAGATTTGAAAGTTTAACCCATTTTAACAATAATAAGACCACTTACATTAAACTACCGTGACAATTTTATTAATAATAAGTTAGGCACATAAAGAGTACATGTGGCTTTATAATCTTGGATCCTGGGAAATTGTGGTCTAAAATAATGATATAAAAGTTTAATTCCCAAAAACTAAAATATGTACAGATTTACAACTTTTTTTCCATATGGAAATTGATTATGGCAGATGATTTTATTGTATAAGTTTAGTGACAATAAATTGGAGAAGCTGAATTAAAACTTATACCAAATTGATATGATTTCTTATTCTTTTGTGGTTTTCAATACCATTTTGATGTAAATATGATCATCAAATGACTATAAATAATTGAATTTTTATTTAGAAAACCCAAAAAAAAATCTTGCTTATTGAAGGTTAGCTTAGGTTGAAGTTGTGAACTTTATATAGTTTTCATGATAAATATTGTTTCAGAGAAATAATTCTATACTTATAACTATATCATTACTTTTTTAACTTCAAATTATTTATGAATATGCTTTTTAAATTTTTATAAATAATTGTGAATAAAGAGGAATTAAAAAATGATAACATTATTTGATAGGTCAGATGCCAACTGCTGATCCGAGTGTGTTAGTATTTTATACCTGTCAAATACTATCTACTTTCCAAGAAAAAGCCAGCAACTGCACGGCTACCAATCAGACCTTTTGACCCAAATGGTCACTGTCATAATCAACCATCCACATCTCTCCCGCATGACATTTCTCCAACTTCCACGTGTCGCCCCACAGCTACTTTTTTTTGTTAAGAAAAGGTCGTCTCACAGCCGGTGGTTTAAAGCGTCATCGTGTGAGCTAATCCATGTGCGCTTTCATTATGATGCGAGTACAGGAGAACCGCTTTCACAGTCCTGTGACGCTAGCTTTCTCTCTCTTTTCATAAAATTTCCTAGTGTATCCACCGGAGCATACTCCTTGTTTATGCTGCCACGTGTGTACGGCATCGCAATTCCAGGAGAGAGAACTTTTGAGAAAAATAACACTGTCGCGGGCCACCTGCTTTTTTATTGGCCCACTTGTAAACTGGAAACTGCTTGGCCTCCCTGTTTCAATTCATCGTCGCAACGTGTCCAATATCCATATCCCGAAAATTTCGATGTATCGCCATTAAGCAATTTCAGTTGGAGAAAGGAAGAAATTAGAGGGAATTTCTAGCAAATTTCTTGCCTACACATTGTGGATGGGAGGTTGTATACTTTTATTAGATATGGATACTTGATGGACACGTGGCATACGGGCAGAGAGCGGTGGTCGGTGATGGGTATAGAGGGCATGCTGCCCTCGTAGCTGGCTTGCCCAGGAAGCTTACACGAGAATTTGAGAAAACAAAACACGTTGCTTTTTCTGTCTTTCGTCTCTCAGAAACGGAAACAAGAAAAGAAATCTTCCTGTATGCCTCTCTTTCTATAGACTGCTTTTGTCCCGTTATAATTAAGAATTTCCGGTAATGATTGCCTCTGGCGACATGACGTGCGCTACGATTTCCTTTGGAAAGGTTTTTCAATGACGAACGTATGCAAAAGCATGCTGAGAGACAAGGACCACGATTCACCAGCAAAATGCCGGGAACGCCGTCGCAGGAGAATCGAGATGAGGAGGCTTGCTTCGATACCGGCCTCTGGTACGCCTCCTCCGTCAAGTGAGAATCATGTGGAGAGCTCGAGCTCGAGCTCGACCTCGAGTTGTGTCGCCAATGGGAAGCGGATTCGGACTTCGGAAATGGTAGATTTGGGGGGCTTAAACTCGTCAGTTTCGCACGGAGATGAAGTGGAGGAACAGGCGGTCGAAACGCCAAGCGGACCTCCGATGGATTGTCCAGCTTTTGGTACTATGGCAGTGGCCGGAAGGTCACGTGAGATGGAAGATGCAATAGCTGTTTACACAAGCCTTTGCAAGCCGGCGATTAATCGACGGGGACCTGTGCATTTCTTCGCTGTTTTTGACGGTCATGGCGGTCCTCACGTAATTAATGAAATTCGCTATCTAAATTTACATATTATCTCGTTGATTAATTATCTCGAAGTTAGGGCAATTTTGTCATTTGATTAATAGGCGCTTGAATTTGGTATGCAGGTGGCGGCATTATGTAAGGAGAGAATGCACGTGTTCTTAGAGGGAGAGCTGATGCGCGTGGACCACCACAGTGGCAGTGGTGAGAACCGAGATGGTAGCAGCGGCAACTCGAGGGAGCTTGACTTTCAAAGGGATCAAGATGAAGGAGAGAAGGGATGGGAAGAGATGTGGAGGAGAGTGTTGAAGAGAAGCTTCCATAAAATGGACGAGGCGGCGTTAAACACGTGCGCGTGTGGGTGCGTGGGGTTCGAGTGTGGTTGCCATCCCATGGAGGTGGCTCTTGGAGGGTCGACTGCGGTTGTAGCTGTCTTAACTCCAGAGCATATTATTGTTGCCAATTGCGGTGATTCACGCGCCGTCCTCTGCCGAGGCGGGAGGGCAATTTCGCTCAGTTTCGATCACAAGGTTAGTTTTGTAATTTGACAGCAGTACCATTGGCAAGTTAACTGTACGTCTCTCTACCCAGTGTTTGCGCATACTTTGCCACCTGTTGTGTGCAACACCACGTGGCGTTTGTTTTGTGGACAAGGCTAATTTATTGTCTTCTTGTGGTAGGATAGGATTTCTTTTTTTGAAGTTTCGTCATGAAAAATTACCTGGATTAATTTTGTTGGCAGCCCATCACTTGTTTTACAATTTACATCTTTCTTTTTCTGATGGCTCTCAATTACAGAGTTTTTCAAGAGTTTAATTCGTCGAGTTTAGTAAACCGAGTTGGGGACTGAGGAGTCTTTTTCTTTTAAATGTGCAAAGACGGGCTTTTCTTTCTCCTAATATCGAGTGAAGTGGTGACACGCATATCATTCTGCCCCAATCCAAAAACATAGCGTTCCTTTCCAGGATATAATCGACTTTGGAAAGTTTATCGACCATCGTTATATTTTCCATGCTAGGCAAAGTGACACTCGTTTCAGTTAGCAATTGCATGGCTTACCTCTTGGAATTTTTTTTAATTCTTGTTCTTCTCTTACATGTAGAATTTGATGGCCGGTTGGCTGAGTTACTTTCTTTCTTTTTTTACTTTTTCTGAACTTTACGTTAATCAATTTTTGAATTTTTTTTCTTCAAACTTGCTTGTAGCCGGATAGATCTGATGAACTTGCAAGGATTAAAGCCGCTGGTGGCCGTGTCATATTTTTAAATGGGGCTCGAGTTGAAGGAATTCTTGCTATGTCCCGAGCTATAGGTAATCTGTTCTAGGATTGACTGAATCATTGGTCTCCTGTCTGGAGTTATAACTCTTAATTATGTGAAGCATCTCTACAAAACATGGTCTGAACATCATACAAATTTATGTCTTATCACATAACATTTGCATGTACTCAAGTGATTCTTTTATGAAGATATAAGTTTTAATTTTATCATTTGATAATGAACGCGCGAGAATATCAAGCTTCAAAGTAATCTTGTAATCTGTGTTCTTATTTAAATGTACTTGCTCTTTTTGATTTGTTCCAAATTGTTGGATGTAATGGAGGTGTATTCATGTTTGGTATGTCTAATTCACACTAAGAGTCTTAGATGATCAGAATTCATTTTTGGTATGTCTAAGTCACACTTGGTGTATTCATATTGTATCAACATTTCTCTGGACAAACCATGTTTGGGAGTGAGTGCAAAATATTCTGCTTTAAAATATTTAATATTATCAACATAGTATATGATTAATATATTGCAGAGTGGCAAGGAAAGTATGTGATTTTCCCTTCTGAAATTATTTTCCATCTGTTTCATGCTAGATCGTGTAATTAATGTACTTGTTCCTTTATTTTGATTATTATATCTGCTCCCTATGTGAATTAATTGTTCAGTTTGGCAGAAGTGGAGTCTATTTATATCTATTTCAGCTACAGTTATCTGTCTTTATTCGCACTATATATATTTTTTCTCCTTACTTTTTAGCTTATAAAATACTTGGATGCTGAAATTAGAGGTGCTTCTTTATTTCTTAGGATGCTAACAAAATTACTTAATTCATAATTTCTGCTCTCCTTTCATTTATGTTCCCCAAAAGCAAGCAAATGCTTGTTTATTCTAGGACAAATTATTTGCAAATGAGCCAAAGATTTGCCTTTTGAATTGTGGTTATGGAACCATACAACATTGTAAAATTCAATTAGTTTCAGGATCAACATCATAGTTGTTACTCCTCTAATCTTTGTTATTGGATCATACACTCAACTCAGTTCAAGGTTCACTATAGATTTCAATTTTCTTTTGCTAGTTGTCGACATGTTGCAATCATTCTTTGAGTGGGTTGAGGACTAGAAATACCAAATACGTAAAGTTCCTATTGAAGTATGGAAGGCACAAAGGACGTTGGAAGATCAAACAAATGAACTCTAGCGACGAAATTGTTAATCTGTCAGTCTTTTTAATATTGACCTATGGAGTATAAGATCTCTTATTCTTGTTATAAGATCATGATTGGATCCGCATATATTTGGTAAAAGAAAAATATTCTTCTTTGAGAATAAATGTGAATTGTTTTTTCATATTTGTGAGGCTTACCGCCAACCCAATAGGTATCAAGGGTGGGATCTCCAAGTTAGAATCCCAAGTTTCAACAATCGAGCCATCATTTAACAATGTGGTATATTATTTTTATTTTCTTTATCGTGAGTCGAACATCAAACAATGACCAATAAATGCAAATTGTTTTTTGCATTTGTGACACCTCTACTCCAACCCAATAGGATTCAAGGTTCGATCTCCAAGTTTGAATCCCGAGTTTCAATAATTGGGCCATCGTTTAACAATGTGGTGTATGATTTTTATTTTTTTGATTGTCAATTAAAGATCAAGCAATGACCAATAATTGGTTACTTCTTGATGTTTGACTAAAGTATGCTACGATTTTTATTTGAAGGGGATACCAACTACATTTTGCAAGTTTGGAAGGGGTCAACCTCCTTGATTCTCTCATAGTATAATCTTCTTCTTCTTTTCTTGTTTTTTTGAGCCCCTTTCTCCTTGATTCAAAGTCAATTCTACTAGCAATGAGAAAAATAATTGGTAGCTAAATAATGAATTGAAATATCGATAAAACCATGAACTTCCTATTATTTGTTAGGTGTAATGTTTTGCTTGGGTTTATAACAAGTATTCTTTACTTATTTTACAATGGAGTTCAAGGAATGTCGTACAATAAGTTACAATATCATCATAATAAAATTTTTTACCATGTGAAGTGGTGCAAGTGACATGACATGCATGCCAATAAGTTGCAATGCTTTGAACATTTGGGTGAAATAAGGATAGAGAGGGATGGAGTTTCACATATTTTTGGCATAGTAGGCCCATGTAAGGAGGTCCACATGGCGGGGCATTACCTCAAGTGTAGGGTGCCCTTGATAATTGCATCATTATGCCTAGGCTATGAGTGCTCTCAGTGCTCTCAGTGTTATAGATAATTCAATGTGTTTATCGGTGCTTGATCATGAGATGTGGATCATCTAATGCTACGATAATCATTCTAATTGATATTCTTTCTTTAAAAGGAGAAGTAACAAGGAATGCTATTCATGATGTATCACTACTCCACTTATGTCTAACGAGATTTTGAATCTTAATTCTATTGGATCAAGTAAGGATAAGAAAGGATATTTGATTGCTATATGCCTGCATGAGGTGCTACGTTTAGTATATTAGGTAAAAAAGGGAAGTCATTAACAAGCATTCTATAGTTGCTTGAGGTATTGCTAAAAGCACTAGCTGCATTGGTCCTCTTGATTCATGTAATAAAATTTGCTCAATCAAAATAGTTATTCTAATTTTTGTTAGAGGTTGAACAAATGTAAGTGTAATCCTAACATCGTTATCTTTAATATGCTTCAAGTGAGCTTAGATGCACTAATGTTATTATTAGTGGATTTAAATTCATCAAACAATGGCAGCATTTGGCATCAATAATATTATCAGCTTCATCAGTTAGCTAGTTTTTGCGACCGCAAGGAAAAGTTAAAAAATACAGCCATCGTCCATAAGTGATTTACATTGGGAGAGGCTTGTGAGATCAAATATCCTATTAGTATTGATAAGTTTGCTAAGGTGCAAGGCACGAAGCCTTGATCAATGTCCCATAATCAAAATGTTTAATTTACTGGAGGAATTTTCTTTGCTTCAGGACTAAACAACGTATGCAAGGCATGTGCACTACTTCAGAGTTTACGTGAGCCTTACGGCTTTGGGTATGAAATGGCTTGTGCTGTATTTAGTAACTAGGCATAAAAAAGAATGCGGACGTCACATAGTTTTAGTGTGAAAAGTTGCACCTTGAGGAAGCAAATGGAAATAAAGTTCGGCAAACGTGGACCGAGATCGAGCCAAATTAGCCTCTTGTTTTCTTTCTCCAAGCTTTTAATCTTACTTTCATTTAATGTCTCCTCCCTCCCTCTCCACTCTTATCTCTCTCTTTTGTCATCAATTATTCTTATTGGCAAATTTCATACATGTGCAACACTGCATTTTAAACAATTTATGCTTGTTCCTTATGTTTCATTGCTCTATCTCCTCATTGTGTGTATTTTTGAAATCACTTGTAGAATATGTATATGAACTTGTTACATTGTTGGAGCTGCCTGAAGTTGGTAAATATGATTACTCTTGTGTACATCTGTTTTTGCTGGCTATTATAAGACCAAATTTCCACCTTGGTACAGATATTGCAAGTGTAGTGCAAAAACTGGATAAAACTTATTCTGGTTACTTGTTATCTGAATGCTTGTACATTGTATGTCTTATTTAAGCCAATTTGCTTATTTCTTTTATTTTCTGGCATACTTCAGTTGCATGCTTCTTTATTATTATTATTATTATTATTATTATTATTATTTTACTCTATGAGTGTGTTTAGCCACTGAGAATTTATGTAACTTCATGAGTGTACGTCATATAAGTTAATGACTGCATATGTTATTTTCACTGTTAAGAATGAGATGCTTTGATGATTGTCCCATTAAAGTTACTATGCATCCCTTGGGCAAGAAACTCATTGATGACAAACTACTACATAAAAATTGAGCTTGTTGGCTTTGATTTGGGATTTTGGCTTATGTACCAATCTGCTGGTCAAACCATGGAGCTGCCAAGTGAGTGCTGAAATCTGATGAAAGCTACAAATACAAATATGTCACTAGTTACTTTTTTTTATTTATTTTTATTGCTTTTATTTTTATTTATTGTAAGAAATCTTGCCATGGGTACAAATGCTGATGCATTTTCTCAGAAGTGTTAAGTGTTGATTATTGGTTCTTATACCTTAGATGTTATGTGAAATAACTTTATGATAAATTTCAGTTGCTTTTGTTATATTGCCTTGCAAATGGTTGTGGAATTGATGTTAGCGCGTCCCAGCAAAATGTGTAGCCTTTTCAAAGTTGTGCTCAGGTGGTGCAAGGATGGATCTTGGGTGGAAATTATGTCTAGACCTCCATATTCTTGAAGTAGACTAAAATATGTGCAGGCATGTGGGCACACCTTTTCAATAATTCTATTTGGGCTGCGAGTTTCCTGTCATGTGGCCGAAATTGAAACTATTGCTTCTTTGATTTAGACTTTGGTAATGAAATCATTTCTGCAAAATGTTCTATGCAATTTATTCTTCTTTGGTTTTTCTGGAGGAAAAGGAAAGTTCATTGCACTTGCTTGGGTGGAAATCCTTCGTCAGCTGGTGTATGTTACTGTCTTAATGATAAAAAGCATGAATATTTTAGCATTTTTGCTCTACAATTATGTGACAGTTTGATGTTAAATGCATATTATTGCCTCCTATACTTGATTCAACATTTAATCAGTTTGGAATTTATTTTGGTGATAGTAGTATTGTATTTTTTTTTTTAATGCAGAAACACATATATATGATTGGCAAGGGCGCTTATAAGATCTATAGAATGATGAAGTAACGCCTGCTTACATCTTTGCTTTAACCTTCATTATCAGGTGACAAATATTTAAAGCCAGTTGTGACAGCAGAGCCTGAGATTACTTTCACAAAAAGAGAAGCTGAAGACGAGTGCTTAATTCTTGCTAGCGATGGGTTATGGGATGTTTTGTCAAGTGACTTGGCTTGTGAGGTAGCTTGTAAGTGTCTACGAGAAGGAAATCCTCCTACTTTTGCTGCAAATGCTGGGTCCCAGATAGAAGATGAAAGGATTATGGCATCATATCCATCTCGAAGCACATTGGCTGCCCAGTTGCTCACTCGCCTTGCTTTAGGACGAAGAAGCTCTGACAACATCAGTGTGATTGTTGTTGATCTTAAGAGGAGCTGAGGACATAAAACAAGTCTGGGATGAGATGGAATGATAGATTCAATGTCAACATCAAGTGTGTATAAAACAGCATGCATACATAGGTTTTATTGGAGTAGCAAAATCTTTTAAATGCATTAAAAATGGAGTCTCGTTCTCTTTTAACTATTTCGGGCTTTTATTTATCATCGTGAAATAAGATTTGGTATTTTGGTGTGATTTGCAACAACATATTTGCTGCCTTTTCTAATTCAGGGTGGCATGTGTGATGGATCCATGCATAGGTTTTGGCCTTTCATCAGTCGAACAACTAGCACTGGATACCAGGATTATTTTGTTTACTGTAAATGTTTGGAGGTCTCAATTTTTTACTCTTTCCATTCTGGTCATCAGGATTCCTATAGGCTATAGTGCCTGTCTAGGTAAGGTGAGACCCCTTTATTCTGTTATTGAAGTTGCTCCATTTGCCAAGAGTTTGTTATTATAATTCAGACACGCTACAAACACGGTATGAGAGAGAAGACGTTCCAATTGTCCAGTCGGGTGGAGTTCCTCTTCCTCAAATTAGGATTTAACGTTCTCGGGAGCACTCAAGAATATTATTAAATATTCACTGTAAAAGATATCAAGGAGACTTATTATCGTTGCGCGTAAATCAGATAAAAATATCTGTTACCGAAGAATTCACGCGATTGAATCAACATCGACTTTTATACCTAACATGTTTAGACTAGAAGTTGCAAATTCCATTTGAATTTTCTCTTTCTTTTAAATTTATCCGTGTTTTTAAACTCGATAAACGAAGTCTTTTGTTATTATGATATAATAAAATGATACTGTTATTGGGTCAGAATCATAATTTTATTTTTTTATTTTTTGGAAATTTGTATTAGCGAGTCTTCCACTATCCGGTGATTTCAGTTGGGGTATACATTACATACAGGTGACAGATATTTTGGGAGGGAGAGTGGGGACGGTGCCACACTTTGGTATAGGTGATACTTTGTTTTATTATTTTATTTTTCGGAAAATATTGAATCTACTTTAACAGCAACGTCCCAGTTTTCGATTGGTTACTTGATGCGTGTTACCAAAAGATCAAGACCCCACGGTTCCTTATGCTCATCGTCTTCAGCTGATCATCGCCTTCTTTTCAATGATTGCTGATCAATGTCTACCATAATTGGGATCCGTGAAGTTATCGTCGATGACTTATATTCTCCGGCGAAGGAAAAAGCTGCCGGCAAAGGTTCCTTCGGTAGCCGTTGGGCGCCTCTATTGCGCCGAGCTCGCCAACTATTGGTCACAGCTAGAGTGAAGCTTGTGCTGAGCCTCTGTGCCCTATGCGTTGCCGTTTTTATGATTTCCTGGACTAGCTCTTTTATGGGCTGGATCCCTGAAGACCCTTCTCCTTCTCTGTACCTCCTCTTCCTTGAAAGTGTTTGATTCCATTAATTTATTCAAGTCGAATTGCGTGTTACGTATTTAAATTTCCAAATTTTCTTTTTTGTGGACAGGGGAGGCTATACAGTACTGATTAACACCTGGAAGGGAAATTCGCTTCTTAAGCAATCCGTCACTCATTATGCGTCCTGTGGTGGCACCGATGCATTACATGTGGTTTGGAGTGCGACTGATCAACTATCGGAGAACTTGCAAACTTATCTCAAAAGGGTTGTTTTCTCCAAGTCACAGACGGTCCTAAAACCCAACTTTAAATTATATATTAACAAGGAGGATTATTTAAAAAATAGGTTTAAGCCCTTTGCTGACCTTAGAACTCATGCGGTTTTCTCGGTTGATGATGATGTGATTGTCCCGTGTTCAGCTTTGGATTTTGCTTTCTCTGTGTGGCAGAGTGCACCTTCTACCATGGTGGGATTCGTACCTCGTATCCATTTGCTGGATGGCCAGGTTGGTTCTGTCGTTTGCTTTTTATACTTGCCGTTGCATTCTTGCTTTCTTTTGCTGCAGTTTGGCTAACCATTAATGCCTATATGCGATGTATAGCAGACTCCTGAAACCATGACACATTTTCTTGTTTGTGTATTATATTCTTCATTTCTCTGCGTTGACTTTCAGCAATTTGATGGTTGTAATCTGGAAGTTTTCTGATTTTAGTGTTTTGTGGGGGTTGAATGTGTTAAAATATCCACATTGGTTGGAAGTTAAAAATATAAGTTGGCGCAAGTGTTTTAGTTCATTAGACCCATCGCAAGTCCAAAGTTAATGTTCTGCACTTTTTCATTTATTTCTTGTGCCAGTTAGTTACTTCTTAATTCAAAATATAAATTCAAATTAAAAATTTGATGAAATGAACTTACCTGTGTTTGCTATAAATGAATTTGAACTTTAGAAATTCATTTTTAAATATTAGAATTTGAATTAGTTATAAGTTCATTTTATAAAATTTAGTTTTCATGAGTGAAATGAATGTCTTCATTTATACCAAATATGATATCATGGTTTCCAAATGAATTTTATAAAATTTAATTCATCTATATCAAGTAGAGGCTTAATGGAAACCTATTTTATTTGAAAAAGAATCAATGGAAACTAGAATAAAAGGGCCAATGCTTAAAAGTTCTTCAAATCTGGAAATAAGAATTCAGAATTTGCTGGCAATAATCTTCAGATCTATTTTCACCTTCAAGTTTCCTGTCTAATTAATTTGGTATTGTGCAAGCCAGCTACTATCCTATTTTTAACTTCGTGCCCCACTGAGTTTGAGAATTTTAAATATAATTAATAACAAGGTTCATAAAGATGGTGCTTTTTATGTTCACTTGTTTTGCTATTATAGCATTGATAGTCACCTAGTGGTATTCAGAGGCAGTGATTATACTTCTGTTTTCTGGGATTTTGTCACTGTTGACTGCATAGTTTAAAAAATAAGTTACTGGTTGTTGCCTTTCTTTTCTGGGAACCAAAGTTCAAATCCATGTTGAACAGGAAAACTTTTGTCCAAAAGTTTACTGTTCATGCATTCTACTATGGTGAGATGACGCAAGGTTGTGAAGAGAGGAGCATTACTCCGTAAATTACAGTGGAGAACAATCGAAATGTTAATTGATTCTGGATTTGTAGTAAAATACATTCATTGTTCGGCGTCAAAGCATGATTGCCTCCTTACTTGGGCAGAATAAGCATTTATCATCGAGGCAATTTATGTGGAGAGTGTCTTTACTTTTTCAGGATAATGGATGCATCATTTTCCTGTTTGGCCAATTCATTGAGTAGGGTGTAATATGCTTTTGTGGTAGATAGTTTGATATTAGACTTTCGCAGCTAGTTAGTACTCTGCATTTCTTTGACACCAGAAAATGCACATAGTTTCTTATTTTTAGCTTCATAAATAACCTGATTTGACTTTTTATCCCTATGTTATTCAGAAGAATGGTGTCCCATATTACAAATATGGAGGATGGTGGTCAGTTTGGTGGACAGGTGCTTACAGTATAGTTCTCTCAAAAGCTGCTTTCTTTCACAAGAAGTACTTGGACTTGTATACTCACTCAATGTCGCCGTCCATACAAGACTATGTTTCAAGAGAAAGGCATGTTTACGACTCCTCTTTTCGGTTTTTCCCCCTTGTATTTTGTCCTTGAAAGAGAAGATCAACCTATTTTTCCTGTTCTCATGCAGGGATTGTGAAGATATTGCAATGTCTTTACTAGTTGCCAATGCTACAGGCGCTCCTCCAATATGGGTGAAAGGTGATGTCTTTTTCTTCCTTTTTTTCTATGATAATTCATTCCATTATAATATTTGCATACCATTGGATGTAACTGTAGATTTTTTTTTAGAGGTCCTAATTAATACGCCTTTGCGATTTTAAGCTTGCCAGTTGATTAACAAAGTTGATTTGGAACAGTTACAAGTATGCTTAACACATTAGAACTAGCTACAACTCCGAATAGTTCGTAACAGCATGAATAAAATTTAAAGATAGAATAAAATAAAATCCTACCTGGGCAGATTTGCCAGTTTTTCTGTGTTGGAGCCTGCTCTTCCTACCTAGCTGTTTGTTGTAAGATTAACTTTGTGACAGCTTGTTTCAAAGGCTTCACGAGTGGTAAAGGGATTTTTGGCTTCGTAGAAGAACAAAGCTTCAACTTGAGTGGATTTCTAAAGGCAAGAAGTTGTTTCTAGATAACCATTGGTTCCAAATGAGAGTGCAATTTTCATTTAACTTACTGGATAATAGCTCTGTAAATGTTGATCCCTTCTCCTTTGAGGATGCGTATCTTCCTGAAATTAGAAAATGGTGAATTTAATTGTGGAATTAACTTGACAGGGTTGTAGATTATCATTCATGGTTCTCTCTGCTAATTTCTGTTCTTACTGTTAGATCTTCAAAGTTCAGAGTCTTAAACTCTTAACGTTAGTTATTCTTTATTGAAATAGTAATTATGAACTTTTCAGGGAAGATACATGAAATTGGATCCTCAGGCATGAGTAGTTTGAAAGGTAATACTAACAGGAGAAATAAATGTCTCAACGACTTGATTTCCCTATATGGAGCTGTGCCTCTTGTTTCAACTAACGTAAAAGCTGCAGATGCAAGACAAGAATGGTTCTGGTAGTATCATTAACTTGGGTCAAATATAAATTTTCTTGTTCAGAATTTTTTTCCAACTCAGAAAAACGCAGCATCTGGAAGTTTGAGACGTGGCTGTCGTTTAAATGCTTAAAATGTGGATCAATTTAGATTGTTTTAACGTGTAATTTATGTGCGAGTGTATCTCTGTTTTTCTCATCCCTTCTTTTGAGGTGAATAGATCCGTCGTATGGACCATGGTACATAGATGCACAGTGCATTTTAGACTTTGTTTAGCCAGCACTAATTACTGATTAGTCGGTAAACTAATAAGTCATCAATTCAATTAAATTATACAGCCTGTTTGATTTGATTAATTAGATAACAACGAAAATTAGTTTGAAAAAAGTAGGCTGCTTTTCTTTTTCCTGCTATGATTGCCATTGTCATCGCTCTTTGTTTTTTTGACCATCGCTGAAGTCCAATCCGGAAAAGTGTTTGGTATAGTCTAAAACCATTCTATCTAATTTACCAATCTAATTAAGCTCCCACCATGTTCCTTTGAACGGCAGTTGTCAGTCGATTGTATTGGTTAATGCAGGTGGTAACGATAATAAATAAATAAATAAAACTACGTGTTAAGATTATTATACAATATAAAAATAATCATTGAAAATAAAATAATACACGTGTGAGCCATGTAAACTCTGCAAGTTTTTCTTAGATTCGTGTCCTATATATTCTCCATATCTATCGTATGTATTATATTACCCAAATCAAAGAATTGCATATGGTTCCGTCACCGACCGGCATTTACATAATTGCATTTTTTGAACTAAAGAAAGGAAAATATATATTCATATCGGTCCGTTGAATATAATTTTTTTTATGCATTAAAAATGGATTAATTTAAACAAAATGCAAAAGAATAAAGCAAGCAAAACAAAAGATTAATTAATTTGTTATTTATTTGTCAAAAAGAAGAAGTCTGAGAACAAATCTCGTAAAGAAAGAGAAAAGTAAAAGGTCAAACCTAATAGAAGAAACAAAAAGGGCAACAGATATTATAGTGGGGTGTGGAAGAAGCTCCAAGTTGGAACAACCAAATAAAGAAGCTCCAAACAAAAACCTAACTCCACTTTCTCTTTATTATTTTATTTCAAACTGGACGGTGAGTTAATGTATGGCTTTTTTGGCACTAAACTTACCCTAATGGGCTCTGTTCATGCAATTCCTCCCATTCATCTAATCTAATTATTCGTATCACTAATTCCCTGTTTAATACACTAATTAATTATACTGCAATATATTGACTAATCTGTCCCTTGTTTATTAAGGTTTCTTATATTATGTAGATGGTGTCAAGGAAAATTTGTGTTAATTTCCTTTTTTTTTTTTTAACTCAACTGTTGATCTACTAAAAGGTGGACGTCATTGGGGCATTAATTGAAAAATAGCACAGACCCGTAGCTTTAGCCGTAAGCCGACATTGAGAGAGGAAAAGCGAAAATAGCAAAATTTCAACAGCTGATGGTGTAAAACTTTGAATCCATCCATCGCACTGCAACCTCCTTCCTCCTCTTTGCCATGAAACCTTCCTTTCGCTTCATCTTACCTTTCTTATTGTTTTTTTCATAGTTAAATTACGATGCCATCTCGTCCAATTCCTCCATTACTTCTCGAATCTCCTTCTTTAATCCTTTCGCCCATTGTTACTTCCCCTCCTATACCGACGCCGTCTCCCATTCAGTTCCGACACCACCACCGTCATCTTTCTTCTCGTCTACTCCCTCCAATAACCGCCGCCACGGCTGCCTTTTCTTGCCTCCTCATCTTTGTTATCTGCTTCCGTAAAATCAACAGGAAGCGTACTGTCCCTTCTGACTCTAAACCGCCTCACCGGTTCTCTTATTCCACCCTCCGCCGTGCCACCAATTATTTTTCTCCTTCTCTTCGCTTGGGACAAGGTGGCTTTGGCTCTGTTTTTCGCGGTACTCTACCTAATGGGCAACTGGTCGCGGTCAAAGTCATGGACTCGGGCTCTCTCCAGGGGGAGCGCGAGTTCCAAAATGAGCTCCTTTTCGCCTCGAAACTCGACTCTCCTTATATCATAGCTGCTCTTGGCTTCTCCACCGATAGGAAATACCGCCCGATGTTGCTGACTTATGAGCTCATGCCGAATGGCAATTTACAGGATGCCCTTCTCCATAGAAAGTGCCCCGAGTTGATGCAGTGGAAGAAAAGGTTTAGCATTGCAGTTGATATTGCTAAAGGGATTGAGTATCTTCATAGTTTGGATCCGCCCGTCATTCATGGCGATGTAAAGCCAAGTAATATTTTGTTGGATCAATGTTTCTCGGCCAAGATTGCGGATTTTGGATTGGCGTGGCTAAAAACAGAGAATCAGAATCAGTGCGAGGTTAGAATCGAAGAGAGTGATGCCGAGAAGGTTAACGGTGGATCTGAGATGAGGAAAGCTGAATTAGATAGCAATAATGGAGTTCCGGTTGAGGATTATGGATCTGTTGTAGAGACCGAAAGCGTGACTACTGGGTTTGAAGAGTTCACGCTGGGAGTGGATCAGTCACCAGAGAGCCTTCTTCGGGGACCAATTTCTATTTCTGCAACATCGCCGGAGACAGTAGAGGGTGTAACTGCCTCGCCGGAGACAGGTGGCTTGGCGGCGCCACCTGAGGCCAATTTTGATGGGGTTAGTGTTGAGAGTGGAAAAGAAATGATTACTGGAGGGAAAATGAGAGAGATGAAGAGTCAATCTGGAAGGGACTGGTGGTGGAAACAAGAAAATAGCGGTGTGGTGGAGAATGGGGCTGTGAAAGACTATGTAATGGAATGGATTGGAACTGAGATAAAGAAGGAGAGGCCAAAAAGTGATTGGATCGAAGCTTCATCATCAAGTAATCAGCGAATTGTTAAAATTGATAAAAAGAAGAATCGGAAACGTTTGGAATGGTGGGTTTCCTTAGACGAGGACAAAGATGAGAAGATTTTAAAGAAGGAGAAGAGAAGGCAGCCAAGGGAGTGGTGGAAGGAGGAGTATTGTGAAGAGTTGGAGAGAAAGAAGAAGAAAAAGAAAAAGAAAAGGAATATGGAGATGACCAGCAATGGCAATGGAGGAGGAGAAGACTGGTGGCCAAGAGATGAGGAATTGTATGTTGAGAGGAAAAAGAAGAAGAGAAGTAGGAGTAGAAGTAGCAGAGGCAGTCTTGACTGGTTTAGTGGTGAGCTTTTTAGAGGTAACTATAACAGCCATGATTCTTTAAGTGGAGAAATACCAAAGAGTAGTGGAATTTGTAGTACACCGAGTATGAGAGGAACCGTTTGTTACGTTGCTCCTGAATATGGAGGTGGTGGCAGTTTGTCAGATAAGTCTGATGTGTATAGTTTTGGAGTTCTATTGTTAGTTCTTATTGCTGGAAGGCGTCCCCTTCAGGTTACAAGCTCCCCTGTGTCGGAGTTTCAGCGTGCAAATCTAATACATTGGGCTCGCCATCTTGCACGCTCTGGGAAGCTTCTTGATTTGGTTGATCAGTCTATACAGTCTTTGGATAGAGAACAAGCTTTGTTAGGTATTACTGTTGCTCTTCTTTGTTTGCAAAAATCACCTGCTCGCCGGCCTTCCATGAAGGAGGTTGTAGGGATGCTCACTGGCCAATTGGAGGCACCTCAATTACCAATTGAATTCTCACCTTCACCGCCCTCACGCTTTCCCTTCAAGTCCAAGTCATTCAAGAAGGTAAGATGAGTTTTTATCGTCAGATGCCGATTTCGGTGAACAGTGGTAAATGTTGCTGGCCATTTTTGTGGATTATACATGTAAATAAATAAATATAAAAAAAAGAGGAAAAAGAAAGAAAAGCTTGAAATGGCTTTCTCTTGCTCTGATGTTGATACTAGTCTGGTCTACCATTTGCATCACTAACATGAAAAGATTAGCTAACACAATTTGGTGACCCCCCACTCCATGTTTGCTCCAACGATGAGTTTTAGGTATGTGATTTAGTACTTGAGTATGCCTTTTTAAACATGGTCTATGTTAGAAACTATTGGCATTGGCATTGTTGATACTTTTACAAGCACCAACAATACAGATACATAGTAATGTCAATACACTTCTTATTTAGTAACTATACCAATATAATCCTGCTTCCAGAAACTGGAATTCTGCACTTGGATAAAAGGGGAAAGAAAAAGAAAAAGGAAAAAGAGAATCAAAGCTATTCACTTGTCTAACAAATTTTTGTTATTTTAGAGCTCCGACTCCTGTTAGAATAGGATCCCTGCTTGTTGATGTTTCGATTTAATGATTTATGGCTCTTTATGGTGGAAAAGGTGAGATTCAATCATCGATAGTGCTGGGTAATTTGCTGTCGCTGTTAGGGTGCATGGTCCCAAGCTTTTAATGCAAGCTTGAATTTTTATGGTAGGTTAGGAAGTTGACATGTTTATTGGTTGCCTAGTTGAAGAATTGGAATTCAGCATGACTTAGCTACCTCCTCCTTGCACCCACCCCCGAAATCCCACGAGAAAAAATGATTGGGAATGGCTGATTTGCAAATTGCTACTAGTATCCTAGGTGAAAGTTGAATTCTTTTGAATGTAATCCCAGACTCATGATTTTCAAATTCAAGCACATAAAGAAAGAATATATCAAATTCTTTGTTGACCCCTGTTATGTTGTGAACTGTCCATCAAAAAATGCCCGATCTTTATATATATGTTTGTTTCTTTGAAGAAGAGAAATGCAACGGCTTTCACATAGTTCTTCATTATCCCACTGATCTTCGAACAGAGAGTGTATATTATAATTTTTATCAGAAATCGTATACCCAATATGCTGATAAGCTTTCTTCTTATTTTTTATCCTGATATGAACGATTAGGAATATGACCTCTGATAACTATGCAATCCACTTTTGTTTTCTGGTGTTAAGACTTGTAAAACTGTCCTGTACAATTTCCACTTACAGAGTAGAATCCAGTTTAAACTTAAATAGAACACTTAATTAAGTGTGAACTTGAAATTGGAAGACACGATGCCTCAATGGAAAAGTCAATAGTCAAAAAATCTGCAAAACAAGATTAAAACAAAAGGGAACGAAATCCACCACCATCTTCTTCTCTAGTATAAGATTTTAAAAATCCTAGGAAGTTTCCAGTTTGCGTAAAAGTTATCACAGTTAGTGAAATAGTCACCCCTTGATCCAGATGTGACAACGATGTAAGCGTCGATGATATTAAAGATGTGGAGGGAGAAGGATGAATAACAAGTGCAAAGATATAAGAATAGACAGAGAGAGAGAGAGAGAGAGGAAAATGTAATTAGAGACTAAAATCGAGTTGGTAATCAAGAAGATATCTTTTTTTTTTTTTTTTTTTTTTTTTTTTTTTTTTTGGGCATTCGAGGAGCTATTAAAGAACAAGATTGGTTGTAGTTAATAAATACACCCATGTTTGAGTTTATACGATCGAGTATGTTACATTAAAGATAAGCAAAAACAGCTCAGAATTAAATTATGGGATTGGACATCATATATTTATGTATATTATATATATATATAAAGAGATTTTTTTTTTTTTTTTTTTTTTTTTTTTTTTCTTGGCATTCGAAGGAGCTATTAAAGAACAAGATTGGTTGTAGTTAATAAATACACCCATGTTTGAGTTATACGATCGAGTAGGTTACATTAAAGATAAGCAAAACAGCTCAGAATTAATATGGGATTGGACATTCATATATATGTATATATATATATATATAAAGAAGAAAGAAATATGTATTGGGCTTACTTAAAATTAGATTAGATGCAAGTCGACCATATTCACTTTTAGCCCAAATCTCCTAGTCCCAAAACCCAAGTTTCAAACTTGGAGCAGACTAGCTCATCCTCTCCTAAATCTAGAAATAGGAAATTCAGAAGAGAGATGGAGTGTTCTTCTTGTAGTTAAGTGGATTAGGAATTCGAAATTGAAATTCTCTAATTTTTTTTTTTAAGATTTTGATTTCTTTTATTTACATTTTTTTTAAAATTTGAGGCTGCATAGATTCCTTTAAAGTTTGAATTCAACATAATATATATAAGTTGGTTCTGTACCAAATCACAGTCAGCATATCTTGAGCACATGATTTGAATGAATGCCTTTATCTTTGATTACTCAAATTTTCAAATAAATCTCTTTTTTTATTACATATAATCCCAAATAGGTTTAGCAACTATTAATTTTATTTTTATATATATTTTTAATTTTGATGCTCTCCTCTGACACCTCATCTGTCAAAGTCTCCTATTTGTTCTTATATCTCTGTGCTTCTAAGGATACCAAAGCTGGATTTCTCTTCAATAATAATATAAACAACAAGTACAACCAACCCTAGAAACTTTTTTTATTTTATTTTATTTGATTATTTGTTTATATATATATATATACAGAAGAATAAAATCCATTATAATTCGGTTGTTATAACTTAGAATTGACTAATTGAACCCAACCAGAAGTGACTCAAACTATGTACTTGTGGACTTTGTAGGAAAACTATTTCTATATATAATTTTTTAATGGAACTATATATATAAACTTCCTAATCAAATTTATCATAATTATTACAAACATTTAACCCACTTGTCTAATTTATATTTAAGATGTAATAATCTAATTTAGACATTAGCAGCATATTCACTTTATAGTAATCGTTTTTTAAATTAAAATGTGACTTATCAAATTAGAGTCGCTCTTTAAGTAATTTTTTAAACTTCTAATAAGCAAAATTGACACTAAGCAGGCAAGATGCATGATTATAGAGACAAAAAAAAAAAAAGGGGGAAATCCCAATATTAATGGAAATAGACCCATGATGACATGAGTGGTTGGTGCACAAATGCAATACACGCCCGATATAATTAGCACTAAACATATCTATAACCACTATATTATTAATATATAATCATTAATTAAGGAAGATGACAGAAGGCATAATTATTGTGATCTTATAATTAATTATTTTCCTAAAACGCACTTTTGTACAACTCAGAAGGGGTAGCAATATCAGATAAGGGGACTGTTCCATATCTTCACGAAATCTTTTTCCCCTTTTGAGGCTTCGGTTGGTTCATGAAAGTGCACCATTTCTTAGCTCGTGTCATTTAATTTAATTAGAGGTCGCAGTTACATACACTGTATGCACTTGCCTTTGCATCTGTTCCATAACTTTTACATTCTATTTAGAAAACAAAGCGAAAAATAATAAGAAATTGTCAGTTTTTTTCCATAATTATTCTTCACTCTTGTATTTGAATATAATGAAGTAAATAAAATAAATTTATTATTCTTTATTTGGAAAATAAAAAAAATTTTAAATAAAGAAAATGTTGTTATTGAAAATTGATAATTATACTCTTATGTAACTTTAAACAATAAAATGTGGTTCTAGTTATTAGACTATATAGTCACTAATGAAATTAAAAAATATCAAAAAATTTTTAAAGAATAAAATGTAATTCTAGTTATTTCGGGTATTTAAATAATTTAATAAAAATAAGTAAAATTTTTATTTTTCTCCATTATCTTCTCTCTGAATTAGAGAATTTCAAAATATATAGAACATAAAAAATTAAGTGAAATAATACTCAATTCCTCCCCTTTTCTAAGCAACGAAAAACATGGTTTTCTAAATATTTTATATGGTTATCCTTACTTCAAAAAATATACTCCCATCTTAAAGAAGGGACCTATATGTAATACTATGCAATTAGCTTGAGGATGTGCGACGAACATTACGAAAATAATTATATCCGCATAAACTGCGTATATATATATGGAGAAGGCGATCAATCATATATTTATATGGACAGTGTGTTTACTCTTAACCCTAAGGATAAGGTGAAAGTGCTACTTCCTTCCTTCCTTCCTTCCTTCCTTCCTTCCAAGTCTGAAAACAAAAACAAAAATAATTGGAGTCAAACCAATAATGGCACTCTTATTACAACACGCTTGACACATGACACAATACTTATAATCTAACGGATATTTCGCTCTCAAAATTGATGCAAAACCTAGAACAATATTAAATTATTCATAATGTGAACGCAAATACTGGAATTTACTTTTGTACAAAGCTACAGTCCCATAGAACCAAAGCTTTTATTATGTGGCCGGTTAGGTCAGCTTTGTCCATTTGAATTATACAATTACAGAATTATTAAAAACGAGTCAGAATTTAAAATTATGGGTAATGCTAGATTAGAGAAGATGATGGAATCTCTGCACCAGTAGAAGATCTTTCAATCACATACCCTAACAGAAGTATTCGCTTCTTTAACCTCCAGCCCCCAGCTACTTGCCACCTTACATACCTAATTACTCTCCTCAAGCTCTCTAATTATTTTTCTTCTTTTTTTTTTTTGGAAAGCCATGTTTCCTTTACACCAAGGCAATGAGCTGTGCTTTCAGATTTCTTCTAATCCTCACAATCAAGAACAAATCCCACAAGATCTGATTCTGGCTCAGTCTGCACTCTATTGTCATGGCACTGCTGATATAACGGACAATATGGGAAAAAGTAGGCGGCGAAAATCGATTTCTATCGACAATAATGATGAGAGTGCTACTGCGATGGATAAGAGAATTGGTAATAAGAAGAAATTGATACATAGGGAAATTGAACGTCAAAGAAGGCAAGAAATGGCTACTCTTTATTCATCTCTTCGATCTCTACTCCCTCTGGAATATATCAAGGTCTCAACTTTCCTACTTTTTTGCTTCTTGTTTATAGTTTCTACTATTGCTTATTATTATACAGGACTTACAAAAATTTACTGTGTGCGTTTAATTTTTACAAATTCATCTAGAATATGGGTAGTGTTATGTCTGTGGTTCTCATTAATTTCTCAAAGAAAACTGCTTTTCTCCTATAAAGTTTATTGGGATTGTATACAATTATGCGCAAAGATAAGTTATGTTGATGGGGACTTTCAGGGTAAGCGTTCGACATCTGATCACATGAACGAGGCTGTCAATTATATAAAGCATCTGCAAAAGGGAATCAAAGAATTGAAAGCAAAGAGAGATCACTTCAAGCAGCAAAATAATTTGACAGGCATTCCCTCGCAAATTGTTAGTGGAAGTTCAAGCAATTGTACCTCCCCAAGTAAAGAAGTCATAGTAAGGCCCTGTTCGGGAGGAATTGAGATTGTGCTCAGCAGTGGGTTAAGGGAGCAAGACTTGACCCTATCAAGACTTCTTCAAGTCTTGCTTGAAGCTGAAATTTCTGTGGTTAATTGTGTTTCCACCAAAGTAAATGAAAGGGTATTTCACACTATCCAGGCTGAGGTATATATATATGTATATATATATTTTAATTATTAGTTTCATTAGGTTTAGGGTTTTATATATTTGTTCATGTGTTTTGATGAAATTTTTGTGCATCTAATTCATTAGCTTCGGATGATGTTTACTCCACAGGTCAATGATCCAACTTGCTTAAATCTATCCAAGTTGCAGCAGAAATTAACCCCACTCGTTCCTCGATATAATGATTGTTGAAGGATCATAAATCACCTAGCTTCTTCCACTGTAGAATTCTAACTTTTTACTCAAACACTTAACTTGGTTTTGCTTGATAAATTAGATGCTGACTTGATGATGGTTTTGCTTATAAAAATAACTTGAGATATTCCTTCCTCTCGTTAACTTGTGTTGCTCTTTGAGAAAATTTGGGAAAATGAAATTTTTACATTCCTTTAATTTTATCTCCTAATTTAGCAGTTTGAGAAATATTAAAGGCATTAGGATCGATCTTTAAGCACAGTACTGTGTGTGCATATGCTTATTGGATCTCCAAGAACTTAACTCTTTGTGGTTGGATGATTTGGCTATTATTAGCTAAATCTTAGGACTTTTATTGTTGAGCATTAAATTAACGGCATAAAAATTTGAAGTTTCACTTGCTTCCAAATAATAGTCACATTGAATTTCTAAGGTGAAACTTGTTGTGTATAGATTTTTTACTGCTTTATATATATGCATGCTAAGATAAGTTGCAATATATTAGTTTTTCCTTTTTAATGAGTCTTTGCCTGTATGAGAGTATAATTAATTACATTATGGTTTCTAAACTCTAGCTAGAGATACTTAGAAGAAGATATAGTAGCTAGGTCCAGTACATTACACACACACATAGTAAAAGGAATAATTGACAAATTATCTTTCAAAATCTCTTCTAAGTTTTAGTCTTGAGCTTGTTTCTATGAAATTATGACAGAGTGGATTATTTTTGCTTGCTTATATATAATTTTATTTCCATGGTTACATCTATGCCTTCAATTACTCTTTGTTTTCCTTCATATTTTGCATAATGTAAAAAAGGCTGCTTATTTTCAATGAATTAGGCAGTGTAAGGGTGACCCAATGCATGCAGCAAAAATCTTTTAAGTTTTAGCTGGTCTTGAGCTTATTTCTGTAAAATTATATATTTTTAGTAGTAAGGTGACTCAATGCGTAAAATATTTCATATGTATGAGCTCTAAAAAACGAAGGATTGTACGTAACCTTTCTCTTAAATTATAAAGAAACTTTATGTAGCTTAAAGCCTTGACCTCCATGTCAAATTATTGATAAAATTAATTAGCTTTTAGGCTGTAGTTTTATTAAATTTATCATCATAATTAGCTAGGTGATGTTGAACTCTTTTGATTAATGTTGTTTTACTTTGTTTTTCTTTCTTATTTTCGCATGCATGGTTTCGGCATAGATAAGTGAGTGATCTCCTGAATAGAAAATGTGAATGCTTTTTGGCATATCCATAAAATATATATGTGTTAGTTATAGAACAAATTAGTAACAGTGGCACCAACCGGCAGAGACATGGTTTATGCGTTGTGTTGAACCCTTCCAGCTATATACATGATTGAGTTTATTAGTTTTAAAATGCCCAAAATCTCTATATACATTATATGGTAGGATTTGATGCCAGCTTGTTAATATCTCTTCTTAACTATTAATTTCCCTTTGATTACTTGTACAACACCTTTAATTAAATTAAAACCTCCAAGAGATTTGCTGCAGAGGCAAGCACTGGTTACTGATATTAGTGATGTATGCCCACGTGCTGCATGCAAACCCCACTCATCTACTGTACTGAACTGGTACATATATGCTTGTCTTTATATGTGTATATATAAGCTCTATCCAAATAATAAAATGGTTTCTTCTGCTTCTATCATTATTCTTTGTTTTAATATTTTTTTCAAAGATGGATGCATTTCTAAGATCAAAGCCAAACTAGGATGGAGTGGTGGATATATGTTCATCCATCTCCGCTACTTCATTCTGGCTCATGGATCAATAGTTGAAGCTAAGCCACAACAATCAGACAGAAGTTTTGTGATATTCAGTTTAAGCATATATATATATATATATATTACTGTAACCCTTCCTTGTTGCCCTTGTTGTGCTTCTAAAAATGTCAGTTTTGGACTATATTACTGTAACCATTTGGTATTTTAGTTTTAGGTGTAGCTACAATTTGTAATGCCAGACACTTGTATTTCCTGTAATTATTTGGTGAGTATTCGTTTTTGGCATTTCAAAATTGCATTTAAAAAAAAAAAAAACTGCATATTCTATGAGAAGTGATATTGTATTTTCCCAAGATTAATTCAACAGATGTTATCCTTTTGAAATGAAATTTCAAGTTACTTTTCAACAGAGGTCCTTTGGCTGCCATTAATTTCTATATTTTAATACCGTGCTGCTTCTTCAGTTTTTAACAAACTCTCTTATCTTATATTGATCAAATTTCATTTGTGCTAATTTGGAAGAATAATTATTGTATGCTTTAATTTGATAAAAGAAGAAAATTAATATTGATAGAGGTTTTAAGTGGTAGAAGTACATTTTTTTTTTTATTGAAAATTAACACATAAAACCAACAAGGTATTGGTTGAGGTGGTAAGCGATCTCAACCCTTAGAAGGGTGAGAACACAATTTTGATCCCTGAGAATCACACTTTGCTGGAAGGGTAAGAATACAAGTTTGATCCTCAACAAACATATTTTACTAGAGTACCAAAAATTTTTATGCTTTACGATCCGAAGGGATTATATCTTCCGATTATAAAGAAAAAGAAAAACAAAACTAATAGATAAAAGTGCAAAATTTAAACGAAAGATTAAATTATTGAATTATTTTAAAATATAAGGAATAATTATTTATCAAAATGCGGGGATGAATAGTAATTCTTTCACATGTATTGCTATAAATGTGTTTTTTGTACAGTTGCTAAATTAATTATTTTAATTTTTAAATTTTTTTATCAAATTGGACATTTATTGAATCTAGTCAATGGTCAAAGTAAGCATTTATCCGAGTTCTAGAAGATCCTAACCGTAAACCATCGGCACTGCCAACTGCAACATCAAATGAGCTAAGCTTATAGCAATCTAAACATTTTACTATTGAGATTTCTTGTGGAAATATTTTGATCAATCCTATATAATATTAGTTTCGCTCTTCTTCAACAAAAATCCAAAATTAGTCAATTGGCAATGGATTATCCAATAATAATATCATAATAATCAGTCCATATCATGCACTGTAAGACAATAATTAATTGTGCATTTGTATGCGAAAGACAATCCCATCATTAAGTGGTTCATTTCTGCAATTAAACGACATTCTTTTTTTTTTTTTTCCTCTACAAACCCCAGTAATCAAAATGAGAAAGGAAAAGATAATATACTACTAATATATATGGGGTTCCCTATTATAACATGCTGTTCAAAAGGATCCCCGTTCTTCCATCAAATATTCTACTTTTTCCCGGATACTCAGGGCACGGTATGGCACCATTGATCCCAGCGATTTGTTTGCGACCAATCAATATAATATTCTTTCCGTCCAAAAAAGATGGTTCATTTTTCATTTCTAGTTTTTCTCAAAATACGGTTCATTTTCCTTTTTTTGCATTATAGTTAATTTTTAAATTGTTAATTCTATCATTATATTCTCATTAGTTTTTACTTATTATTCCAATATAACAATTGCTCATGTGTTATAAAAATTATATTTTAATCATAATAATTATTATTTTATTAATTTGTATGAAAATATAAAATGGACTATCTTTTTAGTACTGAAAGAGAATTAATTAATTAAAGTGCATTAATTAACAACAGGAGCTTCTTCTACCAGGCCGGCAGGGCGTAACCAAATAATTAATATGAAATAATTAGGCTAAACAATGAAGAAAGCAGCTAATTAAAGGTCAAAACAAAAACCTGTACTAAAGCTGCCGGTCCAACCTTTTAGACCGATTATAAATATAAATTAGTGCTTTATCTTTATCTTAGTTGGAGATCTTTTCATGATATTGTTGGTATTAATAACTAAAGGCCACTAATATTTCTTGTTTCATATAATTCTTAATCAGAATAATTTATTATTCCCCAATAGAATAAGCAAGCCACTATTAATTATATATACTATGCACGTTTAATATGTTTTTCGTTTGTATATATGAAAAAAAAAGGAAAGAAATGGATATAAATTATAATTAGTGAAAGAGTTGAGGCATGTGGTGCGCGAGACCTTTGATGAGAGAGTGTTAGTTCAACAATAACGATGTCGTTCAAAGGTCAAATGATGGAACCCTACTCCAACCGAGCATTTTTGCTGGATTTACAATCCATCTATCATCATTACATATTTTCTATTCTTATAAATTATTAATTAATTCATATTTTTGTGGCTGTTTGTTGAAGTAAGAAAGGAAAGCGATGTCAAATAGAGAGGATTCATTTAATAGATGACAAGTGATTTTTTTATATATATATATTAATTGAAATTTGATTCTCAGCGTCAAATTATAAGAAATATGTATAGTTTTATAAGTTCTCAACTTAGAATATTCTACATGATTTATTTTTTTAAAATAATGAAATAAATAAATTTATATAATATGTAAAACCAGACCTTTCATATTCATATGTATATAATTTGATTTTTGTTCTTCCATTTATTTAAGTTTTGCTTGTAAACTGTATTGTTGGAAATAAATGAAAACAAAATTAATAAAAAAAAAAAAGGAAAAAGGAAAGGAAAAGATAATCCAAATCAATCCCTAACGTTTCCTTTTCGAAGAGGTTGTTTTCAGCTTGGTAACTATAGACTCCCATATAATCACTTAAAAGTTTTTATTATATACTCCCTCTTTCCACAAAATAAGTGTCATATTTGTGGATTTTAATTGAAAATAATCATTTTTTTTCTAATTTTTACCCTTTGCAAATGATGAACTTTTAATTATAATTTTTAAAAATTTATTTCTTTATGATAAATAAGGATAATATAGTTAATTTATTCAATATTTATTATAAATGAAACAAATTAAATGATTTTTTTAAAATACGAGAAAAACGTACTTAAATCTGATTCTTATTTATGGATGGAGACTTTATGTATACATCACAAAATGTTATACAGATATATGTAACATGTGATAAATTAATAATTAAATTTAAACCCAAATTAAGGGTTAAGGTATAATCTACTTAATAAGTTGAAAAATATTAAAAGATAAAATATATTTGCCTTCATTTTTATCATTAAAGATTTTTCACGTACCAAAAAAAAAAAAAAATAATTTAAACCCAAATTAAGGGTTAAGGTATAATCTAACTTAATAAGTTGAAAAATATTTAAAAGATAAAATTATTGCCTTCATTTTTATCATTAAAGATTTTTCACGTACCAAAAAAAAAAAAAAAATCCTAATAACAAAGAAACAACTAATAATATCACATTTCTTTTACCAAAAAAAAAAAAAAATCCTAATAACAAGAACAACTAATAATATCACATTTCTTTTTAGGACATATGACATTTCATTTTAATATATATTGAGTGAGCTTTGAAAGGAAAACCGATATATATATATATATATATATATTGTTGCATAATCAATAATAAATAGATGCATAACCTGTTGATATATAGAGTTCTGAGAACCCCTCCCCTAATACTCAAAGAAAGAGAAAACCCATTAAAAATGGCAAAAAAATTTAAAATTTAATTAGCAAACCGCACAGTTCTAACTTGTAAGAACAGAGACTAATTAAAGAGGTCTGAGACTTGATTAATTAAATGAATGGCACGCACGCAGACCACCTTAATTATTTATAAATCTACAATTAGGTAAGTGGGTATTGACATCAAGTACTAGTGTACTCAAAGTCTCCTTTGAATATCAGTACTTGTCTATATAAAGAAGGCAAAACAGTGGAATCTTGGCATCATCGTCCCAAATCTCAAACCCTAACTAACGTATCCACTCCTTTTTGTCTCAGGCCAACTGTATCTCTCCATGTTTCCTTCCGACAAAAATAACAGTCAATTATCCTTTCAGATTTCATTTAATCAAGAAGACACAATCCCCCAAGATCTGAACCGGATTCTTGGTCAGTCTTCTGCGCATTCCTTTGACCACCCAAACAACATTGCAAATGCCAGGCAGCCAAACCCACGTCGTCGTTTTAGTCCCAAAAATATAGATGATGATGATGATGATAGTAACAAGAGGATTATGCATAGAGATGTGGAGAGACGAAGAAGGCAAGAGATGGCTACTCTTTACACTTGTCTTAGAAATCTACTCCCTTTCGAATATGTCAAGGTGATATATTATTTTTTTTCTCTGTCTATATTAATTACTTGATAATTTCTTAATTATGTGAAAAAACGTCATTAATTTCTTGAATTAATATTAGGGTTTTCTTTTTCCCCTCTTTGATTCTGGAATTTTCAGGGAAAACGTGCAATATCAGATCATGTTGATCAAGCAGTGAAATACATTAAACACCTGCAAGAAAAGATTGAAGAATTTAGTCTGCGCAGAGATGAGATAAAGAGATCATCCAATTTAAAGGTTGTTGGCCCCGAAATTACTGAGAACAAGTTAAATAGAAGTCCATCAACTAATGTAGTGGTTCGCTCATCTTTTGTTGGAGTTGAGGTAGTGATAAATAGTGGGTTTGGGGAGCAAGATTTGCAGCTTTCAAAAGTGTTGGAACTGCTACTTGAAGAAGGGCTAAATGTAGTTAACTGCGTTTCGACCAACGTGCAACAAAGAGTCATACATACCATTCAATGTGAGGTAATACCATATCTTAATATCATCGATCACTATGGGTTTAGGGTTTTACATGTTATTAATTTTTAGGTTTTAATTAATTTTTCTAAACGCAGCTCGCATTTCTATGTTTGGCTTTATAGGTCAGCTACTTGACGTGCATCGACGTATATGAGTTGCAAAATAAGTTAATTGAAGCAATTCCTTCATCAAGTGCTTAAAATTCCTAGTGACAAAGTAACTGTGTTTATTAGGGATTAAATCCAACATCAAAATAGGTGTCATTCGCGGTTCCCCGTAGGAAGAGGTGTGTAACACTTGACAATTCCATTCATTTCATGTTGTAATTTTCAGCTATATATGCCAAAAACAGTTAAGTTGTTTGAATGATAACAGATTGATTTATGTAAAATGCTTAATAATTTCATCCATTACTGATATGGGATCCAAACCTCTCAAGCTAGCACCTCTTATTTTCATGTAGGGTTACAAATAAATCAAACTGTTTATGAACAACTTGAATTCGATTCAAAAAATAAAAATCATCCAAGTTCATTCAATAAATTTAACTAGCCAAATTTAAGCTTGCTTGTCAAGTTTATTTAACCAATGAATCAAAGTTGCACATTAGAATGAGCTTGGTGAGTTAACTCTATAATAGTAAACAAGTTCTATGGACGAATTAGAGTATAAAACTATAAGCAAGTCACAATATTTTTTTCTATTTTTCTTTGTAAATAGAGTCTGAGCCAAAGCTCGGTTCATTCACAAACTAAACATGTTAAATTGAGCTCGATTCACTTAATTTTTTATGTTTGAACATGAATATATGAATAAAGAGATGAGTTTCCGCTCGACAGAATTCAGTTCGGACTTTGTTTAGTCTTCATAAGAACCTTTTTATAATGTAATTTATTAAATTATATAATATTTATATATGGTTATAATTTGTATTTAATTTGTAATACTGTGATGAGAAAAATATGTTACATTGTTATTGCTTTTTTTTGTTCAATTAGGACCTAAACAATTAACATAAATTATACTAGTAGTTTGAAATAAGATTACATGAATCCTTCATATCCTCTTATTAAGATCACAGTAAAAACACCTTAGGCTAGCACTTGTCTAGGCGTGATGGTTACATTAGTACATGGAAATGTTGAACGTACATGGAAATGTTGAACATAAATGTAGGCTAGCTATCCCATGAGTTATTTCATTTTGCAATGATTTTCCTCAAGTTGATACTATTGTATCACATGCGTCTAAACTCAAAGTTCTTTTTTTTTACTTCATCTTCTGCTACATTGGATTTTTAGATTATACATAGCATAGAAACTTTAACTTGTCGCCATTTGAGACGCAGCTGCTCCGTTAATGATCTTATGAATCCTTTTCCCTTTTCATATAAGCTCGTTGATTGTCCCTAGAACAAGAGTTTTGTTGGAGAGTGAGTTAACATATAACAACATTTTTCCAGTACATATATAACAAGGTTGATCCCATGTAGTCATCCACAAAGGAGATATGTAAAGCCAATAGCAACAGATATGTCCATCATCTCATGCATAATAATATAATAAAACATTATAATTGATAATATCCATCCGTATATTCAAATTTTCTTTTCAATTAAAATATTTTTATTAGGAAACTTAACTCTTGCGATTGAGAATCCTAATTCCTACCGCTGATTCTTTATACGACATTAATTTTTCATAATATACTTGTTAATTAAGTTTCTTTGTAAATCTGCTTTCCCTTCTCATTAAAAATAGTTGCAGTTTTTGATAAGCTTTTGGTATTCATTTGTGTTTTTTTTTTTTTTTATTGTAGTAGGCTTTTACTTCTCATGTCGGGTTAGGTCTTTTGAGTATACAGGATAAAGCCCAATGTCTTGGGTTTAGTTTTATGATGATGCGAGTTTTTCCCACTTGGAATTTTATTTTCTTTAATAATAAATCTAATTTCTCATTTGCCGATAAAAAATAAGTTTTAGAGAGAGAGAGAGAGAGAGTCTACCACCAACTCATAGCCTATGACCAAATGCCTATCGATATAAGATCTGACTGTTATATATATATAAAAATAAGTTTTAGAGAGAGAGAGAGAGAGAGTCTAAACCACCAAACTCATAGCCCTATGACCAAAAATGCCTATCGATAATAAGATCTGACTGTTAATATATAATATATATATATATTTATATTATAGTTGGGCCAAAAGAATCAAAAGAGTATATATAGTTGGCCAAAGAAATCAAAAGAGGTTAGAACTGATTCCTCAGCTTTGATTATATATATATATATATGTAGGTTTGGTATGAGCATAGTACATAATTACCTTTTGATTTTTATTAATTACATCAAGACCAATGAGAGCTTATGAGCATATTGATGTGGTGTCGTATGAGTAAGACACCAAACATTCATCGTAAGCAGAATTTTTAGCTAGTTTAGTTTACCAGTGTTAAGTTACTATGAGAGAGCTTGTGCTTGGCCAAAAGGAATGAACACTAGTTAAGCAAACTGATTAACTATAGTAAGGAATGGATGAAAAGAAATTCTGGAGCCCACCATCTTAGCTTAATCTGATAATTTTACATTGGGTTGTTAGAAAGGAATTTTGAAATGTGGGTATGACGTTCTATCTATAATATAATTTTCGTAAACGCTACCCACAATAGAAACAGTGCAGTTGAGAAAGCAAAGATACGAAACAGCTAAGCTAATCCTTTTGTTTATATTTTTATTATATCTAATTATCTATTAGCACTGCTTCTAAAGTATATCAAACGTGAGATCTCCTTCTTGATATTGTTGATACTGTACATGCATCTCCATTATTATGACTTTATCTTGTACCAATTCTTTATCAGGAAAGCATATACGTTCATCTTATCCATACATTCAAATAATCATATCAAATGACAGTAAATCATCATCATAACTTTTATGAACCTCTTGATTCAGTAAACTCCTTGATTATTTTTTCCTGACTTAATTTAAGGTCATTTTTTTTTTTAAATGAAAACACACACATAAGAGATAGACAAGACACTGTCTTCATGAAAAACATAACAATTTAGGTCAATTATTGTTTGAATACGTGAAAATAATTTAGGTCATAAGTATATATTGTTAAGCTAATTATTAGTACTCCAAATCATTATATGTAGAGGAAAAGTATATTAATTAAATAAGTCATACTTATCTCTGGCAGGGAAGAGATGGAATTACAACTTATATATTTTAGTAATTACATAAAGTGATGGTAAAAGAAATTGTGTAATTACAAATTTGGTACTTTAATCTTATCTATTTTTTCTTATTTTTTTTATTCATCGAGTGTTTGAATTAATAAATTTTTTATAATTAAATGAATTTGACTAGAATATATGCTTAGTATCAAAATTATATATCATATCACTTCATTTGATTTTTGAGATCATTAAATTTCTTTCTCATTTTATTTTCTCATTTTTGTTGATATTGATGGGAAGTAACACAAAATCTGACCTCACAACAAAAACTTCCCCACTTGAATGAATCTATTAGGAGTACTTCCCCACTTGAATGAATCTATTAGGAGTGACAATGAGCAACAAATTCAAGTAACACAATCTGTCCCAAATCATGCACAATCAAAAATAACATTCACCACACGAACGCAAATCTTTTTACGTGGAAAACTCCTCTGTTATGAAGGATAAAATCCACGGGACCTCTCCTCCGGTCCAAGGAAATAAAATTCACTATCACAAATATTGTCTGACAAATTACAGCAAGCTACAACCACAAAAAATGTAGCTATACCACAAACAACCACAAAACAAATGTATAGCAACACAATAGAGTAATCACAAAACACAGCTGCTGTTCTTGTTTTTCTCAAATACATTTAAAAAAAGTTCTACCTCCATCCAAAAAATTAAACTGATCAAGCCAGAATCAAAGAGTGGATGTAGGAACAAGCTCACCAAAAAATCAGCTCAATCCCGACAAAGGATGACTGCCGAAACGCTGAAAGAAGATGAAGCTATGCCAGAGCTAGAAGCAGAACAGGACAGCTTCGAATTCAGAGCCAGGACTCAATCTCTGAAACTGTAAATCAAAATCCCTACAGTGAGAATCAAGAACAGAGAGCAAAGAACAACATACCCAAAAATCACAAAGATCCAACGGTTGGAACTCTAGGAATCTCTAGAACACGATGGCTGGTGCTTGATGGGGCTGTGCAGAAAAACCCTCTCCTCTCCTCTTCTTTTCTATTTTTCTCACTCTGTTTTGAATGTGTGTCGATCAAAATAGCAGCCAAAGGTATATCATAAATATGGTTGTTAGTTGGGGGGCAATATTGTAAAACAATAATTAGTTTAGTGGACTTCAAAATATGGGCTTTTACCACATACGAAGGGAACCCAAACCCAACAATTCTCCCCTTTCCCGACTATGTGGAAGAGGTGCCCAAACCGGCACTCAAATGGCATATTTCAAACTTCATTCTTGGTAGAGACTTTGTGCACATATCAGCACCATTATCATCCGTATGAATCTTCTCAAGCTCAACTAACTTAGAATCCAAAACATCACGGATCCAATGATATCTCACATCAATATGTTTAGATCTACCATGAAAAGTTAGTTGGAATTCTTACCAAGATGAATAGCACTCTGGCTAAGCAAAATAAAACATACCTTTCCTGAGTAAAGCCAAGCTCATTCACAAATTTTTTCATCCATAGCAACTCCTTGCATGCTTCAGTAGCTGCAATAAACTCAGCCTCTGTAGTAAATAAAGCAATACATTTTTGCAACCTGGATTGCCATGCCACAGCTCCCCCTGCAAATGTAATCAAGTACCCAGAAGTAGACTTTCTAGAATCAATATCCCCAGCCATATCGGAATCAGTGTAACCACAAAGCATAAGCTTTTCAGACCCAAAACACAACTTCAAACCTGAAGTACCACGGAGATATCTCAATATCCATTTAACTGCATATATCCATTTAAACTTTGCATTCCAAATGCCTCTTTACCTGGATTAGAAAGAAATCTACTAACTATACAACATGCATGAGCTATAATCTGGTCTAGTACAACCATAAGCATAACAATCAAACTCCTACTGCACGATGCATAAGGAACCTTTTGCATGAATTCGTTTCTCTTGCTCATTGGAAGGAGACCTGCTTCACACATCCAATCTAATAGATGTAGGGAGAGGGTGTCTTACAGCCTTAGCCTTAGCCATATTGAACCGTTGTAGTAACCTTCCAATATACTTCTCTTGTGAAAGCCATAATTTATGCAATCTTCTGTCAACGAATGACCTTTATGCCAAGAATCTGCTTTGCCGGGCCTAAAATCCTTCATAGAAAAAGACTATGCTCAAGTCCTTTCTTCAAATTCATAATTCTGGAGGGAGTTAGGACCTACAATTAAGCAATTATCATCAACATACAACACAAAATGATAAAAGTCATTTGTCAAAAGACTTTGCAGCAAAAACACATGATCAGAAAGTAAGTCCTTTTTGTAGCCTTGCTGAACCATAAAGACTCAAACTTCTTATACCACTGCCTTTGGTGCTTGTTTAAACCATACAAGCTCTTTTTCAACTTGCACATTATATTTTCTTTGCCCTTCACCACAAAACCTTCCAGGCTGCTCCACTATAAATTTCCTATTCTAAGTCACGCATGAAGAAATGCAGTTTTCACATCCATCTTTGCTCAAATATCTAAATCAAGTGGTAAGCAGCTAAACCCAAGATAACCCTGAATGGAAGGACATCTTTTTAACCACTGGTGAGAAAAAATTTCTTCAAAATCAATCCCCTTTTCCTCTGACTAAAGCCGCTTGACAACTAATCCTCGCTTTATACCGAGGGGAATGATGAATTCTCTTCAATGCTTCACCTTATACGATCCACCTATTTCTTCAAGGCTTTTCTATCTTTAGGAAAGCTAGGCTTTTCTATCTTTAGGAAGCTTCACCAGTTCAAAAGTATCATTGTCATATAAGGATTGCATTTCATCTTTCATAGCAATAATCCATTTTGTCTTTTCCTCACTCAACAGCTTCTTGGTAGCATTCTGGCTCATCTGCATCTGTTAACAATACATACTCATTAGGAGAATACCTTGTAGATGGAATATGATTTCTGGTAGACCTTCTGACTGGAGCCTCTTGTTGTCCCTCAAGTGTCTCATACTGATCATCAGTAGCATCATCTACAGGAATATCAACCTCATCGGCCTCTTCAGTATTATCCTGAAGATCAACCTGATTTCTAACATCAACTGCAACAGGTGTTGAAGCTGACGGAATTGGATCAACATCAACCAAGCTGTTATTCTGAGGTTTTGGTTTCTCCACTTTGCCAATATGTTCAATAGTCTGATTTTCAATAAAGACCACATCACGGCTTCTATAAACTTTCTTCTCAATAGGATCATAACACCTATAGCCAAACTCATCTTGACCTGACCATAGCCAATGAAGATACACTGTCTTGTCTTGTCCTTGGCATCTAGTTTGGACCTTCAATCTTTAGGAAACATGAAACAAAACATTTGCAACCCCAAATACCCGTAGATGATCATATGAAGGCTTCTTACCATAACAAAAAACTATCAGGAAACATCATTATTCAAAGGAAACGGTAGGAGTAAATTGATGCAACTGCATACAATGCCTCACCCCAAAAAGAATTAGGTAGTTTTGCATCTGAAAGCGTACATCTAACTCTCTCCATCAAGAACTCTCTCCATCAAAGTTCTATTCATCCTTTCTGCCAAGCCATTCAACTGTGGAGTCTTAGGAGGTGTCTTCTGATGTCTGATACCATGCTCTCGACAATAGGAATCAAATGGCCCACAATATTCACCTCCATTATCAGTAAGAACACATTTCAACTGTTTACCTGTTTCTCTCTCAGCATAAGTGTGAAATTCTCTAAATGCACCGAGTACCTGATCCTTTGACTTTAACACACGAACCCAAAGCTTTCTTGACTGATCATCAATAAAAGTCACAAAGTACTGTGCACCACCAAGTGACTTATCCTTCAAAGGACCACATACATCTGAGTGTACGAGCTCTAACAACTCTTCTTTTCTAGCTAGAGGAGGATGATGTTTTTAAAGGAGACCCGTTTCTGTTTTCACGGCCAAACAATGCTCACAAGTGTCTAACTCCCCACCTTGTAAACCAGAAAGCAAATTCTTCTTAGTTAGAATATTCAGACCCTTTTCACTGATGTGACTCAATCTCTTGTGCCATAATTCTGTTGAACTATCATTTTCAACTGCATTCACAAGATCTGTAGGGATAGTGTTTTCGCCCAAATCTCCCCGGAGGACCCAAAAACATCCTTTTGCCGATAAATCGGTCTTATAAAGTATTTGAGTCGCCACCCATTTTTTCGGCAATGGGACCGTTTCCAATTTTATTTTATAAAAGTGACTTCGTTTAACCCAATTTTATTTAAGGCCAATTATTTTTTTTAAAAGACTGGTCAGGCTTACCGAGTAATTCTTAAGTATCAACTTCATACCAAGGTTGGTCACCACAGTTACATTGCCAATGCCCACTACTTTGGATACAGATCCATTTCCCATCCGTAAAGTTTCAAAATCACCAGGAGTGTAAGATGTGAAGAATTCTTTCTTTGTAGCAACATGGTGTGCAGCTCCACTATCAAGTACCCAAAGAACCTATTGCTGGCAACATTAATCATACTTCCATCATGAACAACAGCCAAATCAACTGAAGTAGCAACACTGACACGATCACCATTTTCATCATTGCCATTCTTTTCTTGCTTGCCTTTATTGGTTTTGTTATCCTTTTTCCACTTGTAACAGTATCCACTTGTAACAGTACCGTTTGATATGCCCAGATTTACCACAATAATGACATTCACGGCTCTTATACCTTGACTTTGATTTACTCCTACTCTTACTTCTATTGTTGTGATCATGACTTCTACTCTTGCTTCTCCCCCTGTTTTCAGTAACCAAAATATCTGACTGTGATGTGGAAGCGCCCTGACTTCTCCTTCTTACTTCTTCATTCAGAACACCACTCTTCACATACTGCATAGTTACAACACCATCAGGAGCAGAATTTGTCAAAGATACCCTAAAGTTTTCCCAAGAGTCAGGAAGTGTATTAATCCCATAATATCCTCATCAAATCTTCAACAACCAAAGTCCCATAATATCCTCATCAAACTTGACACCCATACTGGATAACTGATCAAAGATACCTTGAAATTCATTTACATGGTCAAGTACTGAGCTCCCTTCTTTGTACTGCAGGCGTATGGCTTACTTAAGTAAGAACAACTTGTTGTTACCAGTTTTAGAAGCATACAAAGATTCTAGCTTTTCCCACAAAGTTTTAGCATGTGTATCATTAACAATATGATTATATACATTATCCTCAACCCATTGCCTAATAAAACCACATACTTGCTGATGCTCAAACTCCCATTCTTCATCAGACTTAGACTCAGGCTTACTAGTAGCAAATACAGGCAAATGTGTAGTTTCTTAAAAACAAAAGTCTTTCATCTTTCCTTTTCCAAGTGTGATAGTTTTGTGCCATCACCAAATCATTTTACTCATTTTACCTTCCATAATTCCAAACAAGCAAAAAAAATGCTCAATCCAAACAAAATAACTGCAGGCTCTCGATACCACTGTGATGGGAAGTAAACAAATCTGACCTCACAACAAAAACTTCCCCACTTGAATGAAATCTATTAGGAGTAAACAATGAGCAAACAAATTCAAGCAACACAAGCTTGTTCCAAAATCTCACAATCAAAAATAAAACATTCACCACATGAACACAAATTTTTTTAACGTGAAAACTCCTCCAGTGTGAAGGATAAAAACCACGGGACCTCTCTCCGGTCCAAAGGAAATAAAGTTCACTATCAACAAATATTGTCTTACAACTTACAGCAAGCTAGCAACCATCAAAAATATGCTAGCTATACCACAAACAACCACAATAAATGTGGTGGGAAACACAATAGTAGTTGGATCACAAAACAGCTGCCTGTTCTCAATACATTTAAAAAAGTTCTACTCAAATCCAAAATTAAACTTGAATCAGCCAAAATCAAGAGTTGGATGTTTTAGGAACAAGCTCACCAAAAATAATAGGCTCAAATCCCGACAAAGGATGACCTTGTCCGAAACAACGCTGAGAAGATGAAGCTATGCAGAGCTAGAAGCAGAACAGACAACTTCGGATTCAGACGCCAGAACTCATCTCTGAACCTCCAAATGAAAATCCCTAACGATGAGAATACAAGAACAGAGAGCAAAGAACAACATATCCAAAAATCACAACGAATCCAACGGTTTTTGGAAACATCCAGAATCTCCAGAACACGGTGGCTGGTGCTAGATGGGGCTGTGCAGAAAAACCCTCTCCTCTCCTCTGTTTTTCCTCACACGATTTCTGGTTGTGTGAGTTTCGATCAATATGAGAGGGGCTGTGCAGAAAAACCCTCTCCTCTCCTCTGTTTTTCTCACACGATTTCTGGTTGTGTGTCGATCAAATGAGAGCCAAAAAATATTAGGAATATAGCTGTTAGTTGGGGGCATAATTGTAAAATAATAATTAGTTAGTGGATTTCAAAATATGGGCTTTTACCACATAGGAAGAGAACCCAAACCCAACAGATATTTAATATGAAATAAAAAGATAATTTGAATTTCTTAAAAAAAAGAGTTATAAAACAATAAAAATAAAATAAAACATGAGATGTGCAGAATACATATTTTTTTTGTGTGTAATAACAATAATTAAGTAAAGTTATCTATTTTAATTTTTTTTTGAAAAATATAATTCTGGATAAATTACTTCATTCAAAAAATGCGTATATGTAGACAATTAATTATAAAAAAATAAAGTTTTAGCACTAAAATAAAAAGATAGCAGAACTGAGACACCAATTACATGATTATTCTGAAAAAGAAAGAGAGAGAGGCAAAAGTAAAGAGGAAGGCACAACCACAAAACGAAATCAAATAATTGTTTGTCGTTTTCAATTTTATCCGAATGATCCAAAAAATAATGGGAACGGAATATCGGGTTTGGTAAATATGAAAATGAAATTAGTTGTAATTTGTTCAGTAGAAAAGCGAAAGAGAGTGTCTCCGTCCCTGTCCCACGCACATTGCTTTAGGCAACGTTTCTCTCACCTTGACTATAACAAAGGGAGAATCTTTGGCATTTTTAGCCAATTATAGACCACCGTCAACAACCGTATCCAATAGTTTCTTCTTCTTTAACTCCATTAATGCTGGCTAGCTAGTTGCATCAAGTTTTATTAATTTAGCTTTGATCATCAGTTTGCCTCAATTCAATGTTTCCTTTCCAACAAAATAATGAACTTTCTTCCCAGATCTCCTCTAATTATCCCAACCAAGACATTGTTAATCCATTAATCTTGGATTATCAATTCACTTCACTTGGAACAAGCAATTACTTAATGGAAGATGGCCTGCAGCAACCTTCTATAACATTACCATCTTCAAACCCTAATAATGACAAAAAGAAGATCGTTCGCAAGGAGATCGAACGGCAAAGACGGCAACAAATGTCAACTCTTCAGGCATCGCTTCGGTCCCTTCTCCCTCATCAATCACTCCAGGTCAACAACCTCTAATATTTTAATTACTTAATATTGTTAGCTAATTATGGGTCTCTGCATAATTAATTGCTTTGTTTAGTCCTCATTAGCATGTAGTTATGGTTCTAGGGTTTCGTTGATGGGGGTATGCAGGGAAAGCGCTCGATGTCTGATCATGTAAATGAAGCTGCCAAATATATAAAACACCTTGAAAGTAACGTTCAAGAATTGAGTGCTAAGAGAGATAAGCTCAAGAATTTGACTTGCGTTGGTGACCAAGAAGAAGGGAATCAAAGTACAGTAGTGCACAATAATTCTACGAATGCTACTGTCAGTGTCTGGTCTCATGTGGGTGGAGTAGAGGTTGTTATAAGTAGTGATTCTGGAGAGGAAACTTTTCTTTTATCAACGGTGCTAGAAGCGCTTCTTGAAGAAGGATTTGATATTGTTTGCTGCATTTCCACCAATACAGATGGAAGGTTATACAGCACTATTCAGTGCCAGGTATTTTTCTTCGTACTATTAATTTTTAGATAATAGTTTCGGTTTAATAATTTGTGGATTTTTAACATTTTGACATTTCTTTTGCAGGCTAGCCATGAAACCTGCATTGATCCAACTACGCTGCAACAGAAATTGAATGATGTGATCTTGAAATAAGAGATCTATTACTGATTAAATTAATTTTTTATTTATATATTTATATCTGCACTGCCTTAAATTATATATATATATATACTTATTATGAATCCTTAACTTTAGTTATGTTTATGTATTGGCTAGCTGTAAAACATATCTGCTGATGCCCTTTGGCTACCATTTTTTCGGTGATTGAAGTGGGAAAATGAAAATCTGATTGTTAATTTTTATTAATTGAATTATTCCTTGAAAATAATATATATATATATTACATATGGATTTGGTAGGAAGGAGAAATAGGTTCATTTGGAGTGTGTGTGTAGCTGCATGCATGAACATATTTGTTTCTATATATATTTGGCATGTGCAGTATTGAAACAAGCAGAAAAACCCATATACAAAGCTGAATTGACTGACTAATCGAATGGCACAATGCGACTCCGCTGGTAAGTGTATTATTTATTTCTGCACTTCTGGTTTTAATTAAGATGGTAATTTTGCTTATTCCGGTTAATTCAATCTCTGCTGATAATTTTCATTTTTCTTTATATGTGTTCAGACGCTCTACATGTTAAGCTGCATGATCGTCATGTAAATTACGTCACTTGATAGTGGATAAATAATCATCCATCCGTCCTCATTATACATATATATATATATATTTACTGAAACCCTTATCAAACTTCATAAGCATGCGATTTCAGTGCATTACATTTACATATATAGATGCACTGGAACCAGCAAACCACCATTCAAATTTGTAATCAGGATTTCATGGCATCTTTTGATACTTAACTGAAACTATCAATTCAACCAGAGATCTTATTTGCATCGAAAAACTCTTCTATTATTGTTGCATTTTTCTTGTAAAATGTTTAGAAAGGTAAAAAGTTTTTTCTTATGCAATATTTTGGTCACAACTCCCTTTTCCATTTTGAAAAAAAAAAAAAAAAAAACCATAAACCCTTTTTAGTTTAATGCATCATTCATTCATGAAATAAATTAGCTGTTTCATATCAAATAACTATATGTTCTTAATTTTGATTTAAACTTTAATATTTAGATAATTATTTTTTTGAAGAAGATTTAAATGAACTGATTATCAATAGCTGAAATTTTTAACGTAAAATAATATATTTCCATAGTTATGAGATCTACATATAAATGAATTTACATCCTTAGTTGCTCCATACTGATATAGTTACACTTAGCTCAAACTAATTATTGATCTACTGTACATTATATTGTTGTGATTATTTAACAAATAAAATTTCCTTGTTGCAAATTTTCTATGCACATTTTAAACCCAAAAGATTAACTACTCCAGACCATAGCAGAAGTCTAGTAGACAGTGATGTGTGATGGAATTTGAAGCCGTGGTAGTTCTGGTGGATGTGCAACGCTAATTGAGAGTTGATATAAATTTTTTGTTCTTTGACAAGTTTGTTGAGGCATTGAGAAAGAGTTTATTTTATATATATATATATATATTATGATTCTGTATATGAAGGATTAATATAATTTTTTTGCATTTTAATGATATTTTGAGATGGGTAAGGCAACTTCCAATATAGTTTGCTGCTGATATGGTCAATTTAGAATATATCTCCAATTTTCTTGTTCAAGATGTTGATCGTGGAAGATTATAAATCATAATTTAGACTCTATTTTTAAAAAAGAAAATTTTTTATATTCAATGACTATATTATACTCTTTTTTTTTTTTTTTTTTTTAATTTAGAAATCTATTTTAAAAAAGAAAATTTTTTATATTCAATGACTATATTTATACTCTTTTTTTTTTTTTTTTTTTTGTTGAATTAAACGGTGAAACATCTATATGCTTATTGATCCTAACTAAAGAATTATTTTGGGCACTTCCTGACAAAAATGAAGATGGAATGCGATATTAATGAATAGTTTTTTTTTTTTTTTTTTTTTTGTTGAATTAAACGGTGAAACAATCTATATGCTTATTGATCCTAACTAAAGAATTATTTTGCACTTCCTCGACAAAAATGATGGATGCATATAGAACTTAGTTTAATTTCACTTCATAAATTAATTCCCATATTTTAGGAAGAATTAATGAATAATTAATGTATGAACTTTTGAAATTCATAGTTCTTTTCCTTTTGTTTTATTTTATAAGTTTTGGGTGTATTCAACTAATTATATGCATGCATTCAGATTAGTTTTACCTAATAATACAGGTCTTTGGCATAGCCTTCCTATAAGAAGAAAATGATCCATCATAACCTCCACTCAATAAATTTCTATTTTGATTAAAGTATTAATCATTATGAGATAAAGTCGGGAGGGAAATGAGGTCCCCAGTAATACTCCCAATGGGCAGGGCAGCAGAGGAAGCCTTTCAAGTTTTCATCATTATTATACTTATAAGCGAATAAGACTTTACAGCTCTTTAATGTTTGTCCATATGCCAAACTTCTAAAAATTTTACTGAGTTTGGTAAATTAATATATTAATGTAGTGATGGTGCAAGAAATAAAAAGTAAAAAAATGGAAAAAATTTCAAAATTTAAATAAGAGTAAAATTGAAAAAACTTATTATTGAAAACTTTAAATGTAGTGGGGGATTTTGGGTTAAGAGGGGCGAAGCCTCCTCTAATACCTCTCCTTTCGTCATTGCTTGAAAGATTATTATCTACATCAAACCTTTGAATTATTGTTTTGAATGAAGTTGTTGTGAACAATTGCAAAAATAAAAAATAAAATTTTAAGATATTAATATATGAAAACTACTTATCTGCTTTTGAGAGAGAGAGATGCGCTCAAATTTTGGAAATTTTAATAATGAAATTAACCATGATACCAATGTTACATCAAAAATTAAATTAAATGCTCTAGTTCTTAAATTTTACTAAATGATTTCCCTCAAAAAAAAAAAAAAATACTAAATGGTTGACCAGATTATTTAGTTATTTTTTATTGAAAAAATCGTAAATATATTCTGATGGGCCACGGCCTATTCTTGCGTGTTAGTAAATATTGGATGGGGCTAAGGCCCAGAATTTAGTTATTGCACCGTGCCCACTAGATAATTCTTATTAATGCTTATACTTTAGTGGATCAAGGAAGTTAAGCCTATATATACACTCGAGCTTTATTATTATGTCTTAAATAAATATCACAAGTAAAGTTTAATAAAAAATATAAGAATTTTTGAAAATGTCAAAACATATTTAATTTCAGAATTCTGATATAATTCAGTAGATATATATTCATAAAAAGGGATAAGAACACGATTACCAGTTTTAGTTTGTTTAACGATACAGGATTTTTCTCATAAAAAATCTTGATATAAGATTTCCTTTCTTTTCTTTAAAAAATCAATTAATATAAATATATGATTAAACGGTTTAACCTATGGATTGGTAAATAATATTTGGCTTATTGACGTGACTTTTCCCATTATCATTAAATTTGTAATTTTATACCTGCACATAAAATCTATGATTTGATTCTTTTTTTTCATAAAAAAATAAAAAATATTAAATTATTTTATTTGATAGTACTAGTAAATTAGATTAGATTGGAAAATCATATTTTCTGTTTTCCAATAGAGATAGAGAATGTAGCTTAAGACAAGTATTAGTTTGTGTTTGAATATATGATCTTTATTCAGCTAATTCAAACCTAAGTTTTAAAACCCATGGTTAAGATCGCCAATGGCATGCGTTGACACTAATCAAATTGAAGATCAATGAATCAAATGGTCCAGATTTCTTACCAAAATATAATATATGGTCCAGATTGATAAGTAGGTAAGCAGAAGCTATCCACTGGATAGAAGTCACTTTCCATTGTCACTTAAAAAATGAACCAACCATGTCATATTTAATTCTTTAATACCAGCCATAAACTATAAATTAATTCCTAAAAATGTTCAACATAATAATTAAACATTACATTTCCAGTGGGAAAGCGAGTTAATTTAACAAAATACTATCAACAAGCACTAGAAAACATCCGCCAGGTTATTGTGTGCTTCTGACGAAGAAGATCCATCTTTTTATTTTTCAATTTATTAATATTACAATACAATCGATATTCTTGACTTACTCAGCTGCATTTTGTCTTCACTGTAAGACTTCTTCTCTCTCTCGCCATATTTCTTTTGCTCTTACAATTTCAGTATAATTTGGTTAATCCTGCAATTTTATTTCTTGGACAGAAAATAAAAAATGAAATGGAAATGTTTCTGTTGTGTCTTCCCCAAAGAAGCACAACCCACGATGATCAGGTATATGCCTTCAACAAATTCTAGCGGAAGTTTTTGTTTGTTTCTTCTTTTTTTTCTTTTTTTTTTTTTTTTTTCGGAATTTTTGTTTGTTTCTTCTTTTTTTCTTTTTTTTTTTTTTTTTTCTTACACTCTTTGATTTTTATGTTTGCCCAGTTTTTTTCTTTTTTTTTTTTTTTTTTCTTACACTCTTTGATTTTATGTTTGCAGTTCAAGTAACGAAAAGGATTATCCATGGGAGAGATACACCCTCAAAGAGCTTCTTCATGCAACCAATAATTTTCATAATGATAATAAAATTGGAGAAGGTGGATTTGGAAGTGTTTATTGGGGTCGAACAAGTAAAGGCGATGAGGCAATCATGTCTAATCTTTTTTTTATCTCTCTCATTTTCTCCTGCTCTGTTAATTAATTTCTTGAACCAAAGAAGCTTTTATTGCATGTAGATAGCGGTGAAACGACTCAAGGCGATGACTGCAAAGGCGGAGATGGAATTTGCAGTAGAAGTAGAGATACTTGGGAGAGTACGGCACAAGAACTTATTAGGTTTAAGAGGATTTTACGCAGGCGGCGACGAAAGACTTATAGTCTATGATTATATGCCTAATCATAGCTTAATCACTCATTTACATGGCCAACTCGCTTCAGATTGTTTGCTGGATTGGACCAAAAGAATCAAAATTGCCATTGGCTCAGCTGAAGGATTAGCGTAAGTAAAAAAGATTAATAATTTCCCTTAATCTTTTGGCAAATAAATTACTGCTTTTTATATTAAAATCTTTTTGAAATTTAATTATCGTTTTAGGTACTTGCACCATAAGGCTAATCCTCATATAATCCATAGAGACATAAAGGCCAGCAACGTTCTTTTAGATAAAGAATTTAAAGCAAAAGTTGCAGATTTTGGATTTGCAAAGCTAATACCAGACGGTGTTACTCATTTGACCACAAGAGTAAAAGGAACTCTTGGCTATTTAGCTCCTGAATATGCCATGTGGGGAAAAGTTTCTGAAAGTTGTGATGTATATAGCTACGGAATTTTACTACTAGAAATCATTAGCGCCAAGAAACCATTAGAGAAACTTCCTGGAGGCATTAAGCGAGATATTGTCCAATGGGTCACACCATATGTTCAAAAAGGAGCACTTAATCACATTGCTGATCCTAAATTAAGAGGTAAATATGATTTAGCTCAGCTTAAATCATCCATTATAGTCGCTATGAGATGCACTGATAGCAATCCTGAGAATAGGCCTACCATGTTAGAGGTTGTAGATTGGCTTAAGGGTGGATTCACAAGAAGGACAAAAGAGGTTTCTTATTTGCAAGATGACCAAGAAAACAACGATGATGACACAGATTACGATGATCATGAAGGATTAGGAATGAAAAATTTCGATGTGCGAAGAAAAAAATAGGTAATGTCGAAATCAAAATGGATATTTAATTTTTAGGGTTTTTTATTATTATTTATTCAATGTAATCTTGAATTTGATCAAGACGTTCCTGTTGAGTATTTTCATAAGTGATTGTAAATAAACATCCAAGTTGGAAAGAAACAATGTGATTTGGGCATCTCTATTTGTCTGTTTCTTCCTTTGATTGTATTTTATAATTTATTAGCAACTTTATCTCTGCAAGCTACATGTTTAAGACGGTGTCAATTGCTTTCATTTCAACAGAGCGCTGATGTTATTAAATAACAATATTAAAATCTAAAATATGAAGACAGCCAAAAAGTGATAATGATATCAACTTGATTTATCAATTTATATATTCATTCATATCTTTTTCTTTTTAAAAAAAAAAAATTTTGAAGAATGAAAGGATGTCAGGCCCAGTAAGAGCAAAAATGGGCCTTGTCTGTACATAATGTTAATGGACTGAACAGGGGCGGATATTACCCAAGTTTTTTTCCAAATTTTATATGTTTTTTAAAATATCCTTATTAGCCCAAATTTGTGCTTTCAATTTATTTTTTTATTTTTAAATTTAGAAAATTGCAATATAAAAAATAGTCCTTGACAGAGTAGTCTGGTGGTGTGAAAAAAGGGAACTTTAAGTGCAAAGTGCATGGAAGGGTCCATGATTTTGACAATGCAGGGTCTGGAGTAGTTGGTTATGAGTGTTGTGTAGAATCATATGTTGGTCACCATCCATCACTCTCAATTCCTAAAAAGTAAAACATGACCCCCCACTATCCAGTACAACAACCCCACTATATCCGTATTACCCAAATTTAATCTGCAAACAAATCATATATTCATCCACCCCTTTTTTTTTCAAACCTCAATCCGACAGGCCATTGAATTTCAGCAAAAAAATGTTCCCCCGATTATGGGTTGTTCTTAATTTATGTTTATACATATTAATATTCCGGCGTAGAAAGGTGTCCCTCTTGATGGCATTTATTTCGGTGGAACTATTTCTATCCTATACCTAATAACATTCCAATTCTAGAATTTAGAGTGTTCCAATTTGTGGATCCATCAAGTTTTAAATGAAAAAAAAAATGTATATAAAAGATGAAAGATGTACGTTTTTAATATTATATCGTGGCAAGAAACCAAGCGTGAAGTCCAAATTTACATCATGCATGCCCATGATAGGCTTTTACCAGTGGAAATCAGGCTATTTATGGAGGCTAGCTAGTCTTGGAATGCATGTGAAGGTTGCTGCAATGAATTTAAAATTATGAATAGCCATGGCGAATAATAAAAATGAGACAAAATAATGGCCAATCCTATTATGTTGGGCAAAGTCATTGATATATAAAAGAATGGTTAATTGCCAGAATAACTCCAGCAACAGCCTTTACTATCCCAAATCCCGAAGTGCATGTTTTTATAGTAAAAAGGGAAGCAAACCTACAAGATATAATATTCAATTTTGTTTTATTGTTATTTTCCTAAGGCGCCCTACGAATTGGGGAGAGCTTCTTTCTTTTCTTTTCTCAGATCACTTTCTTCATTGACAGACAAGAAAAGCAGTTCCAATATCTGCTAAAAGGTAAGATGATAATGGTATTTGCATGTGTACTCTCGTTTTGATTGGAAACCATTTAACCACTTACGAATCCAAGAAAAAGGGTGCATGTGATGTGATTCAATTTCAATTCATTTCAATTGCGACTAATATAATAATTTACTAATTTAGGTTTAAAGTTATTGGAGATTATTTAAATTTAAATTTTATATCAATGATTAAATTGATTTATTTATTTTGTGAACGACTAAAAATTGAGAATAGAGTTAGCTGAACAAGCTAGCTATTATAAATATAGAATAGAAGGTAGGTGAAAAGGAAACCAGCCGGCCTATAAGGGTAGGATTTAGAAGTAGAGAGGGTTATGAGCTGCCATTTACTTGTCATTCTGTGTCTCCATGGCTAAACACCTAATTAACGGTTTGCGAAATTAAAGACATCACTGAAATGGTTTTCTTTTTGGAAAATAATTTTAAAAAATAATAATAAGAGAGGTTTATTAGTAATATAATAATTATGGGTAGGCATGATGATCCAGCTTGATAGTTGCAGCCTTGCAGTTGCAGGAGCACAAAGAAGAGAAGGGTGGAATTGGAAGCCATGAATAGCAACCACGGAGAAGATTATCGAAATTGTTCTTCATCCACTCTACTCTGATAAAATGTCAGGGATGGATTTATATAATAAAATTTGTAATTGAGATCCAGCTGCCAATTGGCCATATACACTCCACGAAGAAAGTCAATAAACTGAAAAGCATCCATTTTTATTCATTCGTCTTGAGACATTGCGTGCATGGAAAATTCTTTTTCAATTTGCAAAAGGCCATATTTAACTTCGGCTCGTATTCCAAAGAATCAAATAAAATCAGGATTTATATTTTTTTTTTCCAATTATATTCTAAAAATGAATTGTGGTAAGCACTCATAATGACTTTGATCAAGAGTTGAATTTTTTTTTTTAAAATTATATTATGGAATTTTTAATAACTTGAAATAATTGTTAAAAACAAGTTAAAGTAAAAGAAATACAGTGAGAGGAAGCAAAGATACGTATGCTTATTCTTTCTATTGAGAAATAAGGGAAAAATACAAATTATGAGTCTTAAAAATAGTAAATTAAAATTTAAGGTTTAGGATTTTTGGATTTAGAGACTAAGAATTAAGATTTAGTGTTTAGAATCCAGAGTTTTGAGATGATTTAGAGTTAAGAATTTAGATTTTAGGATTTAGAGTTCATGACATACAATCTTAGAATTTAAAGTTTAGGACGTGGAATTTAGTGTAATTTTATTGTTTTCATTTAAAGGATCATGTAAATGATAGGAGCCTACCGTCAACACCTACCCTAAAAACAAAAGGAAAGAAAGAAGGAAAATGAAAAATATATATATAGGTGAATCTGAAAATGGAACCACCAATTAGAATCCCGATTACCACTGAATAAGCTGATAATTATATTTTAATGATTAATTTTCTATTGATTAGAGTTGAAATTCCCATCCGTTAGTCTGAAATATTTCATTATTATTACAAAAATAGTAAAATTCAATTTTAAGCAATCAATTTAGTTGATCTTTTCCTTTTTTTTTTTTTTTTTATTTTAAGCAATCAATTTAGTTGATCTTTTCCTTTTTTTTTTTTTTTTTTAGGAACGCGAGAAATAAAAGGTTGATCTTTTCCTTTTTTTTTTTTTTTTAGGACGCGAGAAATAAGATTTATCAATTTTAATTAGGTCTTTTTCATTTATAAAGATTTTAGTAATTGAATGAATACTATAAAAGAAAATTGTTATAAAATTTGTCATCATGTTACAATAGAACTTTTATTATTTGCTTTTTGATATTGAGAAATAGCAGTGTAGTTGCCACTTTGTTGGTTGCTCGAAGATTAATGTTTTTTTTTTAAAAAAAAGAAAAAGATAAGGAAGCGGAAAATAAAAGAAGAAAAAAAATAAATAATTATTTTAAACAATTCTTTACTAGTATAAATAAATTTTATAAAATTTATTAGAAATTATAAATTTATATTCAATATAAATAAAAAAAAAAAGAGTCATTTCCCCATAAAAGCAGTAAATTGTATGAAATTTAACATGATTAAATTAAAGTTCATTATTCATAAATGTAATTCATTCTTTATATTTATTTTTATGAAGGATGGATTATATATATAACTTGGTTAATCAAAAGCAAAGCAAATAAAAACAAAGAAAAAATTTGTTATTTTTTCCTGGATATATATATTTAATAAAATAAATTTTTCATTTGCTGATAAAAAAAATAAAAACAAAGAAAAAACCATCTGAGGTGTTTTCCGTGCAAAATTCCCCAAATTTCAGATTTCTGTCTGTAATTTGTTATTTTGTTTCTTTATCAGTTGTAGCATACATATATATATGTATATACACACATCAGTAATTGCAAAGGAGAAGAAAATAACAAAGTAAGTGATTAAAGAAGTTGAAATCTGACAGAAAGCACAGTATAATTACAAATTGGTCACTAGACGGCATTTTATCTGACAAGTGACAACAGATAAATATATGGAGGAAGAAGAAGAAGAAAAGAAAAAGGCAAAAAATGGTGGAAAAATGAAGAAGAAGAAGTTACCAAAAATCGCAGAACAATGAAATGAATGATGTTAGAACAAGAATTTGAAGAAAACATGCAAAGAGGACAGAGACATTAAATTTCGAGAGACAGAAAGGACGAGAGGAGAGGAGAGGAGAGGAGAGGAGAGGAGATGAGATGAGCTACGGGCGAAAAGTTAGTTGTGTAGACCTGTTGTTGTCTTTTTACTTTAGCACTTACATTTACTTGCTTATATTTATTACTCACTTATTCTACTGCATGTCTTTCCTTCTTTAATTATTTCCTTGCTTTTCCAGACACGAACTCCATCAACAGTAAATCAACATCCCAAACTCTTTTTACTGTTGTCCTATTCATTCTATTCTCTCTGAGTGAAATCAATGAATTTAAGGTTAATGGTATCGAAAATGTTATATTTTATATTACAATTTCTTATGATTAAAATTTGTATATATATATATATAGTTACATGCTTATTCGATGTGATGATTTCTTAATTTCTCAATACCTGTCTAATAATCAATTTGGTTAAACTAAATAAATAAAAAAGAGAGTATCTGCCTCATGAATATTTTTTTTCTTTACGAAATAAAATAGCTATAAAAAAGAAAAATAATGAAGGAAATAAAATTTAATTTATTTTTCACCCAGTCTATATATTTGGGATCTCTCCAATTTAGAGAGATAATCAACAAAGGATTAATAAGAATTTTACTATTTTCTCGAAATTACCAATATACCTCCAAATTTCCAAAAAATGTCAATTTTTAATTATTATTAATTTACAAAAATATCTTATTTTCTTTGAAGTTTTATTTTTTTCTAAATAAAGGAAAATATAATTTATTTTCTTTTATTCTTTTTATTCAAACAAAATGAAATATAATCATAGAAAGAAAATTAACAATTTCTCATTATTTTTCTTAATTATTTTCTTTTTTTCATTATTTTTTATTTTCCCATTTTCTAAAAAAGCCATTATATGAATCAAACAATAATTTTTTTGGATTTTGATTCTCTAAAATGTTAGTGTTCAAAAAGTTAGAGAAAGATGATTATATTAATATTGAATTTTTTTTTTTTTGAAAGGAATAGAAATTACAATTGAAGATGAAAACTAGGATAAGGACGCGTAATCCTTGTCAATGCAGGAGCATTAGAGTTGGCTTGTTTTCGAAAATGTGCAATATTAATATTGAGATTTTTAAAAATTTTAATATTCTATGCAACATTTATATACATTGTAAATTACATAAATAATCACCTAACTATCTCTCATGTTCTTTTAAGCATACCATACGATAAGTAAAAAGTCAAATGAAAATGGAAGAAAAAGAGCGAAAAAGTGAAGGGAAGGAGAGAGCAGGCAAATGGAAGAAACAAAATAGGCCAAAGACAAGGCACTAAGGCAGAGAGAGGCATCGATTCGATGCGTCCACGTCTTAGACTCTGCAACTAAAATACGTTCCTCTGAGCTCTCTTTCACACACACACACACACACTCCCCCCCTCCCTTACTCGTCGCGGGAACTCTTTCTTTTTTTCTTTTTCTTTTTAATTTTATTTTTCTCTGTTCCCAAACAACACAGCAACCCCATTTAATGCCCTAAAAAAAAAGCAATCTTAGTAGTAATTTTATAGAGCCGCGCTTCTCAGTACCAAGTACAATCATGACCACTTCTAATCATGCATATATACACCAGTTGTTTCCTCTTTCTTCTTGTTTATTTATTTTCTTTTATTACCTCTCTTTCTCCACTTCATTACTTGTCAAAATCACACATCAAATTAGTAATGTGTGGTTGCATTAACTGATTAATAATCAACTGAAGGGTCTTAGTCAATGGCAGCTCCACAATCCCGTCTTTTTCTGTTTCTTCTTTTCTTTCTTTCCTTTCCCTGCTATGATTTTCCCACTCCTATTTTCTTTCTTTTCCTTTTTACTCACCCCAAAGACCTCTCTTTTGAGGGTTTTAGCAATAAAAACTAGAACTTTCAACTAAGTTGGTTCTATAAGAATGGTGCTTGTTCTTCTTGTTGCGGTTTTAGTCTAAATCTCTCTACTGAGTTCCCTTCTTTTCTGGGCCCATTACAGATGGGCGATAACAAAGGAGAAGCTGCCAAGAAACAAACTCAACAATCACAACAGCAGAAACTTTCATCTCCTCCCTTAAAAGACTCACTTGACGATTCACCAGAAGCTAGACCACACCATCACCAACAGCCACCGCCACCGCCACCGTCTGTTGTCGTTACTGGACCTCCTTTCATTTCTTCTACTCTTTATGTTCCAATTGGTGCAACTTCCTCTCCTTTTGAACAACAATTTGAGACTGTAAACTCTAAAAGACCCAGATATGCTACTGCACAATGGAAACTTTTGCCTTCTCCATCCCAGCAACAAACACAGACTCCCAATCCCATGGCTGCTACGGTTAATATTGTTGCCGCGGAATCAAGCCCGACAGGCCCATCGCCGACCACGAATCCTACTTCTACTACTAACCCGCAAACTCAACAACTTCACGCTACAGCAGCTTCCTCTTCGGATACGGCGTCGTCTCCTACACACTCCCCTCTCACTTCTCCCTCTGCTGGTCAAGAGCCGATCAAACCAGAAGGCCAGCAACTTCACCATCAGCTTAGAAAAGGGAAATTCGTGAGTCCAGTTTGGAGACCAAATGAGATGTTGTGGTTAGCCAGAGCGTGGAGGGTTCAATACCAAGGTGGGTATGATGGTTATGGTTCTTCTTCAAGAACTGACCATGCAGAGACTGCTCAAACGGCCGGCCTTGACATTACGGTCCAATCGACAAGAGGAAAAACAAGAGCTGATAAAGATAGAGAAGTGGCAGAATTCTTGCAAAGGCATGGGATAAATAGAGATGCAAAAACGGCGGGTACAAAATGGGATAACATGCTAGGCGAGTTTAGAAAGGTGTATGAATGGGAGAGAGGCATTGCAAGAGATCAAGGAGGGAGAAGTTATTTTAGGCTCTCTCCTTATGAAAAGAAAGAACGTAAATTGCCTGCTTCTTTTGACGAGCAAGTGTTTGAAGAATTGTCGCAATTTATGGGTGCTCGCATGCGAACTTCTCAAAGCAGAGGACCGTCTATTATTGGTTCCGGTGATGATGGTAGAACTCCTCTTGGGCCAGCTAGAGCTCTCCCACCGCCTCCTCCTCTCAAAGAAGATGACTTCTGCCTTTCAGGTGAAGAAAATTCAATTCCTCTTTACGTTTGTTCTAACGTTATCTTTGAAGATTGAAACTTATAATATCCTTTCTTGCAGCAAGATCAAAGCAACTGGTCATGGCAAGCGGAGGTGAAGCTTACTTTCATTGTAATAGAGGGAGTTTATTAGGGCTTGAATCTTCAATGGATGTTGCTGCTGGTACTTCATCTTCAAAAGAGCTTCGTCGAATTGGTAAAATAAGGATGACTTGGGAAGAATCAGTTAGTTTATGGGCTGAGGAAGGAGAACACAGTAGAGGGAGAATAAGGCTTCAAGGGTCAAGCTTTTTAAATGCAGATGAGCTTACTTTCTTTGACGACTCCATGGTAGCTTGCACCATGGAAGCTTTTGAAGACGGTTTTCTAAAAGGTTTTTCAGTTGATAGGTTCGTTTCTGGACAACAAGTAAAAGTCTTTGGCAGAAGAAAGTCCTCTTCATCACCTTATGCTTCGTCTTCTGGTAGAAATGTCTTTGTCTCAACACCTAACAATTCTTAAAACAACAGTCTAGAAATGCACATCTCACAGTTTTCTATTTGTACCAGGTTTCACTGAAAGGGTTCAGCTTCCCTCAACAGAACCCTCAATAAGATGTGAGTTTACTATCATGGCTTATGAATCCAACCGATTTTTCCCATTTTCATGTATTGATTATTTATTGTTAGTAATTGGGAAATTATCTATACGTCGGATATTTTCTATTTATGAGTTGTATGCATGTGTTAATGTTTTGAGCCTAATAATAATAATGTGTGTTTGAACAGCAAATCCTCCATGGGAAAATCAAGACCCAAGTGAATATTACGTGGGTTGTCTTCGAGTGCCACCAACTACACTTCCAAGCTTATTTGAACTCTCATGGTATTTACAAGAACCACCACCTGAAGAATTTCGCTTCCCACTTAGAAGAGATGTCTACAGAGATTTACCACAAGGCAAAGAACAATTTTTCACTACTACTGCTGAACCGTTAGATTGTAGAGGCATCTCTTTTGATATTTTAAGCTCAGTTATCAGAAATAACCCTAGCATCAGCAATGCCTCCAGTAGAGATTCTTTCATTGGCCTTTGGGATGATTGCATAAATCGGGTTGTGTCTAAGTTTTGTTCTGCAGAAGTTGTTTTTATAAGAAAATCTTCTTCCTCATCACTGGTGGATACATTACAAGATCAGTGGCCAAACTTGACTGGATTTGTTAGAAATTTATGTTTATGGAGAGGAGAGGAAACTGACCAATTGAGAGAAGGTCAAGTTGATCCTTCTTCTTCTATTGTGGAGAAGCTTCTATGGACTTATATGGATATCCCGTACATTTTGGGATATTTTGCAGTTGGCTTCTTGGTAACGTTTTGCGCTTTGTCCCGATCACAAGATCGCATAATCCGTACTGATCTTTTTACATTAGACCTGTCTTCCCCAGCTGAAAGACTCAAAGCCCTAGTCCCATGTTACAGAATAGCTGGGTTACTGCCATTACTAGCTGAACGTTGCTTCAACTGTATTAACAATGGCGTTTTTAAGCAGTTAACTTTCAGCGATTTCGAAAGAGTGGATTTGGGTAATGGAAATGTTATTGAGATGACACCAAGCACTGTCACGAGATTCTTCACCAACAGAAGAAAATTTGCAGCAGTCAAAGAAATATACGATTGTCTAGACCAGAGAATCCCACATGCAGAATTCATATTCCGATCACTGGAGAAAGATTTGGCATTGGTGTTTAAGCCTCGAGGGGTAAAATTTAAGCCAACAAATTGCGACCAACTCGTGGAGGCATTAAAATACGTGACCAAAGCTTTGGTAGCATTGCACGACTTATCTTTCATGCATAGAGACCTGAGTTGGGATAAGGTAATGAGAAGGAGCGACAGGGATAATGAGTGGTTTGTATGTGGGTTTGAGGAGGCAGTGGGTGCACCACAAATATATCCACATGAAATAGGGGAAGCACGTGGCAGGCACGCTCCGGAGATGGGAAGGGGATTGCATGGGGTGAAAGTAGACGTGTGGGGTGTCGGTCATTTGGTGAAGACGTGTGTATTGGGTCCAAATGGTGTGCCTAAGATGCTTAGAGAGTTGCAGAATAGGTGCTTAGATCAGAACCCAGAACTGAGACCCACCGCCGCCGACTGCTACCACCACCTGTTGCAGCTGCAGTCGTCTCTGCAATCATCTTCCTCTGGGGGACCCTATTGAATTGACTGATGGGTATTAAATTAATAACTATATATACTAGCTTTGGTTGCTTTGGGGTTCTTTTATTATTTTTGAGCAGTTTTTGATACCTTAAAAATTGAATGAGAGGTTGAAAAGTTTCGTTTCAAGAAAAAAATTGGCGGCTGCAACCGAAGGGTGGCTTCTGCCTTCTGGGTTGCAACAGTTAGTCGCTTTCTATCCCATCAAATCTGAAAGTTTTACTTTAATTTTAAATTTTGTTGCATCAAAATGTAAACTGACGCAGAAACAGTGTTTTTCAGTTTTCCTGATCAGTAATTTTTCTCTGATATGGTGTAAATGTCTCTCTGTAATGTCATTGGTGATTGATTTGGATCACTTCTGTTAGACAATTAAGCTACAACCCTACACATAGCAACAAATTTTCATTCTCCATAAAAGTAACTCTGTTGGGGCATGCTTAATTTCCTTAAATTTCTTGGTTTATTATTAATTTAACCGCTTAAATCTATTTGATCACTTGTGATGTAAGTTTGAGTTTCAATTACTAGTGGAAGTGTTGGTGAAACGTTGTGCTTAAAGAGTTTGTTAAAACAGTTGTTGGACAAGTTGCAGGAGCTGGCGGGAGTTTGGTTGATTAGCTGAATCATCTAGAATTGTTGTAATCTCAGCATAAATAGGATTTCTGTTGTAATTGATAATCATTCTGCTATATCTCGAGAAATATACAATCACACTTTCTCTCTGGTTCATCTTCTTTTTTCTATGTTCTTCGTTTCTTGTTCTTTGTGAAGTTCAGAATCACTTTCTTAATCTCATTGAATGTATCAATGAGCCTCAAATGTTTGGTGATCAGAATCTTAAACTCATTGAATAATAAAATACATTCTTCCACTTAAAAATACATGTTAATTATGTGCACCACAAGCTACATGTGTGAGGAGCGGGTTGTCATTGTTTTAAAAATCTCCAAGTTGAATACTCTTATATTGTGCAATTTTTAATTTATTTATTTTGAAAATTATTTTAATAATTTATTATTTAATTACAATATATTTAAAATTTTTTATAACTTTGAAAGATTGAGAGTGCTTATCCTAAATTAAAAAGTACTTAGAAAATTTAAATTACTCTCAAGAATTTTTTTTAAGAACAATTATTTTTTCAAAATATATTTATGTAAAAAGAAATATAATGTGCTAATTTGAATTCATATGTTGTAAAAGTTTATTTTATATTTGAATAAAGATTTTATTTAATTTTATTTAAGTTCTATTGTTTCATTTCCAAACTTTACAAAGTTATATGATTTCAATACATTCATTAAATGATATGTTTCTTATATTTAAGGATTTTTTTTTTTTTTTTTTTTTTTGGGGGGGAGTTCTATTGTTCATTTCCAAACTTTACAAGTTATATGATTTCAATACATTCATTAAATGATTATGGTTTCTTAATATTTAAGGATTTTTTTTTTTTTTTTTTTTTGTTGGTTTTTTTTTTTTTTTTTTTTGTTGGGGGGGATGTAATGAAAAAATGATTTATTATATTTTAAAGGGAAGTGAAATAAAGTGGTGAAACACCAGAAATTGTTTTAGTATGTACACAAAAATATTTAGAATTCAATTACTCTTGAAATTGTGTCAAAGTGTATATTTGGTTTTTAAGCTGAATGAAAATTTGTAATAGCACCTAAAAGTAAAAAGGAAAAATAGTTTTTTACTGGACAAAATGATCAATTAAAGAGAACTCCTTCATTAATATTTCTCCATGTTAAGAAATGAATAATCATATGATTTTGTAGTTATATTTTTTGAACAAATAAAAATGGTAATTCAGCATTAGTAAATATTCTTTATTTCTAGTTTATGTGAAGAGATTATGTATGCAGACTTCTTCCTAATTTTAGAAAAATTCTATATTTTTAACTCGAATCCAAAATTTCCGAGTCATAAAACAATTAGTGAACGAATGTTAACAACAAATTTTATTTTAACAATTCTTGTGTTATTAATCCATGAGTCTAATCAGTGATAAATAATTAGTCAAGATATAGAACTATCAATTATACTGGTGGGCTTCAAATATTTCCTGGTAAGTTTTTAATGTCAAAATTTGAGAGTTGACAATGAAAAAATAAGGACAACTCTTCACGCAAAGTCACCGTTGGTAGTTTACTTACTAGCTCAGAACAATAATGTTTGTTGGAAAGATATGCCATTTTACAATCAATAGCGTTCCTTCCCAACGTATGGTCTCTCTCAGTTCTGTAATTTTCTCTCTATTTCCCCTCTCTTTCTCTCATTTTCTCCCTATTTCTCAGTTACGATTCCATGTTTCCAAACAAGCAAAATGCTCCAGACCTACGCAAGGGAAACTGTTTTTACTATGCCATTTTTCTTAAGCTTTGCGGCTCGAATCAATAACTCCTGTTGGAGGGAAAGAAGAGGCATATATTTATATACATGTGCACTTAGTGGTATATATGTTATGTTTTGATGTGCAAAATATTTTTAATGACCCTCTAGATATGCAAAATATATTAATAAGGTTTCACATTATCTTTTTTTAAGTAAAGAATGAAGAATGTTGTATTTATATTAAAAAAATTATAATAATTTGATATAAAAATAAAAATGTAAAACATATAAAATAAACAATTTGCTTGAATCTCTTTCAATAATCTCCAATTATATATGTATTTTTTGAATATTGGGGAAAAGGAGATTTGAACCTAGATTTATTGTCAGGTCATATATGCACTAACCACTGGACTATATCGTAATATGCATCTAATTTCATTAATTTTACTGCAGTGTACAATTTTTGCATATGGAGAAGAGAAGGAAGGATTTTGCAAACATTGTACAGTGGGCCCTCCGTTTCCATTACGGCATCACTGCCTAAAACAAGTCTTCCTATTGTTTGAGAGAGAGTGGACCTGAATGGGCTTCATATGTAAGGCCTTTTTGTCCTCCTCTGCATTTATCATGATAGAAATAAAATCGGACATTGGGCTGGTCCCGAAGATAATTCCTTTGTTTAAAACTTCAAACAACCTTTTCATTGGGTTGGATCCAATTTTATAATATTTGAATTCAATTTAATAAAAAAAAATATTTATATTCACAGTCGCTCCACAATTAATCTGATGGGATCAGATTAAAATGAATATAATAGTTAAATAAGAGTTTATTTTTAAAAATAATAAAAAAAAAAAATCAAATTGGATTTGAATATTTTTGAAACGCATGGACACTTCCATATTTATATGATTTATTTATAATCATATAGAATAACTAATGGAAGGGATAAAATGTTGATGCCTCTAGAAGTTTGGCCAGAGTAGTATAGTTTACATGAAGTCTTATACCAAACGAATTTTCTATGGTACAAACGTCATATGTTGAATTTGATTTTACATTGATTGCCCACCTAACCACAATTCAATAAATTATTCAAATTCCAACCTCAAAATAATTAATTTATTGCTCATGAAACAAAAAGTATTGATGGTAGTTAGACTCAAATTAATTTAATATTTTTTTATATAAACATTTGATTTAATAATTGTAATTGGCTATAACTGTTTTTGATTATGTATTAGTATGAATTTTGATGATTAGTGATTAGAAATTAAAAAATAATGTTTTAAAAAATGTAATCATAAGTATTTTATATCAATTGGTGTCTTAAACAACAATTGCTGTTCACGTCATTTCTCCGTCGATAAATATTAGCTACCTAAATTAATAGGATTAATAAGATGATATTTCTCATTCATAATGAGAACCAACAACCTTCAAATTTAATTCTAAATTTTTGGAATTAAGTGTCTTTGACGCTATTGCCAACAGATGGTTCCTTCTATTTTAGATCTATACTAAATAACAATATAATTGTATTGTATAATATGTCAGTCTCTTCTCAATCCAAAAAAAAAAAAAAAAAAAGAAAAAAAAAAATAAAGAAAAGAAATAATTTTATTTCAATAAAGGAAGTGGCATTCACTGCAATAATTTATTTTATTTATTCAAACCGCTTGAAAGATTGATTTTAGATTTTTCTCCCACCAAAAAAAAAAAAAAAAGAAAGAAATAATTTTATTTCATAAAGGAAGTGCATTCACTGCAATAATTTTATTTTTTTTATTTATTCAAACCGCTTGAGGATTGATTTTAAGATTTTTCTCCCACTATTTCACTCATATAAAAGGACTATAAAGGGCATTTTCAGAATTTAATATATAGAAATTTTAAAAATGCTATTTAAGGTTATCAAAGTTTTAAATTCATTAATAGAAAAAAAAATTCAAGTCTTGCCAGCTTGCTGGTCCAAAAGCGCCAGTATCACTCTGTGCATATATATACAGAGATAGAAAGATTTGCAGTTCTGCATAAACTTTAATATTATACATATATAGCAATTAAATATGGCAGAAAGCAAAACCGCTCCTATTCCTTCATCTGATTATCAACCTCTGATCGTTTCTAACCCTGATGGCACCTATACTCGTCTTCTCCACTTCCCAAGCGTCCCTGCCACACCAGATCCCAACACCACCACCTCTCCGGTCCTCACCAAGGACATACCTATTAACCCTACTCGCCAAACCTGGCTACGAATATATCTTCCACGGCGAGCACTCCACTCTTCCTCCGGCAACAAACTTCCTCTCGTATTTTACTATCATGGTGGTGCCTTTGTTTTCTTTAGTGCAGCTTCAAATTTAGCCCATGATTTTTGCTTGACCATGACTGCACAACTCGATGCAGTGGTGATATCCGTTGAGTACCGATTAGCGCCGGAAAACCGTCTTCCGGCGGCGTATGAGGATGCTATGGAAGCGCTGCACTGTATCAAAAGCAGCCAAGAAAACTGGTTGACGGAGTATACTGATTTATCCAACTGTTTTCTCATGGGCAGTAGCGCAGGCGGTAACATTGCATACCATGCAGTGTTACGAGCAAGCGAGCAAGTTCAGAAACTAGATCCTTTGAAGATCAAGGGGTTGGTACTCCATCATCCATATTTTGGTGGGAAAGAGAGAACCGGGTCGGAGCTGAAAATGGCGAAAGACCCGATTTTACCTTTGCCTGGAAGTGACTTCATGTGGGAATTATCGTTGCCAGTGGGTGCAGATAGAGATCACGAGTACAGTAATCCAATGGCTGGGAATTGGTCGAGGATGTGTGAATGTATTCGGGGAGTGGGTGTGCGGGTCCTGGTGACGGGTTGTTATGGAGATCCGTTGATTGACCGTCAAATGGAATTCGCGAAACTGTTAGAGGAGAATGAGGTGGGGACTGTTGCCCACTTCACTGAAGGTTGTCATACGGTGGAGTTAGTTGATTCGCTTAAAGCTGACTCACTTTTTCTGGTTATAAAAAAATTTATGTCTGATTAATGTAAAAAGTGGAAAAAGAAATTGATGTTTTACTTACCGTTACCCTCTTACTTTTTACCTAAATAAAACAAAGGATGTGGCCTCTCACGGCCGGACAACTCACTCTTTAAATAATATTTATCATTTTTATATTGATGATAATTTTAAAGTGGAAAGGTCTCAAATTTTATATCTATTAAGGAAAGTAAGAAGTACAGTCGGATCAGATATTTTACGATTATTGATAATAATATTAAATCAATATTATTAAATTAAATAAAACCAAAATGTGACTTCAGCAGTCTTAGATTATCATTTGTAATAATATTATTCCGCGTTCATTTGAACATAATTCCCTCAGGGAGGTCTCCTGCTTAATGAAGCCCAGAAAGGCTTGAAGCATTTTCTATTTGGGCCTAACCCAATGCCTGATTTCTAATTGGACGAGATTTCATGGTGTAGAAATGCTTGAATTGTGGTGATGAAAGATTTTATGTTGTCTTCAGTGGGTGAGCTGTAGAAAGTGGCAACAGGGAGAATCCAAATAAATCGTTTCTATGAATAATTAATAATGAAAGTGAAAGTTGTAGCAGTGGAATATCAAATCAATATTTATATATAAAAGTAAAAAAAATATAAAATTGTTGTTGGTAACATAGAAATATATTAATAATGAATAACCCTAAGAGGGCAACAACAAAAAAATCTTAGTTCTAACTTAATCTGTTTTTATTTTTAAATTAATTTTAATAATGACTAATCCATAAAGGCATTAAATGAATAGTAAACATATAATCAATAAATTATGTATAACACATGATTCAATTTATTAACTCTTAAATGTTTACTAAATATTTAAAACCAAAACAAATGAACAATTATATATAATTATTAGAAGTTTGATTGATTTAATGAGAATAATAAATTAATGAATATAATTTTACTATTAACCTTTTTTTTTAAAAAATTTACAAGTTACATTTTTTTTTTATTTTGCTTATTAACGCTAATCACGTCACATCTATGCTATTTTATATTTGCTTATTTTTTAATTCTTCCCAAGTCAAACTCTGTCCCCTGAAAGCGATAACAATGAGAGATCCTAAGGGTTGGACTTGGATGCTTCATCTATTAATTAATAAATAGCATCTCTAATACTTAATTCTTCGAAAGGTCAATTTGAAGCGCGAAGTAATGATGTATACAAGAAGAAGGGAAGAGTTGTTATAATTCACACGGTAATAAGTTTGTAAGAATCCATAGATAGACGACAATGACAACACAAACTCCTCCATCAAATCCGATCACCGATCCCTACAAGTACCTCCGTATCGTCCTGGCCCCTGATGGCACCATTACTCGCTTGCCAGAAATTCCAAGCCTAAACCTCTCATCAGCCGACTCTGCTTCTGATTCCCACCCAATTCCTATTCTCACCAAAGATCTCACCATCAACCAATCAAAAAAAACATGGGCACGTATATTCCTACCCAGGCAAACGCTGGATCCTTCCTTCCACGCCAAACTTCCTCTCATAGTTTGGTTCCGTGGAGGAGGGTTCATTCTCTACAGTGCAGCTTCAGCCCTTTTTCAACATTCCTGCGCAACTATGGCTATTCAACTGTCTGCTGTTCTTGTCTCCATTGAGTACCGTCTCGCACCCGAGCACCGTCTCCCTGCAGCTTACGAGGACGCTGTTGAGGCGGTGCACTGGATTAAAACCGCTCCAGATGAGTGGTTAACAGATTTTGCTGATCTCAACAATTGTTTTCTTATGGGGGGTAGTGCCGGCGCTAATATAGCTTACCATGCTGGACTAAAACTGGCGGCGACAATCGATGATCATGATCTACATCCTTTAGAGATCAAAGGGTTGATATTGCATCAACCTTTCATCGGTAGGTGCAAGAGGACTGAATCGGAGTTGAGAATGGTTAGTGATCCCCATCTACCGCTTTGTTGTGCTGATCTGATGTGGAAGTTGGCTTTGCCAATTGGAGCTGACCGTGATCATGAATATTGCAATCCGACAGTAGAGGGTGGTTCAAATGCGTTGACGAAGATGAAGGAGTTAGGGTGGAGAATATTGGTAGATTGGGGTGATAAAGACCCACTGATGGACATCAACCAAAAATTAGCGATTATTATTTTACAATGGTATTCGGAGTAAATGTATAAAGTTCTCAAGCTTTCCTGTCCATCCGGTTATGTCTTACGTCTATATAAATCATTGTATTTCCCTTCTTCCTCTCACCAATGCTGTGAACCATTAATACTTGGCGCGACTATATAACTCTCTAATCTCTTACTTGTTATTCCTCCCTTTATTGATTCAGCATACCTCTTTGAGGCATCCGGTTATGCTATGATTACAAAGGTATTTAGATTATCCTGGCCAATATTAACCTCTTTCATACTCGGTTAGGGACTGATCAAGGAAGAATGGACGTGTTTCATGCGTGACGGATGTGTAGGGCATAGCAGTATTGTAGCCACTATTATGGTGTTATAAGTAGAGTACACTCCTATTCGATAAAAAAGCACTCGACTAAATGAATGATATGTGACTGATCTTGAATGTTGTTTGTATTTTCTTAGATTTTTGTTCGTTGAGCTTCTCTAGGGAGCGTTCTCTTTGCTAGGATGTGGGTGTATAACGTCTTGTTTGATGTATTCTAATAGTAATTATATATGCATACCTCGGAGGAATTGCGCTCTATAGAATCTAGTGTGATTTATAGTCTTAGCTGATTATGTAGACGTATCAAATAGTGCCAACTGTTCCACCGTTAATTCCGTCAGCCTTTATTCAAGAAAGGAGTATTTATGTGGGTATGAGTATTAATTATTTGGTTACCTACTAAGCATGATTTGGATGCGTTGTTAATATTGTCTAGTTGAGATAAACACAGATTTAGTGCCACCTATCTTAGTATTAAGTGATGCACTCTCTCATAATCATCAATCAAACTAGGAGAATTCCGTTGACTCAGATTTAGCTCATTGTGTACTTTTATAGAGTCTAATTGGTAAGTTGTAGGTGGATTATTCATAGTGGTAAAGCCAAAATAATTATATATTCTGATTGTGGGACATTGTCATGGTGTGAAAAGGATAAAGAAGAACATATTGTTATATTAAGATACTAACTCATCATAATCAGTCCCCCCACCACCGCGCCCTGTCACGTATTACTAGTCCTACTAATATCTTATTACATATCTTTCTAAGTCTCGTAAAGCTTTCACATTAGATATCGTATCAGTTAGAAATTAAAGCTCTCTATCCGAGGATATATGGTCTAATGATCGGTTATGAACAGATTTCATTACATTTCTCTTTGCTAAGAGAAAGTGAGCCTATAAATATGATAATAATTTGGAGTGCCCTTGCTTTGTTATATGGTCTTAGGTTGAATTGGAATTATATGATTGTATATTACTAGAACTATTTATAAACAATCTTATATACCTTGTATTTATATATATTTACATTAGAGTGTTTAAGCAAGCTCTAGTAATTATTAGTGTCTATGTCACTTTTAAAATCTCATTTCCATGTGCGGTTATGTGTCCATCGAAGTTATTTTTATATGGAGTCTTACAATATCTATCAGTGATTTTCATATTCTCATAGTTCTTCTACCTATACTTTGACAATTTTTAAGAAGGGTTTACAAGTGGTAAGCCAATTTTCGGAGGGACATTGTCATGGGATAGAGCTTGTTGATCTCTCCAAATGCAACGCCCTGTATTCTGCCTACAAATCTTTCATATCTTCGTCACTGCTTCCTTAGTCAGTGATGCGCACCGTTTTGGCAGTTTCTTCTCTTTCCTTTGCAAGAAAGTTGAGCCTTAAAGATTATTGAGGGCCCTGCTTGAAGGTTTGGTTTGTGTATATGATTGTAACTGCTTACATCAATTTGATTAAATAATTTACATGAGTTTGCGCTCTAGATATTATCATTGCACGTTTAAATTCCTTCCAGCTAGTGTCCATGAAGTTATTTATTGTAAAATTATAGGTTATTTCAATTCTACTCCAACTACATTTTGACCATAAGCTATATGGATTTGTCTCAATTTAATGTAATATTATCTTATTGGAAAGTAATATTAATTTTTATGATAAAAATTTGTAGGTAAGTTTAAGATATTTGATATTTTTTTCTCATAATAATTTTTTATAGTTTATATAGTCACTTAAAAATCATAAATTTTATAAAATTTTACATTAAACAATATAATATATATTACAAAAGTTATGAGCTGTTTTCTAACATTTAATATGCAAATGTCTAGTTATATAATACATCACAATTACAAAGGTGGATCCAATCAACACTGAATGGCACTTAAAACTTTTTTTTTCCAACTTAATGTGATATTTTAATAATTTTCTAACTCTACTGCCACTGAATTTTTACAAATACCATTATTCTTGAAAATCATTTAAAATTATATAACTATTATTTAATTTGATTAGTTTAAGAAAGGAATTAAAATAAATCGAAATTGATGAACTTGCAAGTCAAATTATTTATATTCTTAATTGTTATTTCTACGACTAAACTAGTAAGTATTTAACTAATGAAAATGAAAATGAAAATTTTTAAATTGACTTAAAATTTTGATGAAATGTATAAAAAAATATAAAACTATTTAAACCAATTTAAGTAGAATAGAATAGAATAAATATAATATATAATTTTCAAATAAAAACAAATATAAGTAGAAGAATGAGATATAATATGACAAACAAAAATAGATAAACATTTAATTAAATTTTAAGGTTAAGATTTTAATTTATACATTTCATCATAAGAAAAAAAAAATCTATTATCATTTTCTTCAAATTATCTTCTCCGTCAATTAGAAAATTCTCACATTAATTTAGAACATTATTTTTTCAATTAAGTGCATAAATAATTTAGGATGATTATATATTTCTTTAATTTTTTTTAACTTTCAAAAAAAAATCTCTTTTATAAACCCCTCAATAAAAGAATAAATAAATAAATGAGTCTAGTTTATATGAAGAGAGTCTTATCTTAAATATCCTAAATTGTGATCTAATAGAAATTTACAACCATCTATGAGTGGAAAATTAAGTATTCATAAATTTTTGAAAAGGGAAATTAAGTGTTTTATTTTATAATGAAGACATAAAACACCACTAGAATTCTATACAATTACCTCCATGTATATTGAAATAAACAAACTTACCCCTAGCTAGAGAACCCCCAATCACAAATAAGAAAAAAAAATTTTTTTTCATTTGTCATCTTTCAAATTCTTTACATCAAGTGGCAAATGCTTGCCCCATCGTCACATGAACATTCATAGTACAGTAAGATATGAGGAATTTAGCAACCCAGGGTGCTGAAAAAAGGGAGGATAAGTAAGAAATATGTGGATATTAAGGTTTTGAAGAAGATAAGATAAGATAAGATACGATGAGGAGTGAATTTATATATATGCTTTTTCGTTTTTGGTTATAAAAATATAAATTATTTCCTTTAACAAGTATAGTTTTATTATGAGTATATATATAGTTGATGGATAGAATATTTACTAATTTCAACAAGAGGTTCTATTACAAGTCATTGTCATGAATGACTGCAACTCCATCACGCAGCAAAGAAACAAAGGATCTAATTAAGAAAACAACTATGCAAGTTCAAAACAGTAGTTCTAAATTCTTCTTGACTTGGTGAAACAATGGCAGAAGATGGAAACGCACAAGTACCTCAACAGTTGAACTTCCAACCGGAGATTCTTCAACAAGGGAACCCACAAGGAGGAGATAACGGGATAGTCCAACAGCAAGATCAAGCTGAAGGAGGCGAAAATTTCCAAACAGAAAATGTTCAAGGAGACTACCCTCCATCAGATTCCATCACCGATCCCTACAAGTACCTCCGTATCATCCCGGCCTCTGACGGCACCATTACTCGCTTGCCGGAAATTCCAATTCCAAACCTCTTATCTGCATCTGATTCACACCCAATGCCCATTCTCACCAAAGACCTCACCATCAACCAATCAAATGAAACATGGGCCCGTATATTCCTACCCAAGCAAACACAAGACCATTCCTTCCACACCAAACTTCCACTCATAGTTTGGTTCCATGGAGGAGGGTTCATCCTCTTCAGTCCAGTTTCAACCTTTTATCAAGATTTCTGCGCAATTATGGCTATTCAACTATCTGCTGTTGTTGTCTCTATTAAGTACCGCCTCGCACCCGAGCACCGCCTCCCTGCAGCCTACGAGGACGCTGTGGAGGCGGTGCGCTGGATTAAAACCATTCCAGATGAGTGGTTAAGAGACTCTGCTGATCTCAACAACTGTTTTCTTATGGGGAGTAGTGCCGGCGCTAATATAGCTTACCATGCTGGACTAAAGCTGGCGGCGACAATGGATGATCATTATCTGCAGCCTTTAAAGATCAGAGGGTTGATATTGCATCAACCTTTCTTCGGTGGGTCCAGGAGGATTGAATCGGAGTTGAGAATGGTTAATGATCCCCATCTGCCGCTTTGTTGTGCTGATCTGATGTGGAAGTTGGCTTTGCGAATTGGAGCTGACCGTGATCATGAATATTGCAATCCGACAGTAGAGGGTGGTTCAAATGCGTTGACGAAGATGAAGGAGTTAGGGTGGAGAATATTGGTTGATTGGGGTGATAAAGACCCACTGATGGACCGTCATGAGGAATTCGTGAACATGCTGCAAGAGAAGGGTATACAAGTGGTAAGCCAATTTTTTAAGGGACATTGCCATGGGATAGAGCTTGTTGATCCCTCCAAATGCAACGCCCTGAATTCTGCCTACAAATCTTTCATTTCATGTTCTCTTAATATTGAAAGAAATTTTTTTTAAAAAAAAATGTTATTTTCTTCCTTCTAGTAAGAAAGTTGAGCTTTAAATATTACGAAGCCCATCAAAAGCAGGGCCGAGTTTGGACTGAGCTTCATAACCACATGTATTAATTATTATCCGTCTCAAAAATTAAAAAAAACATAGAATGGTACTATTAATTTGATATTTATTTAGGTAATTTTAGTAGATGTCATATTTTTGAAACTATGCTTAGAGATTGTGGGTTTGACTTTTCATTTTGGGTTTTTTTTTTTAATTTTATGCCTTTTTTTTATTTTGTTAGGTGTTAGTGTTTTAATTGCTTAGTATTTTTTTTATTAATTTCCTATTTTAATCATCGGTGTTTTAATTCCTTAGTGTTTCTTTTTTTTATTAATTTTCTGTTTTCTTTTTATGCTGTTGTCCTTTTGCAGCCTATATTATTTTCACCATAGTTCTTTCTCATTTTATTGTTGTCTATTATTGTTCTTCTCATTATTGACGTTGTTTCACATTTTTCGATTTCATTTTTATATGAATGTATCAACAATTTAATTTTTGTTGAAAATTTGTCACCACCATATATGTTTATACTTTGTGGGGATAAGATAGAATTTTCAATTCTGTTTATATATATATATATATATATCGTTATAGTCGTCGCCTGTCGTTATTGAATCACATGAGTGCATAGAGATTTATTCTTACACATTTCATATTTCTTTATATTTTTTTTCTTTAGGGTTTTCTCTTTTTGAGCATTTGCTTTTTTTTTCGGCGTTTCTTTTTTATTTCAACGTTTCCTTTTCGACCAAATCTGTTTTTTTCCTACTCTGTTAAAAAGTTCAAAGCAATAATGAAGACAAATCCTAACAATGGTTGTATTGGACTCAAACCATCCAATTAGACAATGCTGTATCTATTAATTAATCTCACAAAAAATAAATAAATAAAACGAAAGTCGCAAGTTGGTGGCCTCCGAAACCCAAAATAAGAAAATAAGAGCCGCCTACCAGCTAATCCGATATATGTACACTCTGCCAACTTCAAGAAATGGGAAATACAATGTCGACGGAAACTCCTCCACCAAATCCGATTACCGATCCTTACAAGCACCTTCGTATCATCCCCGCCCCCGATGGCACCATTACTCGCTTGCCGGAAATTCCAATTCCAAACATCTTATCTGCATCTGATTCACACCCAATACCTATTCTCACCAAAGACCTCACCATCAACCAATCAAATGAAACATGGGCTCGTATATTCCTACCCAAGCAAACACAGGATCATTCCTTCCACACCAAACTTCCTCTCATAGTTTGGTTCCATGGAGGAGGGTTCATCCTCTTCAGTGCAGCTTCAACCTTTGCTCAAGATTTCTGTGCAACTATGGCTATTCAACTGTCTGCTGTTGTTGTCTCTATTGAGTACCGCCTCGCACCTGAGCACCGCCTCCCTGCAGCCTACGAGGATGCTGTGGAGGCGGTGCGCTGGATTAAAACCACTCCAGATGAGTGGTTAAGAGACTCTGCTGATCTCAACAACTGTTTTCTTATGGGGGGTAGTGCCGGCGCTAATATAGCTTACCATGCTGGACTAAAACTGGCGGCGACAATCGATGATCATGATCTACATCCTTTAGAGATCAAAGGGTTGATATTGCATCAACCTTTCTTCGGTGGGTCTAAAAGGACTGAATCGGAGTTGAGATTGGCTACTGATCTCATTTTACCACTTTGTTGTACTGACCTGATGTGGAACTTGGCTTTGCCAATTGGTGCTGACCGGGATCATGAGTATTGCAATCCAACGGTAAAGGGTGGTTCAAATGCGCTGACGAAGATGAAGGAGTTAGGGTGGAAAATATTGGTAGATTGGGGTAGAAAAGACCCACTGATGGACCGTCAAGGCGAGTTTGTGAAGATGCTGCAAGAGAAGGGTTTACAAGTGGAAAGCCAATTTTTGGATGGACATTGTCATGTAATAGAGTTTGTTGATCCCTCCAAATTCGAGGCCCTGTACACTGTTTACAGAAATTTCCTATCTTCTTCACTTCTTGGTTGCTGATGCGGTGCCGTTTCCTCGCTCGAAGAAATTTATGTTATTTTCTTCCTGCTCGTAAGAAGGTTCGGCCTTAATGATTACGCAGCCCACCAAAGCAGGGCCCTGGCTATTGGCTTCAAATAAATTGGGGGACCCTGCAAAGACTGGTCACGCTCGAGAACTAATGAATTTTTATTTTTTTATTGATAATATTAAAATTGTCTCTTGCGGGTGTGAATTAAAATTTCTATTATAAGCCTAATAACCTCAGGAAAAGAAAAAGACAAAAAATATATATTTAAGCTTCTGAATTTATTAAGTTTTATTTATTAAATTTCAGAACTCTTATTTACTTACATTGAACCGTATAATTTTATATTTTGTTAAAATGAAAACTTTATTTAATTAAAAGCAATGGGAATCGAAGTTATTAACAGTAAAAGAAAAATTCCGGCGAGAATAACATGTTATAAAAAGAAATTCCAATTCCTATCTAGACATTGAAATAAAATAAATAAAAATCAACTCGTATAATAGAAAACCAATGTCAGATTTTTCATTTTAAAGCCAAAAAAAAAAAAAAATTCTCATTACGATTGTCTTCTTTCTCCCAACTGAACATCACATGATTTCATTGAGTAATGGTTGCACATTTCATGGCTTCAGTTAAATAAGGGTTAAATTCTAATAGAAATAAAAGTTAAAATGCTCAATATTGATCAATAAAAAATTAGAGATTTATAAATTTATGAGCTTAAAAATACGTTTTATAAAAAAAAGAAAAGACATTCGCAGGATATGATTGAATTTGACATTGCAGAGTTGATGATTCATATTCTTTTACTTCGTGTTTTATAAAGATGGTTCTCAAAATATAAGAAACGGCACGGCTTTTGTCATGATTGTTGTAACAATCGTTATGATATTAATAGTGATTGTTAGCCCTTGTCCAACGCAATTGCTCCATAAAAAAAAGAAACTTGGGCTATTTAGGCCTTGGAATTTATTGAAATGGGCTATTTGGGCCAGAACTGTTTTCTACAGTAATGCTCGCAATATTGTAAAGAAACCCATTATTTACACCTTCAAGAACAAGAGTTGAATTAGAAAGCCAAGCAAAGAGCTGACTGACTCTGTCCGTTTTAGGAATTTCAAATGTAACGAAAATAAAAAAAAATCTTAATCTGGACAATCAATGTGACAGAATAGAATCGGCCAATATCAAAAGATTGGCGTTAGTTACACGTGTTGTCCATTGCCAATTTACAAACGGGTCAAAATAATAAGATAATAACAGTCTACTCTACTCTTTACGCAAGCAAGAAAAATTTAGTGCTAATGTCATTTTCAAGCAATTTCATGAAAACATTAAACACCACTATAATTCAATGCAATTACCTCCTTGTATATATATATAAATAAACAACTTATCCATAGCAAGAGACCTCCCAATTTAGAAAAAAAGAAAGAAAAGAAAAAATAAAAATCATTTGTCATCTTTCAAATTCTTCACATTACGTGGCAAATGCTTGTCCCATCCTTGCATGAACACCGATAAATTACAATTTGCATAAATAATTTATTTCAAGAAATAAATTACCATTGTTGTAGGGTTTTGACGAAGAGAGGATAAGAGATATGAGGAGTGAATGTATATATGTACATTTATAATTCGTCGTTTTTCTAAGAAGATATCTCTCTCTATTCAATTTCATTATCGAGCTATGAGGCCAAGAGAAAGGACAAGGAAATAGAAGAAATAAGATTTTGTGCATAATTATTTAACCCTTGTCGTGTGTTGGACATCCTGGCACGTAATTATGGAAGAAGGGATCTTATAAATAAGTAATTGTTTAATTAGAAAGGAACTAGGTATCCCAACTCAATCAGATCGTGCTTTAATTTGTCACCATGTGGCCCTAATGGGGCTAAACTAACAAACTAGAACAAACCAAAAGATGAGCTAATCTTGAATGTATTATATATATTATCATCTGATTAACAAGAAAGAGAATTAGGGTTTTTACTATTACTAAAATTTTGTCTTACATGCAATGAAAGAAATTGGAGTAGCCCTAGGGTATATTAATTATTAATTATTAATTAAAGAGTGTGTGGGTGTTTTTACTGTTTGTGAAAAATAATATAATTATATATAGGTGGGAAACCGTTTGAACTGTTGCTTTGTTGTTTTTGCTATTGTTTTATGAAGGGATTTTTGTTAGTATTCAAGTTGGCTTTATTGTATGTTTTTCACTTGTTATTCAACTCGATAAGGACGCATTTACCAATAAAAACAAGCAAATATTTGTCCTTACGCAAATCCAAAGAAATAAAAACATATTTTTGCTAAAAAAACAGAAAACAAGAGTTGCATGGGAAGCATTGGATAGAGACCCATCATGTGCAATTGGTCCCAACCATTTGAACTGAATCTACCACAGCATGATTGAACAGCCTCTACTCAATCATGGTAGATTTCAGGGCTTTTGATTCATAGAGGAAACATGTGGGTGCTCTCTAATGTTGGAAACCTCAAAATAAATTTTCCATTCTTTTGTTTCAAGTCCAACATCGTATACTTGCTTATTTTTGGTTAATTCCATGTTGCCTTTCACTTTTCTTGATTTGGAATACCTAACAAACAACTTTCAATTAATCTACTGTTTAGCAAATTAACTATTTTAATCCTATTTTATGAGCAAGTAATCTTCTTCTTTTTTTAAAAAATAAGTATTAGTTAAAGACGATGATATTGATTAGGTTAAGAGTAACATGTATGGGGAGGAAGGGAGGTGTAAGAAAGAAGAGGCAGGTGAGGTGGGCATCCATGAAAGAAATCCTAAGAAATGTCGGGCAGTGAGAAGGGAATAGTTTGCTGGGCAGAAATTGTTAATATTATGATTATTTAAAAAAGGAAAAATGTTCCTTAATGGAGTTGGATTAAAGAGTGGTGCCAGGACAAACAACAAATGTTTCCACGTGATGCGGGCCTTTTGGAAGGGAGTACGGGAATGGCACTGTCATTGTCCTTACCTGTGGCGGCTGTGTAGCCAAAAAACAAATAACTATTCCCCCGATTTCATATTTCATTTTCGTATATAAATTAGTATATTTACAACTGAAATTACATGCTAACTTGTTACCATATTGTGAGAGATGAATGTTAGCTCTAAAAGGAGTGTTAGCTAGCAAGGTTACTCGATTATGAGCTTTTACTTAGATATTAAGTTAAAATAACTAAATGCTTAGTGACATCTAGGCCGAGCATACTTTATCAAAGTGATCAAATTTGAATCAGTTTTAAATGAGTTTCTGTTTTTGTGACATTATTATATTTATATTATATTTATGAAGTCCAAAACTGAAAAAATAGCTAGAAATGAATCAAAATAATCCAAGCAAAATGATTTAATTTAATTTAATATTTTGTAATCGATTTGATTCAATTTTCATTTCAAAAAATTGAAAATTTTAATTTAGTTTGGTTGAATTCATTTCAAAATGAAGCAACTGAATGCTGACCCTTAATTGACATCTAAGAGCAGAAAGAGTTTTAAAATTTGATATTGTTTAAATTAAGTTTTGGAGCTAGTTTAACCAAAATTAGAAGAGTTAAGTGAAATGATGAGGTTATAATTACACATGGGGACTTGCAAAATTAAAATAGAAAAAAAGTTATTTATATGTATATAGGATGTCTATATTATCACCAGAAAGAATGTTGCAGCATTTAAGGACAAACACCACGACAAATGTTGCAAGTATTCCCTTGCTATTCTATTATTCAAAACCTTCCAAATCTCCAGATATATCTATATATTTATATATATAAAAAATTCAATACGAATACAGTACACAAGGAAAGCTCTGTCAATCCTCTTATGGATTCTAGCAACCTATTCCTCTGAATCATTCAATTGGTGGGCCATCTTTTCTTTTGGATTTATACTCCACCTCTTAACCCTACCCATCTACAGGAACTTCACATAACAGATAACACTATTGGTTGATGCAAACCCTGACGTAGGAATCTCTATTTTTTCATTTGGGTTTTCGGATTTTTTTATATTACGTCAATCATTACTTGTTAGTTTCCTTAATTAATTGTGTTTAAATAATTTCAAGATTAAGATACTTGAAGGATTTATAATTAGTTAGAATAATATTCATGGTTCACATTTATCAATTTCAGAGAATTTATATCATCCTTTGGATAATCATTGCCGAGTTATGCAAGAAAGAGGTAGTATTATAACATAAAAAGAGGTGTGTGTTCTTTTGCTCTTTTCTTGGAACTTGACCTTCTTGCGGTGTTGGTGTTGCCCACCCATTACCCATAAGAATATATCAACACAGAAACTCACAGTCACTCTGAAAAACAATTTCTTTCCTCTGCTCTACTTTTTACAAGAAAAACAAAATTAAGAGTTTTCTTGGTCCAATTAAAGAATTCAACTATCAAATGGTACAAGTAGAAACTGCAAACCAAAGCTTTTGAGTGGCGTGCCTCATCGTAAATACACATATAAAAAATATATATATATATCCATTCAGTTATTAGTTTAGTCTAGTGTACAATCCCAAGTGTATAGCTATATATGGTTTTTTTTTTTTAGTACTTGGGAAGGGATATATGTTTTATTTTACCGTTGAATTATGTTTTAGTGCGACATAAACTATACATGTTAATTAGAGCTTTGAATTTCAATTTGAAGAATTTAAATTTAAGTTGTGTAAATGTTTGTAAAAGTAGTGCTAAGACCACAGACGTGGAGATAAGAGAGGTAATAGTAGTAATTTAATACTAGTGAATAAGTAATAACGTTTGTATTCTTTTTTTTTTTTTGGATAATAGGATAGGAATATTTTTCTTTTCTATATTATGAAAGAAAAATACAAAATTTAGCACATCCAACCTCTTATTGGTTCCTTATATGTTATTTTGTCTCGCCTTTTGTTCATGACCAAAAAGCTAGCTAATAGTTACAGACCTATAAACATAAACGAAAAAAAAAAAAAAAAAACTGGCATTTTCGTCTCTAAATTTGCTATTTGTCTTGATGGAATTTGAACAAGATTCCCGTCTCTTTCTTTCCTGGCTTCCTTTATTTTATTTTATTTTTTATTTTCTCCCGCCAATGTCACTTAATTTCCTCGGCCAAAAAAGAAATAATAATAATAAATAAAAATAAATCCCAAGAGCCAGGTATGTTTTGATTAATTGTGACACTTAATTTTTCTGTTGTAGTTGTTGAACCCAATTAGTGAACATTTCAAGAGTCTTCATATCTGCTCTGTAATGCTTCTGTGTAAATTCAAGAAGCATGGGCCATGTAAAATCTGGATATATTCTTGGATTGCTATCATCTACTAGTTCACTTGGAGGACTTACGATCCTATCGCTCTTTGGACACAGAAAGAAAGCCAACGATTTTCTTGGCTTCTTGCTGTTCACTACTGCTCTATGCAAGCAGCTCTTGTATCTTCCATTAGACAAAGCCTACAAACCAAGAAAAAAATTTTAAAGGTTAATTAATAAGAATACTTGTAATTAACTCATTGTTAATTAATTAGAAATTAATGGGATGTAAACTTATTACCATGAAGGTATCGCCAATGTTAACGACGAAGGCTTGGAAATTTGGGCTGATAGAACGCCATTGATTGTCTACGAAGACTTGAAGACCTCCTACTTGGTCTTGGTGAAGAATGGTTAATGAAGTAGGATCGCAATGAGGACCGGTTCCTAAGGTAAGATCAGGTTTTTGGCATTGAGGATAGTAATTAAGCCTCATTATAGAATCGTTTTCTTCAAAAAATTCCCTGAAGTGCTCTCTGCTTACTCCAAGGCTCATTCCAAGTAGTTCCATGATTCCCAGTGATAGAGTGCTCATCGCCTCGCAGTACTCCTGGTACACCCTCCTGCAGTCCATGAATTTAATTCATTTATATTTATAGTAAAAGAAATGTTTATGTGTTCGTTTGATTTGTTAGTGAGCTATATATATATATATATAGATATATACCCGAATTCTGAGAAAGTTTCGCCCATTGTGTTACGGAGATAGTGTTGAACGAGTTTGGGTGAGTTATTGTCAGCCGAGTAGCGAACAGAAACAGTTTCTTTCCATGGAAGTTTAGAAGAAAACCTGCCAGTGAAGCTACTGGCATATCCACAGTGCTCGCCAATTTTCCTCTGAGCTTTTTGCTTTTCACAGAGAGGTAATTCAAAGAAGCTGTCCATATAGCGATGGGCATCTTGTATCAGTTTTTGATTGACGCCGTGATTAACGACGAGAAAGAAACCATGTTTCTTGCAAGCTTCGCCAACAAGCTTAGAAGCCTCCATTGCAGCGACAGGGTCGCCGGAAAGGAAACCACCTAAGTCGATATGTGGAACAGGGAGTTCTGGTGCATTAGCGGTTGGCTTTTCATGGTCAGGCCAAATGAACTGTTGGGGAACGTTAGATTTGTATCGAAGAACACTGGCATCGAAAACCAAAGGTTTATTTTGGTCGTCTTCTTGATGGTGTTGAGGCATGGTTTTGATGCAGTCTACTGCCATAACTGCTTTACAGATTACAAATTTAATAGGAAAAGGAAGAGAGAGAGAGCTAAGGCTTATGTTAAAAGAAAAGCCAAGACCGCTCTCATTGGGGAGATGGGCGAACAAAATTTGGAATCTTATAGCTTGCTTTGTATTTGCAAGAGAGGGCTTTACAACGGAGAGATTTGCAGTTTAAGGTGTTTCTTAATGAGAAATTTAGGTGATGGTCCAATTTACTGGAATCGTGTCCTTTTTATAGTTGCCAGGGAAGTGTTTTTCCCAATGGCATTTTTTTTTCCTTTTTTTGGCGTTTCTTGGCTGACAAAGAAAAAAAAAAAAAAAAAATATTGCAAGAGAGGCTTACAACGAGAGATTTGCAGTTTAAGGTGTTTCTTAATGAGAATTTTAGGGTGATGGTCCAATTTACTGGAATGTCGTGTCCTTTTCTATAGTTGCCAAGGGAAGTGTTTTTCCCAAATGCATTTTTTCCTTTTTGGCGTTCTGGGCTGACAAAGAAAAAAACAAAAAAAAAACAGAGAGAAATGTTAGTGTCACCTTGTGTGGAAAACTTCTTTCTCTGTCCTTCTATCCAAAACTAAAAAATAAAAAAAAAAAAAAAAAAAAAACAGAGAGAAATGTTAGTGTCACCTGTGAACTCTTCTCTGTCTTCTATCAAAACTAAAAAATGCTTTGCTTCTTTGGCTGAAACTCACTTACCTAGATTCTTTCTATTGGCCTACTTATTTCATACATCAAACCAATGAAAATAATTTTTTGTTGAAATCAAAGCATTTTTAAATATCGGTGGAAAACAAAAAATAAAAGTCAGAAAAATTTTTAAAAGAAGTTTTTATTTTTATTAATTTAATCTATAAATAAGGCCATACACCGATGCAGACAGAGTTCGACGAAAGCTGAGTGAAATTGCAAAATGAAAGAAGTTTGGCTCTTTTTTCTTTTTTGTCCAATTGAAAATTGCATTACCGTCAAAATTTGAAAGAAAAAAGAAAAAAGAAAAAATATGTGTAGATAGTCATTTACCAACAGGCAACAGCTTTTCCAGCTGAAGCGATGAGTTTGTAGTACACTAACAGAATACAGAAAGTGAGATTGAAATGCAACATCACATTCATACAAGAACGTACTTGTACGTTGAGTAGACGTTTTGTAATAGCACTGTATGGCTATGTAATGTAACCCCAAACACTCTGGGACTTGACTACAAAAAAACAATACCAGAAGTGACACTTCAAACTATCCTTCACCTACAGTACATTTCCAACTTAATTACCATTTTCTTCTTTTATTTTATACATTTATTATTATTATTATTATTATTATTATTGGGGTTGTTGTTGTCAGACATATAATTTAGGGAGAATAGCTGTGAGCATGTGTGATCTTCTATTGTTTTTTATTTTATTTTTAAATTTTTTTATCCTTGGTGAATGAAGCCAATGTGTGTCAGGGTGTAAAAGTTGGTTCAGAATCCTCCTCAACTTCTTTCAAGCTTCCAAGACACATTTTGCTGTCTGTTTTATTGGGAGCTTATTGGTAGTCATGTTCCTCCCTAAAATCTATTCATATAATTTATATGTTTTGATAGAATTAAGAAAATAATTATAATTTATTTTTTTTATGTTCATATATTAATTATTTAATTCAATTAATATAAACATAATTAGTTAATATTAATGCAATATTTTTCAATGCTAATTTTTTTAAAATATAATCTATTTAGATATTAAATATCTAATAAACACTAATTATGACTTCAATAGTTATTTGATTTTAATAAAAAAAATAAAAATTTTCAGTTTGGTCTGATTTTTGTTAGCAGGAAGGATAAGCCACAATCACTTAAACAAAACCAAATCAATCAAGCTATAATTGATTTAGTTCGGCTCACATTTCCAAATAAATTGAACAAAAATGGAATTTGATTAATTTTTATTAAAAAAATTCCGATTTATTCAGTTTAGTATTAATTAGATTTGAGTTAAACAGAACTGATTAAATATTTTTTTAGAAAAAGGATCTTAAAAAACGAAATTGTTACTGTGCAAAAGCAGATGAAGAACCCACAAAAATAAATAATGAAACGTCCAAAAATTAAGATATTTAGCTTAAATAAATGCGAAGGACTATCTAGCTTAAATAATAATCAGCACTAAGATTAGCCTTCCAGCACAAAACATCCCAAACTCATATCAGAAGAGCACCACTGAAGTTTAATTCATTTTTCAGCAACAATTAAAACCCTGAGCAACTACCTCAGTTCGTTATTTAACCATATTTTTCCGTTTGAAGGTCCCACTCATTTCTCAGGCGTACCAGGTCCACCAGAGCATATTTGTTGTTTCATGGTATAGATTTTATTACTTGCTTTTTCTTTTGACTTAATTATAAGGATCTCTTGGATTGCTTTGCCACTTCATTTTTTGTGGTTCGTTTGCTGCCTATTAATCTCATTGTCAAGTCTGTTATCCACCCAAAAAAAAAAAAAAAAATCTCATGACCAAAAAAACCTGGAGAGAGATTAGTTTCTATATTTATGAAATCAGAAACTAAACGAATTGAATTGAAAGCAACCAGACACCGAGAATTTTCTGAAAATCTGTAAAAAGAATTGGTATTGTTTGGTGGGTTGTAGGTGGCAATTAAGGTGAAGTGAGATATGGAGCAACAAACAATGGTGGTGGGTTCTCCAAAACGTCATTCACTTGCAAAACAAAAAGCAAAGCAAAGCCTCTGATTTTACTCCAGCAATAAACTGATTGAGCAACTTACTTTGGATACTATACCCATATATAGAAAGTGTGGCATGTTAAGAGCAACATACTTCAATTTTCTCTAAACGCTCCACCATTCTTTGTTTGCTTTTTGCCCCATTTGTAACATCATTCCTATTAGTGGGTCCTTTTATTGGAGATTTTCAAGATTTCCTGACATGAGACTTTAGACTTTGCTTATTTATTCCCCTTTTTTTTTTTTTTTATTCAGCTCAAAATATATATGACATTGGAAAGTTAATTACAACCTGCATAGGGTTTCTCAAGTTGCAGTTTGGCATTAATCGAAGGAGTCTTACATTTGTATTATACATATATACATACATCGTACTAGCTAGTTGCCAGAAGAAGCTCCAGTCCATCACGTCATACAAGAGAAGGGACAAAGAGCAGTGTTGCAAGAGAATGAGTTGTTGCTTTCAACTGCATACAATATGTGGTTGGCAACCCAAATTATCAAAATACGTATTTTTTTTTTTTCATTCATGTATTTTTGTATATTACTAATAATTTTATATTGTAGATGTGTATATATATAGGGTACTGCTATTTCAGCTTTGACTTTTGCAAGCACTAGTTAGGGTTCCAAGGAGAAATTGAAAAGCAAAGCACACTAAAACTCAAATCATGAGATTATATTATAATATGCTATTAACTTGACGATTAAATTATATAGATACGTAATCTTTGATAACCAATTAAAAGCTAAAATGTCCATTTTGATTTTTCTAACATTTGACTTTCCGAAGTCTGATCCTGCTGGGACCCAATTTGACATATATTTTGTATTGCCACATTTCCTGCACTCTTTTGTCAAACATCTTCTGTTGTTTTTATTAGTTTAATTATTTTTAAACAATGCTTAAAAATAATTTAATTTAATTTAATTTAATTTAATTTAAAGACAACAAAAACTGTAGTAAGTGTTATGAGGGAGACACGAAATCCTACAAACTATCCAAAAAAGAAAGAGTTGAGAGTTGAAAATGAGGATGGAAGTGTGTGGTGAGAGTTGAGAGCACTAAGTTACGATCAAATCTACTGTTTAAACTATGATCAATTGTATCTTCTTTTGTTATTATTTTTATTTTTAGTTGACTTGAAGTTGCATGTAAAGCACTAAAACATTCTCCATCATAGTCCACATCAAACAAGTGGAGAGATTAATATCAACGGTTAGATGTTAGATGCAGAGTAAAATGGGCTTCATCACCTTAAATTACTGATCTCGAATTTGATATGGAACTTTCTATATAGAGAAAACTCACTTGAAAAAAAGTCTCTATTTCAGGATTTGATAGTATCTCGAAGAAACTAATCTTTTCTTTTCAAGCGAAACTTATTTATTAAAAATAAATAAATAAAAAGCGGAGAGATTTCAACACTAATGATGCTTATTTTCAATTGTATAATTAGTAATAAGTAAGCAGCAGTATCTACAGAAAAATCCATATGCGTGGTTTCATTTTAATGATTGGAATTTGAAATTTTAAAGTCAAACTTCAAATTGTATGTCAAATGGTAGATTTTTCAAAATAGGTCAATTTAATACTGTTAAGAAACTTCGGGAAACATATATTTAAGCTCATAAACTTATCGATTTTTATATTATTAAATTTTTATTTATTAACTGAGGTTTAAAAATATGTAATCATTACTCAATAAGATTAGCATGTCGTTTAGTTGGGAGAAACAAAACAATGTTAAAATAAAGTTTAGAGATTTTTGTTTAATTTTGAGAAGGGAAAAACAAATATTGTTCTTGGATTTTTATTTACATTTATTTTGGTATACAATTGGGGATTTTAGGGTATCACGTTATTATTAGATCTATTTTTACTGTTAGTGATTTGAATTTCTAATTACTATTAGTTAAATAAGATTTTAATTTTTTAAAGAAAAAGTTAAAGGATTTTAATATATAATATATGATACACATACAAAAAATAATGTTGGAAAATTTTAACTTATTTGGCTTGTTCTAATCAACGGTCATATTGAAAAATCAATATATAATATTTACTATTATTGGACTAATAGGCTAATAATTGATATAATATGATTCCTCCAAGTGTAATAAGAGGTTAAAGTTTTCCTCATAATACTATATTGTCTCTATCAAAATCCTAATTACATTATTATTTTGTGATTAGTAGAATAATTTTAATTAATTTGACATAATGAGCCATCAACAATTTCAATTAGATGGTAATGATTAAGAAGAACTGTTTAATGAGTATCTGCTGGAAATGAAGGGTATATATTTATATATATATCATCAAAAGTTTAATGCTTTTATTGATAGAACATCGTAAATGAATATTTATTTTTCTGTCACTTAAAATTAGTTAGTATATGACTTTTCTTGAATTGAAAGATTAATAAATTTCGAAATCAATAATTGTATTCCTTTTACACTAAATGGGTAACTGAAAAATAAACGATTAATTAAACTTTGAAATTTACTTAATAATCGGTAAGTATTGGAGAATACATTGAGAAAATTAAAAATAATACATCTAAATATACATACACTGATTCAAAGATATCTCTAAATAAAAATACCAAAAAAATTGAAAACTTTAATATATATATATAATAATAATAATAATAAATGCATATATAATAGAAGGCATGAAACAACAGAATAAATATAATATTACATAGTAAAACAAAAGGCATGAAAGGTGAAATATGAAAAATGGGCACAGGACAGAGAGGCAGTAGGTGGGAAAGAAGAAGAATAGGAAGAGGAAGAGGGAACAAGAAGGTCCATGAGTAGAGGCAACTAACATGATGGTGGAGTTGTCACAATGTCATGCAGATAAAAGGTGGGGCAAATTGAGTTTTCTCTCCAAGAGCAAATCCCATGAAACTGATAGACCCAACAAGGTTGGATCTATAAAAAATTATAGCTAAACTGTGTTATGTGTCAATTAGGACAAACACAGTTCCATCCTCTTATTTATCCACTAAAAGTATGCTTACTTTTCCCCTTGTCTGTACAATTATTTGTTGGTGGTGGGTCTGGTGGTGGTTTTGAATCACCATTACATTTTTTACAAATGGGGAGCAGGGACAATCGGAATTGATCTTCGTTTTGGACTTTTCAAGAAAAAGCCACCCCCTCATATCTCTCTTTATAATTTCCAAACGGAACACTATTCCTGCTTTGCTTCTTTTTTTTTTTTCTAAAAAGAAAAAATCTTGTGTGCCCATTTCAGGGGCAGCTAACCTTTATCTATTCTTTGTTTTTTCTAGCTATTACCCAATATGTAATCCAATTTGCGAACATCATTTTCATTTATGCTGTGGGCTAACTTGCGGTTTCACTTGCATTACAATGCCAAAGAAAAACTATTGTAGAGAAACGCCCTAGCTAGGCTTATAGTTAAAGCACATTTCTAGGGTCCCTTTTTGTTTTTGTATTCTTTCCCCTTAAGCGGAGACTGAAGAGTGAACAAGAGAAAGTAGTTAGCTAGAGAATGTCACATCCCGAGAGAGAGAGAGGGTTCTAAAAGTTTCTGAGAGGTGACTTGTAATAGTAATATGCAAAGGTTGAGAGGACAAAAACAGTGTCCCAACATGTTCTCTTACGTTATTCAAGTGCTTTGCTGTTCCATCATGTCAAATTGCATTTGAACAGCAGAGTTGGGGGGGGGGGGGGGGGGGGGGGGGGGGGGGGGGGTGGGGGGGGAGGGGTGTGGGGTGGGGTGGTTTTAAGGAAATATTTTTCTCCCACTATACAAACAGTATATATACGCTCTTATAAGGTTGGTTTGTCATCTTTGTCTCAGTTTGTACACTCAGTCCCACATAAAGGAGGGTCGGGATAGGCCATTTTGGGTGCTTTGTTTTTGGGTGGGGAGGGGTGTGGGGTGGGGTGTTTTAAGGACAATATTTTCTCCCACTATACACTATATACGCTCTTATAAGGTTGGTTGTCATGCTTTGTCTCAGTTGTACACTCAGCTCCCACAAAAGGAGGTCGGATAGGCCATTTTGGGTGCTTTGTTTTTGTTTCTTCTGTTGTTCTAAATATCATGGAGATCTTATCTGCTAACGCCAAACCAATAGGACTTACACTTATACTACCTACTTTGATTCTCATAGCCAGACCATAGGATTATTTATGCCCTTTGAAGGGTCGGCCATGACCAAGATTTTTCAGGAATTGGTGATTTTGGTGGGTACCAGCACCAACCCAACAACTAAAATACTAATCTATCTTTGTTTGGTTCCTGTAGTAGGCACAACACTTTTGAATAGGCATCATCTTATTTTATCAAACTAGACCCAACTTGGTACTATCACCCTGCAACCCACTTTCAGTAAGGCATTTTCTAATTGTATTGGATAATTAAGTGCAAGATTAGTCAGCCTTTTTCTATTTTAATTGGATCTATTTGCGTCCATCCATGATAATTAATATCAGATGAAAAAGAGATTTTTATTTCCACTCGCGTGCTTTTACATATTTTACATGGAGGAACTTACTGAATAAAACCAAAATTGAATTGAGAATTCGTGGCAGACTAAGCCGGAAAAAGATGAGATACCAGGCAGCATTTATTGACAAGAGTAACAACTATAAGATGTTTTATGTGATGACTGTAGGCTTCTCTCTGCCTGTGAACTCCTTAAGCTTTGATACAGACAATGCCAGATCTGAAGCAAACCAAAAACATCACTTGTATGCATTTCTATTGTGAAAAAAAAGAATCAATAATAATAGGTATTTATTTTGCTTGTGTTAAGGGTACACTGACCTATCAATGGTTTCAAGGCTGTTTGAGCATCCAACTCGTGTTTAGAGACATCTGGTTCGAACTGTTCAATGTACATTCTAACAGTTGCACCCGCAGATCCAGTTCCCTGTAACACATGGAAATTTTTAGTTGCGTCAAAATTGTGCCATATGAAGTTTCAAATCCTACAAGGAAAACAATGAGTGGCACGTACAGATAACCGAAATATGATCCTTGATCCATCTGTGAAAATAAATCGAACCCCTTGCTTTGATACCATACTTCCATCGACCTGTAAAACATAAACATTAGGAGACAAGTGACAACAACCATATTGTCCAGTTCCAATTAACTTAATGAAATAAAGTAAAGATAATAAATATGCACTGATTTTAACTTACGGGATCGGTGTATTTGAAGTCATCAGCACACTGAAGGACATAACTCCCTACCACCACAAATTTTACAAACATTTTCAGAATATGATATCATGAGAAGAATGTATATACAAACTTACCATATTTTTCTCCTGGTTTGCTCTTAGAGGCCAAATCTCTAAGATATTCTATCATTTTATTTGCTCCTTCGGACTCGCACTCCTGAAAAGGAATTTAGATGTATCAAGGAATTGTGCATCTCCCAGGAGTCAGGACAATTCAGCTTAGTCTAGCGAGTTTCAAGATGTTCAAAATGATAATTAATCCAGTAATTACAAAACAGTGCAAATATTTAAACTGCAATTCTGTTTCTTACTTCATAATCATATCTAGAAAAGAAATTTCTTCCATACGTCGCCCAGTGTTCTTTCACAACATCAGCAACAGATACCAACTTGTCCCCTAGTTTCTTGTCCTTGTTTCTATGTGCAATAATTGAAAGCCATGCTAACACAGCCCTGTCATTTAAAAATTTTAATTCATTCCAATCAGGATTTTGACAGTAGATAACAGCCATTGCCTCTAAAAAGGAAATCATCAGTCACTTCTACTGAAATCCTAGAGAAACGAGAGAAATCTGAAATATGATAGAACTTGAGGAAATAGAACTAACATTAATGCTCACTGGGGAGTTATGATATGCTGGAAAACAAGTACACAACATGATTATGAGAATGTTTTTGATATTTAGACAAGCAAATCAAATCCATAATAAATCGCACATTTACAATGAGACAAAAATCTTTCCTTGTGAAATTAAAACTTCCCTCATAAGGTCAACAGACTAGTATAAAATTGAATTTAGATGTGGCATGCAGATCCATGAGTAAAATGGACTATCTGGTAGGGCTCCCACCTTAATAATTGGTCCCACGACAAAGTTCATGACGGAGGGGCACAGTGGCAGGTCTATGCTGCCACAAAATAGGCTCCCAGGAAATTTTTAACAATTCATTGATACCAAAAGTATAACCAAACCAGGTTTTTGGGATGTGGGACTAGACTTGTGGGGTGTGATTCTGGCTGTCATTTTTGATAATTGATAAGCAAGGTCTTATGCATGACAAAATTTAAGATGCCTGAATGGGTGTACAGCAATATGAGAAAATGATGAATGGATAAATAGAAATGGATAATAGGATACTAAAAGTAGAAACCCGAGGACAACCTTAAGTGGAGCAACAATATGTAAGTAACAACTAAGATGTGTTGGTGTCAGTATATGTGGGTGATTTTGTCTGCCTATTTTATATGCCATAGACTGTTACCATATGCCATCCTTCTCACGAATGTGATCAGAACCAGTTCCAAAACTTTCCTCCCCACATATTGACAACTTTCCAGCATCCATAAGATTCCCAAAGAATTTCCAACCAGTGGGAACCTGAAACCAGGAAACAAGAGCATTCAATAGGATTCAATCATCTTCATGGATATAAACTGCCTTGTAACTTTATTTTCTTCAGAAAATCACTATTTTGCTTGAAGTGATTAACCTCAAAAAAAGGAAGACTTAATTTTTCAGCCACACGATCCAGCGCACCACTTGTTGGCATAGACCGAGCTAAACCCTGAAGGTTGAAAATAGAAGTCATCTGTAATTGTTTCTTTGAATATAAATAATGGAAGGGAAGGATAGATAATATCCTACCTTAGGGCCGCTCTTGAAATATGGAATGGCTCCTTGTGCATTGGCAGCAATGATGGCAACTGAGTCTGAAGGAGTAACAAAGAACTCTTTCCCCAGGATCATGTTTCTATCACCATCTCCTGAATAATGAAACAGGAAAAAAGATCAAAGTCGCAAATGAATATAAACATATCTATGTTAGTTCAATTCTACATAATCTGAGGATAGAAATTATGTTCTGTTTTCAAAAGATTTATTGACAAAGGATGTCAATCATGATATCATAATGATATAGAGAATAAACAAGGCCTGAATGATTGAACCATAAACATAAATTATTCATTCAACATTCAACTACAACGCATGCTTACTAGTGTAAAATAAGTTATTTATTGACCAGAATTTTCTTTCTGGTCCACTTCCATCCATCTTCTACAGCAACAATCCAGTTTAATGCACACTCTTAACAAAGCTTCAATATCAAAATGGAGCTCACCTGCACTTATACTAATTCCAAACTTACAGATCCTAAAATTCCTCATGCTATTTGATTGAAACTAAATAACACTTGCCTTCCCTTTTAGGGCATGAGAGCTACCAAGATCTATGCAAACCTAGTTCCACATGCTCAGCATTGAAATCCATCCTACAGCAAACTAAAGAGAGGATTGGATTTGACACTAATTCTTGTCAAGCATGCTTTGCAAAAAGGCCAGGTTAGATGGTTAGACCAAAATCTAGCAATGCATGTTTCTCAGGCTCTTAGCCAATGCAATTTAGATGCTCCAAAATTTCTTCCATTATTTCATCACGGCAGTTTGTTTTGCTCCTTTGACTACTTTTAACCTACTAATATCATCTACCTGGATAGGTTGTTGAAACCATTGTGTAACACCAACCCCAGTTTTTTGAAACTCAAATTGGGATTCCTTTTGAGGAATTCAGATTGATATTCTTGTCAAGCAGCACAACCTGAGAATAGATTCTCAGATTTACTTGTTCTTTTAACGTGCACAAGCAAGGAAAACATAAATTCATATATAATCTTATCTAATTACACATCACAGAACAATTACAAAAGATACATATTAAACTTTTATAACACAAGCATACTATATGTCTCTTGATATCATTATAGCAAACCCAAGCATAGAGAAAGTTTTAGTGGATTTCTTAGCAATCTATAATGCACTGTTATTGCATTTCTCATTAAAATTAAAGTTTTAAGCAATGTCAACTTGAGATATTAGCTCTTCATCTTTAGAATGTAAATGTCTTTTAATATTTTTCCCTCAAGTTTTAGACTTTCTCCACTGGATTAATAGCTTCAACAAGTGAAGAAATCCCATCCCTCCTTTATGTGGAGTGGTATAAAAAGATAATGTCTGGATGCATCCACTACCTTTTCATATTCCAATGCTGGAAATGAAGTCATTCACAGCTATTTCTCAATCTTCATTCTTAATTAAGGTTTTATTCTATTCATCTCATAGATCTGTCCATATAATCAACACTCGATTTCTTCTTTTTATATCCTTCTAGTTATTTTGATCCAAAAAATTCAGTCTCAAACCTAAAAATCAAGTAAACGTGAAAAGTTGTCTAACATACCATCGCTTGCAGCTCCAAAATCAGGCCCATTCTCACTATACATAATTTTGACCAAATCCTTGGCATATCTGTGATACAAGTCAAAGTCAGTATCGGTTTACTGAAAAATCGCTTCCAGTTTAGTATCCACAGTTCGCATCTTACGTAAGATTAGGATCTGGATGACCATGTCCAAAATCCTCCAGAGGCACTCCATTTGAAATTGAATCCTACATGTAAAATATAACATCCCTATCAAGAACTTAGGCATAAATGAAAATTGTTTTCCAAATATTTCAAGTGCAGAACATACCAGGCTGGCCCCCAACTTGTCTACAAAGATGGGCTTTGCATAAGCACCAGTGACAGCATGCATGGCATCAAATATAAACCTAAAACAACACCAATTAGAATATATTCAATTCAAAGACATGTCACTTTAAGCATAGGATTTAAAGATTCATGATGCCTATGATTGCAAGAACAAAAAGAGGCATCTGAAGGAAAAAAACAGCATATAATTCTTTACAGAGAAAAGAAGATTTAATATTGAAAAAACAAATAACAAAAACCACAGATAATTAAATGGGTGGACATAATGATCAAGCTGAACATTTTGCAAGAGAGGTAAGCAGAATTGAAAGAACAAATGCAATTATGCAACTGTAAATACAGCCAGAAATAGAATAACCTATTAAAACAAGGTTACAAAGACAAGTACAAATAGTTCAAGGGAGACTAATGGACTTAAGTTCAGAAATGATGCGAGGTCAGTTTAGAGTAAGTCCAGTAAACATATAAGGAGTCTGTCTAACAGTGAGATAGCCCAAAAAAAGATGTTTGTCTTTGTGCATCATATGGATAAAACAACAAGTGAATCTGAGCTGCTATAAAGAGAAGTGGTAGAGAAGAGAAAAAAAGGTTCATGGACCAGCCAGTAGACTAAAAAACTGACGTGTCATGAGAGGACACATACCTGAAATCTGACCGTGAAACGAGACTTCTGATGAGCTCAAAATCAAATACATTCTGCAAGGAATCTCTCATAGTTATTTATTATCAATCTACATGAATTGTAATACAAAATGGATGCCTTTTGCTTCTAACCTCCATTAACTCCAAGTAGTCAGAAACTGGGTCCACTACTTCAACAATGAAGTTTCCATATTTTGTAACTCCAAGACGAGAAAGGTCAACATCAGGAATTTCCGCTATTTTAATCTCAGAGATCTGCATAGATTTTTTTAAAAAAATAAAACATAGGCATATATAAAACCATAGCCAGCTAATGCCCAGGTTAAAATGTTCAGTGGAGATAATAATTTTCAATTGCAATCCAAAATCTGGAACTTAACTCGCAAAAATGCAATGATTTAACATTTTTTCAAAGAACAAGAAAAGAAAATTACAATACCTCTAAGTAATTAAAACAAAATATTACCAAATGATGTATGAATATAAAGAAATGAAAATTTTGATAAAAAATAAGCAATCTTCATTATACTTCTTCATTTAATTCTTAGATATAGCAAGATGCAAATTTTTCTCACACCCTATACATTAAATAAATGTGCAATTTGTTTATAGTTTAATAGGATACAACAGCAAACCTATTAAATTACCCTACATTCTGCATAATACCCTATTTCAAAACCACAACCAAAAGAGAACTACTAATAACCTCAACTTTACTCATCAGGAAGGGGCATAAAGGCAAGGAGCATGTGAACATACTTAAGAAAGATAAACAACCAGATACTTACAGATAGAGTATTTCCATAAATTTTGTCAGTGATAGATTCAGGTGCTGGCTGACCACTGCTGTAATTAAACTGGAAAATCAACAGAAACATTAAAATTACAAGAATGATCTGAGAGCTTAAAAATTCCCACGTGCGTGTATGTGATTATCTGTAAGATATATATAAAATTTGATCAAGGTTTGAGAATGAAAACTCAAGATAAATAGAAATGTCAAGTGATAAACACAGAATATGGATATTTTACTGCATTAGAAATTCCTGAAACACTTAAATGCCATATTCTCATATAGGTGGTAAAAACAATGTGAAGGAGTGGGGATAGATTTGGTTGCAAGTCAATAGCAATATATCATGAAGGGAAAACTCATACAGACACAAGTTACAGCTATGTATATATTTCTGGATGCGTGCAAATGATAGGCACCAGCAATTCACCTTGATACCCCAGTCATATTCAGGGCCGCCAGGATTATGACTTGCACTCATTATAAATCCACCATTGGCCTGTTAAACCATAAATTTAAATAAAAAACAGAAGGGAAAAAAAATTAGTAACAATTAGCTGAAAATCACTACTGACAAAATTAGTAACAATTAGGATTATGAATGTACCAACCTCCCTCTTTCTGATTACAGCAGAAACAGCAGGGGTAGACATGATGCCTTCCCTGAAATGGTGGAATATCAGTGTCCACAGCAAAAGTGTGCAGAAAAAAAGATACATAGTATTGATTTCAAACCTTAAAAAGACTATAACAGCATCATATAAACACACAAACAGATAAGGAGAATAGAATTCCTGCAGAAATTTACAATGTGATTCCCTAGTAGGCCAACTGGAAAACTAGGTAGTTTATAGTTCTTACAAGGAGGTCCTCATTGACTTTCTACTGATGAAAACTACGAAATTCTGAATAACTTCAATAATGGATTGATTCAGTCAAAATTAGAAATTTCAACCTAGTGAGCTTTTATCAAGCAATCACCCAATTTCCAACAGAAAAACCAGCACTATCAACTTTCCAAATAAATACCACAGATTACAGAATTACTGATGGAAGAACAGGTAATCATTTATCACATATTAGAACAAAAAGGGAATCACAATACTCACTTGCCAACCAAAATTTTACCAACACCATTACCAGCTGCAATTTTGATAATTATCTGCACTCCAAATCCAAGCAACTCCAGCAGTGAGACACAGAGGAATTATATAACCAAAGAATAAATGAAAATAAATGAAAACAGGTTGATAAGTAACAAATATGACCTGTGCAGCTTCTTTGTTGAAGTATCGGCCATCCCCTCCTAACACCAACAAACCATTCTTGTAATCTTCTGCCGGTAATGAATTAAACAATGCCTACACATGCAAAATCCATAAATAAATGAACACCGCCATATCATGAACACAAAGACATAAATAAAATGGCACAAAAACATGTAAAAAAATTAGACCTGAATCCAATTGGCGAGATAATTTTCCTCCATGAAAACTTTAACCTGCAGAAGGATAAAATTATTCAGAACGAAGTGACGTCACGATGCAAGGCAATCAAATTTGAAACCGGACATTCCATTGTTAGTAGAGAAACCAACAGCAAGCATAAGACACAGAATTGAATTTATTGCCCCTATTCTATCAACAAAAGACAAAAAAAAATCGAACCATAAAAAACAAAAAATAGAAAGAAACAGTTTAAAATTAAACAAACCTTCTTTCGAAGACCACTGGTCCCAGTCTTCTGCCCATCGATTGGTTTCGTTGGCACTGAATTAATCTGAAAAGTACGAAACAAAATCCCCAGAATGTCATTATACATATAAAGAGAAACAGAGAGATAAAGAAAGAGCGATATAAAACCTTGATGCCTTCAGGTTCTGCGATTGTGGTGGAAGAGGAAGGAGAGGAGGCTCTGATAGATAGAGAATGAGAAAATGAGGATTTCAAAAGAGGGAGTTTTGGAGATAAGAGACGAGAAGAAGAAAGCAAAGAAAATGACGAGAATTGAGGGGAGAAAACGTTGGCTTTTTTGTTTGCGTTTGCATTAGAATGCTTAAGAGCAGAAGAGAAGATGTTTTCAATTCTGAAACAAGAAGAAGACGCCATTGATTTTCCAATTGTTATTTGATAGTGGAGATGATAGCTCTCTGTTTTATACGATGATCAGTTAGAGAAAGAGGTGGGAGTGGGAGTGAGAGTGAGAGTGAGAGCGAGAAGAGAAGATCTGAGAGTAGAAGAGTGGAGCTGAGTCAAAAATCGATTTGATTTGATTTTTGTGTAAGGAAATCCTCGACTGCCTCGTGTACTTGGAAACGCTTTATCCTCCGTTGGACGTCACATCTCATCATGTGAAGTGTGAATTGCTTTTTTTTATTATTATTTCTCTCTTTATTTTAGCCGTTTTGCCTCTTCCATGATTTTTTTTCTTTTTTTTTTTTTTAATTTTCATTTTTAAGCTTCTTAACTCTTATTGCTGGAGGTGATTGATAACAGTGCCTCATGTCATGTGATATCTTATCTATCATTTCTCAAGCAAAGCGAGATCAAACTCATTTTAACTTTTTTTTCCTAATATCCGGAGACTTTCCTCCAGTAACCTGATGCCACGTCAGCCACATCATATCACGTTTAGTATTTTTACTGAGATAACATCACGTTATTTTGTTATAATAATTTTGTTTAAAAAAGAAATTTCGGTATGGGTGATCAGAAAATGAAATATGGGCCTATTTCCAATTGACTGGGCTTCTATATGGAACAGTAAACCTTTTAAGTGAGCTTTTTGCATTACGCACTTATTGATGTTCCAATTGGGCCCTGTATCCTTTTTCCTTTTCGACCCGCCTTTTTAAGCCCGCATAACCGTATTTAAAAATGGATTAATTTCATTCGTTCTACAGTACTGCTACCTCAATTTAGCATTGTCGCACTTTATCTTTATGAATTTTAATTTATAACAAAGCAAAATATCTAAACTTTAATCTGTTTAACAATAAAATGACCAGGGAGGAAAATTTCACCCCAAAATTGAGAATTGATGAAAAAAAAAAAAAATTAAGCAACATCAACAAATTGAAGCTTTCTCTCTAATTTTGAGTTACCTTCACCCTTGTATTTCTTTTTCTTCTTCGCTCTTAATCTTCTTTTAACTTGTTCAAGCAAGTACTATTTCGTTGCAAAGGCCATTCCTTTTTAAATAAGACTGGACGAAAAAAAATGAAAGATAATAAATAGGAATATAGCCAACATGCAAAGAGATTAGTTCTTTTAGGCCAAGAAGCAGGAGCCATGAAATCTGAACTGAAACCTTCATTAATGGGGTAGCTGCTGCAGCTATTGTTGGCTTTAAACAAAATTGACATTCCTCCTTTCGAACACAATACTTGCTGTTCCCACGTACTAGATACTTTCCTTTTATCTTATTCAATTACAAAATCAGCAACCACATTACTAGACATAAACGGTAAACCCAATCATTTATTGTCTCTCTCCAAATCTTGAATTCTTGCTTTTCACTCCATTCTCTCCTTTCAAATCTTGAATTCTTGCTCTAAAAAATTTGATATCGTTTGGTTTTAAAGAAAGCAAATTGATATATTCTCTAAAATATAAACCAATTTATAGCAAAAAAAAAAAAAAAAGGGTAAATCTTTTAATTATATTAGTGTGTTACTGGCCTCACTAAGTTGTTCAGTTTCGCTTTTCTTTTCTCTCTTGCTCTCTTCCAATACCCTACACTACTGGTCTCCCCTCATACATTAGTTCTTTTCTGTTTATTTTCCTATCGAAAATCCAGCCTTTTAACGTGTTACAGTTTCTTGTGAGTGGAAGCCGAAGAAGATATATAATGGAGGGTGGGGACGAGGTAAGAATGAATATTAAAAGTGATGATAAAAATGAATATGAAGAGTAGATACAGGTAAGAAAACACCAAGTGGTAAAAGAGGTTATGTCCTCTCTCAAAGAGGTTAATATAAATTACTTTGATCTTAAATATTTTGTAGTAATTTAACTCCTAAAAAAAAGAGAAAAAAAACGGTGTTCTGATACTGTATGGATCACTTTTGCAGAGAGGTTTAAGCCACTATTGGGTGGGAAGACCTAATTTACCTGCAAAAATGCATCTTAACTAGACCCGTGGCTGGTATTATAAAGCGAAACCCTAAATTGGCGTCGTTATGTAGACAAGTAGGCAGTAATATAAGAAACCCTTTGTGTTTGTGTTCCATAAACCAAGATAGTACGAGCTTTGTCACAGACCGTACGGGAGCTTTGATTACTTCCATTCGCAACTCGAAACGTGTCCTCTTATAGTTGTCGATCAGAGTCTCAACGACCACATCCTTTCCCCACATAGAAAGATACTTTTCATGCTTCCTGATTTTTTTTTTTTTTTTTTTTTTTTTTTTTTTTTTTTTTTTTTTTTTTTTTTTTTTTTTTTGTACACATTGAGGGATATTTACAAATTGCATCAAGGGACGTGCTTATAGGCTGTGAAACAGACATCCCATTTTTTCACTTTCTTGTACGTGTATTCGTAAAATTTTTACTCACCGTACGTTTGAAACGGAATATATAACTCCATAACACACACATATATACGGAAGCAAATAAGTTATAATAAGGGAGTTAATTAGTATAAGTATATTGCTAACTAAATGTCATTTGATTGATTTCTCTCGTATCTGGATAGGGGCATTAGGGCAAGATCTATATATATTTCTTAGAAAAAAAAATTACATTTGTCCTTAAAAAAATTTTGCCCACCAAAATTCTAAAAGAAAATTACATTTCACCCCTTTAAACTCTACTTTCAAGCTCCGCCAATGAGTTGGATGGGTATTAAATATAATATTTGTAACACTTCTATCTAGAAATTTATTATTTTCACCTAGTGTAACACTTCTATCTAGAAATTTCTTATTTTCACCTAGTGTATGGGTAGTCTTATACAGCAAGTCAATCAAAAGATTATTTTAAAAGGTAATATTGCTTTGTCTTTTTTTTTTTTCTCAATGTATAGTAAGAAATATATTCGTTTCAATGGAAAAAACTGTTTATAATTAGTTTGATGCATAGGTGATTATACTGTAGTTACATATTTCTCTTTCTGTCTATCTTCCAAAATACCCAATAGGCTTTTGGTGAGCATAAAGAAGAAATAGGAAATGTAGAATTCTAAATGAAAGATGGCTAGAGAAGCGAAAGGGCCTGCAAAATGGCTTTGAATTCTCCACTTTCGGCAAATATACACAATAACAGAAAGTTCTTACACTAATATATACTATTTCATATTTCATTTTCAGTAATATTTTCACTTCGAAAAGATGTAAAGGACTTGTATACACATTCCCGGTTGTCTCCACATAAAACCAAATACAAAACTCAATTCATACTCAGCCGAGAAAGACAGAGAGAGAAAGAAACAAATAAATAATAAAGAATGAATACGAGAAAATGATCCATCTACCTTATTCCTAGGTCTTTTTCAAAAAAGAGGAAAAGGAAGGAGAAATGGGGAGAGGAAAGGTCGTCTTGGAGAGAATAGAAAACAAGATCAACCGCCAAGTTACCTTCTCCAAAAGAAGAAATGGTTTGCTCAAAAAAGCCTATGAGCTCTCGGTTCTTTGTGATGCTGAGGTCGCTCTCATCATCTTCTCTAGCCGCGGCAAGGTTTCTGAGTTTGGTAGCACCGAGTATGCTCCTCTCTCTCTCTCTCTCTCTCTCTCTCTTTGTATTCTACATATTTCTTTTCTTTTTTTTTTTCTTTTTCTTTCAAACGAATCATGCATAGATGTGTTAGTTTCTTTTTAGCGAAAAAAAAACTATATATATATATATATATATATATATAATTTATATATATATAGTTTTAGCAAAACATATAACTACATTACAATATTTTCGAAATAACGCATCTTTGTTTATAGTTTTAGCAAAACATATAACTACATTACAATATTTTCGAATAACTGCATCTTTGTATATAACTTTTGTAAAGAAATTAACGACGACACAGAGAAAGAGAGAGATTTCTGATAAAAAATCTTTGGTTGAATCGAGGGATTCAATGGTTCCTGGATAAGTAGGGTCTATTGTTGTGGAGTTGTTAGCCCAATGGTTTATTAACACGTTTTGTCGTCCTTTGCATTCTTTAAGATCCCTCTATACGGAAAGAAGAAAATTCAGATCTTGTCAAAGTTTGAGTGACAGCTTATTTTTCCATATCTAGGGTTTTTCTCTCTCTTCCTCCTCTAACCTGACGACAATCATCAAAACCCTCTTTTAAGTGATGCACTACTTAAATGAACTGTCCATCCCCATTTTCATTGGAGCCCTAGCAAGTGTTCGTCGCCGTTTTGGTTCAGGTACCACTGCCAATTGTTTTTATGATTCAATTTAAAATTTCTTTCTGTCTTCTAGTTCTGGATAGTGTTACAGTCAGTACAATAAAGGTTTACTTTAATCGAATGAAACAGTATTCTCTTCTCATTATGCAACTGGAAGCTTCTCAATAAACCAGTTTTAGAGCTATTAATGTGTTTCCTTCATCTTTATGTTTTTGTATAATTTCATCACTCGTGCCTTGATTTTTGACTATTTGACTTAATTTTTCCCTCTATTCTAATTTGAATGTTTAGACTAACATATGCTGGCTGAAAATTAAAGAAAAAAAAATGTTTTTAGAATTATTTTCCAAGAAAGAAGATGTAGAAAACTAGGATGACCATATTGAAGAGGAAGAATCGAATTTGAGTACTCTCGAGTCAGAGTTACATGTTGTTAGGCTATAAAAGACAAGAAGATTACTAACTATCCAAATTAAGTTCTATGTGTGAAATTATATAAATTAAGTTTGAATACAAAATCATTTCAAATTACTAGCTACTCAAATTGATTTTAAACTTAGTTTTTTTCTAAACCAAAAAAGTAAATAAATTAAAAAGGATTCATTTGACAAAGCCTATCTATTCTTGATTGAAAAATAATCATTCATTGTCTTCTTTGAATGTAAAATATATATGTTAACTAATAACAGAAATTTTTCACTTGGAAAATAATTATTTATCCTTATTGGTGGAGATAATTATAATTATATAATAAAAATGAACAATATTTTTACTAAATACTTATCAAGAAGTATAACAATTGTCAATAGACTAATACTTTGCATTCACACTATATTTTAGTTTTATAAAATTTGCTATTTTTTATTTTGTTTTAATTTCTAAAATTCTGGACTATATTGTAAGTATAATACACTTTTAGAATAATGTCATTACTTTTGAAATGTGTTTAGAATAACATAGATAATCCATTTCCTTATTTATTATTATAAAAAAACTAAGAAATTTTATATGAGTGTATTAATTTATTATTTATTTACCCTTACCATCACTATTCTTGCTATTGTTGTCACCACCACCACTACCATCACTTTCTTTAGTGGCTCCAAGGTCACCATTAAAATCTTTATCCTCCATTATCATGTTATATTATCACTGTCATCACTACCATTGTGTTGCTACTGCTAACATCAAAAACTTAATTTACTAATGCATTAAATTTATTTATTTATTGCAATAAGAAGGTGAGAAAGCTAAGGTTAGATAGGATTGTATCGTGGTGCTTAAGTACAATTCATTTAGACATTTTAGACTTTATTTTTCAAAAGAGTGACTTAGATGAAAATATAATCAATAGAATCAAAATATGATAGATAAAATACTAATATGGGTTTGTTTGATGGAAAGGATTTTGACCCTTAAGTAAGAGGTTTGGTGTTCTATCTTTGTAACTGGAGAAAATCCACTAGTAGTGCTTCGCTTGATGCGGTCAGAGCAAATTATCAATGCATAAATAATTTTCTTTTTTTTGGTATAAACAAGAAAGATAATGCCATTACTTGCATTATATTTCCCATTCAAGTCTAGCAAATATAACCTATGTATATTTTATACATATTAAATCCTATCTTGCTTGCAGGAAGTATTTTTATAAAATCATGGAGTTCAGATTCTCTCTACCGTAAAATTACTTTTATTATATAGTCTACAATATTATTCCAGCCAATTTAATCTCTAACGAACTATATATATATATATGCTTATTCATTTCCACTTAACCTCAAGTCTATTTGCTGCTATTTAATTTACTTATGTGATTTGCTATTTCGATCTCATTTAAGCACTTAACTAACACTTGCTTTCCAATCAGGGTAACCAAAACTCTTAAGCGGTATCGACAACATTGTTACTCCTCACAAGATGCCAACAATTTTGAGAATAGATCAGAGGTTTCCCTCTTTTCCATTTCATATTTCCTGTATATATATATATATACTTCTCTTCTCTTGATATATATTGCTCATTGGGAGGGCTAATAGAGTTAAATTTAAGGGGAAATATATAGCCTGTCATATTTTCAGATGGAGGTGCATTGTTTGTTGTATTATTGTCTCTCTTCTCTTTTTATTGATTAATTTAATTAACAGCAGAACTTATACCAAGAGGTCACAAGGTTGAAGACCAAATACGAATCTCTTTTATGCTCTCAGAGGTATCTAATTAACATTCAGTTTTGCCCATTTATATACAATATTATAATTAGTCGATTGCTGATATATTATATTTTATATTCTCAAGGAATATGCTTGGAGAAGAACTAGAACTGCTTAGTATGAAAGAGTTGCAGAAAATTGAGAAACAGTTAGACAGGACTCTCTCACAAGCACGAAAAAGAAAGGTAGTCTCATATTTATGGACTTTCTGATTTTCTTTTTGCATATTACTTAAATTGTTGTTTCTTTTTTTCTTAACAGTGTTGTTATTGATTAGATGTCCTCTAAAAAAAATAACATAGATGTTATTAAGGAAGATATTCAAATGTGATTAATTTCTTACTCCATACATTAAACAATTGAACTTTTTAGATTTTAGTGATTGTGATTATGTAGAACTTTTTAAAATCGAACCAAAGTTTTATGCTTAAACAGGTTAAATCCTAGGATTCATATTCTAATTATCTTTTAATCAACTAATAGCAATTAGCCTAATTATTATAGTGTGAACAGCAAACCATATTTGAATTATTATTAAGAGAAAGGAAATGACAAGAACTACAAATCCTCAAGTCTGATGTTCTATATAACCCAAAAAATCTATAACAAAGAAACCGTATACCCGATATGGACTACAAAATGGAATGAGTAGCCCAAATCAAATCTGCCAACTTTCTCATGAGATAACAACAAAAAAAAAAAAAAGGGTAGCCCAAATCAAATCTTGCCAACTTTCTCATGAGATAAACAACAAAAAAAAAAAAAAAAGGGCAGATGGTAAGCTATTCTCTGAAAATATAGCGTATTTTATAATGCCTTTACAATAAAAAAAATTGATTTTTATGCCAAATGAAAAAAAAAAAAAAGGCAGATGGTAAGGCTATTCTCTGAAATATAGCGTATTTTATAATGCTTTTACAATAAAAAAATTGATTTTATGCCAATGTTAACTAGTGACAATTAAGAAATATATTCAATTATCAAATAAGTTATCTCATAAAATTTTATTACATGTTCACAGATAAATTTTTCTTAAACTTCATTTTTGGTAAATATATATACTTCAATTATAATAATAAGAAAGAAAATGTATTGCCTTATTTGAGATGTTACAATATTATAACCCATCTAAATTAATTACTTTAATATATGTATTTAATTAATAAAATAAAATTATATTTGCTGATCAAAAAAAATTATAGTATCTACATCCTAGAGCCAAATATTAATTATTTTCTGCTAATAAAATACAATTTAAGTTATTAATGCAACTTAGCAACTAAGCTACACGTTAATATTGTTAATTCCTTTATAATATGTTTAGAAATAAATTTTTTCCAGGTTAAAATTAAAAATAGAAGAAAAATGTTGGAGATAAATGGAAAGATTGATTTTTGTTTTTTCAGATTAGAAATTAATTAAGTATATAGTGAAATAGTTACTGTCTGTCGAAGTCGTGGAGCGAGGGCCTCTTCTTTCAGTAGTATATATTGTTTTGGATAGATAAGCAATTAGGATTGCTAGAAAATGTTTGAAAAAAAGAACAGGAAAACGAAAGAAAAGCTCTCACATCTCTCTCTTTTTCTTGCATTTTCCAATCTCCCAAACACAACACAAACCCCAGCCTCAAACATTAAAATCCATCGTGAACAAGCTGTATACAGCTTCCTAAGAGTTCAGTCAAGTCTTGAATCAAGTAGTAGAAATGTATGTAAGCTACTTGAGATAGGTAGTTGAGTACCCTTAGGACATACGGCTAGAGGAGAAAAGAGAAAATCTTGAGACGTTGCTCGTATAACACCTGAACATTATCACACATTCATTGCTTTTTATCACCTGTGATGCCGGTGATTGATAATAAAATTCTGCTGCTGCAGTTATTTTGCATCTCATAATTTTTATAGTGTAGATTACATTTTATCTAGTGACCCAAAGTTAAAGATTCTAATCTCAAAGGCTAAATCTTTTTGAACGTGCATAAATTGAAATATTGAAGACATAAAGAGTAAGTGTAAAAATGATATGTATAAACAGAAGGACACCCTTGATTTCTACTTACAATTTATCAATGCAGACACAGTTGCTGTCGGAGAGATTGGAAGAACTACGGAAAAAGGTAATATTGCATTGCCCCGTAGCTTTTCTTTCATGCATTAATATTAATGCAAGGATTTTTGCCCCATTTTTAAACCTCTTTGTGGTAGAGATAAGGGCGAGAAATTTCAATTTACGTTTCTTTTTTAACTGAAATGTGCTCAGGTTTTACTAATGCTATATATGTATTTGATAATTGGTATATATGGAGCATGGCCGATAAAGTATACTCCTTCGGTTCCAGTAAAAGTGGCATAATTAGAATATGAATTTCACTTGACTATCCGTTTTAGGTTCGGGCGTAAGGAGGCCTGTCGGCTCCGGTTAGTCTTTGGATTAGCCAAAGATTCATCTTTAACAATGAACAGTAGAAGATCATTTTCTTCTCTATCTGTCTCTACTTTTCTCCTTGAAGACAGTACATAATTGCACTATTTTTTCTTTTAAATTTCCAAAATCTAAGTAATTAACAAATTAGCAACTGTTAGTTCTTTTTTTACCTGCCCTGTTGTATATTCACACCCAGTAAATACCCCAATGGTATTCCCCTACTCTCCTGTTAGTGTAGTTTATTAATTACCGGTTCTTTCCAAGACCAACACAACACACTGGAATAGAAATTGCATTCTCTGATTTACTTTTTTGTTCTTATTGCCAATAACAGTATAATGTCTAAGGCTTTTTCGGTTGTCTGGCAGGAGCACGATCTTGGGGAGGAAAATAAACAGCTCAAGATTAAGGTCTTGATGCAAATTTCCATCTATGTCATGAAATTAGTATAAGTTTACCTCAATAATTTTGGCTTTTAATTACAGTTTCGTAACTGATTGTTCAATTTACAGCTGAAAGAAGGACAAGAAGCTCATGCAGGTGTAGGAGGCCCTAGCAATAAGGCAGCTGCAGCCAACACACAGACTAGGGCACAACCTTCAGTACCCAACTTAGAGATAGGGTGCACATTTTTTTTTTCTCCTATTAAATATACAATAAAGACTTATCAGTTTAAAGCAAGAATATATTTCTTAAATCTGAAATCTCCACTGCAGGTATCATCAATTTATTCCCCAAGCAGAAGCCCTTCAGCCATATTATTGGCCATGGGAATGACTCTCTCCTGGATGGTATTGTTGAAGTTCAAATTAATCTTGAAGAAAGAATTCTGATCGTCTTATGTTTAAGATATGTTTGGTTACTATTGATGGATTTTTACGAACTCAGCTAATGTTTTTTTTTTTTTTTAAATAATATGTGACCAATAATTCTCATGTTGTAATATTAATGACAGATTCCAGTCATGTCTTATAATAATCTTTTATATAAGGTTTTTTTTTTTTTTTTCCCTAAGAATACTGTTATTTATCAACCTGTATCTTTTTACAACATTGTCTCTGTATATGATTTAAACCCAGTGTTTGATTGTTTAAAATTTGATATTTCAGTAGAGATCTCATTTTATTTGAAGTGTTCAGATGATTATTTTCTAGAGTGATTACAGTGAGAATGTCTTGATTAATTGGAATTAATACCGATTTGAAATTTTAAAATGTTACAAAAAAATATCTGATTCATGTGATTTTATAAACATATGAATGTTAATTATTTTTTCAAATTTCAAATTTCAAAATTTTTTCTTTCTTGTTGTAATCTATATTCCTAAATATGTTAATTATTTTTTCAGTAAATTTAAAATTTTCTATAGCTTCCAGTACGAAAGTGAGTATTATTGGATGTCCAACCAATTTTCTAATTGACGTGTATTTGTTAAGTTCCCGAAAACGACAACAATTTCTTTTTATAAACTTCCCAGTTTGCCTTTCTTCTGGGCAACCAATTCTGACAAATTACTATTTAATCCCTTTAATTTAATAAAATTAACTATCTAGCCTTTATTTTTTCAAAAATACATTCTAGTTTTCCAAACTCATAAATTCTTCCGTCCAAAATTTTTACTTTTTACAGTTAATTTTTAATAAAAATAGCAAAATATCCTTTATTCATTTTCTATTCCATTTATTTATACAAAAATAATATTATCACTTACCATTCAATTCTCACTTATTTTGTCAAATTCATTTTTTATTAAATCAATATAAATCATTTAAGTTGAGTATTACTGTAATATTATTAAATTATTTTTCTAATTATGCTATATATCTTTCATAAATAGTAGGGGATAAAATCTTTGCACCTTTTTTCTTTGAATTCTTTTCGCACCTTCATCAAAAACCGTCCATATGTTTCGGATTTTCCCTTTATTTGTTTGGTACCTTTATCAATAATTGAAATCTATCATAATTTCCTATGCCACTCACTTTACTACTTTAATCTAATGGCTAAAATTGAGTTTTTCAAATCAAAAGGTTACTTTTAAATTTAATCTTCATCTATATGCGGATATTTATTAAATATTTTCCATTCATTTGTTTTGCAAAAATAATCTCTTCGGAAATATTTTCAACATATTTTTTAAAGAACCTTTTTTTTCTATTACTTGATCATAATATTGCAAATTTATTTTTAAATTTTGATATTTTTATTTATAGATTGTAAAATATATAGACATGAAATTTACATCTATTTTACTTAATTTATTATAAAGTATGAAAAAAAACATAAAAAATAATAATTTACAGTTATCACTAGCGGTTGATAGTTAGCACCTTTATCGTTTTAAAAAAATGTCAATTCTCTTAAAAATAGTTTACTTTCCTTTTCTTTTAAAATGCGACTTCACCATTCAATTCTGTGATCATCGAGATAAGATTTAGTACACTTCAATCACTAGACTAAATTATTTTTTAATTTATTAATTAATTAAATCAATACAAGTTGTACTATTTCATTAATTTTCTTCTCTTAAAAATAAAATGTCATTCCCAATTAAAATGAAGATTTAAAAATATTATAATAAATATTAAAATTTTTTTATTTATTGTATTATTGATTTATTTATTTGTCTAATACAAAAATTTATACACCCTCGTCTCAAAATTTGAGTCATGGTTTGACCTACATATGAATTAAAAAAATTAGTTAATATGATTAAATTATAATATTTATTCATTTCTTTTCTAATATACCATTATATTAATATCCATGAAAATTAAATGATCAATATTAAATTTTTTTAAAGGATAAAATAATAAATTTCAAATATTATTTACTTTAAAAAAGAAATAAATGACATGAATAAAAAAAGAAAATAAGACAAAAATTATGGGATGTGAATAATACATAGCAAATTTTTTAGAAAACTGAAATATACCAGATCGTCGAAAAAAATTTCCGGATTCCAATAAATTTTGGCACTTGTTCAAACTAAAACCAAAACCGAATTTTATTAATAAAGTTTGGATTGGAAAACTGAAATTACCGATTGTACTGACTCTATTTGATTCTGATTCCGAAACTTTGGCCAAGATTAGCTTACCTAATATACTTTTAAGTTTGATCCAATTTACCTAATATGCTCTAAACTCGATCCAGTTTACCTAATATGCTCTACACTTGATCCAATTACAATGAAATCTTATAGATTACGAACACATTGTCATTTTACATTTTCATGTTTCAACACTTGGCTATTGTTTTGTATTTTATTTTTAAATTGTGGAGGAAAAATGTTTTTAGCAATTACGCTTGCTTCTGTAAATGGAATTTGTGTTCTATAGACCATGACGACTCAGAGTTAAATAAATATCAGTATTGAGATTTAAAAAAAAAAAAAAAAAAAAAAACAAGGATTTTCCAATGCTTGTCTTGTCTTAAAAGTGGGATTATTCAAATCTCCCCGTAATTCACTCAGAATCAGAGATCTAGCTTGATCAAACCCACCACGCCAAGCTTAACATGCATCAATACGGGGGGCAAACTGTAAGGCTTGCAATTTTTTAAATCAAAGATTCAAAAACGCTTTTCCTACCCACCAAACAGGTTCTGCCAGTTGTAATTCCAATGGTGGACAGCTGCCGTATTATAGGCGGTAGCCGCCGCCCCGGCGCTGTTGGTTTCCCCTCCTAAATTAACCTGTTCTTTCAACACTTTACAGCTCATGGCTCTTTCTTTCTGTGGGTTTTTCACCCGCGGTAAAAAAAAATAACGCCGTCTTTTCTACCTTGTGTTGCGGTGGGCGGCTCAAAAGAAATTTTATTTTCTTTTTTTTTAAAAAAAAAAAAGAAAATGGAAATTACGGGTTATCATAAAGCAGTACAGTTGCGAGGAGAAGTCCCTCCTGTCAGTCAGCTTTGAACGATCCTTTGAAGATTCTACAGCGTTAGTGTATACAAATACAACCACAACTCCCTTACTTCCGCATCATCTTTTTACAACATCGACACTTGTTAGTCTCTTTCCATAGTTTCAGCTCTCAAATGGCTGCGAAACACAATCCTGGTACATTATTTTTTTTCCAAAAACTTACATGTTGGCTTCTGTTATTCATTTTGCTTCAGGATTTCTCTTTTCTTTCATTCATTTTATGATTGATATATATGTATGTGAGTTAATTTATGTGCTGTATGTTCCGAGATTGCTTTATGTTCTCTTGTTTGGTGATTTTTGAGCTTATTTTTCGGATCATTTTTAGTAGATCTTTCTTTATATGCTTCGGGTTCTGTTCTCTGTTCTTAAGCATCTGTTGTGTTCTTGATTTGTTCAACCAAATCACTATAAATTTTCTGGTACTGGAGGACACCTTGATTAGTTATTACCGATTTGAATTTTCATATTACTGTACATTACGTAATTGTTGGGGCTCTTATTATTATCTGGGGCTTATTAGATGTATGTGAGTAATTTAGGAACACATCATATTGAGAATTTTATTTACTATCAGTAGTCTTGTTCGACCATATACATTACGCAATAGATCCAGAATTAGTTGCTTTTGTTTCTACCTCGATAAGGGTGGAAAAATACTAGGCTTGCTAAGTAGTTGTGGGCTCATCTATGTAAGAAATTTGGGTTTTGGGATTCTTTTAGATTGATGAACAAAACTTATGATCTAATTTGAAGTGGATAACTAGTGGTTTGTTTGGTTAACTTGCTAATTTGTTTTCCACTTTTATGTAGTTATATAAATATAAAAAAAAACCAAAAAAAACAAAACTTATGATCTAATTTGAAGTGGTAACTAGTGGTATTGTTTGGTTTAACTTGCTAATTTGTTTTCCACTTTTATGTAGTTTATATAAATATAAAAAAAAACCAAAAAAAAAAAAAAAAAAAATATATATATTATATATATTATATATGCAGGACATTCTTAAAACTTCCAATTTGATACCATTTGTCTATAGTTTCTACATATATGCAGAGACATTCTTAACTTCAATTTGATACCCATTTGTCTATAGTTTCTACTGATGCAAAGTAATTGCAATTGTGTAGGTGAACCTAAAGATGATGCCTCATACACAAAAGGAGGGTCTCAAGCTAATATCTCCTTAGTCGTTTGCTTTGGAGAAATGTTGATTGATTTTGTGCCAACAGTTGGTGGAGTTTCACTAGCTGAAGCACCCGCTTTCAAGAAGGCTCCTGGTGGTGCTCCTGCTAATGTGGCTGTTTGCATATCAAGACTAGGTGGTTCTTCAGCTTTTATAGGCAAGGTGCATTTGAATATGGCTAGGTTTACTTATTTAGGTGTTTCCTCTCTGCCTTATTGCATGCCGAACACTAGATCTTTTATCATCAGCTGTTTTTTTTGCCAGAAATATGCAAAATAGAGTATCATGTCAAATACCTGAGTATTAGTAGTTGGCTAACTTTCTACCTCCCTAATTCCAAAAACCAGAGCAGTAAACCTGAAGTTTTTGTTAACCATGGAAATGACACATGCCAATTTCTGTTGTATGAAATGGACATTTTCTCAATGGAAGTAAATTTTGTCATTTTGTGATGTTAATAACAAACATCATATTTTATCAGTTTCTATAATATTTTGATCTGATTTCTTAATTGCCTGCCCCTGAATTAAAAGTGTCCCCATATCCACATTATATTTCAAATAATAGGTTTTTGCCACATGTCCTTATCTGATTGTATTCTTTATATTTAAGAATTTCTTAGACTCTTAACCAAATAGAATTTCTGGTTTCAATGCTATGTCTCAGTTTGCTGTAAAGGATTTTGAAGTCTATGGTTTTTTGCTTCTTACTTAGACTGATTCCTATTTCAAATTCTCTTCTATTATGTGCCTCAGTTAGGTGACGATGATTTTGGCTATATGTTGGCTGACATTTTAAAACAAAACAACGTTGATAATTCTGGTGTGCGATTTGATTCTAGTGCAAGGACTGCGCTGGCATTTGTTACTCTCAGAGCTGACGGTGAACGTGAATTCTTATTTTTCCGTCATCCGAGTGCAGACATGCTTCTTCATGAGTCAGAACTAGATATAAATCTCCTAGAGCAGGTCTTGCTTTCTCCGTCTTGTTTTAAGCAAGAAATGTAGCATATTAGATAATATAGTCCGGAAAAATTTTACTAATTCATTGCAGGTCATCTATCTGAAATTTTTCATTTCCAAAACAATTGCAGGCAAGGATCTTTCATTATGGTTCAATTAGTTTGATTGCAGAACCATGCAGGTCAGCTCATCTTGCCGCAATGAGGATTGCCAAAAACTCTGGCAGCATCCTTTCTTATGATCCAAATTTGAGATTGGCTTTGTGGCCATCAGCAGACGCTGCTCGGGAAGGCATAATGAGTATCTGGGAACAAGCTGATGTTATTAAGGTGCATTTATTGAGATATATGATTCATAGAGTGTTGCATAAGTGCAAACACGCTTTTTTTTTTTCTTCTTGTATGTGCACACATGTGAAACCATTGCAGACCATTCAGCCAATATACTTATTTCGGTGATCTTTTGAAATGGCAGATAAGTGAGGAGGAAATCACATTCTTAACTGGAGGTGATGATCCTAATGATGATAAAGTGGTCTTAAAGAAGCTTTTTCATCCTAATCTGAAGCTTCTGATTGTAACTGAAGGCTCAGAGGGCTGTAGATACTACACGAAGGTAAGCTCATCAATTATCATTTTCATACTTGTGACTTCATGCTGAGGATCTGAGTGAAGATAGATCCTGAAGCCTATTTGCATGGCGCTCAACCAGGGTAAAATTCATAGATTTCTTTGGCAGTTTTAGAGTAGTTTTTATTGAAACCTCTCTCAATATCTATCTATTACAACTTATTTCATGAAATTTATTAAATTGATACATGTCAGCAAAAAGACCTGAAGTCATAAAGGCGTCTCATGGTTGTTGCATGCATTGGGGTGTGCATGTACAATATGGAACCATAATAATTGATTTCAAACTTTTATTCTGATCCTTTGTGAAACTGCTGTCATGCTTGCCTTGCAAACAATTATAAGAGAACAATGTTTTCGACTGATTTTCCTCAGTATTGATGCTATGCATTTCTGTGAATAGAAATTCAAGTAATCTGAATTGAATTTGGGGAGGGACTTGCGAATAAAAATGATATGTATGATTACCTTGCCCATAATGGCTACTAACTGTCGGACAAACCTACTGTTGCAGCTTTGCTTAAATTGCAACTGTTCATTTAGATGTTTGCTTTCGATTACGGCATTATCCATATTCATTTCAGAAATTGACATCAGCGTAACTAAATGCAGGAGTTTAAGGGCAGGGTAGCTAGTGTTCAAGTGAAACCTGTTGACACAACTGGTGCAGGTGATGCCTTTGTCGGTGGGATTCTCAGCAGCCTAGCTGCTGATACAAGTGTTCTCAAGGTACTTCTATTTCTTATTGCATAAGAGGAATGATTAAGATGTTTCTTTTATCCCATTGATTGCTTCCAAACTTATGATCTAAAGGCATTTCTTGGGGAAAAAAACAGAATCTGAATCTTCTCTGGGTTTCATCTTTTACTGCAGGAAAGCTTTCCTTGTAAATTCTAGTCTTTTACTTCTTCAGTTTTTGGTTTTTGAAATATGGGGAACTATGGCAGCTTAAACAACCCAGTTTGGTATTAGACTACCCCATAGTAAGACATATTATATATAAAGCAATCTTAAATCATACTTTGAATCGTCGGCATATTTTATTTCTGAATCCTATAGACCAGATAAATAAATTAAAGTGCAGCGTGATATTTTTATTATTAGATTTGCTAATGCGGTTTAAATGTTTGTGGCAATTCACATAGCATCACTGATAATTCAAGTCTAGCTGTTCTTTTTGACTATTAAGATTTAAGAACTGCCAATTGAACCTGAGCTTAATACCTTTTTGTGCAGGATGAGAAGCGCTTAAGAGAGGCTCTTCTTTTTGCAAATGCCTGTGGTGCTGTCACTGTAACAGAGAGAGGTGCAATCCCTGCCCTACCCACCAGAGAAGATGTCCTCAAACTCTTAGAGGAAGTCCTTGCATGATATAAACTGTGACAAGATATTCATTTTCTTTCTTGTATTTAGCTGCTTATTTTAAAGTCCTTCATAGTTAAACAACCTTTTTGCCCCATTTATTCTTGGCTTGCTTCATTTCTTCTATATACCGACGAGCAAAAAAGGGTTGTAATAAGGGCGCCCCCCTCTCTCTCTCTCTCTTTTCAGCTGGGCCTTTTTTGGTCTCTAATGTTGTAGATTTGTTCGTTTACTAAAACGTTGACAGTAAGTTTGATCTCATCATGGATATATTCATACATGTTACCATTACAAGCATTGGAGCTAATACTCTGGGTTTTGAATGTTTCGTGATATGATTCTTTGTTGCTTCTTGAATGTGGCTCTATAACGGAGTCAAAATTTGTGTATTTTAATGTCCATTTCGACAGAAAACATGAAACATCCATCTTAGGGCAATTTTGTTGATGGAGTAGTAATTGATCCGTTGGTTAGCCTTTGTTGTTTGTATTCTGTTTCATAATCGCATGGAATGGAATTCGATCTCACATGAGGTGGTTTTTGGTACAATTGGGGTCAAATGATGATTCGGAAATTGTTTCTCTCTCAATTTAGAAAAATAAAAGTGATGATAGTAATTTTAAATGAATTTAATTTATTTAGTGAAATTTACTATTAAAATTTTATAATTATTATTTTTTTAAAAAGTTCTTTCAACAAATAAATTCGATTTTAAAAATATATTTTTCACTCTGTTCATTACACTCAATTTTCTCGGTAGGATTGCAAATTTGCAACTCATCCCGATTTAGTTTCTGGAAAAGTGCAGCGCCACTTTCTCCTACCCCCACGTGCCTAGCATGTGGAGAAGATCAAGTGCCCATCACGTCGCATCAGAAGCGTGACTAACGTGTGACGTTCAATCCCAATTGCAATTTCGGTATCTTCGGAATTATACGTCAACTTGGATCGTGTGTCAACCGGAAATCGGCCGCCGAAACACGATACAAAAACATATCGTTGATCATACACTTCCCACTGCCACTGGGTTAAAAAAGAAATGAAGTAAAACAACCGGAAGAAGCCAATAACTCAATTACACAAATTAACGATCCGATTCAAGTGAAATCGGTGGCTGCTTGGTGAGTTTAATCGGAGACGGAGAGATCAACAGATATTATCATTTTATTTTGCCCTTTTCTGATTCAAATTTGACATTTCCATTTCTAAGCAGAAATGACTTCAAATCCTTCTCTTCTTCCTGAGATCGGACCCGATGGTCTCGCCAGAGAAGCCTTTGTCATTGCCTACACCGAGAAGGTCTCTCTGCTGTATGCATTAGTTAACGTACATGATAATTGTAATTGGTTTATTTACTGAATTTAATTGTGATTGTGTGTTGGTTATGGCAGATAATCGAGGAAGAGCAGCTTCAGTTAAAAAAGTATGTTGACAAGTTCTTTAACTCACTTCTTTTCTAATTGGATATTACTGTTTTTGTTTCAATACATCAAATGCTTTAGTATTGTGTAACTCTGTATTTGGTCCATGTTAGTCACCCTTGAGTGCTCCATCGTTCTAAGTAATACATAATCTTAGTTCAATAATGTTTTGGCGTTTCCTCGATGCTCATGTTTAGTTGAGATACAATAGATTGTAGAAATTAAATGAATCAATGAATCTGAATTATGTTAGCCAATGATCGGATTCTAGAATTTTGAACTCACTGACTTTAGTCCAATTCTTGGCATTGCTGCAGTGAGTCCCTTAATAATTTGAAAAGAAGTTAGCCAGTCAAATAGACTAAGTCTGTCTCCCTCTCTCTCTCTCTCTGTGTATGAATTTTCCCCCTTGTCTTTGGAACCATGTGGAGAATAAGTGAGTGCTTGTGAACAGGTAGGAATTCAGATCTAGAGAAAATGTAGAAAACTTGCATAATTATGTTAGATTACCAGATTGTAGACATGTTTAGAGGTATTAGAGTTCTCTGCAATTTTGATTTGGTATCTCAAAATTTGCAAGAGCCATGAGATGTACTTATCTTTTATTTCATTATTGCCAGGATTATCAGTGTTATTCATTCTAGAACCTTAAGTCTTGAGATAAATTGGAGGAGACTGGCAACATACGCTGTTATTTTATCTTCTGCTGTTGATGCTAGTAATTTAATATGTGGACATATGTGAGTATCCTTGATACTTTCTTGCAGGTATATTGAGGAAAACTATTCTAAAATACGTGATGTGGAGAGAGAGCTAGCAAGTCTTAATATGGAGATGAAACTTACTGCTGGACCTAAAAAAGCAGGTCAGGGTGATGTTGTCAAGTTGCACTTTTTCTCAACTTCCGTTTGTAGCTTTTATAGTTTGGTAACTTTGCAATTATTCTATTGTATTGCACACATCTTCAGCACTTGAACACTTGAGAAAGAAAATAGAAATGTCAACTGAAAGAATTCGTGCTGCCAGGCAGAAGGAAGAACAAGCACGAAAGGTTTGTACCTCCTAATTGCGATACTCAACTAATGTCCTAGCTATATATATTGTCTTAACCCTGAGAAATATAAGCACCAACTTTAGCACACAGTTGAAGCATGTCGAAATAAATAAATAAATAAGAGTTAGGAAACAGGAAGTAATAATCTAGCTGGTTGAGGTATAGAAACAAAGAGAAACTTACAAGATAAAAATAGTCTGTTTTGCCCAATTATCTTAAGTGAGTGACAAAATCTGATAATGTGTTTAGTTAAGAAGTCTAATATTTAACAGTGATAGGTCTGTATATATCAATTTTATCCGAAAGGAGTGGAGATATTCCACTCGTGCATGTACAAAAACTGATAAGCTATATGCCTATAAAATAGGCAGAATACATGATATCTTATAGCTCCTTCTTGTTGTGTGTCAGTTTATTTAGTCCAAATTTTTATTAGCTGTTGATGAAATTCCTTCGGATGCAAGATTTTCTACTTGATCAACCACTGTTATGTAGCACTGAGCACCCTGTTGAAGAGAATTTACACCTTGGACTGCATATATGTGGTAGTTTTGAGATATTTAGGAGTTTTCTTATACATTTAACTGGATAAATTGCATTTCCTATTCAGCATGACATTTATCTCTTTTTAATGTCTCTTAGGCTTGGGAAGCTGCAACAAAAGCTGTGCAAGATGAGGAAGCAATTAAGCAAAAGTTATGTGAAGACTTAAATCAGCTGGTAAAAAACTTTACTGAATAGGATTCTGAAGCTTTTATTATTTGTCACAGATTTTTTGATATTGTTTTCTCTAATAGGTCCAAGAAAGCAGTAATTCCCAGTTTTCCAGACTTGAGGAATTAAAAAGAAGGCTGGAAGCTTTAAACCCTAGCAGAGCATCCATCTCCAATACTCATGTAAGCTCTATCTTTGAAATTTTTATTGTATCTTTATGTTTCATGCTGTTACCAATAGCATAGGAGTATAACAAACAGGAGCCCCCCATGTAGATAAATGAAATAAACTATTCTGCAGTAGAACCCCATATGGTAACAGATCTCTATTCTTTTAGCATCTTTGAAATTATAGGGGAAAGGTTGTGCATTAATTCTCTCCAAAGCCTACAAATGTGGGATGCTCATTTAACAAATTGACAGTAACCATATTAATATGTTTCAATACCTGACTCTACAAGCCACAACCCCATATAACAAAAAAATTAAAAGTGGGGAGGATGTAGCAGGAAAATGATAAATCATTCGCATCGTTGGTTAAATTCTCAATGTTTGCAAATTTTAGTTTAAGTCCGAAGTTTGAAAGTATTACTCATCCCAACTGCAACTAAGATCAATGCAAAGTGGTTGAGGAAGTGTTTGTTATAAATGTGGCACAGATGCTAACACGCTTATTACCTTTTAAGCAAAGGAATTAAACGAGTTTTCTCTTCTGCTTGAAGGAAACTTGTCATGAAGGATCTATGATCTTCGGGTATTAGTGAGGATATAGCTATGAACATAACAAAATGGATGCAATAGATTCATATAGCAGACTCTAATTAGTTGTTGTTGCCTATTTTTATTTTATTTATTAATATATCAAATGATTTTAAAATTCCCTTTCAAATTTTTTTCTACAAAAAATATTTCAAAATTTTTTCTGACTTATACTGTGCTTTGCATTAATATTAATCTGATAAAAAATTTTGAAAATAGAGAATTTATATAGCCAACCCCAACTAGTTTGGGATTAAAGCTTAGTTGTTGTTATTGTATAGATACCAACTAGAGGGGGCAACTAGTACACTGGATACTCTAGCTCAAAAAGGAAATGAAGAAAACGCGTCTAAAGTACCTAAAGTTGAAATAATCTAGGAATTCTAAGATCTGAGTTCACAACCTAACTGAGGAAATATAGACTTCCAAGCGAAAGATTCCATGGCACTGCTGTTTTTATCTAAATGAACATATACATAGACTTCCACTATAGTGGGTTAGTAGTCTATGCAGATGAACATAAAGTGGATGTTTGTTCTACTTCCTTGTTTGGGATTAAATGCAACCTACTGGGATTGGTTGTATTCACTTGAGCACATGCATCTTATTTTTCATAGAGCAAGTGGGTGTTTTCTAGGGTGGCCTCTGTGTACCTAATAATCATTTACCGTGTAAGAGCTCTGTCTCTTGTTTTACCTGGGGGAGGATTGGAGTTTGGATATGTTCCAATTGCACAGGTTAACAAGGATACTTTTTTTTTTAAATGTTGAAGTGTAGAGTTTTTTTGTCTCCTGGTCACAGAGAAAGAAGAGAGTTTTTCTATTGGTGTTACTCCTATAATAAACCATATAACTGTGATCAATTTACTGATTGCAAAAATATTCACTATTACTCAGAATTAGGGATCTATTGGTCATTTGAAGGTTTATGATGCTTTTCTCAGAGTAGATAATTATAGTTCGGCTGGGAAATGATGTGGCAAAATGCTGTGAACTGGAAAAGCATTTGTTGAACATGGGTATACAGAATTTCAGTTAAGTATAGCTTGAAAATATTCAATAATTCGACTGAAATGAGAAATTATTCATAAGTACCTCTTTGCAAACTCAACAGAACCACAATCCAGGGGCATTCTAAAGTGGCTACAATTAAGACTAATATGATTGCGTGTTTTCTTCTGTTTAACAGTAATAGTGAGGGAACATTGCTGGTATATGTTTTGTCTAGTTTCTTCATTGATACACATGCTAGTCTACGAATGTAGCTTGCATGCAGTGGAGAGATTGTTGAAAGTTTTTATTTGCAACTATGTTTAGGATGGGAAATCATACAGCACAGCTCCAGAAGTATCTTCAATTCCTCTTTCAACAGCACCAGGTGGTATAGTCACTGCAAATATACCAAATCAAGCAAATGGTGGAAACGTCCAAGCAATGAATGGGCCAAATCAGCAGCCTAATCTTGAGGGTGAAGGCAGGGGGAAAAAGAAAATTCAATCCCAAGGAAGAGGAAGAGGAAGAGGAGTTGGGGCTGTGCCCAAGGGTAGAGGATCTACAACACCAGGCTGGACTGGGGCTGGGTTTGATGTAGATGGTAGAAATTAGAACTGCCATTTCGGATTCTTTTCCCATGCTGAACCAGTGGGAATAGTTCTGTTACTTTACTTTCTCTTCCTAAGGTTCTATCCATTCAATTGAAAATAGTCTGTTGATATGGAAATATCATCTAACTTTTCAGACTTCAGATTGCGGGTTGAATCGTGTCACCATTATTCTACATCAATCAAGTAATGTTTCAAGAATGTTATAATTATCTATTCTTTCTTTTCAATGGCACTCATCATTTTCTGTTATGATTATAACTATTTTGTATAGAATGTCTTATATGTTTCCCCTCAATAATACACCTGTCGAATGGTTTTCTCACTTTTGTGTAAATTTTAACCACAAGTGTCTCTTGCATAAAACAACGGTGATAAGTGAAACTCCTTGCTTGTGCGGAGGGTTGCTGGAAGAAAGAAAAGACAGAAATTGGTGGGTTGAATTGAAGAATTGGCATTTTATCACGGTCTTGGGTGGAGCCACCATTTTCAGGTTCTGAAACTTTAGTTCCTTTTGAATGTACTTGTGTAATCATGCAGTTGTTTGACACTGAACATACAGTTTCCAAATGCTTCTTCCGTTGCTTCATTCATCCAGAGATCTTTACCCGCTTTCCAGGTTTAAATAAATGCCTTTTCAAAATTCCATAATTTCTAGCTATCTTGAATCCAATCTTTTTGCATATCTTTTCGTAATCATGTGTCCACATAATGCATTATTGATCTCACTCACATGCTGATGTAGTTTTCAAGTCTTCAAACATATCATTGCGTTTCTTCCAATTATGCCCTCAGATCATCAAAACATATATTTTAGAGGAATTTTCGGGAGATCTGGATGAGCCAATCATACCATCAAGTATTTCACAAATGCACCGTATTGTAATGTCCTTATCTGATTCTATCTTTGCGTATTATATTTGTAACGTGCAGGACTTGATTGACACATTCATGTTAATTCATAATTTCATATGTTGTCGCAATCTGTGACCCCTGTTATGCCGTTTTCAATCTCCAAGTGAAGCTTTAAAGAAACATTTTTAACTGTTTCAAATTCAAAATTTTGAATGTTATGACTTACGCGAGAGCAACATTTTTTTTTTTATATATTTTTTACTTTTTCAATTAGGAATTGGAAATTTAACCAAAAAAAGAAAAATTTATTGATTGTTGTTACAGATGGCTATGTTATTAATTATTTATGCATTTCATCCTAGTCTACGTCATAGGACGACTGGCTTAATTGTCGCGTCAAATTATTTGGGGATCTGCTAGTATACTGTCATGTGTAGCCCTTAATAAATTCTAGTACTAATTTACTTTTTTATTTGAGGGAGAAGAGTTATAGTCTTATAGGGATTCTCATTTCTGGATATATATATATTTCTTTTGTTGATGTACCGTATATGTGGGTGAGAGTAAATCCACCTGATGCGCGTGTCGCCTTAGCGGCTTTATTACAACTTCAAACTTTTTAAAGTTATGGTAGAAGGCCATATTTTTACCTTTTCTTTTTTTTTTTTTTTCTTTTTACCAATTTGTCTGAATGCTTGGATCCTATTCAGCGACTGGACTTTAGTGAAAGTGAAGAATTTTGCAAGTGTACTGAAATAAACTTAATTATATGATTGGATTGGTTGCAGATGAGTTAATGTTTTTGTAATTCATCCCACACCTAATAGCAGCAATTGTGACCTGGCGTCTGAGCGGTAGTAATAGAGTTGTCGAATTTCCTTCAAGCCATTGATTCAACTCCCAAAGCTATTCTTTATTATATATGTTTCAAAAACTACACTTGTATTTTACTAAACCAAAAAGGAGGACCGCTTTTCTTCAGTTCTTTGTTTTAGCCTGCAGTTCCTATTCTTCCATTCAAATCCACTGGCCCCATTAACTCAGATATGCCATTATGCCCTTCAGATCAGAAACTATAGGGAGGTTAAAGGGTAGGTGCGTGGAGAGTTTAGACCTTGCAATTTCACGTTTTTAGACTTGGGAAGAAAGACAAGGACAAATATTTTCAGAGTTTTAATGGGATTATGTAGACAAGTGGTGGTGGGTCAATAACCTTCAAGAGTCATCATCACATTTTTTGCTCTCTGTTTTTTTTTTTTTATTAATACCTGTTGGCTCCGTTAAACATGTCTGCAACAAGGAAGGAAATTAACATCCGCAACCAACATAGCTGCCCTACCTATTAATTGACTTTCTTGTCAAAATTTAAGGTGACAATGCATTTGACGATACAGTGTCTTAATTTAGTTGAAAGGCTCTGATTTGTAAGTACGTACCTGACCTTGCTAAAGTTTTTATGTATTTCTACTTATGATCCTGTTCATATACTTATTGCTTCTATGTAATGCTGTTGACTATTTTTATCTTATTAATGTAGTCGGATGGAATATATAATTAACTACTGTATACTATTTAAAGGCTCATCCAAAGTTACAGGGGAATAGTGGAAAGAATGAGACGCGATCTCGAGTCAATTACGCCATTCCGTGATTGTTTACCACTTGGGTTAGAGCTCATTCTCCGATCGTTGTTTGTTATTGCATAGACAGTTGGAGGAGGTTGACTGTTATTATACAAAATAAAAGTATATCAACATGCGATGCTATAACAACCGGAATAATGATATGGGATAATCCTAAGTAGGAGTAATTTAAGCTAATTAATTATTCTTTGAACAGTGTATTAATAACGGATGAAACTGCATCACATCGATTGAAATGGTGAAGCATAAAAGGGATATATCATGCTTTCTGTTGGAAACGATATCCCTTTTACGAGCAAGTATTAAATCCAGACACATATATATTTCCCATGTACATCTTTAAGTTATAAATTTATGACGATACACACACACAGATATATAGATCGTTCGCGATTGATACCACTAAAGAAGAAAGAAAAGACAATATGTAACTTGGCAGTAATTGTTTTATTCATTTAAGAAGCCAGTGGGAGGATCTAACATTAACTTCTTTTACTTCATCTAGCTCAGCCTCGACACACACGTTTCCTGGTTTGCTCATCCACAACTAGCATTCTTATTCATATGGTTATACACTACACATTGTAAGATGTAAAAACTTTGCTTTCAAATGATAAAAACAAATCCATTTACATTTCCTTTCTGGTTATAGAATCCATGGTGAAGAGAGCACGCATGAATTCTCATATAAAACACGCTATACCAATTGTACCAAACCCAAAATAACACGTGTATCCATTTCTAATTAGTTGAAATACATAGAGGATTAATTAATTAATTGTGATTTTCATTATTCAATTTTTCATTACCCCAAATGTTGGGACCACATGATTTGATATTATACTAATCTATCTCCTCCTCTTCAACTATTGAAAGGACAGTTTAATTAATTAGAAGGATAGATATGACATGCAGAATAATCAAGTCACAAATTGATGAATTAAATAATATTGAGAAGAAGCGATAGAAATTGTTTTTTTAATTAAAAATTTTGAGTTTGAATCTTGAAGATTAATGCAGTGAGAGAATCGCCTCTATATATATTCTATAAGAGTCGGACATAGTCCAAACTCTATGATTGTATGGGGAAAAATTAAACAATTAAGAGGAGAAAATATTTTGTGGTCCTGTAAGGTGCAGGGGGACAAGGTTTGGATCTGAGTTAAGTGGGATTTTATAATGAACAGTAGTTGTATAGAGAGGGCCCTCATGACATGGTTTGATTTGTCCTAACATATAGAGTGACCACCTTTCATCACATGATGCTCATATATATATGTTAGGATTATATATGCATATTGAGTTGAGGTCCCCCACACCTTAAAATGTTGGTATTTTATATATTTGTATTGAAAGGAGCAAACAACGATATTATTAATAATAATATTTTGACACGTACAATGTGTTAATCATTAGATTATGTTCAATATTAGTGCTTAACGCCAAAGGTAGTGTTCTTTTTTTCATATGTACTTTGAATAGTTCTTTATATTATTTCTGAAGTTAATAAAACCTCATCTAATCTTTCCTGTGTGTATATATATATCTTCGTATTTGAATCTAAAATATTTCTTTTTTTCAAGTTTTAAATTCCTAATTTTATAGATAAATTTGCTAAAGAATACAATATATTTCTGCTTATTTAATTGTCTGTCATTTAACACATTTAACTTATGAATTAAATCTTTTATGGTAAACTAGTTAAAAAGGATATCAATTCCATTCCAAGTTATAAATTCTTAACTTGCAGATAAAATTCAACCGAGAATGTAGTCTGCTTCTACTGTGCAACTCCTTGTTAGTAATTAATCTGACCTTTGAATTAAGTACTTTTATGATACATTAATTAAAAGGGATATAAGCACACTAAAGTATAACCTGTTGGTAAATGCATTTAAGCCGTGACTATAGATTCAAGTTTGAATTTTTTTTCCCTTATACTAAAAAAAATTAAAAGGGATATAATGTCCAATTGCTGCGCAAAACTTATGCCCACTTCTCATATATACGTGGAATTTGCAATAGATCAAAATGCATTTTAAAAGTCTTATTGCATCAAAATTTGACCCTGAACAAAATTGGAACAAACTTTTTAAAACTTTTCTTTTTTTTTTTTTTGTCCATTTATTAATATATTTTATCAATTAAATCATCCCTGAAAACAAATCAATTGGGTATTTTTTTTTTTTTTTTTATAAAAAAGGGTAGATATTTGGCAGGTCAAATTTTGGTGGATTATTCATATTCTTCGGAAGTCGGAGGAAATAAAAATGCTGACATATATTAATGTACAGTACATGCACATGCACTCTATAGACATACCTACGGGCTACTTTACAATAGTTGAGCCTCATCAGCTGCAATATTTCCTAAAGTACACCAGTGATGTGAGCCAATGTATCCTCCACGCACAACACCTGTAACCAGCCCTCTTCCATATTATATATCTATAGACTCTCAAATTACTTTATAACTTATATACATATTCAAAAAGAAATTAAAAATAAAATTGACTAATATTTTCTGATGGAAAAAAAAAATTTTAATTATTAGCTTGGTCTTCTTTTATTTTCCAAAAATATTATATTTTTAAAAAGATATTTAATAAATATACAATTGTAACCTTACAATAAGTTTATAAAATTTTCACTTTTATTGAACTGATTTTCGTTAATATTCCAGATATCAAAAAATGCAAAAATTAATTTTCGAATAAGTTATTTTGAAACGGAGCTTTGGACTTAACTAATTTAACTAATTAAAAAAAGTTAGTATGTAATATATCCATAGGTAAATGAAAAGAGTGCAGATCCCCAATAAACCACCGGTATTTAAAAGCCGCAGGGGGGGAGGTGTTTGGGTTGAGGAAGTGGGAGTCACGTTGCGGGATGCTGTGGTGATATCGTCATGTTGTTTATTTACTTCACTATTTCAATTCCCAATAAGAGTTTTGAGACCGAGTCTGGTAAAACTTGGGAGTGAGGGAGAAAGATAAACTAACACTTGTATTTCCACCAACACAACCTCTCTTTTTTCTTTTTCTTGTACTTAATTCCTCCAATCAAATATGCCTGATTTATGCTTCATGGATCCGTTTTTTCCGCTTCTTTAACAGCGTCCTCTCCATGAACTTTTCAGCTTTTCTTCTTCACAAACACTCTCTTTTTCTCTCTTTCTTATCCTCTAAGACTGCTGGATAGTCTACTACTTCCACTTTTCTTCTTTTTGTCACTATCAATCTGATTTTCTCATTTCTAGCTGCGAGCTTTTATTTTTTATTTTTAGAAAGAAAAAACAAAAGCTGATATGGGCAAAGAATGGTATTGGGTTAGTGGTAAATCCTCCAAGAGAGGAGGAGGAGTAGGAGGAGGAGGAGGAGGAGGAGTAGGAGGAGGAGCAAATAAAGACAGTGGAAGCGCTCCTTCTGGTTGTATGTGCTCTGTCTTTCAGTTATTTGATTTCCATCAGTTTCAGTTTCCTTCACAACAGCACCAATCTTCTTTAAAACCGCCCGTCTCTTTTCTTCCCGAGGCGCCTGAGCTTGAGCCTCCTATTTCTAAAGGTTTTAACTTTGTTCCTTTTGCCATTTTCTAGAGAAATTTTGGGTTATGGAGTTTAATTATTATTATTGTATTATTTTTTTCAAGTCAGGTGTGGAAGCACCAAGAAATAGCTTGGAGTTAGAGGAGCCTTCATCGCCAACTACAGTATTAACGGAAGATGAAATTTTAAACATCCCAGTAAGTTTCAATATTCAATGAATATTTAATTAATTTCTAACACTAATCTTTTTGGTTTTCCACAAATCTTTTAAAATAATTTTTGTTATTTCTAAATATTCGTGTTTTTGTAAAGGAAGTAATCATGACAATAATGATAATGCCAATCTTTTTTTGCTTTTTGAAAAAAAAAATTTCAGATGAGTATTCAAATTAAAACAAATAGAGACAGTACGAGTTCAAAACCGAATGATTCATCCTCAGAAATCAGCTCTTCCCCAAGTACCAAAACTCCAAATTTGGTCGCAAGACTCATGGGTCTTGATCTTCTTCCCGATCAAGCCTACTCTCCAATCTCTTCTTCATCAAATCTTGGGACCCCAAATAATCCTGTTGGTAAATCTCATTTAAACCACCACCTCCGACGACGCCAGCCACTGCAAAGCAAAACAAGCAGCCATAGAAATAGTTTGGACGGTGACCATTTTTCAGGTACACGTTCTTTGCCAGAAACTCCAAGAATATCATCGGCTAGAAGGTCAGATGTGGAACACCGACTATCGCTTCAAATCAACAAAGAGAACTTAAGTCCAGGGGAAGAAATGATTCTTTCTCGTATTTCATCATTAAAAAGAAAAGAACTCAAAATCGAAGAAGAAAATAGAAGTCCAGGTCATTATGCAAGGCAGATAGTGAAGCAGGTTAAAGAAAGTGTTAGCAGAAAAGTTGGTTTAGACATTACAAACACAGTAAGAAACAAACAAGAGGTTGTTAACCAATTGAAGTCCAAGAAAATGACCAAGATTTTGACTACAGTTGCTCAAGATTCAAAAACAGGAAAGCAAACAGCAGCTTCTTGTTCTCCAAGACTGAAATTCTTGGAATCCAGACACAAGCCAATATCAAATGTACTATCCGATAAGGACCACAATAATATTTCTCAACCATCGGTTTCAGGAAATTCACAGGTCAAAATCATGTCACAAAAGAGCAAAGCTCCAACAACAAAGCCTAAGTTGCAAGCGGTGCAAGAGCAAGAACAACACCACAGACCTATCAAGAAGTGCAAGAAAGTGACTGAAGAAAGATTCGGTCCACCTAAACTCAAGAAACCTCCGCAAACTTCGGATATTATCAGAAACAAGCAAGAAGAACCATTTGTGAGTCCAACAGTCACCAGACCAAACATTCCTGACAAGAAATGCAAGAAAACTCCATTATCGAATGATCTGCTAAATATCACCGTCCCTACCCTTCTTCCAGTCAAGAAAGATCCTATGCCTCCAGCCACAAAAATTCCTCAGAAACCGGTAATAATACGTTTATATAAATTTTACTTCTTAACTTATTATAATTCTCAGGAGTTATAGTATTCTTATTCCTTGCTTATTTTTCAAGTTTAACGTGACACAATAATTTTGTGCGTGTTATAGGCACCAAAAGCTCAAGAAACGAAACGCAGCTCACAGTTATCTAGTTGTTCGAGCCATTCGTACAAGCAGCGAGAAGCGATGCATGCTACGTTCAATGCCCTAGACAGTAACAATAGGGACAGTTTTAACGGTGCAGTTGCTGCTGTTGTAACCACGACCACGACCACCACCACCACCGGAGATGGAGCAGCAGCAGCAGAAGCAGAATATGAGTACATCACTAGAATACTAAGACGTACTGGAATAGACAAAGATACCCCAGTGTCGTTTACTAGGTGGTTCTCTCCTTCTCATCCTTTAGACCCTTCAATCTTTTATCGTCTTGAATATTTCACCACTCTTTCACCTTCTGCTACCACCACCAGTGAAAAGTATATTTGTGGTGAACTCACCCTTCGCTGTAATAGGAAATTACTGTTTCACCTCATCGATGAAATCTTGGTCGAGATTCTAAAGCCTTACTTGAACATGAAGCCTTGGGCTTCCTCATTATCCGAGAGGTGTGATTTTAACATGCATGGTTCAAATTTAATTGATCTACTGTGTTCAAAAGTTAGAAGCTTTCCTTGCGCTGATTGTCGGCTTCTCGAAGACATTGATGCTTTAGTAGACAAAGACATGCCTGTTCTGAAAGGCCAGACTGAGGTGGCATTTGGTGAAGAAGGCGAAGGGATTGTAAATGAGATTGAGAAGGATCTGTTAGAAACGTTAATACATGAAACGGCCGTGATTTTTTACGGTGGTGGAAATGGAAAGTAGTAAAAAAATTGAACGGCATGACGTTTTAATTGAAAAAGAGACACGGAGCAGAAGGATCACATGGGGGTGTTATTCACGTGATGAGATGCTATTCGTTGGAGGTTGTTGGTGGGACCCGTGAGATTGGGACTTGTAAAGGGGTTTGAGTTGTACACGTGGAGATAGATATAATCGGCCGACAACACTCACTTTTGATTGGTTCTCAAAAGACAACAATTGACAGAGGAATCCATTTTCCTTTTTCTCTCTCACTCCACTTTTTGTATATTATTATACAGTAAATTAACTCTTTTTCTTTTTCTTTTTTAAAAAATTTTGAATAGGTTATTAGGAAAATAACTGGGTTTTCCTAATATATAATAAATTATGTGGTGTAATTACTGTTATTGTTGTGGGTTCTGTTCTATCGATAGAGTATGGACCATGATGTGACTTATGAATTAATTTTGTGTCATTTCTAAAGTTTGACCAACCCACCTATAGCAGAAGTGGGATTTCATATTATTGGTATATTCCTTTTAATTTGTATAGGAATTTAACATTGATCAATTAAAAAAAATATATACGCCATATGTAATTAGTTTTTAAAAATGTTAATATATATCTGCTCCATTCAATTAATTAATGGATAAATGAACTGATTTCTTCCCTGCAAAAATCTAAAGGAATTGACTGCTAAACAGCAAAATAGAAGCGAGAAATTTCGATCTTGAACCATGCCATTATTGAATAATCTGAATGGATAACCGATTGCGTCAACTTTTTGGTAAGATATGGTTGCATGTTTCGTGCAAGTTTGAGCCGGTGAAAGTGTCTAAACGTGAAAAGCCGATACTTAAAAAGATGGTTTTGCTTTTGCATGGACTCGAGACACAAATCTATGATGGTTTTGCTTTTGCATGGACTCGAGACACAAATCTATGTATATATATCTGTAAATCTCAAAAAGCCAGTTTAAAGTTACTGCCCATATATACGCTACGTAACAGAGTTGCAATAATAGGACAAACTGCCAACAACAAATTGAGAATATGTAAAGACGCTAATTAAAATGGGTCACCCTCCTTTACCTTTCCTTTTTCTTTAAAAGAATTCATTCAAGAAACCTGTAACTCTGAAATCTGAATTCAAATTAAAATTCAAGAATCTATGAGTATCAATTAAAGGACATAAGTTTTTGCTGATCAGAAGTTAATTTAAGCATAACAATGATATGCACAGCCATACTGCCATTTGTGGTAGCGCCATATCATGCGGTCTCCTTGTCCATATATAATTGAAGGGATTAAAGAAAAGGCAGAGAAAGAAGGGTAGAAATTGGAAATGGAGCTGTGTAGAGGGGCATAAATGCAAAGATTCCTGTAAACTTCTGGACCTAGCAAGTTATGGTTTCTGAGACCCATTCATATGAGGTGTCAGTATAGGAGAAGAAGAGAAGGGAATAAAATAAATATGAGAGACAAAGAAGGGGCTTCTCACCATGCCAGTATCAGTTAGATAAGGTTGGCTGCTTTGGTTGCATCGTCATGAGATTCTTAAATCCGTTTGAATTGGCTAAAAGGGTTTATTATGGTAAAAAAAAATTATGTACTTCAATCTTTCATCTCTCAATCATGCATTTCTTCTTAGCTTTACCACATAAAAAATTATTTTTACTGCACATTTGCTTTTATTTTCTTTAGTAAGAGACCAAATGAATCTAAACAGCCAGAGCTGAAAATGAAAATAACCTTCTTTTTAATAATAACTAACCACGGTTATATAGCCACTTTAGAATTTATTATAATAATAAAATTATTTCAAAATCCATATTACATGTAATTTTTACTATCTCAAAAAAATAATTTTAAATGTTACTTATTTATGAAAAAAAATATATATATAAAAAGCAGCAAACAAAAATTAAGGTATTCAGTTGACACATCTACAATTTGACAGAGATAAGAAGTAACATTTGATTTGGTATTTTCCTTGGGTGCTCAGAAGAATATAGAGGGATTTAATGAATATGAACTACTAATGTTATTAGGTCCTCAGTCCTCACTTACTAATACTGCCAAGTGCCAAGTCTCACTTTCCATGTCACTGACCAGCTCTGATATATATATATATATATATATATATATACACACAATAATACATGCAGATAAGAATCCTTTTTCTGTATACAGTACAATATACAGTACAATATAACTGGACAGTGGATATATGAGCGGGAAAAATTCAAATGCAATGCAAGAGATGTGTACAATTAAAATAAAAAAGAAATTCAAACGAAATTTAAACGCTATATATAGTTGGGTTGGGTTGGGTTTGTCCACATGTGAGAATTAATTGCATATGGTTGTTAATAATAACAAACCAAATAGTGATGATGAAATCTAAGGGTTGAAATAATATGGTTGACCATTTCCATTAAATGATGTTTGGTTTGTTAAGGGTAATACTTCAACTTATAGATCTGATGGTTTCTCACAGTTTCCTTTGCTGGGTTTTTGTGATCTTTCTTTATGAAATTTCGTACCATCTTTGGGGAAGATATTAATTTTCCTTTTTCTTTTATTTACAATTTTATTTTATTTATTTATGTGAGAATATTGAAAATTGATTATTAATAATAATAGTCTCAGGACAGGAGGTGAGGTCATCTTCAGATTCAGTTTTGCGCAAAACTTGGCAGATACCCTACACAATATTCCTGACCACTTCACTAACTCTAAAATCTAAATTGAATCTATCCATCCATGTATAAGACACACAGAAAAATATTAAAGTATATTTCAAATTCAAATGCATTGGCCAAATAATAAAATAAGAAAAGGAGTGCGAAGCATATGATTATACATATGATGGATCAGAGACTTACTAGTAAATAAATAATTATACATAATTTGGACCAACATGGTCAGTTGTAGACGTTATGTTATATTATTATTTTTGAAAATGTTTTGTTATATTATTATTTGTTACATGTGTTATTGTAGGAGAGCATGACAACGTGACCATGTACAGTGAGGAGCGTCTGATATTTTTTAGTTAGGAGATAGCTTTAGGCTTTAGGGTATAGCTTTAGACATACAGGATCGGGGCAGTGTTGGGTTGGCATATTATTATTGGAGGGTATAGAGTAGGGTACAGTATAAGAGTTGGACCCATTTGTATTATGCATAAGTCATGGAAAAGATTCATTATTGAGAGACAGCTCTATTTCAGTACCCTTAACGCATGCATTTTGACCAAACTTGCTTTTGTCTGTTATTACTAAGGAAGGGTAAAAGACGCAGTCAAGCCTAAAATCAAAATCAAATGTTTCTTGTAAACGGAAATTAATTCACTATTTTATAAGTAAAATATCAAACAACAGAAGTTTATTAAAGAATTTTTGGAATAAATCAGAAGGTTGTGTTTCTTTTCTGAGAAACTAATAAGGGTAAACTGAAGGATAGTCATAGGAAGTTGGATTGATCCACTGGCTGTTAAGAGATGTTATAGATAAGAAACTAAAGTCCAGTCCTCGTGAAATTGCAGTTTTAGTTATTAACGGAAAAAAAAAGACAAGACATGTCCAAGCCCAATTGAGCCCACCTTGGCTTCAAGCAAAGAAATAAAAGACCAAGGATAGAGAAAATTGTGGTGGCAGTCCAAGCTACCACTCGGTGGATGATAGCATGCCATGGGTTGTAGCCCACCACCTTTCCCTCTTCCTCCTCTTCTTCTTCATCCTTTCATGGCTACTCCAATTTACAGGAATAATTTTAACATTGAGATGAATAATCAATGAGATTATTGATTTTTTTATTTTATTTTATTCAAAGATAGTTCAGTCCAATGATAATATTACAATGCTGCAACTTAAAACAGACTTACAAAGATAAAACTGCTATGAAGTCCATTGAGGAAAACCCACAATGAGATGCAAATGATTATTGAACATTGAAGAATAGTAAATACTAATAGGTAGGGTTAAAACAGCTACGAACAGTGCATTTCTGGAAGTCCAATGAACAATTCAGTATCCACCTCTGAATTCTTATCGCTTAAGTTCAAGTCCTTCACAGCTTGTTTCTGTTCAATTGGATTTGGCCATTTCTTCTCACCACACTAGAGATAATCAGTGCAATAAATACATTAACAAAATATTTCCAACTGGATACTTCAATATCTGTTAGTATATACTTAAAAGGCTCATTTGATTGACACTAAATTCAGGTAATTTAAAGAATCTTGGAAAATGTACGTATAAATGATCACCTTTTCACGTAAACTTGCGTTCTCTTCTAACAGGAGCTTTTCCTGAAATACAAGTAATAAAAGAAAATATTAATTATAAGAACCAATTTACATTTGCTAAAGATGATCAATGTATGCATCTTTAATTTAGTTTCCATATTTAGCAATTACCTTCGCCTTGAGTTGCTCTAGGTTCTCCTTGAACAATTCATCCTGAATTGTTAATTAGACATTTTAATCAAGCTTTATTTCAAACTTATTCCAGTTTCTATATAAATAGATGTTGAAATTTATAATAACGTACCCTTCTTGCCCTGATAATGTTTAAGCTTTTCTCTAGCTGTTCTTCTATATCTTGGACTTCTTCAAGACAACATGAACCTGAACATCGTCCCAAAAGCTTCCTAAGACATGATTGCCAAAATTTAGTGGCATGAAAATAATGAAGTGTTATTCGTAACAGAAAGCAGAAAATCTCAAACTAATTAAACCGTTGCAAAATTTCAAGTCGTTCAATCTGCTTCACCATCTCTGCTGATTCGCACATTAGTTGCTGCATATAGAATTAGTAAGCGTGAGAAAATCACAATACTAGACCTTATCTTTTTTTTTTTTTTTTTTTTTTTTTGCTCAAGAAAAACCACGTCTCAACGAGGGTGAGGTACACCACACACACATCAATATTAGACCTTCTCCTTTAGACATTAAGATTAGTGTTAATCATATTAAGGATAATCTCTGATTCAAATTTTGTTCAGGAAAAAATTATGTATAAAGTTATAAACCCATAAAATAGAAGTCTAACCTGAATTTGCTCTAACCTGAATTTGCTCTCTATCAACACTGTCAACTTGCATAACCTGAATTTGCTCTCTATCAACGCTGTCAACTTGCATAACCTGAATTTGCTCTCTATCAACACTGTCAACTTGCATTTCTTTTGCACTTTTACGGTACCGTTCTACTGTCTTTTGCATGCTGAAGCATCACAAAAACAAGATATGACCAATATAATATTAGTTTTCTGAAGGTACAAGAAAAGGCTAAACACATCGCAATAGACTTGTATCATTAAGGCTTAGGTTTCCTTCTATATATTAGGCAATGAATATTTCAGCCTCTTACCAGCTCAAAGTCGATCTACCTAGATTTTATTAGTGATAATTACTATTTATTCCTTAGGGTTTTGTAAAGTACACTAACAAGGATGTCGATTGTAAAATTATACTCCCTCTCCATTCCATATTAGGTGTCCATTCGGAGGATTTCACTAGAATTAAGGAAATCATAAAGCTAATACTTTAAACTAAGTAGTCAAAAGAGGTTGACAAAAGATAAAAAAATTAATTGCACTAACTCATGACAATAAGGATGCATCTGGAAATAGTTATAGAATGTTATTTTAATTTTATTAAAGGATACTTTAATTAGATTTTTTTAAATCAATTGACACTAATATGAAATTGAAGGTAGTACTATTTAATTCATACATATATTTTTTGTAACTAGGAGGTTTAATTCCCCTCAGGTTATGACCCTCTCAATAAAGTGTGATCCATGATATTTTTACCCTTATGGAAAGTGGTGTCATTTACCACCTTAACCAACATCTTGTTGATTTAATCCCTATATTATTAATTAACTTATCACACTAATTGGTTCAACCGTTAAGTTTTCCATTAATTGATTATGAAATGCCAAAAGTATTCAACTAAAGGCAGCTATCAAAACCATTATTTTCTTGCCTATAACTTAAACAAAGGCTTTCATCCTCTTGATCAATTACTAGAACCACATTGTTTTTGAAAGAAATATATTTTATATTTTTAATGTAATTTAAGTGATTCCTGTAGGTATAAATTAAATTTATTTGTTGATTCTTAATAATTTTGGTTTGGTTGATTGTGCAAATTCAAGATGAGTTTTAGGGTATTTTTCCTTACTAATGGAGTATAAGTGAGTGATTACCCCATTTTAAAATCTCACCTCACCCATTTGTTTAAGAATATCAAACATTAAGAGAAAATGTTGATCCTGCTTCAAGAATTTTAACTAAAAACACACGACTACCATGTGACAAATCATTTGTTTGTGGCATTGTAGTTAATTAGAATAGCGGGTTGATATTTAGTACCTCAGTTGCATTAAATTCGAGGATTTTTAACTTTTTCACAAGAATTTAAAAATGATTTAATTATTTCAATTTCAAAAAAAAAAATGATAATCGATTAAAATACTATTTAATTAATGCTTATTTAATTAATATAAAATTTAATGCAAATATCTACAAAAAGGTAAAGTTGAAATAAAAGAATTAATACAATTTTGATTTTCTAAAAGTGTCATTTAGATGAAATAAAAAATAATTTAAAAACTACCAAATTTAATGTCTAAATGAGATTACAACAAAGAGATCATATATGAAAATATGAGTAAAAATAAAAACAGACTTGAAGAGATTAAAACAATAGCGTAATACTTTGTTACAAAAAGTTAGAAGTACATGCCAAGATATAACCTAAGTGAGAAGTGCAATAAGTTTTTCTTCAGATAATTTAGTAGCAAAGGCAAAGCAAAAATAAAGAAATCTAATAAGAAAAAAAGTTTTTTTTTTTACCATTTTCTTGATTCCACCCTTTTCTATCTTAATTCCAATGTCTTAAAATATAACTTGTCCTACATGTGTGTTTCTTGCCATGTTTTTCTAATCACTCTCTATTTGACATCTTAAAACATAATTATCAAATTTATGCTTTTTTTTACGCCTCACACTTCAACAGCCATTTATGTCTTATTGTGCCTCGCACCTTTAATTACTATGATATATATCTTGAGTTGAGCTTCACTAGTATTTTGTATTTACTCATCCCAATTCTACTACAACCCTAAGTCTCCAAGTTAACACTCTAACACGGAATCCCGTTTTCAATATTGTCCTGCCTGCTGTAGAAATTATTTCCTAAGCTCATCTCTTCATTAGACTTTTCCTACTCTTTGTTCTCTTTTTTTTTTTTTTTTTTTTTTTTTTTTTTTCTTTCTGGTACGATCTTCTTCCGCGGCTAAACCCTCTCAATTAATTGATTGTATAAAGTTTCTAAGACCTTGAAAAACTAATCTTTCACCAACCACCAAATGTGTATATATTTGATCTCATTTTCTTTACCAAAACACAAAACTAGAAACTTCCATTAAAGCTTTAGGATGCAATTAAGAAGCAATTATTATTATAAAGCCAGTGACTGCACTGATATAGGCTGAAACCCCTAAAAGCAAAATTAGATAGACTAATAGCATGGGCACCTTCATTTCTTCGTAAGGTGGTCTGATTCAGAAATAGCATATAATACATACCACACACGAATCTGAAAAGGAAAATTTAATTTATCAAACAACTGGAGAAAATATTATAAAATCTCTTGAAAGATAAGTATATATAGGCGAAAAACATAAGCAAAGGATAAAAAACGAAAGAAAGAAGTAATAGTACAAAAAAACACCCTCTATGATCTCATGCAAAGAAGGTCAACATTGAGATTGTCTTTTAAGAACCAAGCAATCACGAAAAGAGGCGGATCATAAGTAACTTAAGAGGAGTAAGTATGAAAGAGAAGAAAGCAAGAAATCTTTGATACTGATATTCAAATAAAAAGGTTAGTTCCTATAATTGCAGACCAACCAAATATGGCCATAAACTTTTTGGAAATCCAACAATAAATAGAAAAATCTAAGGACTGTTTGCAGAATCTATACTCATTATTCGTACTTGATACAAGTAAACTAAGAAATGCTCAAAAAATATGTGTATAACTGTTTGTCTGGGAATTAGATGATGTATCTATGTTCTCATATAGTTATTTATAATACAACTCAAACTGTAACTGAATATGTACATTTATGGTAAAAATCCTAGCTACAATTGCCGAGCAAGAATCTTGATAATTAACGCTCTTCTAGTGATTTTATTGACTGACGTTACTTTATTTAGACGTATCTGGACAATGTTCGACTTTTAATTAGTTGCTCGGCTTGGTCACTCTAATATGTTAAGTCATCCTAGTTAGTTCAATACATATTAGTAGTATGTTCCTATCGGTGCTCATTCAACTTTTTATGTCATTACTCACTTTCACTTGTTATTTATACTCGTTTTTAATTCTAAATATTAAATATTGAATATAATTTTTATCTTATTCTATTTAGATTTTTATAATATCAAAACAAAATTTCAGATGATATTAAGGTGATTATAATGATTAATTAATCAATTCAATTTATATTGCCATTTGTCTAAAATTCATTATAACTGAATAATTCTACGATATCACCTAATAAATACATTTTCCATGTATGATGTAATACATATATATTATGATGCAAGAAAATTAAAACAATCAGTATTTTAGTTAGTTTCTGTGGAAACATACTCTTTACTTGCGAACTCAGATAGCCTTCCTTCCTGTGAAAAAATCATCACAGCAACTTCTGCATCGCATAGAACAGATAGCTCATAAGCTTTCTTCAGAAGCCCGTTTCTACGCTTGGAGAAAGTCACTTGTCGGCTTTTGACATTTTCGATCCTCTTCATTTGAATCTTTCCTCTCACTTTCGCCATGTCCTGGAGGAAGAAATCAGTTATAAGAAAGTGTAGCAAAACCCTGAAACTGAAAATAATTCTCATTTTTAAATACTGAAGTGAAATAAATTAAAAAACCTCACCAACTACAAGACAAAACTCCAGCAAATCCAGCGCTTGCTCCCAGCAGAAATCCAAGGCCAAGAGATAGTTTACAGAACTATTGCACAGCAACTATATATTGTAGATTTAGAAGAAACAAAAAACGAATATATCGAAGATTTTAAACAGCCAATGGCAACATAGGAACTGGAAAGGAAACTAAACACAAATTAGAGATATGAAGAGTAGTACAGTGGAAAAGCAAAGGAAACCCTAGAAATAAAGTTTCAGGCGAGAGAAACCTCGAGTGGATCTTTACATGGTGTGTTAGAGTGGTACTCTGGTCTCTTTATTCTCTTACCACAAAAACCCACCCAGAAGGGTAAAAATTTATTTGTATATATCCTAATCAAGATCTTATCTTTTCTCAACCACCCAGAAGGGAAAGGACATAGATATTATAATTAGTATGTCGATTGAGAAATTGAAGAACCTAATTGCCTAACCTGTTTTGGTAAGACTAAGAAAAATAATAAATCCTGGATAGTTATGGTTTGACACTTTACAGGTTGATCGAAATATCTGTAACAGATATAGATGCAACGAGCCTTGTTATAAAAATTAGAAAGTAACAACAGTAAGGTGTCCGAAAAGTAACAACAGTAAAACTGTCGGAATTATCGTACGTTTATGTCCTCTATTTCCAGTTAAATTTAGACAACGCATAGACAGTCACATCGTTCAATGGACGGTCACCTTGTCTGTGTGGCTGATCAGCCCAGGTTTTTCTTTTTTTGTTCTGCCTTTCTTGGTAATTTTCCCCAATATTAATTTAGAAATTTTTTTAAGAATTTGATTGGGTCATTTGATTGGCCCCATATGGAGTAAGGATTAAGCATATACTGGTTCGAGTGGCTTGGGCACCATTTTTTCGACTGAGTCTGACGTTAATGTGTGCGGTTATACTCCCTACCTCCCTCTCACTCACTCTCTTTTACAATTCTAGTAATTGTTAATTGTTAGCCGTTAGTTACTTTTTTCTTTCTTTTTTAATAATTAGCTATTTTTTATTATATTTAAACTATTTTATTCTATTTTTGGAGCTTATTATTGATTTAGTATTATTTAAAATTTTGAAAAAAATAATAAAAGATTGAAGTTTTGTTGATAGACATTTTGAATTTTGTTGAAAGCAATGTAGAAGTTGGAAGTTGAACAGACACGTACATCTCCCACAAAATGTTCCTCCGTAGTCGTAGATAATGGAAAAGGCTCAATTGCGGGATGCCATGCCGATGCAGTGATGATCCTGCACGTATTTTGTTTGTATCTCACTCGTGGCTTTAAAAAAGCTTGCAGCCTAAACCGTGAAAACCGTGCTGTGGGGGCGCAATGTAAGCGTAAAAGGAGCTTTATTTGACACAGTGTGGATGTGAATATTGCTTATTCCATAAGAAAAAAAGTGTTATCTTGCCGAAAAAGATAGGCAGATTGGTAAAATAATTGAGTGATTTCTTTTAACCTTCGTTTTAACAAATTAATTCCTGAAATTTTCTTATTTATTTCAATCACATACTACATTTATGGAATATTAATGGCCTTTTGGCCTTGATAAAAATATTGACAGCTTATTTTTTTTTCAGAAAAAAAAGGCTACCCAAAAGTAGATTCTGAAATTCAAATACATCCAATATAAAAAATTTTCATATTGAATTCCCATTTAATTTCTTTATTGTGCTCCAGGTCTATATTTTCTCCATTTATAATAATTTAGCGGCACGGTCAACTTTTAAATTAGTCATTAAAATTTTTCAACTCATCTAATGAATACTTTAATATTATATGCATTCAATCAGTGCGATAATTTATTTATTTTAACACAACTTATTGAATAGTGATTTTCATTTTTTTTTAACTCGTATTATAAGTGTTAAGACTATGCTTTTGTAAGTTAAATTGTTTGATATATAATTTTATGAATTAAAGGGTTGAATATATATATAATTTTACAATTTAAAAAATTTAATACTTGGGAGTTGAGAGCGCAAACAGACTTTTGTTCTAAAGTTTAAGAAAGAAATTGTTAATCGACTCTCCATCCCATTTTAAAATCCCCTGCACCAGAATTTAGCTCACGCTAGGCGGCCCAATAATAGGCCCAAAATGGAAGGAAGCGAAATAAAAAAAAAAAAATCAGTCAAGAAAAAAGGGGTGGCGAATCTATGGAAGAGGCAGGACAAACAGGCACAAAGAAGAGGAAAATGGGGGAGAGAAGAGAGGACGGCATCGGTGGTAAAAATTCATCATCGAAGACGAAGTGGCCTCTCATAAAACCTAAGAAAAATCTCCAGATTACTCGCATAAAAGATACCGATCTCTTTACGGTATGTTCCTTATTTTAATTTCTGCCGTACACACATATATATATAACTTGTTGATTGGTTTTGCTGCAATTGCTGGTCGGTAATTGTTAATTGTTAGAATGGATCGATGTTCTGTCTTAGCATTGAGCAGTCTTGGAAAGTTTAAACCTGGTTCTGAATTGTTAATATTTTCTTTTAACTCTGCTTGTCATTTTTGGATTGAGTCTGTGGGGGCAAGGCATGTTAAGCTTATTGAATGATTGCTTGGTTAATTATTCACGTTAGGACTTCGTAATTTGTCTTGCTTTGAGCCTGTGTATGTATATATGTTTACTTTTATGTTCATTTTTGCTCATAACATTATGCGAGGATAGTCTTGGCTGTGGCTCATTTAGACTTTGAAGTTGTAGATGTAATATTTTCTTTCACCATTGTAATAGTGTAGCTTTTGTATATAATATTCAGGTGCAGAATTTCTTCACACCTGCAGAATCAAAGGCATTCATCAAAGCTGCAGAATCTATTGGTTTTGTTCACCAAGGGAGTCTTGGTCCAACAAGAGGAGAAGCATATAGAGATAATGATAGAGTATCTTCGAATGATTCTGCTCTTGCCAATGCAGTATGGGAGTCTGGACTCAACAAATTATTTTCTGATATTAAAATAAGAGGAAAAGTTGCTGTTGGCTTGAATCCAAATATCAGATTTTACAGGTTTTGTTTGATATTCTTTCCTCATATTTGTCCTTAGTTTTTTTTTAATGCTCAGTAATATGATAATCACACAAATCTTATGCTCGGTACTATGATAATCACACAAATCTAATGTTCGGTTCTTATTCATTTTTCCCTGTTTGTACCTTGTAATTACACGCAATTTTCGATTCAATGAGTTTTCTACTCTTCAGGTACAAGGTGGGCCAGCGTTTTGGACGACATATTGATGAAAGTGTTGATCTTGGGGATGGGAAGCGCACACATTATACTCTTCTAATATATTTAAGTGGTGATTCTAAAGCCAAAATTAAAAAGGAACCAAATGGCTCAAAGGATTCTCCTTCAGAGCCTTTAGTTGGAGGAGAGACTGTCTTTTATGGTTCAAGAAATGGTGTTGTGGCCGAGGTAAAATGCTATTTCTAATTTCTATTTTTACGAATTTATTTTTGTTTTTGGAGAGTCTTTATTTGTTTCTTCCTTCATTTTATTTGTTCGGCAATTTTTTCTCCTTTTCCTCGTGGATGCGCTTTAGCTTTGATTGGTTAACTGTGCCCATTATGCTATTTGAACCCTGTAGGTCGCCCCAACCGAAGGGATGGCTCTACTGCACATTCATGGAGACAAATGTATGCTGCATGAAGCTCGAAATGTTACCAAAGGTGTCAAATATGTGTTCCGCTCTGATGTAATTTTTGCTTGAAGAGTGGTTATCATTTTCAAAAGAAGCAAAATTGGTAAGTTTGCACTTTAAGCCTATATCTTTGCCTTTGTTTTTGAATCTCTTGTTCTGTACAGTAGCTTTTTAATTTATGCCTATTTCATTGCCTTTGCTTCTGTATCCATTGTTCTGCAATGTGTCATTTTAACCTTGATTCGGCAATTCGGATGCACAGTTGATAGCTTCCTATCTCCACATACAAACTTCTTATTTGGGGTGGGGGGATTCTTGTGTTTGCCATTCTTGTTCGCTTATTAATATCTCAAATTGACAATTAGCTTGATAGCATTATTACCATGGCAAAGTTTTTTTTTTTTTTTTTTTTTTTTTAAAGTTTTTTTTTTTTTTTTTTTGAACGGTTATGCATTTCAATTAGAAATGTTTATGATTTTGAGTCTGCCTATAATCATCACATCGTCTGACCATATTAAATGCATGTATTTACCTCTATTGGAAAAAACTAGTTTGGAGTAGACCTTTTACAATCCAAAACTACCCCAACCCAGACGCCTCCTTTTCAACTGCTTCTATCTTCTTCCTTAATGCCAATTGGATATAGTAGCTTTTAACCTTTAAAGGTCCTGTTAATCACAGGAGGCAATGAAATTGATATATTCATAAGACATCCTAGTTGTCATCAATATTCATTTTCTAATATTGTGAAAAAAATACAATGGAACATTTCAATGTCCATGAAGAGAATATATAAGCCTTCATCTGACCATGAAAAAAAAAAGAGAGAGAGGGATTTATTAAAAATTTATTGAGATATGCAGACATTTCAAAATATAATCAGCCTCACATCATTTATAATTAAGAAAAGGTCATCCAAGAAAAAAAAATTCGCCTTTGACTGCACTGCTCAGTCACTATGTCTCAGTTAACCACTCGGCATTTGTTTCTGACTTCACCATTTTCAACTACTCCAACATTTCCAAGTTTCACCATTGAAGCTGCAAATTCTCTGAAGAACAAACCTTGATCCTTAGCAAACAATTTGACAATCCATCTAGTCCTGGAATCACCAAATAATGCTTGATCTGATCCTAAAACACCTTTTCCTTGCATTAGTTGCTTGTAATAAACATTGTCAAAAGTTGAAGAGGTCGAGTCCAAAAACTCTCCTGCACCTTGATCCTTGTTTGGTTTCGGGCATTTCTTTCTTAGCTTCTCTGCAAACTTGTTGTTCATGCTTGGATCAATGTCATGAGTTAAACTAAAGTTGTGAAGCCGAGCTTCAAATGAAGAGCAGTGTGAAAGCCCTAGGGTGTGGCCACCTGATAGAGCAACCATGTCTTTGACTCCTAAACCTCTCTTGGCAAAGCTTTGAATAAGTTGTGTCACATTGAAAATTGGAGCTGGTAGGTTAACAGTATCATTAGCTTTGGACACCCTTCCGTCCTTCCTTCCCTTTAGTACATTCCAGTAAGGTCCTCCAGACTGATGAAAAATATAGAGAAAGAGATGATAATAAGAACATAAAAGGAAAACATAAGTTGCATTTGAAACAAAATTATGCCAAATATTAATGTCATTTTTCGTTGAGTATTAGCTTTTACAGAGTATATTGTACTTTACCATCGCCACTACATCTCTTGCTGCTACAGCTATGATATCTGCACATGAGACAGTGTTTTGGCAAGCCATCTCAAGCTTGGCTTTAGCATCATCAATCACATAGAAGGATCGAACTGAAACATTGGGAGGACCATCTTTCTCTGCTTTGTTTCCAGGAGCGGAGTCCAGCAAAATCGAGGCATCGCATCCCTATCAATAGATAACCAATGAGACTGACAGTAATTTAGCATGCTCATGCATGTATCCTGCCAAACTTGTTAACCACGTGATTTTGTGGTTATTAATTTCTTGACATTGGAAAGTCAAATTTAATTGTTGGGAGCTTATGTGTACATACAGAACCATGTGAGTTATAATGTATGCCTGCATAAGTTTTATGTGTTCTGTTGCAAGTGCATGTACAGTATTGGATTAAGAGAGAGATCATTACCCTTATGAAACAGTCATGGAAGAACATTCTAAGGATACGAGCTGGGACTTTAGTGTCATGCATGGAAGCATTCTGAACTGTCTCTAAGATGATTTTCTCAGCTTGTGGACATGTTCGATTATAGTAATAAGCATCAAGCATACCTTGTGAGGGAGAAATCAAGATTAAGAGAAGGGAAATAATTACCGGGTATGAAATCTTTTGTGCAAAAGCAGCCATTTGTTAGATTTCAGACGAGGAAAAAATAAAGATAAGAAAGAACTACCATGGATGATAAGCGAAATATGGCAGTATATATAATGATCTGTAGACGATCACATTTGACAAATTTCTCTAGATTTCATATACTTTCAAGTTACTCCATGGAAAATAGAAGCTGCATTTGGTTTGTGCTTTGAGACCAAGTATCTTCACCTATTCTGCAAAGTGCATACTATATGTTGTACAACCCAACAAAAACTATTTGTGTGGTTTAGACTTGTAGTACCGAGTGACCTCTGTCTCTTGATGCCATATTTTATGTTATATATTATATACCAAATGAACATTCCTTGTCAGAACTTAGGAGGTAACCTTTTCAATTTTTTAAAGCTCAAAAAAAAAAAAAAAAAAAAAATAACCAATGAACCCAATTCCTTGTCAGAAACTTAGGAGGGTAACCCTTTTCAATTTATTTAAAAAGCTCAAAAAAACAAAAAAAAAAAAAATTATTCCTTACCTGCAAAAAGCCAAACATATAAGTAATAAAAAAAAAAAAAAAAAAAAAAATTATTCCTTACCTGCAAAGCTCAAACATATAGTAATTATATAATTATAATACCGTTTTATGGCAGTTGGCTTATATCTATCAAGTTGGACAATGCAGGGCAAAGAGTAAAGTTGGTATGAGATGAAGATGGAGTACACAAAATTGAAAATCCTGTACTGCATTAAATAAATAAACTAAAACTAAAGAAAATGAAATGTCTGATAAAGAACTCCAAAGAAGTGAAGTGAAAATGAATTTTGCGGTTTGCAAGACTATTGGTTGGTTGGTGACTTGGTGTACCGAGTTGCGGGTACTGCAATTAAACCTTTCTCCTGGTCTTGGACTGGACTGGTTGGAATAAAACAGAAGATTGAACATGCGTTTTTTGATATTCAGTACGCCATGCGCTTTACCTATCTTGGGCTCTCAGGGTGATGCTATCTATGTATGAAGCAGCTTCCGTTGTCAATTGTAATTTGTATACAACTCTTCATGTTATGTCTTTTGTGTGGCAAAACCCCATTTGTTATGCTCCATAACATCAATTATTTCTCCTCTCAATTTTTTATATACAATATATTGGCTTGATATATTATCATTTCAATTTTTAAAATAATAATCGTGGCTTTTCTTCTACAATTCAATAAGTATTTTATCTATCTGTTAAAAAAAATCAAAATAAAAATTAAAAATAGCACAAGATTTAAAGAAAAAAAAACCACTTAAGAGTATATTTATGTATTTGGCTTGTTGATCTCTAAAGAAATTATTATCAGAAGGATCCATTATTGAATCCCTATAGACTATAAGTTAGCCAGACACCTTTTTTCTTTCAAACAAAATTCACAAAAACATTAATAAAAGATATAACACGACCGGCAGTAATATTTTCATACTAATAAAAAATATAAAAGAGAAAATTAAAATATTCTATTTGAAGATAATTTCAGATTAGTTACCTACTTAGTAAAGAAACAATTAAAAATTGACCTAAATTAAGAATTAAGTATTATCAATGTACCATTCGTACCTTCAATGTACAAAAATTCCAAGATAATTATATAAAGGGAAAATAATAATTGGGTGCATAAATTTTGACTTAATTAACGTTTAAGGATATCAGTTTCCAAATAACCAACTTCAAGATTCCGAAATTTTAATCCGTCAATAGAAAGATCATTCAGTTTAAAATCAACACTTTTTTTCCGTTAAATAACTATGAAATTCTGAAAATGCCCTCACTTACAAAATAAACTTTAACGTTAGATTTAGACTTTTAGACATCCACCAAAAGAGTTATTTGCTTCCCCATTTCAACAATCAAATCCAATAGCTAAGCTCCATAGCCATCGACGGCAGATCTACACCAACAAACCAACACCATCTCTAAAATCTTCCCCTTAAATTTTACACTAAAACTCAAACTAAGAAACCTATCAAAAATACCAGAATACAAATAGTCCTCCTTCAAATCCCATCGAATCCAAAATTCAATCTCAAACATTGAGAGTCCTCCTTCAAATCCCATCAAATCCAAAACTTAATCTCAAATATTGGGAAAAAATTGAAGGAAATAAAGGAGGTTACAATAGCCATCGTCGTCACCGGAGTTACTGGAAGTGCAATGAAATCGAGTTCATCGGAGATTCAGCTGTCGCAAATAGCCACCGCACTCGCCGCCTGGAGTTACTAGAGAAAGGAGAAGATGGTGATAGAGGAAAAAAAGTGTTTGGTTGAAGGATTTGAGATTTGTTTACCTATTAGATTTAATTATTTTAGATTTGTGGATTTTGAAATTTGAAAATTTTCTTCATTTGAAAGAAAAAGTGTTATTTTAGACAAAAGCACCTTTTTATTAACGGGATTAAAAGTTAAAGATTTTCATATTGATTTTTGAAAATAGATATCCTCTTAAGCGTTAATTAAGCCAAAATTTAGAGAATCAGTTATTATTTTCACTTGTATAAACGAATCAACTATCAACTACTTCTAAAAAGGTCAGTGACAAAAAGAAAAGAAAAGAAATAAAAGTCAACGTGTCAAGCAGTCCTTGAACAAGCCCCCACGAAACAGCTATGAAGAAGACGCGTGTTAGCCAGGCCAGCCGTCATGCGTACAGAGTCAGAGAAGGACCTAAAAGCCTGGGCCATGGAAGGGGAACACAACTCAGAAAGCCTTAAAAAGACAATAAGTGGGCCCAAATTCCTAGGTACACGTGCCACATCACGTGACAAAAACTGCTGGCCCTCATTAAACCATTCGGCTTGGTCCACGCGCCACCACCACTGTCCTTGTTGACCCCTACACGCATCAACGCAGACCGCACAGGCAGGCCAGGCCCACGTACTCCCAAAGAACAAAACCCCACAATTTGCACGTCGGAGGTCAGACGCTTCCAAACTAGCTAAACCATCCATCAAAAAAACTAAAAAGAAAAGAAAAAATCAATTAAGCCTGTTCTTCTCATGTTCATGTCCTCGTACGCATTACAAAGGAAAAATTTTTTTCAAAAAAGGAAAAATTAAAAAAAAAAAAAAACTAAAACTAAAACTAAAACCCTGCATTTGATTTAATTTAAGGCTTTGAAGATGGAGATTGTTGAGCAGCAGAATGACCTAAAAATTGAAGCTCCTTTTTATCATAAATCTCCAAAGAGAAATCCCTAAGCATTTGAGCAGTGCCAGTATTAGTATTACTACCGCCACCTGTGTTATTAGTACCGGAACTGGAACTCATTGAACCCATTTGAGAAGAAGACCCACCTGATCCAATTGAATTTGAAACGCCAGCACTTCCACCAACACCAACGCCAACACCAACAACGCCGCCCAACTGGACCCCAGGTTGCATAGCCGAGACAAAACTAGAAATGGGTCTTGCAGCCACGTTAAAAAACGGTGTCGCAGCAGCAGGGATTGCCCATAACTGCGACTGATTGGACCCACTACCAGACTGTGGCAACATAAAAGTACCCATAGGCCAAAACGGCACCAACCCCTGCGTGCTACCGCCCCCATAATTTGGTAACGTTGCTGCTGCTGTTGGCGAAATTGGGGCCAAACCTGAAGATACAGAGGTCTGTTGCTCGTTAACGTCGATAAAATCACTGTTTGAAGGTCTCTTCCGTCTCTTCTTCGGCAATAATTCATCACCGTCAGGCCTTGCCGGGGAAGTAGTTGGGATTTTGAGAGTTCCATTAATGGACACTGCAATAGCAGGGACAGTTCCCGTTCCAGTAGCTTCAATAATAGCTGGCTCTGCGTGCTCTAGAAGCCACCGGATGGTTTCGCCGTCAGACTTGTGACCTAACTCTCGCGTCAGTTGAAAAATCCTAGCCGCACACGTAGCAGGCATACGGATCCTACGGCCACGGCCTTCCACCTTCGTATGACGGTCCTTGGAGGGTCTCTTGGCAGTGACTAGTGCCCTAGTATTGCTAGATTTCGGTACCTGTAAGAGACTAATTGGAAGAGAATTGTTGTTGTTGTTGTTGTTGTCACCTAACTCATGGCCATCTGAGTCTGTAAACTCTTCTTCTTTAGGCAGGATCGTTGATTCAGGTCCGCCATCGGTTTGCGGGTCAGGAAAAAAAAAAAAAAAAAAAAAAAAAAAAAAAAAAAAAACCCTAAACAAATAAATAACGAAACCCCCACATATCTTTTGCGAGAGTCCAGTGTCGTATTAAGTTCAAGAACGAAAGGGACCCTCAAAAGCACAGTTGGTAACTTTTGGAGGGGAAAAAAGACGGACGGGGATGGAGGAGGCCAGGAAGAAGATATGTGATGACTGATGGACACTACATTATAATTCCAAGTCTTACAGACTCGGGCTTATTTCTGGTGATTACGTAGGTTTGTTAGTAATGCTTCCCAATCGTATCAGCCCAACTCAGCGATAACTACAAGAAAGAAGTAAAAGCCTGAGAAATTATTAGATGTTTTATTGCAGAATACATAAATTTTCTTCCTTAATACTTTTTTACATTTAGTTTGTGGACCACTCAAATTTTACCATATCTTATTAAAACACTTTAACTTATAAAATTATTATATAATCTAATTTATAAATTTATTTTATTAATATTTTAATTTATAAAATTAAATATCAATTAAATAGTTGAAAAAAAAATCAAAATTATTATTCTAGAAGCTATACTTACTGCACATCAACTTAATATTTCGCATATAAAAATAAAAAACGTGTTTAAAAGTGCATGCAATGAAACTTTTATCAGAAATCTATGATGACAATTCTTTTCTTCCATCCAATTTAGTTTAGTGGTTTATAGTAGTCGATAACTTGTGGGTGTTGATGACTTAGAGAGATTAGCTATGTACTATTAGTGTTTGATAACATTTTAGCAGTTGTTGCTGTTAAAATATAAAAAGTCTGTTAATGATATAATTGTTTTTATATTTATAATATATATGTGTATACTTTTTAAAATTTAGGGTGAATATGTTAACAATTAATAAAAAAATATTCAACGACCGATTAAAAAATTTACCAAATACCTGCACACCAAAGAAATATATGAATTAGCTAAACAAATGTCCCATAAAAAAAAAAAAAAAAAAACCCAAGTTTTGTATATAAAATTATCCACAAAGCTGGAATATAGTCACTCGGAAACATGCTAGATTTCAAAGGTGTAAAATGACCTTAACTCAGTTAAATAGTTCGTTGGAGAAGCATAAATTTATTTTTCGGGTTTCGGTTTCAAGTAAATTAATAAATTCTAAAGTGGGCCCACTTTAGAGTTGATCATTGAATGGGTGTGGCCAGATCTGATCCAGTAATGAATCTTTTCCCCTTAGTACTAACCCATTTATTTTTTGAGGGCCCAAATGAGATGGTCACGAAAAAAAAAAAAAAAAAAAACCCAAGTTTTATCGTATATAAAATTATCCACATAAGCTGGAATATAGTCACTCGGAACATGCTAGATTTCAAGTGTAAAATGACCCTTAACTCAGTAAATAGTTCGTTGGAGAAGCATAAATTTTATTTTTCGGGTTTCAAGTAAATATAAATTCTAAAGTGGGCCCACTTTAGAGTTGATCATGAATGGGTGTGGCCAGATCTGATCCAGGAATGAATCTTTTCCCCTTAGTACTAACCCATTATTTTTGAGGCCCAAATGAGATGGGTCACGGGGCCGGTAAGAAGTGTTAAACGATCAGCATTAGGATTAGTAAGCAGTAGACGAAAATGCATCTATGCTAGCTCGTGCGGTTTCAAAAAGTTAGATAACTCTCTGTTTCGCGGAATCATGATTCATGTATTCATGCCTTTCGCAATCGCAAGTCTATGGACAACAAAAGAGTTTTTTTTTTCCCCTGAAAATGGAATAATGCAACCGATATGAGCAGAATCAGGCTAAATCTGAAATGGGTTCTTTTAGACTACATTCGTAGATGCAACAATTTGAAATCTTTCAAGAAAATTCATGCCCAGTTAGTTACTTCAGGCATTGTCCGCAATGACTTAGTTGTCAAAAGAGTTGTTGACTTTTTTGGAAAATCTGTCGATTTTGTTGATTTCGGATGTGGTTTTTTGAAACAATGTGATTGGCGCGTAAGCTCATTCCCTTTTAATAGTTTAATTTCCAGCTATGCTGGCAGTGATAGACCGCAGATAGCAATTTTATGTTATAGACAAATAGTGAGAAATGGATTTTTGCCTGATTCGTACACTTTCCCTGCCATGCTGAAATCATGTGCAATGTTTTTGGGGATTGGAGAAGGGATGCAGATTCATGGGATAGTTATTAAGATGGGTCTTGTATGCGATCTCTATGTGCAAAACTCGCTTGTTCATCTATATGGTGTTTGTGATGATTGTCGTAGTGCTGGCAAAGTGTTTGATGAGATGCCTGTGAGAGATGTGGTGTCTTGGACCAGTATCATTGCTGGATACGCGAGGGCAGGGTTATTTGATGAGGCTGTGACCATGTTTCTGAGCATGAACGTTGAGCCAAATACGGCAACGTTTGTTAGTCTGTTAGTTGGTTGTGGGAGAAGCGGGAATCTGCGTATGGGGAGAAGGATTCATGGATTGATATTTAAGCGCGCGTCAAAGGTAAGTTTGGAGGCCAGCAATGCCCTTATGGATATGTATGTAAAGTGTGAGTGTTTGAGTGAGGCCAAGCAAATATTTCATGAGCTTCCTAAGAAAGATATTGTTTCTTGGACCAGTATTATAAGTGGATTGGTCCAATGTCAACGACCCAAGGAATCGCTAGTGTTATTTCGCAAGATGCACAGCTCAGGTATTGAGCCTGATGGGGTCATACTTACCAGTGTGCTTTCAGCTTGTGCCAATGTTGGTGATCTGGATTATGGCCGATGGGTACATGAGTACATTGATAGGAGGGCCATCAAAAGGGATATTCATATTGGAACTGCTATGGTTGATATGTATGCAAAGTGTGGCTGCATAGAGAGGGCACTACAGACCTTCAATGAAATGCCCTGTAAGAACATCTTTACATGGAATGCTTTACTGAATGGATTGGCAATGCATGGACGTGGCTATGCGGCGCTGAAATTTTTTGAAGAAATGGTGGGGGAGGGTAGTACGCCAAATGAAGTTACATTTCTAGCCATTTTGACAGCTTGTTGCCACTCTGGCTTGGTAGATAAAGGACGGAAATACTTTAATCAGATGATAAGCCAGCAATATAATCTTTCCCCAAGGTTAGAACACTATGGATGCATGACAGATTTGCTTTGCAGGGCTGGACTCTTGGATGAAGCTTTAATGCTCGTGAGAACTATGCCTATGGCACCTGATGTGCTTATATTGGGAGCTCTTCTTAGTGCTTGCAAGGACAAAGGAATTCTAAAACTCCCTCAAGATATACTAGACCACCTCATAGAGCTTGGGACTGTAGATAGTGGGCTCTATGTGCTCCTTTCTAATATCTATGCCTCTAAGCAACGATGGACTGATGTGACCAGAATAAGGAGATTAATGCTTGAGAAGGGAATTAAAAAGTTTCCTGGGTGGAGTGTTATAGAGGTAGACAGGCAGACTTATGAGTTTGTTGTTGGAGATCTTAAGACATGGTCTTGTTAAATGTGCGCTTCAAATTTTAGTTTTTGGCTAATCAAGTTAAGATATTAATTGATCTATAATGGGCATCAAGATGGGCTTGATTTAATGATCTAATTAAGAATGGCTATGCTCTAATTAATCACATTGTGCATAAATAATAGTGTGGACTATTATGAGATGTGGTTATTGATGGGAACACATGTGAATCCTCTCCCATTAGGGGTTCATAAAGTGATTGACTCGGTTAGGCCAGGACATGTGGCAAGCAATGAATAATCTCTTTGTGATTATCTTGGTAATACTGAACACCTGTGCTTTGGCCATTAGGCCCATTAAGCTTCACCAGAGCTTTATTTTTTTTTGAATCTTTCTAGTGCAGAGGACTTTGGTATTTCTGTCCTTTCAAATGATTGCTTGGAGAAAGTAGCTGGTGATAATTTAACAGAAGGATACGGTGGTTTCATATCAATCTTGATTTGCTGATATTATCCGAGTGCATGGATGGTAATACACTTGCCTTGACTTGTTATATGCAATCTGGTTATTCTATTCGTTGCCTGAAAAAATCATTATATTAGCTCCAAGCATTTTAAAAATCAACAACTACAAGGTTTCTTTATTCCACATACGTTTTATTCTTGATATTCCAATTTTGAGATAACATTTAAAAATAATGAAACAGCTTGCTGCAAATGCTAGTTATCTTGCAAAACTTTTGTGAATGGATAATGTCACAACAAAATTTGAATGTTTCATCACATGCATTGTTGACTGTTTTAGTGATAATGTAATTTATTGAAGGTTTTAGTGACAGTAATCTGATAGATTGGAACTACAATAAAGGCATCCAGTTCTTGACCCTTAATTGATGGGGACAAAAAAATTAATTTCATCTCTTCTCTTTTAGTAAATGATATTTTTTGGATAACCCTTTTGTAATCATGGGATAACTTTTTCGTACATTGGGAACTCATGCAAACGTATAGTGTTATTAATTTGTGCTTAATGAATGTTCCGATCAGAATAAAAATGGAAAATTAAACAAATGGGAGTTTTAGGTGACCAGCTGGTCAGGAAGCATCTTCAAGTTTCTTGTCATAATCTTCTAGGTTACCACTTTGCATCAATGTAGAGCTGTTCTTCTTGCTAAAATTCAAGTGCAAATGTGTGCCACTGAGATCAGTGTAAAATTATATACAGAAGATCATGAACTAAAATGGAAGCTTTTGAATTTATCATCTGAAAAAACAATTGGGCTTACCTCTCTTCTTTTTGTATTTTTTTCCTGTATAAATTCCATAATCTAAAAAAGAGCAAACAAATGATTTTCCATTTAAACTTCAATTGTTTTCTGATTCAGAGCTGTGTATCTCCACTTTGCCTTTTCCACAAAGTCTGCATCCAGGAACTGAGCAATGAAAGCCCAAAGTCTGTAGGTGTCCTCAAAGTTGGCCAGGAACCCAAGTGCAACTGTGGCAACTGTTATTCCCAGATTTGATTTTTCTTCTCTCTTGTTCGTTAATTTTCCCTTTACGCTGCTTGCTTTTCTCTCAAGAACTGTTGCCTTATCTTCTTCAAACTTATCTGAGAAAGAGATATGATGTAGGAATCCACAGCTTAGAGATATGTTGCTTCGATCAGCAAGTTTTTGTATAAGAGGAGCCTCAATCTTTTCCCCTTTCCAATCAAACACATTAAATGCCAATGCAGGTCCACGATCAAATTTTATCTTTGGGCCATATATTCTAATAACAGGGATTTCTTCTGTATTTGGATGCTTGAGCTTCATCAAAGCATTCACCAGCCAATTGATCAGGCACCTTGCTCTGTTACTGATCTGAGTCAGTCCTAGTAAGTCAACTTGATCCAAACCCCTGCATTCAATCTCCATTATCCCGTTTCTGCTGGCTTTTGCAGTTTCTTGTTGGAGTACTTCAGCAGGTTTTCCTGGTTCCATAATCTCTGAAGTTTCCGCCTCCTTCTGAATTGTAAATGTTCCTGTAGTTTGAAGCTCGGAGGTTGCAGTTTCTGATACTTCCTGTTCTGTAGTTGTTCTTGCAGTTTCAGACTTGGAGTTTTCTGAAACTTTCTGTTTTGTAGTTGTTGCAGCAGTTTGGGACTCAGAGGTTTCTCCTTGTTCCAATTCTTCATGGTGCATTTTTGGGATGGCTATTGGACCTGAAAAGGAATTTGATGTATCTAATTCATCTCCTTCTAAGACAAATTTAGTTGTCTGTTCAAGTTCCACATCAGTACCAGAAGATTCATCTAGGAACCAAAATAGCTTGTTTGCTGGGATGAGACGTATCATTCCAGTACTATTGGAATCTTCCATGTGTGGAACAGTAGATTTTTTGACAAAGAGGCATCCGAATCCAGATGGGTTTTCCCCAAAGATCTTGTAGAATGAACAAATGAGGAAGTCTGGACGAATGAGGGAGAGGCCAAAGCTGTCCATGTCCTTTGGTCCTAATGCACAAGCATCAATCAAGATATGCCAATCATTCTCCTGAGCGACGCTCATCCATAGATAAGGATATCTGGCTCCAGTCACCCTAGAATGAAGTGGGAAAACAAATAGCCCCCTCTTCTTCTTCTTTTTTCTTTTCCTCGTAATCATTTTCCTCAATTTTGCTGAATGAATCCTCAGTCTAGGCCATGAGAACTCTGCTGACATTATCTTGGCCCCTTTCTTCTCAGAACAATTAATCATGGTTTCTACTGCTTCACTCTCATAGTCATAAACGGTAAGGAGCTTTTGACTTGAGCTGAAAGGGTAAGATTCTGCTACTAGTTTGAAAGCTGATGTTCTATTTGCAGTGAAAACCATACAATAATCTTTTTCAGAAATATTGAGAAACCTCATGATCCGATTCTTTATTGCAGATTCTAATTCTGATTCTTGGCCACCATGAAGTAGCTGTGTCTTCAGATTCCCTGTTTTATAGGACACACTGAAGAAGGGAAAATGCGAAATTTGAGGAGACGACTGAGTTGTAGAAGTAGATGAAGAGACAAGTTTTCTGGAGTCATGTTTTTGTAGCTGAGAATAGGAGAAGAGACCGATGCCAATATAATCAAGACAGGTATGATGGGAGTGTGAGAGCTGATAGTATTCTTGGGCTCGAATTTGGTCAACTTGATAGGTACCAGAGTATTGTGGGTAGGCTTTGGTGAATTCAGCAAATGATTCCTGCAAAGATGGGAGAGACTCGGGATTTGTAAATTGGGTATTTGGGAAGATAGAGGAAGCAGCTGTTGCAGCAAAGTTCCGGCGACATGTTGATGCTGTGCTTCTGGTCTGTCCAATTTTTTCCTGGGAGACAGGGTAGCCAAAGAGAGGGGTTGGGCAGCAGCCATTAAGGCATACCTGGGCGGCTTCTTTTAGACAAGGTGACTGCATTTTTTTTTTCTTGCTTTCCCTCAACTGCGTTGATATTTTATGGTCGGTTTCTGCTCTTTGTTTGCGTTCTTGATGTTTTCTTTTCAATCAGCTACAATGGTTAGCTTTATGAGGAGCATTTATTATTGTCTTTTTGCATTAGTGTGGAACCTTTACTTTGGTTTAAACGTGATGGGGACAGGTTGCCTCCCAGGCTCCACAAGGAAACGTTGAACAGGTCAGACTATTAAATTGATTGTGTTTTGCAGTTCTTACCAAGTTGACCTTGTTCTGTCAAATGGTTTAGCACAAACAATATTTCATACGCTAAAACACCAATTAGCTAATGAAATTAACTAATTTTTTTGGTGGAATCAATCTTCAATCCCCCATCAATGATAATATGTAAAGTACGATCTACGGGCATGGATTTAGTTACAGTATGCTGTTCCTTGAGTAGAACATTAATTAATTAATTTATTTATTTTTGTTTTTGTCATGCTTGTGTTGTGCATATTAATCTTTATTTGTTAAACAGTACCAAAATGGTTCGTCATGGTCATCCTCGATTATCTCACTCGTTTGAAAGGTAGATGCAGGACTGGAGGGCAACAAATGCAAGTGGAGGACAAAGTTACCTTTATGTTGGCCAGCCCCAGAAAGCTTGTATAGGACGTTTTTAATTTCCTTCAGGATTAAGGCTCCGATTGGTAAGGAATGAATTATCAAGCCCCACTCCAGCGCATGGTACGCAGTGTCCACTTACTGGGTGCCATGTGTCCTTCCAATGATTACCAGGTTTTGTTGTATTAACTTGGCCAGTCTTTTTTAATGGTGTTTAATACAAAACTTGAAATAGACAGTCCAGATTTGCAATATTAAGTTAAAAACAGAAGAATTAGTTCTATTTAATGGCCTGTATTTTGTTGTTACTATATATATAATTATTTACTTGGCAAAGCTGAGAATGGCCAAACATGATTTTAGTTACTAGAAAGCCCCAATTTTTCAACAATTGTTGGTCTTTTTCAAAAAAATGAAAAAGCAGAGTCAGAAAAAGCCCGTCATCAAGGAGACATTTAGTATTGAATTATGATCATCACTTTTCCATTCTTTTTACATTTGAATTCTGCTGAAAAAAGGGGAAAAAAAAAAGAAAGAAAAGAAAGAAAGCGAGTTCCTGATTGAATTCAGTTTAGAATTCCCACTTGGAGCGCGGTTTCAATGATATAGAAATTGTCTCAAATATACAATAAGTAAATATTTTACATTAAAAAATAACGCTTCCCATTACTTAATTCTAAATTAAAATGGAAGTAAAATATGGACTTTGTCGTTCTCCTTCCAACTGCAAGCAAACAAGCTGTCTGTATCTATCACTTGGCCTCATCTGTCCAATCCGCTTGGCTCCCTGGGAGCCTTTCGTCGCCGATCGAGTTGATATTAATTTAAAGAAATAGTCTTTGGTCTGAATAAATAAAGAAAAAAACAATTGGCCAGCTGATGCTATCAAATTTGCCTCAGCGGCCGTTGGCAGAGTCGCAATATCCAGGCAGCAAATTGAAATACTACAAAAATGGATTGAAAAAAAAAGGAGACTTGTCCGATTAGGAAAGTCCTGGGTGCAAGGTGCAAACCAAAAACTGCATCAATTAAAATTCTTAAGCCCACTTTTACCATGATTCCCTCAACAACCCTTCTAGGTGTTGGTTCTGTCGTTTTTTTTTATCTCTCCCTTTGTTAAGAGTTATGATGTGCAAATTGATTTTTGCATGTCAGGTGAATGTCGTTTAAATTCGTTTGCATTTTTCCTAAATTACTAATTGACGTCTATATATATTTATGAATATCAACTACCTATTAAAATTAAAATGATATATTTAGAATTGTCTCTGTCGAAAGAATTTTATCTAAATGTTACATCTTGTCTGAGCAAAATGATACACAATTATATTGTATATAAATGTGATAGTTTGACATATCTTTAGTGTGCATTACTCTTAGGGAAATGAATGTGCTTCAAATGGAACATGATTTTAATTGCTATAATGCATTTTCTTTCCTTACCTTAGCAAACTTGCAGCTTAATTACCTTCACTTGTAGTACTGTTGATAGCTGACAACTTATCTGAATTAAGCTGAAGCAGTCACAGGGCAACTCTCCTTTGGCAGGTTATTAATGAGATTAAGTTAATGCACGTACCTGCCAAGCGAGAGGCGCCCTATAACTGATTTGCTTATTGAACTATCTCGTCATTTTGCTACATGCAGCTGATGGATTTTGCTGTTATATAAACTAAGGAGCTTTAAGTTTGATGGAATAAACTACAGAAGAAATGCCATATGCTTGAGGATTATGCCATGGATATCCTCTGAAAGCCTTTTTGATTTTTTTAGAAATCTTTTTTATGTGTTCAAAAATCTTGAGAAAATCTCACAAAGGTGTGTGAGATTCTTCTTCTGCTCAACCTTTTTTTGTCCATGGTCTGTAGGTTATAAGAGGGGAAAAAGTGCAGCAGGAAGGAGATGCAGATGCTCCTTCAGTGATGATGATTTTTAGTCGCATTACAACACCAGCATATCTTCATATGCCATATTCCCTTCCCTTTCATTTTCCCGTTCCCTTTTCTTTCTTGGCCTCTATATTATATTTTGGCTTTTCAGTGCTTCTAGTTGCCAATGCTATTATTTCATTTTTATATTTTCAATTTTGGCCCATGTGATACTATTTTATATATTCTTGAATTTTGTTTTTCAATTTGTCAATAAAATTATGTTATTAAAATAATTCTTATGTTGTTTAGTATCATAAATATGCCTTGAACAATGCTAAAAACTTTGAAGGTGTTTTATGGCTCAGAATAATATGTTCAAAGCTCTGTTTTTATATGCAGGACAGATTCTGTTATCTCATCTTGTCCGTTCTTTGGAGGCCAAAAGAGTTAAAAGAATAGCTGATAGGAAAGGCGATGCTCTGCTCTCCGTCATGTTTTTCTTTTCCTGAGTAATATACGACCTTAGAGAGGCATATTCTTCTTCTTCTTCTCTTTTCTTTGACTTCCACTTTTGGTCTTTCGGTATTTCCAAAATTAAAAAGTTATGAAAGAATAACTACTAATTGATTTTTACATTTCTCTCATTCTCTACCAATTGGAAAGGAAATTAAAGCATTCAGTTACCCAAAACTTGAACTGCTGAAGTTCACTTGTATTCTGATAGTATACAAAAATTTTAAAAGTCACATTTACAATTATCATCATTTACTTCTCTTCTTAGGAAGTCTGTCATGCAGAATTCTCATCCCCATATACCTGCATTACAAAATATTGGCATGCAATTAATAGCTATATATCAAAATGTGATTAGAGGACAACTAGTTAGTAATTACCTTCCAAGCATCATAACAGTAGCTTGAGGATTAGTGCCCGGCGAGCGAAGAAAAGTGGAGCCATCAATAACCCTTAATCCATCAACACCACGAACCCTATAATTATGATCAAGAACCTGCCCTACTTGACATCCTCCATGATAATGCCATATAGTCATTACAGTGTCTATGCAAAATCGTTCCAATGAAGCTGCTGTAGTTGCATGTCTTGGTCTCAAGTTCACAGGTAAATTTGCCATCAAACTAAACAGGGCTTGTACTGGCACATGATTGTACCGAAATCTCTTAAAGGCTTTTGAGTTTATTACTTTGATAATTGTTTCCATTCCTTTAACACACCTCATTAGATCTTCTGGTTCTTTGAAATAGTTGAATTTTACTGATGGGTTCTCGTCTGGATTTGTTGTTCTTAGCTTGAGCTCCCCTCTGGAGAGCGGACCCGTTATCTTTTCTAGAATAATTCCACCTTTTAGTGTTGAGTTCACTAAGGAATTTACTGTCTCAAAAGCCCTAGCCATCGCCTCTGGGGTCAGTATGGTCTGTTGGCCTGTCTAAATATGCAGTCTGGTGTTAGTTTAATTAATAAAATCATTCCTGTACCATGTAATTAATACTGTTTGGGCATGGGAATATGAGATTTCTCGTTGGAGTTTCATAAAATATGGGAGTTTTCACCGATTTTGATGGGTGAGTAAATACCTGATTTAAAGATTGCTCATAGTCCTTGACATATCTTTGAGCCCAATTGTAAGAGAAGGTTAAACCACTAGCTGTCTCAATAAAGCTACCAAATTGAGTTATGCCCACAACTTGAATTAGTGAGACTTCAACTGGTAGAGGAGAAGGAACAAACAGAAGATTCATTGGGTTATCGGCCATGCCTTGACCCACCATGGGCTGGTCCAACACTACACGGATGCGATGAGCCCGAAGATGTTTGGCAGGCCCAATTCCACTCAGCATTAGCAGTTGTGGGCTTCCAATTGCACCAGCAGATAATATTACCTCACTCTTGCAGTTCTTATTCAGGAACGCCGTGCGCCTGAATCCCCTTGCATCTTGAAATCTCACCCCATATGCTTTTGGCTTTGCCCATGGTCGTCTCCCTGTATTAACAATGTTCTGGTGTGGTGAAAAGGATTTATTGGAATATATTAAAAACTTAAATGTCATATTACCCGTATAAAGCGCGTGAAAAACCAAAGAATCATAATCTATTCGCTCCATTTTAATATTTTTTTTTTTTTAAATTGCACCGCACTTTGTTTCCATCCATTTATGCAGATGAGACTTATTGAAACTCAGCTGAAAATGATATGTAAAATTCTCTCAATATAGATAAATCAGATTTAACAATTCCCACTCTTTTAGTACTTTCAAATATCAGTTTTGAAATATCAAATTTCATTAACAAAGAAATTAAGATTATAAACAATATGCTTAATTTACCTTTTCTTCCAGTGAACAAGACTTTCAATGCAGTAGCATGTAAATAAACTACAAGGTTTTTTGGGTCAGCATACTCCAGAAGATCAGCAGCAGTGTGCCTATGACCATCCCCATCAAAAATTGATCCTCCAATTTTAGTTCCATGAATATGATCATACGTAAACCCATTGTAAGGGAATACACCTGCTTCTAGTAACCCATCCCTGACAGCTGATTGCCATTGCAGCGTTGGTGGCTGAAAGGCTACTTTGGTCTCAACCCATTTATAAGATGCATTAGCCAATCTTTCATTCCACCCTGCTTCCTTCACATAATCCGCACTAGCATGCGTGTAAAATCCGGCGTTGAGAGAGCTTCCGCCGCCTAGAACACGCGCACGGGTGTTGTACACTCCATCTTCGGAGATGAAGAGTTGGGAAGGAGCATTTGGAGACGTGTCGGAAAGAGAGGCAATGAAGTTGCCTATGTTAGTTATGTTAGAGTTGCCATAAGGAGAGCCTCCTCTTTCAAGGAGTAAAACGGTAGCATTTATAGAGAGAGTTGCCGCTAATGGACAGCCTGCGGTTCCTCCACCGATTATTATGTAGTCATAATACCGGATTTGCGGCGACGAGGTTGCTTCATGGACAAATGTGTAATAAGGAGCTGCACAAGATTAAAAATTTTTAAAAATCTCAATCAATGTATAAAAACCGAAAATGAATCCATACCTTTCTCTGAATAAGAGAAGCCCTGAAACAGGAAAATTCCTGCAAGAACGAAGCCAAGAAATTTCCAGCAACAAAGATCCATGACTACAAAACCTTATAGAATTGTATATCCTATTACAAATAGAGCAAGAGAAAGCCTTTAAATATATCACGAAACAAAGAGCCTTGTGCTTGATTTCTTTGGGTGCAAAGAATGTTTGTTCACTTTGCCATGAGAAGGACAAAGGAGAAACTTTTAGTTCAACAATATAAATTTGCATAAAAAGATACTTCTTTAAAAACGCATGGTGTGTGTGGGTGTGAAAATAACATAAATGTGCCTCAAAGGAGGCTCTCCATCACCAACCAAATATTTCTATTTCAGCCTGAAAATAGAATAATGCAGTGGGTGATTATCAATATTCTGATTTGACATTTTTTCAATTGCCAAGTGCGCTATGTGCCAATTTCTTAAACAAAAGTACTATTAACAACAGGTACGGTGTAACTAATTAATTAGAATTATGTTGCTTTATGATGTTAGAATGTAAATTTGTACCTTATTTATGATTAAGTGCTCTCATGCTCTATCGCATAATTCATATTGGTTGAACATAGAATAGCTTAATTATCATTGACGCACAGTGATTGTATTGTTTTTCAAGCATTCAGTTATGTTTTACTAAGTATTTTATTTTCTTCTACAATTCAACCTTTTCATGATGGGCTGAGCAAAAATAAGAATATCTGTAAAAAGCCTAACGATGGAATCTCAACAGACAATCAATATTCACTAGGCCTGGCCCAACCTGTATGCCTAATTAAATGGTCTAACCAAAATCAAAACTTATGTAATTCCAAAGGCTTTGAATCAAGAAAAGGGAATCTATGGAGTAAAGGCACATATATACAATACATGGTCGCATTGAAAAATGCAGTTCTTTTTATTTGCTTAACTCAAAATTTAATTTCTTTTTACTTGTCTAATTAATTGATTTAATGAAGTTTTTCCTTTCAAAAAAAAATATATATTTGATGAGCCTGCATTTATACATACTCTTTAAGAATTAAGATACATAACAGTCTTAGGTTTGAACCTCAAACATCATGCTTCCTTGCATCTTTGGAATAGGTGATGTAGACAATACACCATCCTTTTTCTTTAGAGATTATCTTTTACACAATTCTTTAAATATAGGAGAAGAATAAACGCATGGATACGTGTTAAATCAAATTGAGTTGCTCAGAATTTGGGAGGGGATAATACAAATATATACCAATAATTAGGATTGGGAAGATCCTATGAAAATCAACAACTTCTATAATGAAAAATAAAAAACAAATCCAGCACAACGTGTCTGATGTGTGAATATAATATCAAATTATATTAGTGCTTTTCGTTAAAACTTATAACTACTAAGAAACATAAACGTAGTACAAATATATAATATCAAATTATGCAAGATTCATAAAATTATTAGATTAAATAATATTATATAAAAAATTTTTATTATATCGTATCAGGAAGGTTGACCTGACCAATTTTGATGATAAGGTAGGTGAGGTATAGGTGAAACCATACCCAGATACACCATCTTTTGCTACAGGACACTTGGGAGCAGATAAGAGACCAGCCAACCATGATCATTCAGCTTCATTCTTGTCATATATTGTAAATTTCAATTTCATTAACAATAGCCCAAGGAACCAGAAATTCGTGCATTTTTTTTTTAAAAAAAGAGAAGATATTGATTGATTTTTACATTTTTAATTTAGCTTTTCTTTTATTTTATTTTATTCCGCTCCTTTATCAATAATTCGATTAACTTTAAAGTTTATGGAATGATATCATATTGATTGTTGTGGATGAGAATAGCACATTGAAATTGAATTATTGGCATATTTTCCATGTTTCAAATCATATTATCCTTTATAATTGCGGGCTGTGGCATGTATTTATCCTAATGTAGTGGAAAACCCCAACTCATCCAACCCGCCTTGTGTTGAGGTCTTTTTTTCAGACAGTATACAACTACATAATTGAGTAATTGGATTAGAGAAAAAGATAGACTGCCCCCACCGGCCACTAGGCACCACCTCCACCACTAGAAAGTGGTAACAAAGCCACCATCAAAATGCATAGGTTGGCTTGGCCGGTTGGGATTGAGGATTTCAATTTGTCAAACCTTTTCTCTACCATATTCAAAATTTGATTAATCAATTATCAAACATCATGCTTGCTTCATGATTGATTGTTCTAATAGATTAATATTTTCTTTGTCTTAAAAAAATAGTCCACTTTTTTTTTCCGCAAAGATTAACATATGAGGTTCTTGGTAATTTGTTCCTATAACTTTTTTATTATTCTTCTTAAATAACACACGAGGAATTATTGTATTGAAATAATAAAATTTATATTTATAATATAAATTTGTGTGAAATATAAATTACAAATTAACAAGAGTGATCAAAATCGATGACTTTTTAAAATTCAAGAGGAAAAGAATGGAAGAGAAAAACATGGTGTTTATGAATGTAAAGCTACTTATAAATAACATATGAATTTGAAGTAACGAGAATTATTGAAAATAAGATAAAACTTAATAAATGTGTAATAGATAATTTAAAAATTAACTATAATATAAAAAAAAAAAGGTAAATGAATTATATTTTGAGACAAACTGAAATGGAAAGATGGACAATCTTTTTATAATGGAGAGAGAATCAAGTCTTAGGATATTGTTTGGACTAATCATCTCCAATTGTTATATTTTTCCTTTTTCCATATAAAATATTTTTAAAATAGAGAATGGATTTATTTTTAGAATTTAAACTCTTAAGTTTATATATATATCTATATACAGCAGATGATTAATTGGTAGATTATTAGTCTGATACTAATAGGCACAATTAAATTATTTAAAAAAAAAAAAATTCATTGAGGAGTTTAATTTCATGACAAACTAAATAAAGATACGTCAACTTTTATTAATTAACAGGTTAAGAACATTGAAATTTGAACAGGAACAAATAGGATTAAGGTCAACTATGCTGCTAAAGAAAGAAAAATAAGACTACTGGCATTTAATAGGATTTAAGAAGTTGCAAATACAAAGACATAAAAGTCCAAATTTGCAACAAACTCTTTGTTTTCACCACAAAAACAGTTGAAGATATTATAATTTGCAAGTGGTTTAAGCACTGTAGTTCCTGTCCTTTCTAACTGGCAACTGCCATGCTATATTGTTCTTTGTGATATATAAGAAATCGTATAAACCTTTCTTTCTGTTTATTGGTCGTCATTTTTATTAAATATAAAGGAGAAAGAAAAGAAAAGAAAAGAAAAATACAGTAGCGAATAATTGAAAAAGAAAAACAACCACAAAGTTGAACCAAAATTGATTGCTGAATTAAATTTAATTAACATTCAAGAACACGAGACCAGGACAAGCTAATTTAAAAATACAGTAAGAAGACATAAACTAGGCAAGAACTCAAGCATCCTGTACGTACTTTGAGACTGACTTTTCTTTATTGATGAATGAACCAGACAAGAGGACAAGCTTTAAAAATACGACATAAATAGAAGAGAATCCTAGCATCTTTTACACTTTGAGACTTTGTTTTATTGGCAATTGAACCAAAGTTCAAAGGAATGAACGAAACCGCATCATCATGCACAAAGTAGAAGCATGAACGCCTTAAATTCTTGACACAAATAAAGTTTAAAAGACCCAAAAAGAAAAAGTAGGTTAAGATGGAAATTGACGAAAAGAGATCTGTATTTTCTACAATCTGGTACAATGAAAGAAAAGCCGTAACCAATTTATCGCAAATAGTACAACAAGAACTAATTAAGCATCCCCCCAAAAGAGAAAAAGAAAAAAAAAAAAAAAAGAAAAGAAAAAACGCAATATCCATATATGCTATTCGTCTCTCTTAACTAATTACAAAGAAAAAGGAAAAGCATTCTGTGTGTATATATAATATATATGAATCAAACTGTAACAGAAGCTTTTATATATCTCTGGTATCTAATCTATATACATGGTACAAGCATGTATTATTAATAATTAAAAGACCTCTGTTTCTTTCTACTCTGATTATATAAACTACCTCAACAATTTCCTGGGCTTAGAAGGAGTGATCTTGATTACAAGTCCAGGGAAAACATCATCCGGGTCATGGATATGCGGGTTCCGCTCCACGATAAACGGGTCACCGCACTTGTCGCTGATCGTGTGGAGAGTCTCTCCTTCCCCAACAACGTATATTTCATCGCAATGTCGATCAAGAAGCTGGTTGCCTTTAAAAGGCTCAGCGGTAGAAGAAGAACTGATCTCCTTAATAGACCCTAGTAATATTAGACCTAACAAGACGATGGCACAGTACCATGAAGCTGCATCGGCTATGGCTATGGAGATTTTCATGCTCTTTTTTCTGCAAGTGGAAACCATTGTTTTAGAAAAGAGAGATGGGTTTTGATAGAATAGAAGGAATTTAGACTTATGGGTCGAGTAGTTGCATATGGTACATATGTGTCTATTTTTATATGCGTAGATTAGAGAGAGAAAGAGAGGGAGAGACAGAGCCCTTTGGACGTATTGCGTTGGGAGGAAGTTGGGCTCAACGACACGGCGACGTCTGATTTGGGTGTAATGGTTTGAACTTTGAAATGTTAAACGTTAGTCATCTTCCAAGACATCAAATTACTGAAAAAGGACTTTCATTATTGTGGTCAATGCAAAATTTGGACCCTAAAACACGACTTATTTTAAAAAATATAAATTTTAGAATTTAGCCATAATTTTGCATAGCTATGGTTTTAACATGTGAGAGGTGTCCACATTTATAAGTTGTATGTCCATTAAGTTAAATTATATGTATAGTGGAGATTTTTATTTTGACAATTTGGTTATGCAAATTCAAGATACATAAATTAGTTGGATATTCGGTGGACAACTTCGAGGATTACGGACATCTGTAATTATTGGATATACCAGAATCTAATTAAGCAAAGCTAAAATAATTAAGTTGTTAGAGGTCAACAATTAATTAATTAATTAATCATTTCTTGAACAATATATAATTATGTATAACAATGTACACAAAGTTGAAATTTTGGTCTCTTCGAGTGTCTATTTTGAATTACTACTTTATATTATTTGTAAATGATGTAATTGTGCAACAAATATTCTTGGTATTGTTTAATACTGGTAAATTAAGTAATCATCATGGGATCAAAGTTCTAAGTTGCTGTGCTCTTTATTTTTATTTTGAAGATGATGGGGCGGTAAGAATAAATGTCTGCTTCCAGAAGGTGTATTTTCCAAGTTACCAAGTTCCTTAATGAATTCAATTTTGAGGCTTGAGATATAAGTAATTTGTTTCAGTTACAATCAAAATATACAAATATATATATGTTACCAAAAAATATTATCTTAACTATCATTTACTTGTAACGGATATAACTTGTGTAGCATACGCTATAATATTATACACATACAGTTAAGGCACTTGATTATCTGTAGCTAGCCAACACGAAAATAGAAGGTTTAGATTTAGGCATCAAGCCAAGAAGTAATTCCATAATCTGAACATCCTTATCAAGAAAAAGCAGATTTAATTCTTTTGGTTGGACATAAATATATGCAGTACCAAATGATTTTCAAATATAATTTTATCATAATATATCTTGTGGAGGGACTAAATAATTATTATTATTATTTAAATACCCATTAGCCATTCCAAGGGCAAATGGGCAATATAGGAAAGTTGGGAAGGCAACCTGAAAAAAATATGGAGAAGGAAGGGGAGTAGTGGTGCCCTTCCCACTCGCTACCTTTGAAAAACTGTAACTATCAAAACAAATCCCCCCCAACAATCCAACTAACCCCAAACCCTTTTTTTTTTTTTTATTTATTTAATTAATTTTTATCAACAACAAACTATTTATTTCTACGCATCTCTCATGTCATGTTAAATCCTTATTGACTAATCAAAAATTCATTCAATTTATTATATTTTTCCAATTCATATATATATCTTCACTCTCAGGTCATATAGTATCGAGGTAAATTTTCACTTTGAAATGCAGTATACAATCAAAATTTTAACTGACTATTTCTTCATTATATGAAAAATAGAACCTTAAATTATTATATTTGTCAAAAAAATATAAAATAAATAAACTCTCTCAACATTTGAAAAAAAAAAACAGAATAGAGTCTGGATATAATCAGTATTCCAATTTAGTTGGTGTCGGAGTAATTAGACCAAAAGTAGAAACTTAAAAATGGAGGCCTTGACTTTGCACCTTGGCATGCTAAAACTTGGGGACCTCAGGACCAGTAGACCCAGTCACTCCTACGCCCCTGTAAGTTTTAACAATTTCAGCTTTCCTGGAGGATGGAGGAAAAGAGGACCCATGTCACAGGTACATACAATATATATCATTTTCAATGCACGAGCAATATAGGAAAAAGTTCCCATTTTTGAAGTCGCATCATTGGAAATTACAACTTCCAATGGAATAGACAAATCTATGTCCATATTAAGTTTAGATTATGCTGACAAAAACATATCTTCATCTTTTGTTTTTTTGTTTAGCGTTTAAATTAATTAATAATATACATTTTTACTTATCATTTTGGATTTCTTAGGCTAGATGATAGAATATTATATTTATTTGTTTTTATGTAATAATGTAAATTACCTTACAAAGAGGTAAAAAAGGGTTAGGGTCTTACTTCTTTGGTAGACCTGCCTAAGGTTTGACCAAGGAGGATAGCGAACTGTAAAAAAAAAAAAAAAAAAAAAAAAAAAGGACCCATGTTCACAGTACAATTACAATTAGTATATCCATTTTCAATGCACGAGCAATATAGGAAAAAGTTTCCCATTTTTGAAGTCGCGATCATTGGAAATGTACAACTTCCAATGGAATAGGACAAATCTATGTCCATAGTTGAAGTTTAGAATATAAATGCTGACAAAAACATATCTTCATCTTTTTTGTTTTTTTGTTTTAGCGGTTATAATTAATTAATAATATACATTTTATCTTATCATTTTGGATTCTTAGGCTAGATATAGAATATTATATTTATTTGTTTTTATGTAATAATGTAAAATTTTACGCTTACAAAGAGGGTTAAAAAGGGTTAGGTCTTCTTTTGGTAGAGCCTGCCTAATGGTTGGACCAATGGGATAGCGAAACTGTAAAAAAAAAAAAAAAAAAAAAAAAAAAAAAACTGAATGGTTAGTTACGTAAATAAAAAAAAAAAAAAAAAAAAAAAAAAAAACTGAATGGGTTATTACTAAATTACTTTTGCTATCAAAATTTGGTAAAGTAAGTAACTAGTGGCTGAAATCCCACATATAATGATCTATAATACAGGGTTGGTAAAGAATTAGAGATCATGACTTGAAAATTAGGTTAATATGAGTAGAAAATTGAATAAAATAGGCAGGTTAGGTTAACTTTTTTCTCAAGGAACTATCTGTCAAATCAGTGTATGGTGTATGAAAGCAAAATTGCACGTGTCTTGTCAATTTACAATTACTGAAGAAAGAAAGATAACTGACCAAGAATTAGTGACGAATAATCATTCCGTGAATTATTTGATTTAATGATAATATCTTAAGCCACATTCTATTAGTGATAAGATACATATATTGAAAATTATATTAGAGCATCACTAATTATTATCATAAATGATTTTATACCACATTCTCAGTGCCTAGAACTATTGGAAGTGACAGCAACGGTAGCTTTATTTTCTATTAAGCAAGTCACCAAACCCTACCAGACACCGGAAATCCAGATTCCATGCTTTTTTAACACAGTATATATCCTTAAACACCCCATCAAACTTTGTACTTGTAGTGTTAAATTATGGTGCACCTTTTTGAATTTTTCTTTTGCTTGTTTATATAATAAAAAAAGTGAAACAAAAGAAAGCAGATTATGAAATCTCGAGGTCATCTCATGTTGTCCACTGAACATTTGAACTTGTATTCGTCCATTTTGAAATTTGAATGTTCAAAACTTTTACTGCTTTCTAAACTTAACACATAAACCTTGCATAATTTTATTTTTCTCGTTTTATGTAATATCAGCAAATTTCACTTAATAAAAAATTTGTACTGATTTTCTTACGAAATGCAAACTCATTTACAATATAATAATTTTTTTTTTTTTTTTTTTGAAAGGCCAAGATAATAATTTTTTATGAGTATAAAATTAAAGTTTATGAATCTCTGTCAGCTTTGATGATGCAAGCGGAAAGCCCACATAATGTGGGCTGAAACATTTGATGGGCCCCAGTTATAAGTTGCAGACTCACTTTCTTACATAACTAGGCTCATGATCATGTTGCCAAAAATCCAAAATTTTACTTCAAAAAAAAAAAAACCAAGCTTGTTTTTTGACTTTTCCTGTCGTTTGCAGATGGAGAGAGAGTTTTTCCTGCCAGACAGTCATGAAACTTTTCGCGGCATAGTTTCAAGGAGGTTAAAGACTGATATTGAAGTTCGGGTACTTTTTTTTTTTATTCTTAAGCTAATAATTGCGCGGATCATCAATCTCTCTTCGTCAAGCGAGTAATGAATAATCGACTCTCTGTCTCCTCAATCAAACAGCTACATGGACATCTCATTAGAACTCAACTCTACAAAGACCCTTATTCAATGTCAGATGTTATAAGATCCTATGCTTTATCTCCTTCTTATCTCCATAAAGCTCTTCTTGTTTTCAATCGGATTGAGAAACCTACACTTTCAATATTTAATCTCTTGCTTCGTGGTTTGTCTCAAAGTGAACGACCAAATGAAGCGATTGATATGTATACTAATCTAATGTATGGTCGAGGAACAGTTGGCGATAATTTGACATTTATCTCCTTGTTCAAGGCTTGTTCTCGTGTTAACGATTTTTTACATGGTCAGATATTTCATGTTCACGCTTTGAAACTCGGGTTTGATTTATATCTATTTGTAGCAAATGCTTTGATTCGAATGTATGGATCTTTTGGTGAGTTACAGTTGGCACACAAGATGTTCGATCAAATGCCAGATAGAGACTTGGTTTCTTGGAATTCTTTGATTTGTGGTTATAGTCAATTTAATAAGTTCAAGGAGGTTTTGTGTTTGTTTAATTCCATGAAGGAAGCAAGTGTGATAGCTGATGAGGTTACAATGGTTAAAGTTATGTTAGCTTGCAGTTATTTGGGTTTGAATGATATTTCAGATTCTATGGTAAATTATATTGAAGATAATCATGTGGATATTGATGTTTATTTAGGCAACACATTGATAGATATGTACGGGAGGCGTGGTTTAGTGGATTTGGCACGGAGAGTTTTTGATGGGATGCAAGAAAGAAACATAGTCTCTTGGAATGCAATGATCACTGGATATACAAAAGTGGTGGAATTAGTTGAGGCTAGGAAGCTTTTCAATCAAATGCCTATCAGGAATGTTATTTCATGGACTTCTATGATCACAGGTTATGCTCAAGCCAAGCAATATTCTGATGCAATGAAGCTTTTTCAAGATATGATGGAAGCTAAAGTGAAACCAGATGAGATTACAGTAGCTAGTGTGCTTTCTGCTTGTGCTCACTTGGGCTCACTCGATGTGGGACAGGCAGTTCATGAATACATTTGTAGGCATGGCGTAAGGGCTGATGTATATGTGGGAAATGCTTTAATAGATATGTATTGCAAATGTGGGGTTGTAGAAAAAGCATCAGAGGTGTTTTATAAGATGGAAAAGAAGGACAGTGTATCATGGACATCAGTCATCTCTGGCCTTGCTGTTAATGGTTTTGTAGATCAGGCACTTGAGTTATTCTCGCTGATGTTGAGAGATGGCATTCAGCCAACTCATGGAAGCTTCATGGGGGTATTACTGGCTTGTGCTCATGCTGGATTGGTGGACAAAGGATTGGAATATTTTGAGAGGATGGAAAAAGTTTATGGATTAATGCCAGAAATGAAGCATTATGGATGCCTTGTGGATCTTTTGAGCCGCTCTGGAAACCTAGACAGAGCCTATGAGTTCATAAAAGCAATGCCAGTAATTCCAGATGTTGTAGTATGGAGAATATTGCTCAGCGCATGTAAGCTTCATGGAAATGTGGTTCTAGCTGAGATTGTTTCAAACAAACTTCTTGGATTAGACCCCTATAACAGTGGGAATTATGTTCTCTTGTCAAGCACATATGCTGGTTCTGATAGATGGAATGATGCTTCAAAAATGAGAGAATTAATGGTGGAAGGAGACCTGCAAAAACCTTCTGGTTGCAGTTGCATTGAGGTCAATGGGAGTAACAACAGATAAGATGCATTTTCATTCTATCAATTCTTTTTGTTATACATGAAGACAGCTTAGAATCACTGCTTAAATGCACAGCACTTTTAATGCTTACAATTTAAACATGACCTTAATGGCGTCGCCACCACGAGCACTAGTTTCAAAGGCTTCTTCTACCTCTTCTTGTGAGAAGCTAAACCTGTGAGTTATCAATGGCTTAACGTCAATCTTACCAGTCCTCAAGAACTCAATGCAGAGCGGCCATGTGTTTCTGTAACGGAATATGCCGATAACATCAACCTCCCTACAAACGACACTGCCAGTTACTATCACCCACATAAACGGAGATGAAGGGAACTTTCAAGCATAAAAATTTAATTACCTTGCAGCAGCTGGAGTAAGAGGGACAGTCATCTCAGTCAAGGCTAAACCAATAAGGCAAACTTTGCCACCTGAACTTGTAGCGTTTAGAGATGTACACATGGTTTTTTCATACCCAACACAATCAAAGGTTACATCAATGCCTGAGCCCATAATGTTCTGTATCTTTGTTATTTCTTCACTTACATCCTGCAAAATCACTGGCATATTAAAACACTTCATTGCAGGTTTTATGAAAAATAACAAGCAGAAAAAGAAAGGGCCAAACAAACCTCAATATTTGTGGAGACTTGAAGAATCCCATCTGCACCAAGATTCTTTGCAATGGATAGACGGCGATCATCAACATCAACAATCATGATTCTAGGAGCACCAAATGCCCGAGCAGCCAACATGGTGACAAGGCCTATTGGTCCAGCTCCCATAATCAGTACACTTGTATCAGGACCAATTTTTGCACGGCAACAAGCATGGACGCCAACACTGAGGGGTTCACACATTGCTCCTTCCTCTAAACTCACATTTTGAGGTAGTTTGAAACATAGATTTGCAGGATGCACTACCTAATAATAGGAAGGTTAAATATGTATTTGCTCAAAACTTTATTACATTGTAAAATTTGGTAACCTTATTAGCAAGAGCTCCATTAGTTGGTGGAGATCCAAAGAATTTCATTTGAGGACAGAGATTATAACGACCATTTTTGCAGACATTGCATCTTCTGCAACTAATTCCAGGCTCCAATGCTACACGGTCTCCTACTGCTAGAGTCTTCACTTCACTCCCAATTTCTTCTACGATCCCAGCACATTCATGTCCTATCACCATTGGCTTTTTGACAATAAAATTTGCGCATCTCATTGTCTGGTGTGTTGAACCGAAGATTGCATAATAGCAACGCATTTAGTAACCAAAGCAAACATCTTGAGATTAAATCTTAAATGCTAACTTGAAAAAGGAGAGAAAATAACATTAGGCAGCATTTTTTTTTTTTTTTTTTTTTTTTTTTTTGGGAGAAGAAGGCTAGCAATTTACCTTGAAGTGATGAACATTCACTTCCACATTACCCAAGAGCCTTTATTCCTCACTTTAACATCATTGAGGACCTATGACGATAATTGGAAAACAAACTAATATTAATTAAAAGTTGCCAGTGATTTAAAAGTCTTTCTTTTTTTTTTTTTTTTTTTTTTTTTTGAGAAGAAGGCAGCAATTTACCTTGAAGTGATGAACATCACTTCCACATATACCAAGAGCCTTTATTCCTACTTTAACATCATGAGGACCTATGATCATAATTGGAAAAACAAAACTATATATAATTAAAGTTCCAGTATTTAAAGTCTTTCAATTTTCTCCCATATATTTGACAAATTAAAATTAAATAAAAGCCGCATATATGATTCAATTTGTTTTTCCAAATCAGACCCACCATTGATCACATGGCTAAAGACATGATCACAACTATTCTTTATGTAAAAAAGAGTTATGATCTTATAGAAGAAAGCACAGAGAGGAAGAGAGGACTTACCAACAGGAGGAATGTTGTAAGGCTGTATCTTAAGATTTTTTATCCCAAGAAGCCAAGCAGCCATATTCTCTTCTACTTTGCCCGCCATAATATCAGCACCATGTGACATCTCTCTCTAAAGCTTGGATTTCACGTTACTGAAATTGAACGGAGTTAATCCTTCTCACTGGCTCATCTTAATTATATAGACATGGAGGCCAAAGTATTGGACCAATCGATTGTTTAGATGAAGGAAAACAAAAAGAAATGATGATGAAAACACAGAAAAGTCCAGTTTCTGTTTATTATATAATTTATATAAAAAAATCAGAACTTTTACTCTTAAATCTTTTTCTTTTTGCGAAAACTGCTTTTCTTTCCTTTAATAGAAATTTAAAAAATTTTATTTGGATGATATTTTGATTGTTAATAGTACTTTTTAATGGGTATAAAAGGGTAATTTAATGGAGAAAAATTAATTGATTCTGCAAATTAACCTACGAACCTTGTTTACATCTATGTCCGGCTCTGATCATAGAAAAGAGAAATAGAAACAGCAGTCTAAAATTAAAAACTGACAGGATTTATTTTTATTTTTTTTTTTTGAAAGAGGACAGGATTTATTTAAAACCCAACCAAAAGCCGTATGTCTGTCTAACTATGTTTGCTCTGTTCCTGTGTTTTTATTCTATCTTTTCGTTGGGTGGAAGGATATGGATGCCAAAGCCGATTGCGATTGATAGATACAGATTGCCAAATATGCATACATCATATGGATGCCAAATAATGTCCAAGTCATACAGAATGGACACATGCACAGAATTCAAGTTACATTTGTATTGTATACACACACACGCACACACACACACTCCCTTCATCATTTCTGTTTGTCCTATCCTATCCATATCATATCTTAGTCATAAAGCACCGATTAAATTAAAGATCCCATCTTTAGTTTATTCTGAATTCTGATTCGGACTTCAAAATAAAATAAAATGAAACTAACTTGATTCCTTCCTCATCATCTCACACTCTATTTAGTTTCCAGCTTTGGACTCCTCACAGTTGAGTGGCTGGTCTGGGTGTATCCAAAAAGGTCAGGTAAATGGGTAAAGGAGGGATGTCACTTGACGAAATCAAGGATGGGCAAGAAGAGGAAAACATGGCTGCGTGGCTTCTTGGTGTCGACAATCTCAAGATTCAGCCTTTCAAGCTCCCTCCTCTTGGTACGTCACTCTTTTATCTTCTTTAATTTGTTGTATCCGGAGTTTTTGTTAATTGATTCTATTTTTCTTTAATACAAGTCTGATTTTTTTTCCCCCTTGAGAACCCGTTTTTGCTTAGTTTATTTCTAAACTATGATTGTTTCATTTGTTTCCTTTGTTGTTTAAGGACCATATGATGTTAGAGTAAGGATGAAAGCTGTTGGTATCTGTGGAAGTGATGTTCACTATCTCAAGGTGAATCCCCCTTCCACAACTCATCAATCTATTTATTCATTTCAATGTAACTTTGCTATTTCACTAATTATATAACCCTTTCTGTTTGGTTCCTGAAAGTATATGTCAAATTTCAATAGATCCTGACTCGAGTATTTGGCTTTGAAAAGTTTGAATCAGTATTGGATTGAAAATCAGTGCAGGACTAAAATAAGATTATATAATGGATAGATCAAGTATTCATTTTTGTTGTTATCCTATTTCTGATGCCTCACAAGTATGTTTGTTATGTCATGTCTATTTTCAGACCTTGAGATTGGCAGATTTTGTAGTGAAGGAACCAATGGTCATTGGGCATGAGTGTGCTGGGATCATCGATGAGGTTGGAAGTGAAGTTAAGCATCTTGTGCGTGGAGACAGAGTGGCATTGGAACCAGGCATCAGTTGCTGGAGATGCAATCTTTGCAAAGAAGGTCGATACAATCTATGCCCTGAGATGAAGTTTTTTGCCACTCCACCAGTACATGGTTCTCTTGCCAATCAGGTTAACAAATCAGCATAGCCTTTCATATTTTTCAAAGTCATATTGGTCATAAGCACTTTAGATGACTGAATTCCAAGTTTATTCATATTGGTCAGTTGTGAAATGTGTAGAATCTGATTGGTAATAACATTCACTGGAAAATGCAATTAGAAGTCCGTGCTTTTTGTGAACAGGTGGTGCATCCTGCCGACCTATGTTTTAAATTGCCAGATAATGTGAGCTTAGAGGAAGGCGCAATGTGTGAGCCTTTAAGTGTTGGTGTTCATGCTTGTCGCCGAGCTAATGTTGGTCCAGAAACAAATGTTTTAATCATGGGAGCTGGACCCATAGGGCTTGTTACACTGCTAGCAGCTCGTGCTTTTGGTGTACCCAGAATTATCGTTGTGGATGTTGATGATTACCGTTTATCTGTTGCCAAGGATCTCGGTGCTGATGGCATAGTTAAAGTGTCAACGAATATTCAGGTATTATTTTTTTATATTTTGAAGAAAATTTTTTTCGTTGTTTTAGTAAAATATACACTGTTCACCCACTTATAAACTTTTGATTTAGCTCCTTCAAGCTGTTCTTTTTCTGTAAATTACATCTTAACAAACACGCAACCTATCAAGAAATCAGCTGCACAATTATTCATGCAGCTAGCAATTGCTATGCCTTAAGATTGGAAATTTTACAGGATGTAGCTGAAGAAGTTGCGCTGATACACAAGGCAATGGAAACTGGAGTGGATATCACCTTTGATTGTGCAGGATTTAACAAAACAATGTCAACAGCCTTGGGTGCCACTAAACAGGGTGGCAAAGTTTGCCTTGTGGGAATGGGCCATAATGAAATGACTGTTCCTCTTACATCAGCTGCAACAAGGTACTTGATTTTATCTTTCTTCTGTAATAATATTTCATTTTTATTTATGCCCACAAGTAAGTGGAATGTAATTGGAATCTTATGATTACTCTGGATGGGATTGTATGGAGACCAAAACTATTGTTTCAGGAAGGAAAAATAATCAAGACGGGACAAATATCTCGAGAATTTGGAATAATTCAAGCCACAGTAAATATTAATTCGATTGGCTTGCTTGATGTGGGTAATATGTAAAAAGTTAATAAATAAAAATATGTATTTCCATTTACTACTAGAACATGGAAGTGTTTCAAAGAAGATAGTGTACAAGCATGTGACATAGCAAACTGGTTGAACCTTTGACAGAATTCTGAAAGCTTTTGGTTGTTGACGGAATGTGAGGTTTAAAAAAGAAAAAACAAATTTCTGAACCTCGTTTAATAGGTGCTTAAGTCATTGCAAAATCTTGTGTTCTTTATATCATAGTTATGGATTAAGCATTAACATTTCACTCTGGAAATTTATCTATTTCAGGGAGGTTGATGTCATTGGTGTTTTCCGGTATAAGAATACATGGCCACTATGCCTTGAATTCTTGAAGAGTGGTAAGATTGATGTGAAGCCCCTAATAACCCACAGATTCGGGTTCTCGCAGAAGGAGGTTGAAGAAGCCTTTGAAACAAGTGCTCGTGGTGGTAGCGCTATTAAGGTCATGTTTAATCTGTAAAATCAGCTGTGGCCTGGGAAAAACTGCTTCTTGGAGAAATTTTAAGTAAAGAACGATAAGAAATATCAATATTGCACATTGGCTTATGTAAATTTCGTCTTGTTCGACACGATCTTTGGACGTGTATTATTATAGTTGTTCCTCTTTATTACTAATATATGCTATTTTAATCAAGTTATATATACACACACATAATTGAAAGGTCAGCAAATTTCTAGTTTTCGCTATTTCTCCTTTTTTGTTTCCTAAGGATCAATGTTAACTCGGTGATCAATCTCTATATTTAAAAAAAAATAAATAAATAAAATAAAATAAAATTTGGAATTTCCAAAGCTTGATATTAGAAATTTGTTTCGTGCATGGCATGCTTATAGACCTGGACCGGGCTGTTTCTTCTAGGAAATATTTGGAAAATTCCTATGTATTTCAATTGCAGGACAAAAGACGACTTCAAAAGATACATTCCAAACCACTTTAGTGACCAGACGTATAATCGAAGTAACTTGCTAACTTTCAAAGATTGAAAATTTTCTCCTCGACAAAAGGCACAATTTGTTACAATCACCTCCCACACATGGAAATATCGCAAATAGAGATTATTTAAGTTATGCTTCCAATCACCTTCTCCACAATAAGCTGCTCAGCCAAATGTTAACGTGAGGACTTGAATATACTCTAGTAACTACAATCCGACCTGTAAAAGATGCAGGTATCTACACAAATGGAGACCCTAAACTTGAAAAATTTTTTAGGAAGAACAGAGCTACACATTGCTGAAACAGGACCAATAACATTATTCCACATTCCTAACACCATTAATGCATGTCAAGGCCAGGAAGAAAAGTATATTTGATCATCACAATGAATATATATTGATCTCGGTTCACTGAACGCTGGAATTGTCTTTTTGGTCAGGCGGATACCAGAAAGCTGTCTCAACTGTTACAAACTTGGATATGAGCCATGCTACTCTTCTTTCTACAATAGATTACTATGGCACATGCTGATCCTGCGAACCCAAAACTGGTATTCTCTGCTTGTTACTCCTTCCTCAGACTTGCATCACAAGAGGCACCGAGAAACAAATAAATTTGAATAACCAATGAAAAGGAAATACACAGATATCTCAAGTAGAAATGACCATCAGGCAACAGGAGTCGGTTCAACTTGACATTTCCACACTCTCACTTGACCAGTTCCATCACCAGTGAAAAACAAACCCCCCGGACCAGTCTGAATGGCACGAATCTCCTGTTTAGAAAAGATTTTACCCCTTTCTGAAAACCTAAGTGGAAAAATAGGGGGGAAAATGAAGTTAGTTAGAATAAAGAATAGCATGCGTAGGAAATTCCTTATAAAGACTAATTAAAAGAAAAAGAAAAGGAATAAAAAATTAAAATAACAGGACAGGGAATGCATTGCTAAAAACTTACGATGGTAAATCGAATAGGTGGACAGAATTATCATTACAAGAACACAGCAAGATTGGTTTCCCTTCAAAATCATGCATCCCACAGAGAGTGAGCAGGCCCTGCAGAAGGCAATTCATGAATAATCCAAAAACATTAGAGTTTTCTGTTCAATCCATCATAAATATTACCAAATGCAATATGCCTTCAGAATATACTACGTTAATCCAGGTTAGCACAGGGGAAATCTTTTTGGTTAATGTGTCAGAAACCATCTATACAGAAATGTCGAATGGTTAACATGCAACAGCATGAAACCAATAGATGTCTTATTGAGAACTTCTATAATAAGATTAACACAGAAAATGGCACATCAATGATATTAATTACCTATGCATATGATTAAACAACATGAAAACTGAAACTGAATAAGAATCCCAAGATTACCAGTTATCTAAAAACAGCATAAAATAAAACTAACGAAAATTATAAGAAATATTTTATATCATTTGAGTATTAGCAGGTATAAAATAGAACTTTCAACATGATAGGGAAGGAAAAATTGAGGTTAAGATGGAAATAGTTGGCAATCACAACAGCTCCTCTTATGATCAAAGGAGTCACTTGGACGTTGCAAATCAAAATTCTACAAGCATGACAGATATATGAAATTGTGTAACTTACATGTTCTTCCTTATGAGTGTATGTTACTTCCAAGTTTCCACTTTCTGTAGCAGCCCACACCTGAACAAACAAACAAATAGAAACAACTAAATAACAACATCCAGACACCGAAAAATGATTTCTCAATGTGAACTGAATATGGCACAAACCTTTATTGTTTGGTCCAATGAGCATGACAAAAGAAACTGGTCCCAACAAAGAACAGACATAACAACTGAAGTATGATCGGTTAGTGTTTGTACACACTGCAAAGTTTCAAGATTCCAGACCTAGCAGGAGGACAAGTAAATTCTTGAAGAAAAAAAAACGCAGAAACAAACATGAAGGTAAAAATTAGACCTAGTCAACAACATTTCTGATCGTCACTGAAGATTTTCCATTAAATGAATTACTTGAATGTTAAAACCACTAACTTACCCTTATAGAATGGTCCATGGAACCAGAATACAGTCTGTTAGCTCCAACAACTAACGAAACAACTGCAACACTATGACCTGTAAGTGATGCTGCTGGTTCAAAGTTAAAGGTAGCTGCATTAAATTTCCATGCCAATATTGCCCCATCCTGCTTAAGAGAAAGGTAAGATAATTTTTTTTTGCATTAGCAAACACAGGGATTGAGGAAGACATATATGCGCTAAGCCTTTCCCATATACAAAATGTAAAAACTGTGATTACAGTCAAACACTAACAATTTTCATATACTATACATATAAACATAGTTAAACAATTAAACACTGGAAAAACAAACCAATACACCTGTCTTATCCCAGTAATTTGATTTACAATAACTAAGATTAACAATCAAAAGATATCAGGACCATTAGGTGTTTCAAATGAAGGGATTACCTGCGTACCAGCAAAGAGCAAGTCATTACCCACAACCAGGGCATAAACTTGTCCAACAGGTCCGGTTAGACTTAGATCAGTGTTAGTTTGTGTATTCCATGCCTGCAAGATGTCATCTTAGATTCAATTCAATGACACAAAACCTTTGTACAAGACGCTAAGATCACCGTATCTATTAAAATGTAAAATATCTAAAATCAGATTCTATTCACGGTCAAAAACAATGTGGCAACATATCATGATAACCAAGGCAGTAAGTTGTCATAAGGCCAACCTTAACAACATTTGGTACACCAACAAAAATCCAAGGACCTTCACTGATCATGCAACCAACCTCGCCACCCAGCTGAACCACACCCATACACTGCAAAAGAATACAGCCAAACCATCATACACAACCCTACTTACCAGGCAGCAGGTTAGGCAAGGAAGGGAGAAAGAGTTATCTTAGTGATTCCGATTAACATAATAAAATGATATAAAGAAACCCAAATTAGCAAATGTCGTTTAGATTAAACTAATATATAATTTTGAAAAAAGAAATATTGAAACTGTGAAGCAAGTATCTTTAAAGCTAAGCATTGACTTCAATGCAATTCATAATAGAAGAACAACATTGAAGTACTTCCTATTTTATTTTAAGTCGAAGTCCAATAGGAACATATGCTCCTTGTCATGATGTGACAAAAAAATTGATAACTTTGAAAACGAAAAATAAGAAGTAGTAGCAAATATATCAACCTGGCCAGACTGACAATCCCAAACTCTTACTGTCTCGTCATTACTCCCCGTGTAAAGCTTATCAGAGCCAGAAGGCAAAGCAATTCCAGTTACAACCTGCTCATAAAAGTTTCTAATATTGATCAATAAAGGAACCCCGAAAGAACACAAACAAACAAATTAATAAGCTTTCTGTCATATCATTAAGATAATCAACAATCAAATAAATATTAAATAGCCTTTAAAAAATAAATATTAAATAAAATCCAGAAAAACACCTTCTGGTGACCTTCAAGAGAAGTCAACAGCGCAAAACTCTCACCCAAACTCCAAGAATGCAAGAACCTGCACTTATCGCCATAACTACATTTGCCTTGAACCCAATAATTACAAACTTTCTCAGCCTTCCTCAATGTCTTATTATTCCCAACACGTCCCCATGTCGACGAGTTACTAAAATTGCCACTTCTCCGCGTCCCAGACCGCCCGGAAAATCCCGAATCACCAGCAAACCCACGCTTGGATGCATTGCCATTGGAGCCAGCGGGCGGCGGCGCAGGCAATTCTCTATGAAGGTAGGGGCATGGGAACCGGTTACATCTACCCGCCCGCCAATGAAGGCAGACTATCTGGTGCCTCGGGTCGTTAACTGATTGACCGCCGAGTCTCTGGAATACGCGACTATTACCTCCTTGAGCGTCTAAATCCATCGATTAAAGCAATATAAGAACAGATTCAATCTATACGAAAGAACTTTCTTTTCCTCTAAGTTTAAAGAACTGAGGATGCCACAATCGAATCTGATCATGAAAAGCTAGTCAAAACCTCTCTATCTCTCTAGGATTTTGTCGACGTGTCAAAACTTCCCTTCTAATCTTAAAAGTTGAGTGATAGTTTCTGATTACAGTAGATCGAGGTTTAGGGATTAGAAACCCCAAGCAAGGAAGAAAGTGCGTATTTGATTTGGTAACTTCTGCTGTGTGAAGATCGAAGGAGAACCAGTAAGGGAGGGAAGTCGGGACTCGAGACGGTAAAGAGCAGACGGAAAGTGGAACGCGTCAGCTATACGATGATGATGTCCATATTACAATATTGCCCTTATAAAATAACCTGATCGCTTGGTCCGGTAGCCGATAGACCGTAGCCCGCTAGTGTTACTACTACTAGTGTATGCTGGTGCGTTGGGCTATCTGTACATATACTTAGTTACGTTCCTTGTTAAGTACAGAAATCTAAATATTCATAAACTACTCTCATTTTAATTTTTGAAGTCCCCATATCTATTAATTGCAGCAAATTTGTGGGCCTTTCAGATAAAATTTTCCTTTTTTTTTTTTTTTTTTTTTTTTAGTTGTATGCTGGTGCTGGGCTATCTGTACATATACTTTAGTTAACGTTCCTTTGTAAGTACGAAATCTAAATTATTCATAAACTACTCTCATTTTAATTTTTGAAGTCCCATATCTATTAAATTGCAGCAAATTTGTGGGCCTTTCAGAATAAAATTTCCTTTTTTTTTTTTTTTTTTTTTTTTTTTTTTAAGAAAATGGAGTTCTGATTTAGCAGATTTGCAGCGTGACCAATTTATTGGGCTCACTTTGGCCCACCTTCTGCAGGCCCATTAAGATAAATTCAAACACTATTTTGTTGGCCCATTTTAACCTTGGAAAATAAATCAGAATGCAGTAACACTCAAATGGAAGAATTAATGATCTCTCAAGACAGATTGGATAGTCTGGATAAAAATGGATTGCCAAGTACTATGATTTGAAAGCAATAATCACGTAATTGTTACTAGTCACCTTTCAGAGTTAACCAAGAGAGACCGGATCATAACAAAAGAACTTATGATATTGCCCATGATATTAATATCAAATTTCTGGGAGCTACGAATCACAATAGAAAAGGGTTCACAGAATCACATCAAAGCCTCAGTATTAAATAAATTCTACTCAATATGAGTCACAATATTAATTCTAAATAACTATGA